ATGAAGTCTTTGACATCTTCGACGTTGGTAGTCTCCAGGCGAGAGTACTTGTGGGGAAGACCCATTGTACTGAAAAGGGTGTTGTGAAGAGCGGGAGACCGCGAGCCTGAGACAGGGGAACCAAAGATGGCAAACTTCTTGGCCTTGATCTCACCCATCAGGGAGAGACCACGGCGAATCTCTGCAGCGGACAGCTGACCAGGTGCCGCCTTGAAAGGAAGGCTGGGGTGAGACACGGGGGTCATGAAGCCGTTCAGGATACGGCTGAGCTGACCGCTGTCACCCATGTTGATCGCAATCAACGGCACATCGTGGGCTTCTTCAGCCCATGTCTTGAACTTCCGAAGAGCAGTATTATCATCGAGGGTATTGGCAACACCGACGAGCTTGATCACATCACCGTACTCCAGAGCACGGTTGTAGAATTGCATCCAAGACATGTTAGACCACGACAGTGTGCCCTTAGGATCATGGTGCGACGCGATGATCTTAGAGTAACCCTTCATCTCAGTAACGGCACGGAGCATTGCATCAGGGAAGGTGATCTCAAGATCCACGAATTCGCAGCCAGAACGGAACGCTAGTCGGTACAACTGCATTGCCGCATCATGAGCATCATCGGGGAAACGACCACCTTGGCTCTTGGTGCGGATGGTGAAGATGAGCGGCAGGGAGGTACGACGACGAAGGAGAGACATTTGCTCGTTGACGTAGTCAACTGAGGGAATATCGCCGTCAACTGAAGGGTCCTTCAATAGATCCACCCGCAGTTCGACAGCGTCAGATCCGACACAAGCTTCAGTGATAATATCGCCCGATGACTGGAGATCAGGCAGAGTCAATGAGACAAAGAAGCTGTGCTTCTTCTTCTTCTTGATGATACTAAGGCTGTCTACCTGGCCGGTGACCACCCGCATGAAGCGGGTAAAGTCCTCCGAGGCAAGGGCCAGATCCTTTGAGGTGGAATGCTGGCTGAAGTACTGGATGTTACTGCACTCTTGGAACCAAGGCTTACGTCGTAGCCACACGCCCATCATGTCCTCCACGTAAGCAGGGCGAGTCTTGTCAATCTGGAGGAAGTCCATCACAAGCTTGATGTCGCGCATGATGAGGAGCACGTTGCCCTTGCTCTTGTGGTATTCGGTCAGCAGCTTCCGTGCCTCTGGCATTTCGACGACACCTCCGCCGCAGGCGAAGACATAGCCAGTGGGATGATCATTAATGACGCGTCGAAGGACAGCAAGTTCGGCATCCCTGAATCCCTCCCAACCGCGTGCCTTGATAATATCAGGGATAGTGATACCCTCAGAAGTCTCAAGTTCTGTGTCAAGGTCGATGAACCGGCGATCAAGGGCCTTGGCAACCCAGTTTCCAGCGGTGGTCTTTCCAGCGCCACGCATACCGATGATGAAGACAGAGGCGCTGCTACGCTTTTCATCGCTCGAGGCAGCATGCTCAGCTTCCTTCAATTCTTTCCCACTGAGGTTCACGCTGAACATTTGCTTCAAGGCGTCCCACCAGCCAGGCCAGGTCTTGCCAACACATTCTTTCTCAAGAATAAGGGTAGGGTGGGGAGCGATAAGAGAAAGCACACTGAAACTGAACGCGACCCGGTGATCATCGTAACAGAAAACACCACCGGTGGGCTGGCGAAGGGCAGAACGCTCGATGCCGTCGATCTCAAGACCGTCGTCATGCTCACGACACACCACCCCGAATTTAGCCAATTCGTCTTTCATGGCCTTGATGCGGTTGCATTCCTTGACACGTTGGTTTGCGATTCCGTATATACGAGTTGTGTGGTTTGAACCCTTGCCCCGGGCAACAGCCGCGAGGACGGAGGCAGTAAGGAAGGCATCTGTCATAGGCTCCATGTCTACATTAGAAAGGGGCTGCAGAACACCATCAGCAGGACCGGTAACAGTGGTGGAAGAATCCGTCTGAACCACAGAGCAGCCCATGGGCCTTAGGACATCCACTGCGAAGCGAGCATCGCCCTGAAGGGACTTGGAACCAATGTTAGGGACAGTGCAGGTGGTGCCAGTGACAGCAGCAATTGCCAAAGGATAGGTCGCGGAGCTTGCATCGCTCTCCACAACATATTCGGCAGGGTTCACGTAGTGAGCCTGAGGGATATGGTAGGTGTGCTCCTCAGTAGTCGACTTCTTCACATCGATGCCGAATGATCTCATCATCGCAGTGGTCATGTCGATGTAGGGCTGTGAAATGGGCTTACCACCAACCAGCTTCAGAGTGACTGGCTCCTTGGCGTACGGAGCGCACATAAGCAGCGAAGAGACGTACTGGGAGGAAACCTTGGCGGCCAGGTTGATCTTCCCTCCTGCAAAGCCTCCAGAAGCGGCAATCTTGAGAGGAAGACATCCCTTGCTTTCCATATACTCGACACCAGCACCATTGACAGTAAGAGCGTCAACAAGATCGCCAATAGGCCTTTGCTTCATGCGGTTGTTGCCGGTCAAGACACTCGAGTCGACACTGCTGGGAGTAGCGAGTGTGGCCACGGTGGTGAGGAATCGCGAAGCAGTACCGGCATTACCCAAGTAAAGAGGAGAAGGACTAGCGATAATCTTTCCGCCCTTGCCGTTCACAACAAGAACCTCGCCTTCCTCTTCCCAGGAGAAAGTTGCCGCACCGAGTCGCTCTAAGGCATTCAACATGACCTCGGTATCATCGGAGTGCAAAAGATTCTTGATGCGGCAGGTTCCAGAGCCAAGCGCAGCAAGCACAAGGGCACGGTTGGAGATACTCTTTGATCCAGGGGGTGCGCAAGTGACATTGAGCGACTTGGGTACTCCGGGGTGAACCTCGACACTGGGCGCGAGGACGACAGCAATGTCCTCATTAGAGACGACACTGGCCTTTGGCTCGTAAGTCCGGCCAATTGCTGACAAGAGCACAACCTTTTTCTTCGGGCCATCATTCTTCTTGTCCAAAGCCATGTTGAACAGCAATTGGTCTACAGAGCAGTGCTTACCAGCAGTCAACTTACGAACCCGAGAATCTTTCATGGAAGTGGGCAAGCCGTATGCCGAAATGCACTTTACCACACGAGCGACAGCGACACCCTTCAGGATGCCCAAATGTCTCGCAAGCTCTGCCTCCTTCACCATGCCGATTGCGACACATTCACCGTGAAGGATCTGAGGGGTAAGAATTGCCTCAATGGCATGTCCAATAGAATGTCCCCAGTTAAGCAAGTTGCGGAGGCCGCCCTCACGCTCATCTGCAGAGACAACAAAGGCTTTATGACGTGCCGAGGCTAGGATTCTAGCCTTCAGGATATCCCGGATGCCGTCAAAGCGACCTTGGCCAGCCTTCGGCTCGCTGCGCACAGCAGCCAAGATTGAATCTGCGTTATCTTCCAAGGCAGTGAACTCTTCTTCACTTGAGATGGCGGCAGTCTTAATGACCTCGGCCATGCCATTGATGAACTCTCGGACAGGGAGAGTCTCGAGGAACTCAAGATCAATGTAAATTCTCGATGGCTGCCAGATAGAACCAATGAGATTCTTACCAAGCGGGGTATCAATAGCCGTCTTTCCTCCGATGGAGGAGTCCACCATGGCAAGGAGCGTGGTTGGGACCTGCACAAAGCGCACACCTCTCATGTAGGTTGCTGCAACAAATCCAGTCAAATCTCCAATTACACCACCACCCAACGCAATGATCACTGTGTCTCTACCACATGGTGGGTTCTGGCTCAGCATCCAATCTTCGATATCCGCTTTTGTCTGCCGTGACTTGGAGCTTTCTCCGGGGGCTGCATTGTGGATGAGGAGCCGCGGGGCTGGGCTAATGGAAGCGGCGGCTGCCTCGAATGTTTTTTGGAAAGTGGGGGTATAAATAGATCCGAGGTTGGTGTCTGTTATGAGAACGTAGGTCGTTGAGGGCAAGCCATTGATCAGGTCCTTTGCGACAAAATTGCGCCAAAGGCCAAAATCAGCGACAATGCTCTCCTGGCCCAAGATGCTGATCTTGGTGGGTTCAGACATTTTAGAGGAGGATAGGGATCAGGACTCGGTAATGGCAAAGTTCACTGACAGCTCATTTCATTCTGCGACTTGTTAGTACCCTGACTCATGGAACTGTACTTTATCTGTTTCTCCTCCACAATGAATCTAGGGATATATGGTATACAGTCATTTGGAGGGAAGTGACGAATTAAGGGATATCGACCGACCTGGACAGAGCTGATCCTAGAGCCAATATTGTATCAAAATAAAATAATCACCAAGTCAAGACCCAACAGGACAAAGGAAAAAGAGTATTGTTTCCCCTCCGGTGTCGCGGGCAGTTTCTTGACCGCCCGGTGACTCAATCTGTCGATCTATACAGAGCACACACCTTTGAACACTTCCACTATAACACTCGGATCGCCTACGATTCATATCATACAGATATGTACTTATGGTTACAAATTTCCCAGATACTAGTTCAAATGAGTTTCAATTGATGCTATGAAAGCAATATGTCCTCCAAAAAGATTGCCAGATTCCACATCTTAACCCCAATTTTCAACTTGGCCGACATCGCCTGTTTTGAACGTGAACCTTACAAATGGCCCCAAATATCCTGGAGATCCAGTCTTCGTCCGAATCAACTTTGATCACCGAGTCCAACTCGATCTCCATGCTCAAGTTAACTGCATCCAACTGGTCTGGCGATTTAGAAGTACCCGCCAATTTTGAATTCAATGCCGCCTGGATACGTTCGTTCGATCCTGTATTGTGGACTCTCGAGGATCGAGTCCTGCTTTTGGAAACCCCATTATTATGCAGGCTGATTTGTGTCTTTGGGGTGGCCTGGGAACGTTTGTTGGAGTGCTTTACTCCGGGATCATTGTCTCCAACCGGGCCAATCTCTTCTCCACGGCCGGTCTCCCCAGCGCTCTAGTCTCCCATTCGGGCACAGTATCCGAAAATCTACTCAAGAGGCTGATTGTTGGCAGTGACGCCCCCAATGCATCTCTGTCCAATTGTCTAAGTGAGTTGTTCGACTAGCCCATCGATGCCAGCGAACTTGGTACTGCTATTTCCTCCTTCCTCAGCTTCATCGTACTCGACTGAGAGCTGAGTCCGCTGAGATTGCTCGCGAAGTTTGCCAGCAAATTGATACAGCATCTCACGAGTGCCAGTGTAAGCACTGATGGCTCCCTCTCCAGGTAAATGGATCTTGCCGCCCCCCGAGGCAATCGTAAGCGCATGTTTGGGCTCAAGTGCGGCTGTGAAGGTCAATGCTGCTACTGGCCATTCAATTGAAATAGGAGATATGGGAGATACAGTATGAAGTCTGTCGGTACTAGGTTCGCGGTGCCATTTCACTGGGAGCGCGGACCGCGATGGTCTGTTTCGCTGTCCCAGACTGAATCTCCACGCTTGAGCCCCGCAACGAAGAATGCATAATGCATGAAAAAAGTCGTATGCATCAAGCTTTGGGGGAGTTGTGTCGACATTGCTGCGAGAAAACAGCACCGGGACCACACGCATAAGCTGGGTTATACACCAGTTTGAGAGCATTACAGAAAAGATCTCGCGATTTACACCCTGAACACCAATTTTTGGGCGCACAGGAGCTGTCATGACATGAACCAAGGTCGTTGTGTGTTGCCGGAGGAAAACAAATGTCGAAGATTTCCGCTTACTTTCAGCGGAGTCCGACCATATGGTTATAATTCTTTGAGTCTCCGCGTTATTGTACCATAATCTGTCGACCTCCTGTGTTGTTGGAAAGTTCAGGGCACCAGCGATCCTTACTGCCGAACGTTGCATCTGACAGGCCCAAGCGTAGTCATGCAAGATCTCGGGTTCACAAGAGTACTGACGAGGAGATGCAGACATCATCGGGCTTCTGAGGATCAATGGAAGTGGTTTTCGATGAGCATGGGTAGAAGGGTGGAAGAGAAGTCTAGGATGCTGTGAGCAAGGGTTAAATAGACACTATGGCTTGTTTGCCCTGGGAAAACGAGCCTGACAATTAGAAGCTGTTCCGATCTTCTGATTTTCTAAGGTTTTATGACGTACACAATCCTTCCATATTGTAAACTATAGGGCTATATACTAAGCATTTTTTGAAGGACCTCCTTGGTTGTTAGAAGCCGTTAGGTTTCAAAAAAGTACATCGCATGAAGACCTCGATGTATGATGATAGATTGCAGACCTGATCTACTTGGGAATGTCGCAAGGTTGTACATGCATATACTTGCAGATTCTCTTGTCAAGTATAGAGGAACTCCATAATAATGATAGACTGTTAGTAGTGTTATCTGTATACAGCATCCAACGTTGTATATTGTCAAGCCTCTTGCATAAAGTTAGCCTTTTTAGTCTTTTTTCGCCGTCTGACTGTAGACTGAAAAGGAGGAAATACCTAAGAGATATGTACGTATCTAAAGAGGATATCCGAGAAGACCAATGAAAAGAATACTTAAGAACTCTATGAGATATCATAAGCACATAAGCGGCCGTATACTCCTTTATATTCAGATCGTAATCACTAGAGGATGTTCTGTCCACATAATGTTATAATGTCCACGAGCGAGGCAGGGAATATGTCCAAATGGTAGTAGTTTTCTGTGTTGGACGCCACGATCACATAAGAGGGCCCCCCTCATACTCCCCTATGTAGTTACAATAAGCCAAGGAGAACGAATATATGGAGAGCAAATGAACCAACCTTAGAACACTACACAGCAGCTACCTACTCATGCTGTGGAATTTCGTGACATCACACCTAGAACGGAAACAAGACTACACAGCCGCACATGAGGCCTTGTGTAGTCTTATTAGTGTAGTCTTATTAGTAGTCCGAGGTATGCCTTCTGTATACCTTGAAAATGTTTGTACCCCTTCCGAGTTTCATGAGACAGCAGAAAGAAAGTGTTAAGAGGCTTAATTCGTGAGGGTGAATTCTTCACGTGTAACCTTGGAAGAAGTTTTTTTTGCTTGGCTATTTACAAATGGCACTTGTCCATCACTCATCTTCCTCGCCCTCGTCATCATCGTCATCCTCAGCCTCCGATACTTCCTCCCCGAGATCCTTGAGCCGTTTCTAAAACTGGTTAGTCAAATTCTCAAGAGACACACGCAGCATGAAATTCATTGGGCTAGTAGCATACCTTGTCTTCTGTTCGCTTAGCCTCAAGGTCTGCAAAGACAATCAGGAGATCTTCTAGTTCAGACTGGGCTGACTTGCGAGCCTCCTCCTTTTCTTTAGCTTCAACTTGAGCCTTGTCGAGCTGGGCCTGCATGCTTTTGAGGGCTTCGGCCACATTGCGAGCATGGGACTCGGCCTCCCTGGCCTTTTCCTCAGCCTCTTTAGCTCGTGTTTCCATCGCAGAGGCCTGGGATGCGGCGCCTTCTTGTGCCGTCTCAAGATCGTTGCTGGACTTCTGGACCTTGGCAAGGTCTGCTTCCCGAGCTGCGATGTGTTGCTTTAGGTTTGCAATCTCAGCTTCATGCTCTTTTGTAGCTGCGGCAAGATTCGACTTGAGAGTCCCGACTGTGTTATCGTGACCAGTGGATTCAGTCTCATATTGTTGTTTGGCTGCAGAGAACTCAGATTCCAGGGTGTCAAGCTTGCTCTTGTAGTCGCCAACTTCCGCTTCGTGCTTTTGCTTGGTTGCCGCCAACGTAGATTCCACGCTCTGCAGCCGTTGAGTAAGATCGGCAACTTCTCCATCATGGGTTCCCTTAATGCTTTCGTGGACCTTGATTCTCTTGTTGAGGTCGGCCACCTGTCCCTCAGTGGCTTTCTTGGTGTTTTCTAGATCCTGAATCTGCTTTTCAAGACTGGCGACTTGTCCACTGTGGGCCTCTTCAGACTGGCCAATTGTGTTCTGCAACTCCTGGATCTTCTTGTTGGACTTATCGACTTGATCACTGTGAGATTTATTGTTGCTTTCCAAATCCTGAATCTTGCTTTGAAGCTCAGTCACCCGTGCACTGTGAGCCTCCTTGGACTGGGTGATGCTAGTTTCCAATTCCTGGATTTTCTGATTTGAATTGATAACTTCTCTTCTATGTTGTTCCAGGACGCGAGAAAGCTCTGATTCTAAGCCACGAATGGTTTTTTGTAGAGCAGCAACCTCGCGCTCATGGTGCTCTCTCATTTCCTTTGCTTTGCTGCTCTTGCTTTCAGATTCGGCCGAGGTCTGCTTGAGTTGATGATCGATGGCACGGAGCTGATCATTATGCTGCTTGAGTAACTCGTTTTTGGAATGCTTATGTTCGTTTTCAAGCTTCGATAGTTGTTTTGATAGCTCCTGCGAATGGCTTTGCTGTAGAGATTGGATGGTTTGTTGAAGCTTTGACAACTCAATTGCATTGGATTCCTCTGTCTTTCGGTGGTTCAGCTGTTCTTGATCGAGCTTTCGTTGAATGCTGACGAGATCGGACTCCAATGTTTGGAGGGTTTGGGTGCGATCTTCGATTTCTGCACGCAAGGAATCAACGAGCTCACGTGAAATTCCCTTTTCGACACCATTGGCAACAATAGAGATTTCAAATCCGGGTTCGCGGTCAATGGCACGAAGCAATCGGCTAAAGTTATCTTTGAGGAACTCAACAAATGAGCGGTCAAAGAACACCTCCGGCAGTCCACCCTCGAGCTGACCACCAGTGGTTTGGGGAAGGACCTCGAAATCGCGAACCAATGGGCATTCTCGAAGTCTTGTGATCTTGTCAATATACTGTTCCCTGCCAAGCTGCTCGATGAGTAGCTTGTGGAGCGTGACGCGAGGGATCGGGGAGTCCTTGGTGGAAAACTCATATATAACACCCAACAGCACGGTGCAAAGGCCGGGTACCAATTTGCTAGGAGCGCGCTGGTGCTTGATTTCCTGCAACAAGGTTTGGATGCAGCTACCCTCCCCAAGAAGATCGTTTACGACGTCTGGGTCCTCAAAAAGCCAACCACAGAGCAACATCAGATAACCGATAGTGATTCTTTCATCGTCACCGCGCTGGAGGCCAGTAATTAGGTTTCCAACGACAGTTTGAACACTGGTGACCACTTCTTCGCCGCTCTCAGCATCGCCCTCAGTGACACCCATAGCTGTTCCCTTGGCCTCTGCATCATCGAAGAGCAAATGGAACATCAGTACACAGGCTATCCAGACTTGATACGGATCAGCATTGCCGCGCGCTTCGGGTGCAGTGAGCAGTACAGATAAAATATTGGGAATCTGATCCTGTCCGCTAGTATGCCCTTCAATCGCTCGCCTCAGGACGTGCATGCGAATTCCAGAATGATGAGCGAAAAAAGCTTTCATACATTCGCAGGCAGCAAGTCGTGCATCCAAAAGGTTGTTGGGACTAGGTTCGAGGCTGAGCTTTAAGAATGCTTCAATGACATTGATGCGTAAAGGTTCTTTCGTATCACCATTGGCAGCCTTGTCGCCGCGGGGATAGGAGCCCCACAGGATTTCAATATCACCGAATCTTTCCTGTAACGGCGAATTGCCGCGAATCAGATCGGCACATGTTGACAAGGCCTGGACTTGTCAGTCGCAGAAAACGGACAAAAAAGGGTAATATCGACATCTCACCTTTGAGGTCACACTGACACTGAACCTTTGGCTGAATGCAATGCTTAGAACTTGTTCTGTTACGCCATTCTGCCAGAATGCCGTCTGGTTAATGGGCGTACTCATGCCACCGCGAATCAAGAACAACTGGATAATGGCCAACAGGCCCCAGACGTTCTTATCTCGGTGCACTAAAGTCCACTCTGGCGTTGGGTCATTGTCTTCTGGCTCCTGCTGACATTCATGAAGCAACTGTGTTACCCTTTTCATACAGCCTGTCTCGCGAAAAAACGATTGGTTGGAAACATTGAACCTCAGCAGGTGAGCCAACAAGGAGAGGCAGTCCTCCACTACCTCGGTCCCATGAGTCAATGCTCCCTCGGCTTCAATAAGAGAGAAAAGTATTTCAAATGCATTCTCAAATGCTACAAGCTTCTGCAGCTCTTCCGAGGCGGGGGTCAGGGCAATCAGCAAGACGAGAGCCTCTAGTGAACGAGAAGAACAGTTTGTCAGCCCCGAATCATGGATCAAATGGACGCATATCTTCAGCAAAACATACCATTTCGTACTGGTTCCCTTGCATCTGTCAGCACACCGACTAGTTTGGAGATACCTAGCGGGGCTGTAAAAATGCATTCTTGTGTTCGTTCCGGTCGTGCGCCACAAATGTGCGAAATCAATTGGAGTGCATAAAGGCGGGAGTAGAATTCGCGGGTTTCCAAAAGGTTGAGTAGGGTAGTTATGTTATCTTGTCGCTTGGGAATTGTCAGTCCATCATCTCGGGACCGAGGTCAAGATGCGTACCTGAGTGAATTCATCTGCCAACCATAGAGCTATTTCGTCCGACGCTTCAGGCTAAGCATATATATGAGTAACACGGGTGACATTCTTTAGAGTACAAAATACCCACACTAGATTCATCGGGTGTGAAGAGCATCAAAAGGGTCTCGAGGACCACTTTGATTGTGTCCACATCCTCACTGTCATTGCGTAGACTGCTGATCAATGACCGCAGACCACCAGAAGCGACTGATGCAGGGTAAAGTTTTGCAAAACTTCTTAATCCTTGAATGGCTGCACGACGATCTTCCAACAATGTAGCACTCTGCAGTCTACTGCTCAATACGTCGATTGTGTCCGTAGCCGTTTGTTTGGCCGGAGCTTGCGACTCGAGGATTCGAAACATCGTAGTTGATTCGCAATATCATGGTCATTGCCGGCCGGGGAAGTAAAAATTGGTAGTCATCTATGATAGAGCAAGGGAAAAAATGAAGAGGTTGGTTCGCTGATTGCAGTAGAAAGCTGTCCTATTGTACTGCCAAAGGGGGCTAAACGCCGATCTTGGCTCAACCCGCAGAATCGCCGACCGCCCGGAATTTATCTTTTCGTTGACGGCAAGCTCTCTTTCGCTACTCCCAACCTGCGCCGCGATCGTATCTGCGGTTGCACCTCTTTTCATCTCTACTATATGCTTGAGAGAAGTCTGTATTCCATCTGAACTGGCTTACACTGCATCTTGCTCGCTAAATTAGAGACCGCGGTTGCGCCTGCACGAACGCCATCAACTGATTGCGACACAACAGTACCGCAAGTATTGACCTCTCCACTGTCGCATTATCATCATGGGTGTCCCAGCGCTGTTCCGATGGCTCTCCAACAAGTATCCGAAGATTGTCTCTCCGGTTATTGAAGAGCAGGCCCAGGTGGTCGACGGAGAAGAAATCCCAATCGACATCACTCGCCCGAACCCTAATGGCGAAGAGCAGGACAACCTCTATCTGGACATGAATGGTATTGTTCATCCCTGCACTCATCCAGAGGGGAAACCTCCCCCAGCGGACGAGCAGGAAATGATGATGGAGATCTACAAGTATACCGATCGAGTAGTCAACATGGTGCGCCCCAGAAAGCTTCTCATGATCGCTATCGGTATGTGTATATCTCAAGAGAGCTTGCGCTTCCCGCATCTCCAAATTGATCTAACCTCGATATCTTCTTCATAGATGGTGTTGCTCCAAGAGCGAAGATGAACCAGCAGCGTGCACGTCGATTCCGCTCAGCGCAAGAGGCCAAGGAGAATGATCAGAAGAAGGAGGAACTTCACAAGATGCTCGCCCAGCAGCATGTTAACAAGACCGGCGAACAGTTGATTCGGGAGGAGGTTGTTCAGAAAACGTGGGACAGCAACGTCATCACCCCAGGAACGCCTTTCATGGATATCCTTGCTGCCTCGTTGCGGTATTGGATTGCCTACAAGCTTAACACCGACCCTGGTTGGGAGAATGTACGTTTTGAATCTATTTGCTTCGCGCCATTCCACATACTAATGTGAACAGTTGAAAATCATCATTTCGGATGCCACAGTCCCAGGAGAAGGAGAGCACAAGATCATGAATTTTGTGCGATCGCAGCGAGCATCGCCTAATCACGATCCCAACACTCGTCATGTCATCTATGGTCTGGTAAGTTTGTTGTGGTTTTTCAAGTTAATCTTCTCACGTCACTAATTTTAAATCTAACAGGATGCTGATCTGATTATGCTGGGTCTTGGTACCCATGAGCCTTATTTCCGAGTACTGCGTGAAGATGTGTTTGCCCAAGACTCAAGGCCTCGGGGGTGTCGACTTTGCGGACAGAATGGCCATAAGGCCGAGGAATGTCTAGGCCGTCCGAAAGAGAAGAGTGGTGAACACGACGAGAAGCAAAATGCTGCCCCTTTGAAGCCATTCATTTGGCTTCATGTCGCCGTGCTAAGAGAATATCTTGCTGTAGAGCTTCGTGTTCCTCAACAACCGTTCCCATTTGACCTGGAGCGTGCACTGGATGACTGGGTCTTCATGTGCTTTTTCGTCGGAAACGATTTCCTTCCTCACCTGCCCTCTTTGGATATTCGTGAAAACGGTATTGATACCCTGATTGCGATCTGGCGTGACAATCTCCCCGCTATGGGAAGTTACCTTACCAAAGATGGAAGCGTTGAGTTAAAAAACGCTCAAATTATCTTGCAGGGACTGGCAAAACAAGAGGATGCTATCTTCGCACGCCGCAGGCAAGCGGATGAAAGAAAGCAAGCAAACGAGAAGAGACGGAAGGAGCAAGATGCGGCTCGTAATGAAGAGCGTGCCCAAAAGCGAAGACGGAGTTCTCCCCAGCGTGACTTGACAGCTGGCGATCGCTCTCGCGGCGAGCCCGCCCCTCCCATGGAACTCATCACCCCTGGCCGGGGCCACCTGAACAAGGAGACTAGAGAGCTGACACACAGCATGGTAATCAACCGCGGGGCCGTGTACCGTGCTAACATGGAGAATAAGAGCGCCGCCGCTGTGCTGAAGAGTAGACTCATGAAGCGCAGCCAGGATGAAGCTGGAAACAGCGAAACTCCTGTCACAGATGGCGAGGAAATATCAAGCGAAATCCCAGAACAGGCTTCTCCTGGGATTCTCGGAAAACGAAAGGCGGATATAGCCGAACCGGATGTTACCGAGGCAGGAACCCCGGGCAGAGACTCCCCTCCGCCTGTCCCCATTGTTGCTGAAAAGCCCAAACAAGATGAGGTTCAAGAAGACACCGTCAAGTTGTGGGAGCCGGGATACGCCGATCGATACTATGAGCAGAAGTTCGGCGTGGATCCCAAAGATTTAGAATTCCGCCACCAGGTCGCTCGCGAATATGCGGTTGGTCTTTGTTGGGTTTTGCGATACTACTTCCAGGGCTGTCCCTCTTGGGTATGTTGTCAACCCCTAGTCAATTATATGATTAATATTTGCTAACTTGATCACAGACTTGGTATTATCCAAGGCACTATGCGCCATTTGGTGAGTTTTCCTTCCTCATCCTTTTCTTTACCTTTCCAGGAAGAAGCTAACATATAACGTACAGCCGCTGATTTCGTTGATATCGCCGATATGGACGTCCAGTTCGAGAAGGGCACGATATTCAAACCATTTGAACAGCTAATGGGAGTGCTGCCCGCCGCGTCTAACCACGCGCTGCCGAAGGTTTTCCATCCTCTCATGGAAAACCCCGATAGCGAGATCATCGATTTCTACCCGGAGGACTTCCCCCTGGACTTGAACGGCAAGAAATTTGCCTGGCAAGGAGTGATCCTGCTCCCTTTCATCGACGAAAGTCGTCTACTTAATGCCATGGCCAAGGTATATCCTCTTCTTACCGAGGAGGAAAAGATTCGCAACTCCCATGGTCAAGACGTTCTTCTACTATCCGACCGAAACCCCTTGTACCAAGATCTTGTTGCGAACTTCTACTCCAAGAAGCCTGGTCCGGCACAGTATACCCTCAAGGAGGATGTGAGTGACGGCCTAGCCGGTATTGTCGAGCGCAGCGACACCTATATCCCCCACAGCTCGTTGGTATCGCCATTGGAGGCGCATGGGATGCCAGGAGTTGATGACGATCGTTCTCTCACGTGAGTTGAACCCCCCTTTATCTGCAGTTCGCTTCATATACTAACTGATAAAAGTGTATTGTATAAAATCCCAAAGTCTTCTCATGTCCACAAGTCTATGCTTCTCCGCGGGGTGAAGCTACCGACGCCAATGCTAGACTCAAACGATATCAGAGCTACCCAGAACCGATCGCAAAATTCAGGCCGGTCATTCGGTGGCGCACCTTTCCAGGGCAGAGGACGTGGCGGTCGGATGAACTACTCGAGTGACCGTCCGAACCCATTCGCTGCGCACCTTGACCCGAAATTCAACACCGGCCCACAAGGTGGTGCCGGTGGTGCCCCCATGGTACCTCCTGGATGGGTTCCCCCTGGCCAAGGGTACGGAGGCTACGCCAGAGGACCCCCTCCTCCTCCACGTGGCGGGATGTCACACCAGTACCCACCCCAACATAGCTACCAACAGCCTGGGGACTATTACCCCCAGCAGAACAACCAGTACAACCAAGGTGGCCAGTACAATAACGCACATCAATCGGGTTATGGCTCTCAAGATCATCGAGGCGGCAGAGGAGGTAACCGTGGCGGCCGCGGCCGTGGTGGGCAGCACCGAGATCACTACCCCCACAATCAAGGTGGAGGTGGATATAATCGGTACTAGAAAGTGAATGAAGGTTCAGCTTTCTTTTTCGCCTTTCTCTGACTATTTCTTGCTACTTTCGACACTATTGGTATCTGCTGACACATCTGGGAATTGGGCGTGAGGGGGTCTGGGAAAATAAAAACAAAGGAGTTAGGGCAAATGTACCATGAATTCCGATGTTTCAACGGACTCTTTGTTTGCCCCTGTAGTGCATGGTTTGGCCCCTGGCTGGTACCTCAATATTATCCAGATTACTCAAATGATATATCCTGCCTTACGTTGTTGTATTAAAAGATACTATGTACTGACCACATAGTATACCTATTACTCGTTGATATGTTAGTCATTTCATTGACAATTGGCCTTTGGATTTTGCTCTTTGGTCTATTCTAACAACATACCAGTAGAAGTGAGGTCCTTTCATCGCAACCCTAATATGATGGTTGAAGAAGGCGGTGTAAATGGAGGGGTCAAGGCAACAAGGCACATTGGCAAAAAAAATGGCGAGGCGGGGTGACTCACCCGTGAACTTGCCAGCCCTTGAGTGGTAGTTAGTCGGAGTCAATCATCTCTCCACTTTCGTAAATCACTGGAGTCATCAATCATGGATTTTCCTGCGGAAGAAGAGCTTGTGCTCGCTCGGTGGAGGGAGATTGATGCCTTTAAACGCCAGGTTGAACTTTCGGCTGGAAAGCCACGCTATGGATTCTTAGACGGCCCTCCGTTCGCTACCGGAACTCCTCATTACGGACACCTGCTTGCTTCGGTAAGATCATAGTGAACAATTTGCAAATGGGCTGCGGGTAGTTCTAATACTTTGACTAGACTATCAAGGATGTGATTCCCCGTTATTGGTCTATGAAGGGATTCCATGTGGAGCGTCGTTTTGGCTGGGATACACATGGTGTGCCCATTGAGTGAGTACAATTCAATCCAAGATCAAGACTTTCTCAAGACTGTGTACCTTGGCTATTGCTGACACGAAATTCAGATATGAGATTGACAAAAAATTGGGCATGTCTGGTCTGCAAGCGGTTCAAGAGATTGGAATCGCGAAATACAACGAGGAGTGTCGATCGATTGTTATGAGATACGCGACAGAATGGCGCGAAACCATCGAGCGATTGGGTCGCTGGATTGACTTTGATAACGATTACAAGGTATGCTCGAGTACGTCTGGCCTTCTGTGCCCTTGTGTTAACGCTTTCTCTTTGTCATTTAGACTATGAACCCATCATTCATGGAATCCGTCTGGTGGGTTTTCAAGGAGCTCTTCGATAAGGGCCTCGTTTACCGCGGATACCGTGTCATGCCTTACTCCACCGCTCTCAACACGCCGCTCAGCAACTTCGAAGCGCAGCAGAACTACAAAGATGTGCAGGACCCCGCCGTTGTTGTGACATTCCCCCTGCTAGATGACCCTGAAACATGCTTACTTGCATGGACCACCACCCCGTGGACGCTTCCATCACACACCGGTCTGTGTGCCAACCCCAACTTCGAGTACGTCAAGATCTACGATGAAGCTACAAAGAAAAACTACATCCTCCTGGAGGCCCTTCTTCGGACCATCTACAAGGACCCGAAGAAGGCTAAGTTCAAGATCGTCGACCGTATCAAGGGTTCTGACATGCTCGGATGGAAGTACACACCCCTCTTTGATTACTTCTATGAAGAATTCAAGGACTGTGGCTTCCAAGTTCTGAATGACGAATATGTCACTGCCGAGGATGGTGTTGGTATTGTTCACCAGGCCCCTGCCTTTGGTGAGGAGGATTACCAGGTAGCCATGAACCATGGCGTCATTTCTGAGACTCGTCTTCCCCCAATCCCGTTGATGCCCAAGGCTGTTTCACTGCTGAGGTCCGTGACTTTGTGGGCCAGAATGTCAAGGCTGCTGATAAGGGCATCATCAAACTCCTCAAGGGCAACGGTCGTGTTCTCGTTGATAGCCAGATTACTCACAGCTACCCCTTCTGCTGGCGCTCCGATACCCCTCTGATCTATCGTGCTGTGCCATCCTGGTTCGTGAAGGTCAAGCCTATCATCCCCGACATCCTTGAGGGCATTGATAAATCCCACTGGGTCCCATCCAATGTTAAGGAGCGGAGATTTGCCAGCTGGATCAAGAACGCTCATGACTGGAACATTTCTCGAAACCGTTTCTGGGGAACACCGTTGCCATTGTGGGTTAGTGAAGATTTCTCAGAAGTTGTGGCTATCGGTAGCATCGAACAACTTAGGGAACTGAGTGGCTATGAGGGCGAGCTCAACGATATCCATCGGGATAAGGTCGACCACATCACGATTCCTTCTTCTAAAGGAAACGGCGTTCTGAGACGTGTTCCCGAGGTCTTTGATTGCTGGTTTGAATCAGGCAGTATGCCTTTTGCAAGTGTCCACTATCCCTTCGAGGGCGCAGATGAGTTCGAGGACCGTTTCCCAGCAGACTTTATTGCCGAGGGGCTTGAGTAAGTTCCACATTTACTTCGTTATTCACGCGCTAACATGATTTTCAGTCAAACACGAGGATGGTTCTATGTACTCAGCGTGATCGGAGTCCACTTGCGTCAAAAACTGCCATACAAGAATGTAGTTGTGAATGGCATTGTCCTCGCAGAAAATGGCCTAAAGATGTCCAAAAGGTGTGTAAAAATAACCTCAATATGACTATGACCGGAACTCTTTCTAATATACTGATTTCATAGATTGAAAAATTACCCCGACCCATCGCTGATCATGAATTCATACGGGTGAGTTACGCAATTTTTTAGTCTCGAGTTGTTCATACTATTTCCTGTCCTTCGGGAGTTTTCTCATACGAATTCTCATTAACTTTCACTCGACAGATCGGACGCGCTTCGATTGTACATGATCAACAGCCCTGTCGTGCGTGCTGAACCTCTCAGATTCAAAGAAACCGGCGTCAAGGAAATCGTCAGCAAGGTGCTTCTTCCGTTGTGGAACAGCTACAAGTTCTTTGAGGGCCAGGTGACCCTCCTGAAGAAGGCTTCTGACATCGACTTTGTCTTTGACCCTGCAGCGGAGAGAACCAACACAAACGTGATGGATCGCTGGATCCTTGCGAGCTGTCAATCACTGCTTCGGTTCATTAACCAGGAGATGGCTGCTTACCGTCTGTACACCGTTGTACCACGGCTTCTAGAGTTGATTGATAACACGACCAACTGGTACATCCGCTTCAATCGCAAGAGACTCAAGGGTGAAAATGGTGTTGATGACACATTGCACGCCTTGAACACTCTCTTTGAGGTCCTCTACACTCTTGTCAGAGGCCTCGCTCCTTTCACTCCTTTCATCACCGACAATATCTACCAGCGCCTTCTTCCCCACATTCCCGAGTCGCTTCGTGCTGAAGACAGCCGTTGCGTGCACTTCCTTCCCTTCCCTGAGGTGCGCCAAGAGCTCTTTGACGAAGTTGTTGAACGCAGAGTTTCTCGGATGCAGATTATCATTGAACTCGGCCGTATCTCGCGCGAACGTCGGGCTATCGGCCTCAAGACCCCCTTGAAAACACTTGTCGTGATTCATAATGACCCGCAATATTTGGAAGATGTCAAGTCTCTCGAGCCGTACATTCTCGAAGAGCTCAACGTTTTGGAGCTTGTTCTCTCCTCTGACGAAGCCAAATACCAAGTCGAATACTCGGTGACCGCTGACTGGCCTGTGCTAGGTAAGAAGCTGAAGAAGGCGGTTCAAACGGTCAAGAAGGCCTTGCCTTCTCTCACCAGCGATGACGTGAAGGGATATCTTGCAGATAAGAAGATCTTGGTCGATGGCATTGAACTCATTGAGGGTGATCTCGTTGTGAAGCGAGGAATCAAGGAAACCGACAACTCCAAGGGCATGGAAACCAACACAGATGCTGATGTGTTGACTATCCTTGATGTGAACTTGTACCCAGAGCTGGCTCATCAGGGTCTGGGCCGTGAGATCATTAACCGTGTCCAACGCCTTCGCAAGAAGGCTGGTCTTGTTGCCACCGATGATGTGAAAATGGAATACACTGTGATTTCGGACCCGGACAACATTGGCCTTGACGAGGCTTTCAAGTCTCAGGCTCAAGTCTTTGAGAAGGTCCTGCGCCGTCCCGTTGAACAGAGTGCATTCGGTGGCGATAAGCTTCCTACTGGGGAAGAAGAGGGCACTATTTCGCAGGAAGAACAGGAGGTGCAAAATGCCACTTTCTTGTTGCGTCTTCTCAAGATTTAGAAAGCCAACCAAAAGGACATACATAGATATCAAGTCTACTATTTCAAAAATTTTTTTTTTTTTTTTGATCTTCTGAACGTATTCAGCTTTCCATCAATAGTTCACATCCAATGCCTAGCGAAATTTTCTAAAATAATTTACAAATGCTCCTGCTTGCGCCGCCACATCCAAATAGCTCCAAGTCTTTGAGTAATCCTGGTGCTTCTGACGTTATAATCACAAGGAACATTTAGCCCTTTTTGGATGCCGCCTGTTGGGGTGGTTAGCATGTTGGACTACGCAGCACTCACTCGTCACCTACCAGGTAGCAATTCTTCAGTCGCATGAATTCTTTGGCACACATATCTTTATGTACCGAGTTGTAATCCGCAACAACACACTTGCCGTATGCCGCAACCTATCGAGGCTGTTAGTTGGGGCAATGTTGAAATTGAACAGAAGGTGCACACCTCTACGGAGCATTGGGCTGAAGCTTTGGCAAGTTTCTCGACTGGACGAGTTCGTCCCGGCATTTTGTAAGAATAAAATTAGGATGCAGCCTTGAAATGCAAAGTAGCCTTAATGTTCCGATGTGAAGCCAATAGAACCTTGGAAATCCAAGCATGTTACATAAGACCACGTGACCGTGCATGTTTCTGTCGCGACAACCAAAACAACCCGCATTGTTACTTCGATTGATGGCGCATGGGTTGAGTTTATTGTTGTGTTCTTTTGGAATTGCTGATTGCAGAGTGCCTCTGTCTGCGCATGCATCTCATTCTCGGCGCTCCCCGCTTTCGCGATGATTTATTTGGTCCTGCAGCTCTATGACCCAGATGCGACAAGCGCGCCTTAAGATCGCGAATTTTCGATGCCTCCGATATCCTCTCAGCGTCGAGCCGTGACCGAAGAGATCTCATCTCTTTCAGATGATGGTAGGGTGCCATCAATCACTTAATTCAAACCAAGCCTGACCTCTATAGATGTCGGTTTTCTCTACCAGGTTATCGCTGGCGCCGAGACAAAACCAGAAGCGGACCGACTTCCATTCCGGGCGCTTTTCGAAGCATACGATGAAGTCATCAGTGAACATGGCGTCAACGCGGACCCAGGTCATGTATGCCTGCGCTTCCTGTTCAAAATGGGAAGTAAAGGTGTGCGCGGCGAGACTCTCTTCGAGAAATTCGAGAATGTGCTCCAACAGATGGGAATCGTGATCGAAATCGGCGAGGAGGGCTCTACGAACCTCAATGAGACGCATGACTATGATCAATATACAGTGGATGTTACACACAGCCAGACCGTTGACCATGACCATTCTCCAATCACGAATGGAGTGCCACCGACACCCAAACGGCGCGCATCGTTCAACACTACGTACGACATCGGCGAAGATGCTACACATAGAAGTTTAATAAATCGCCCTAGCTCTCGATCGTCAATGTCGCGACTTGAAACTGGTAAACCTGAATTTGCCAAACCAAAGCTCTCACCTACCTCCAGACATGATTCCGGGCCTACGAAATCGCCAGATCGAACACAATTGATCAACCAGTTTTTGGACGTCGGTCGGCGCTTGCTGAGCAGACTTGACGGGACAGAAAAGAAGTACGAAGTCACGGAAGAAACTCCCTTGACTAATGGAGTGGTCGCAAGATCGGCCGTTGCTCGTGATCGTTCGAAGAGAATGGCCGAAGCCTCACGTCCCCGTCGTTCACCCTCGTTCGGTTCTTCAAACAGCTCCGAGTCCGAAGAGGTGCAATCAATCATGTCACACAGCCCAGAACATGATTCTTTTGACAAAGAAGAGGTGCCACCGGAGTTCATCTATCGCCCACAACTTTCGGATTTACTTCGGGATGCATCAACATTCAATATGTATCGACAGCGATCGATTTGTCGTCGAATTTTGACACAATGGCTGAAAAAAGCCTTCCAAGCGCGACAGACACGCCAGACTAGGGAAACAATCGCTGTCAATTATGACCGCGGCCTTCTCATCCGACAAGCCTTTGATCCATGGCGAGGAGTAATCCAAGAAAAACGCCACTCGGCTCGAACAGATCGATTCTTCAAGCACCTTGAAACGCGTGCCAGCCGCGCACGGGATTTATATTTAATGACAAAGGCGTTCAGTCATTGGGCCCAACTTACGTCGGAAGAAGTAGCTCGGACCTCTGCTGCCCGGAGACATGTTCTTGGTGTCAAATATTTCAATGCCTGGCGCGAGATCACTGCTGTCAATGAGTTGAAGGCTCAGCGTTTTGCACTACGGAGGCCTTTCAATGCATGGCGCAAGAAGATCCAAGATTTGAAGGCAGCAGAGACCCAAGCAATTATTGTACGGAATACGAAGATTCAGAAAGCATCGTTTTGGGACTGGTGGTGGTGCTTCTGCGACCGGCGTGTTCTTGAAGTTTCTGATTATCGACTCAAAAGGCGATCACTTCTCTCCTGGCTTCGGAACTTGCGAACTAATCGAGAGCGCGACCATGAGATAGACCTACATAACAAACGGTCATCTCTGAAATCCATACTTCAGATATGGTCTCAGCACTCGAAAACAATTGCACGTGCAGACCAGGAAGTTCAGGCTTCTCGGCGCCAACATGACCTCAGAGAAACCTTTGATGAATGGAGAATTCAGTCTCGGCTGGCCCCGGCTGCTTCTCGGGTTTCTGAGATAGTCGATACCAGGATTCTACGAAATGCCCTTTCCCAATGGATTGGGAAGGCCCAAATGATCAGACAGGCAGAAGAGGTAGATCGTCATCGAATCCAACACAACGCGTGGATCTCCTGGAATGATACGCTTCGCTGCTTGGCTCTCCGGGCTCGAATTGACGAGCGGATGAAAATGGAGGCGATGTACAAATGGGTCCTGATGGAAAGATTTGAGCTGATGCGAAGAATACGAGAGCAACGCATCAAGCGGGAAGTATTTTCTCGATTTGTGACAAATACTCGGGATACTTACGCCCGTTTACTATTTCATGCTGAGGCCCATGAAGATCATCAGACTGAAAATCTGGTTCGATCCAAGTTTGCCATTTGGCGTGATCAATTGCAACTTCAGCGCGAGCGGGAATATCTAGCAGCCGAGTTCTATGCTCCACGACTCGCAGCTGAGTCTCTTACGATCTGGCGATCCAAACATAATCAAGTCGTCAAGATGGAAGGTTGGGCTCAAGATGCTCGATTCTATTTCTTGATGAAGAAGTTCATGAAGCAATGGCACCAAGCAAAAGTGGACTCTGGCAAACGACGGCGACAAGAGTCATATGCCAAAATCCGGCGTAAAATTAAGGTCAACCTCGCATCTAAGGCGCTGGCTACCTGGTTATCAAAAACTCGAGTCATAACGGAGATGGAGCAACACGCTGGTGATATTGATCGTGAAAAATTACTTGCCGACACGTCTGTGATATTCGTCCAATGGCATGACAAAACAACCAAGAGGATTCAGGACTGCCAGGATGCCGACGATTCTTATTTCCGACAGGTCGCGTTTGACCAGCTGATGCAAATGTCTGAAACCTTCATCATTCGACGTGAGATGGAAGACCAAGCGGACAATGTATACCGATTGCATGTTTTACGACTGGCCGCAGCTTCTCTTCGTAAGCTCAGCCTTCGTATCTTCCAGATAGGCAGTACCGTCGAGACCGCTGAAGCCATGCGGGAAAGAAATCTGAGGAAGCACTCAAGAAACATGTTCCACGATTGGGTGGATAACGCCCGATTGAAGCTAGAAGCTCGAGATTCTGCCGGTCCATCTTTCACTCCTGCGCGAATCTCAACATTTGGAAATGGTGATGGCGCCGGGTCAGCGATGTTCGACCCCTGGTATCAGGAGCAGGCGGAAACACCTTTCAAAATAAGCGACTTCACAGCAACATCTCAGGCAACATCGCAGGCAACATCCCATGATCCGATCTCTGCAAGTCCCCTGGCAACTCCCAATTTCACGACCTCTCCCTCCAAACGAGCCGCCCGGGCGCGAGCCCTCGCCCAAATGTCCACCACCCCCGCCACACCCCTACGCACACCCTTCGCAAGTCGACTACTTCGAGCTGGGACTACGACTGCTTTATCCACCTCTTCCAAACGGCCACGGACTGGGCGACGAAGTTCAGTGGGAAATAGCGTCCGTTTTGTGGATGAAGAGCCTCCCGAGTCTCCAACAGATGGTCGCAGATCAGCGAATCGACGAACTTGAAGCTCATGTTCGGTATATGACCACTTTGCAGCTATTCTAGCCTCATGTACATCAGCGATGGTTATACTTCTCTCTTCCCTCTCTCATCCCCTGTCGATAGGTGCGATCGTGTTTCATTCAATGCATCATCCGGCGCAGCATATAGCGAGTTCAAGGGTTTCTGGGTATTTGGTATATTGTTCTGTAATTTCGCCATGATTGAATGTGATACTCAAATTATGAAATGGACCTCTCTGAAAAAATACTCCACAAACTTGTTGAATAAGATGAGATATGTTTTGTCTACCAGAACACCTCGTCGATCGCCGACGTCAGATATAGGTAAATGCTTATCGGGGAGCTCTATAGCTATCCCCCAAATCACTTAGAGCGCGTTTAATATAAATTGCCCATATTAAGGAATGAAAATTATTGAATTCACATCATGTTTATATTCACACCGAGCTTCTTTGTGTTGTTGAAATCGAAGGTCATCAGTCACACCGAATGGAGGAGCGGAAGCGACATCATCAGGTCTCTGCCGCCTTGTCCCCTGCGTGTATCCAGACAACACTCAAACACCCGTCTACCTTTCGCTTTCCTTGAGACTCCATTTACTTCCAGGCAGAATAATCTTTGACCTGGCAATGTTATAACGTGTTTTCAAGCGTAAAAAGTGTCCACCCACCGAACCAACCGCCTCTATGCGAGCGGTACTGCCGGGGAGACCCCCAGCGAAGCTCCAGTCGTTTAGCACGGCGTTGTGGGATGGTCTTCGTGTTGTTGTTAGTACTCTCAACCCTTCCCGGATTTTCATTCCAGCTCCGCGTCTCGTTGAAAGCCCCCTGTTGCTGACCCTTGGCCCCGCGCGTTCTCCAATAGGCATACATCTCCGGCCACGCGCTGGTTATCCTCGGCGGTCCGCAAACGCTCCTCCAAACAATATATGTCGACGATACAGATACCCTCGAGGCCATAGCGTTTGACGAAGCATCTGGCAAGATTGCTGTTTGTGGGGGTCCTGATGTATTTGTGTACCAGCCATATGGGATCCAGGGCGAAACCCTCAAGGTGCGCATACAACCCCACTACTCGGAGCTTGGTCGACCAGCAATACAGTCTCGTAATGGCAGTCACAATTGATGTTGACGCACGGCTTGATTTAGTGGTCGCTGCTTTACACATTCCGCGCTCCCGACGACGACGAATCGATCTATACACTATCGTGGGGTTCCTCGAACGAGCTCCTGGTGGGCAACTCCCGTCTTGCCCTTTGGTTTATGAATGATGAACCGCGCCTTGTCTGGAAAAGAAAGCTTGCGACACCAGTGAAATTCGCGCAATTTTCTCCGGATTCGTCCTTGATTGTTACAGTGGGACAATATGACCGCTTGGTCAAAGTATGGAGACGACTTGCCTTCGGCGCAGACGAGGTCCGGTTCGAAAACTCGTATTTGCCTCATCCGAATGTTGTCACGGGGATACACTGGCGGCTACCTCGGCACCCCGAGCAATCTATGGATAATGTCCTGTATACATTTTGCGCTGATAACAAGATTCGAGTGTGGGCAGTGACGGACGTTCATGCGCTCTCTGCCTTGCAGTTTTGGGCAGAGATTGACATGGGTGAATCGGTTCAACCCAGGCATGCGTCGGATGAAGACCAAGGACCGCAACGGCGGTATGGGTTTATTTTGGATGGCCGTGACTTCTGTGCTGCGACCGAGCGTGCTGTTCAGAGGACCACAGGAAACAAGGAGAACCATGCGCTAGAACATGTCATCGAGGTTGCGAGCAAGGCTCCAGAGATCTGTGTTGTGATTGATGGCCAGGGCCACATGTCTGCTTGGGCCTTGGAAGATATCGGTTCTAAGGCAAAGACTAACCTGAGCGTCTTCAATGTCCTCCATGTTGAAGGCTTGGACTTGGGATTTTCATATGATCAGTCACCGCAAGAAGATTATGCTCAAATTCGTGCATTCCAAAATACAACATCGGACGACAAGCTCAGTGTTTTAGTTCATCATTTCGACGGTCGGATCGAGTGGTATGATTCTCAAGTGGATGTTTTGTTTGACCCTGCACCACGCACGAAAAGAATCACCCAAACGGCTTCTTGGTCTGGCCATACTGCCCCTGTGAAAAAGATTGTCCGGAATGCGATTGGAGATACACTGGTGTCACGTACGAATGAAAATAAAGCCACTGTATGGACACAGCAGCGTCGGGATGGAAGATCGATCTTAGCACACAAGAGTATCCTCCTCTCAGATGAGCATATTCATCGGACATGTGTGCTGGAGAACAGTAATCTTCTCGTCAATCTCCATCACAATGGTGTTTCCCTATGGGATTTCAGCTCAAATCATGCCAAGAAACTGGCCGCTTTGGAATTCACTCTGCCCGGCAAGCCACTATGTGTGCTGCCAATCCCCAGCACCCAAGCGACTCTAGGTGTTTTCTATGTAGCAACGATATGGGCAGACATGCACGGAATTGCGTGGGAGATACGGGGCCCGAGTCAGAAAGGTCATAAAGGGACCTTTGTAAATGACCATGACTATCAATTACGAGAATTTTGCACGTTTGACATGGGTTTGAAGGAGGATATTGCATATATCCACCCCGTGGATCCAGCAGGTCCTAAATCAGAAGCATCGGGATTCTTCGATTCTTTTTCTGCCGACATTGCTCTCTCTTACACTCACAGCGGAGTTGTGCGGACATGGACAGCCACGGTTGATCCAACGAATATGAAGGTCGATTGGCTACTTCAATCAACTGTCGATACGGGCATAATCAACCCATCTATGGCTAGTGGGAGCTCTATTCGCAAGGCAGCTCTGGTTGACGAGCGCCGGGCTCACCTCACAATCTGGGACACCAACAATGCTCAGCTGGAGTTCGAAGAACATTTTGCTTCACATGACATTATTCGGGATTTGGATTGGACATCGACTCCAGACAAGCAGTCCATCTTGGCCGTGGGATTCCCACACAAGGTTGTTCTCCTGTCTCAGCTCCGCTATGATTATCTAGACTCCCGACCCTCATGGACACAAGTTCGGGAGATCTGGATCCGAGATCTCACACCTCACCCTATAGGAGACTCTTGCTGGCTGAATAACGGCCATTTGGTCATTGGAGCTGGCAATCAACTGTTCGTTTATGACAAGGAAATTGATGTTGGAGACCGCCTAGTGTCTGAGCTTCGGATGCCGTCTCGAGGATTGGCGTCTGTCGATCTCTTCGACGTTGTCAGCCGGCTGAATGGCCCATTGCCTGTATTTCATCCACAGTACTTGGCACAGTGTATTCTGGCTGGGACGACTAGATTGGTCCATTTGATTCTCTTGAACCTACATCGCAAGCTGAAATTCTACACCGAGGGCGATGAACTGGATGGATTCTTGGAGATGCCCGTAGAATACCTCTACGAACAAAATGTAAGTGCGCATCGTATAATTTCTCTTCCCAATACTAACACAAGCCAGGATTCCCAACAAGGGTTCTCGAAAGAAATGCGCTCTTCCTACGTTGATTCCACCGACGAGGAATTTTCATCTGTCGTAGATGAAAATGCTGCAGCCGCGCTCAATGAGAGTCTAGCGCGGATCGCCTTGCCGCAATTGTCTAGTCATGAGCAATTCCGCTTGGCAGATACCATTGAATGCGTGGCTATGGTTGAGAAACACCGGCGCTCAATGGACGATAATGCAGCACGCTATCTCTTATTCTTCCGACAGCATATGCTACGCCGGACCCAAGGAGTCGCCAACAAAGATACTGTCTCTTGGCGAGAGATTGTTTGGGCTTACCATAGCAGTAGCCAAGATATCCTCACAGATCTTGTCTCTCGGCAATTCAATGCGAAATTGACTTGGAAGGCCGCCCGTGAAAGCGGTATCTTCATGTGGCTGTCAGACTCCGTAGCTGTGGTGCGTCTCCCATCTCATTTACTTGGCCACAAACTAACCGGTTGATTAGAAAGCGCAACTCGAAATCATCGCTCGATGTGAATACACCAAAACGGAAGAGAAAAACCCCATCGACTGCACACTGTATTATCTCGCTCTAGGAAAGAAGAACGTCCTTCAGGGTCTCTGGCGTATTGCACATTGGAACCGCGAACAAGCAGCAACCCAACGTTTGTTGGCGAACGATTTCAAGGAACCGCGATGGAGGACATCTGCGCTCAAGAATGCGTATGCCTTGCTTGGAAAACGACGATTTGGTAATTCGAAATTCATATTGTCTACGAATAAGCACTGCCAGCTAACATTCAACAGAGTATGCTGCATCGTTCTTCCTTCTCGCTGATCATCTGCGTGACGCTGCAAACGTCATCATGAACCAGATTGGTGATATCCAACTCGCGATCGCCATCACTCGAGCCTCAGAAGGGGACAACGGACCAGTTCTTCGGGAGATTCTAGAAGAAAGAGTATTGCCCGAGGCCGCTTCCGAGGGCAACCGCTGGATGGCCTCTTGGGCTTTCTGGATGCTTGGACGACGGGATATGGCAGTGCGGGCACTGATTGTGAGTACCTTTCTTCTCTCGTTAGCAGACCCCAACTAACTAGATTTAGTCGCCGGTCGAGACCCTACTATCACCAGCAACCCCAGTCACTCCGGGAAGCCCGGGACGAGTAAGCCTTCAATCCAAGTCATATCTCTCCAATGACCCTGCCTTGGTAGTATTATACCACCAACTCCGCGCAAAGACACTTCAAACCCTCAAAGGCGCCTCCAAAGTACGACCTAGAGAAGAATGGGAATTCGTTATTCGCAATGCCCGACTCTACGACCGTATGGGCTGCGATTTCCTCGCTCTCGATCTGGTACGCCATTGGGAGTTCCTCGGCGGACTGCCTACCCAGGACGCATTGACGCCTCATACCTCACTCGAGATGGATGAGAACGGAGTCGATTACCGGAAACTGCTTCGTCGGCGGAGCAGCCTTGTAGTTGCTGATATTCCGGTGCACCGAGCAGATGTCGTCGCTGAATCTACGCCTGGGGAAAAGCCGAAGAAAGAAGAACAGAAGCCGAACCCTAAGCCACCTACGATGTTTCATGAGCCGGATGCCAATTCGTTGCTGGACAGCTTTGGGTTCTAGGTTAGAGACTCATTTGTGTTGACGCTGTACTATTTCCTGGATAAAGATACATCCAGCTACTGTCAAGTTAGAACCTAGCACACATACACCGTAACTTCTCTAATGTCCAAACAGGTTATAGCAATCCTGCGAGGGAACTCATGTATATCACTTCAACAATTCACATGACTATGTCAACGGTAGGATGCGGTCCCCTAAGGATTATTAGGGCCTAGTATACTCCCAAAGTCCGTACATGCCGCAGTGACGGGTGTTCCGATTGTCCCTTTGATCTTCTGGCTTGGCGGCAAATTTATGTAATCCCTCAGGAGTACCTAACTAGGGTAGCAGTCTGATTCCTTACTGGAATTACAAGACATCCCAGGTGTCTAGGAGCTGAATTGTACAACATTCATTGTACACCAGCGTTATCCACCATCTTTATTCTGATATTGCCTTTGAAAAGCCAAGGGGGAGCTTAATCAAAGACCAACTCGGGTAAGTGGATGCTGTCCACACAGCATGGGCCTTGATCCTTGCAGAAGGTTGCAGATGATGGGGGATAGGGAGGCATGATGTCAGTCAATATCTGAAAATCAGTCTCACAAAACAGATCGTATTTGATTATACTTCGATCCCTATACGGAGTCTAACGAACGTCTGTGTGGTGCTTATCGTACCCCGACAATGATTAACGATGTCTAGTGGCAGGAGAATGCTACACAGAAGCGGTCAAAATGCGTGGAGACGAATCTAGGAAGCTGCAGTGGAAAAATCTGCAGAAGATTTTGGCTGACAATTGTGCTGAACCCCATTGAGCTCACTGGTTGCACTACAGCCCGTAGCGCGCTTTAGCTACTCAAGTGGCCCCAGATGGCTGCAGATGGGCTCCAGATAGCCTGACGGGTTGCCTATCCAGGTGCGATCGGCAGCACTAATCTGCGCTATTACATCGCGATCGCGCCGATCCTTCAGCTCGCCAAACTTCTGGTGAACGATGGAGACTTAGGCCGAGCGCGAGATCCCTCTTGCGCCAATGACCCAGGTCGCCTTGATCTGCCGATCGGAAAACTATGCAGACTTTCATGCAGACTAAAGTTGAGAGCTGATGCTATAAGGCTCCCCCGCCCACTGGGAGTTGAGAATTCTTCTCCTTCTGAGTTTGGATACTTCTTTTTGTATACTAGTGATACCCCCCCATCCTTTTTTTCCCAGCGACAATGCCTACCAAAATCCCAGGACCACCCGGAATTCCCCTCTTGGGTAATGTCTTTGACGTAAATCCCAATGAGACATGGAACTCGCTCAACAAGTTGGCCAAGCAATTTGGTATGCTAGCAACCCGTCTACGAAGCTCGGAAACACCCAGCCCTAACGAGTAATTACGAATTTTTTAGGCTCCATCTTCAAGATTAATGCTCTCGGGCATGAGATTGTATTCATCGGCAGTGTCGCTCTGTTGGAAGAAATTTGCGACCAGACCCGATTCCGCAAGTGTGTTACAGGACCAGTAGTCGAAATCCGATATGCCGTGCACGACAGTCTGTTCACAGCATACGACAACGAGAAGAGCTGGGGTATCGCCCACCGGATCATGATGCCTCATCTTACGCAATCTGCGACCGACAACCTTTTTGGCGACATGGCAGAGGTCATCCCGGACCTGACCAAAAAGTGGAGCGCAGGAAATAAGACTCGCACTCTGCTCACCAAAGACCTGGACCGTCTCCTGCTTGCATCCTGCATGCAATCATTCTTCAACCAGCGTGTCCACGTGCTTGAAGGCGTTGAACCGCCCATGATCAACGCCATGGACGGCGCCACCATGGAGGCGATGAAGCGACCCACCCGCCCTAAGTTCCTAAACTGGCTGTATCAGCGCAAATTCGAAAAAGACACGAAGACGATGCGTGGGTTCGCTGCGCAGGTGATCAAGACCCGAAAAGAGCAGCCAGAGACCGCCCGCAAAGACATCCTAGATGCGATGCTAAACGGCGCCGACCCGGAGAGCGGCGAGAAGCTCACCGAGTCACAGGTTATCGATGAGATCATCTCCATCTTCATCGGTGCCGCCACAGCACCCAATCTCGTCTCTTACGCCCTATACTACCTGATGGAGAACCCGAACGAGCTAACCAAGGCGCAAGAGGAGATCGACCGTGTGGTTGGCGACGGCAATATCGACCTAGAGCACCTGCAGAGCCTCAATTATGTCGAGGCCATCCTGCGCGAGTCGCTCCGTCTTTCTGCTACCGCACCAGGCTTCAACATCGAGCCCATTCCCTCCAACGATAAGAGCCCTGTCCTTCTCGCCGGTGGCGAGTACCAAATCGCTCATAACCAGCCCATGATCGCGGTCTTGAGTCAGGTCAACCGCGATCCGGCTGTCTTCGAGGACCCCGAGGCCTTCAAGCCCGAGCGTGTCTTGGGTGAGAAGTGGGATCAGCTCCCTGCTGCCGCGAAGAAGGGCTTCGGTAACGGCAAGCGTGAGTGCATTGGCAAGCTCTGGGCTTGGCGATGGTCGTTCTTCACTCTCGCCAGCATTATTAAGGAGACCACATTTGAGCTGGCGGATCCCAAGTACAAACTTGAGTCGAACGGCGCTTTCAGTATCAAGCCGCTTGAGTTCTACGGTCTTGTAAGCGCACGGAAGTAATTTTGGAATTGATCTTTTGTTTGGGATTCAGCGGATATGAAGTCAGTAATGAATTTGTCGATATACTCCAATTTTATCATGAACAGATCTCAGAATGGGACGATCTTAACTCTTTTCTTTCTTAATTTTTTTCTTTCTATCTTTCTGAATGGCACTGTTCCTGAAGATGCTATAGTGTGTGGTGGCTGAACTGTGGGTGATTGCGTACACAACGCTCACGTCACCCACGTTAACGCCACGCGGACATCTGAGACTACCCATTAATGAGTAAGACCTAGATCTCTAGGTATAATAAAATATAACTAAAATTCTCTAATGGCAAAAGTATTTGAATGAATGTGTTGTATTGTATAGGGAAATAAAATATCCAAAAAAAGGACCAGCCTATAAGTCTCTATATTGACATAGAAGTAGAAACAGTTCCAGCTGGGTATAGATCATCCTCCGAAACAGAATGACTCTAGAGTCCTATCTTCAAAATCATATCAAAACCAAATCTTAGAAGAGATTTATGCGCTGTAATCGATGGTAACAGCCAGACGGACAGGACCAGCGCCCAAGTTGGCACCGATGCCACCGATGTCGGTCTCAGCAGAGGTGTAAGCGTTGTCGACAACACCGGCATCCTGGGTGATAGAAGAGCAAACAGAGCCAAGGGCATCACAGATCTTCATACCGGAGATGGACATGCCAGCATTCTGCGCAGAGATAGCAGACACATCGAATCCAGACCAGCCGTTGTTGGTGGTGGAACCGAAGTCGAACTCGCCCCAGGTGGAAGCGTAGCCACCCATAGAATCAGTGGGGATGGTAGAGCCTGAGGCGGCGGCGAAGCCACCATTGGTATCCTCGTCAAAGGCAACGTACTTGGTCTCGCCGGGGGCAAGAGTGAAAGTGTTACAGGCGTTGCCGAACCAGCCGGTCATCTTGCCATCGGGGCCATACTTGTTGAAGATGGCGACGGTCCAGTCATCGGTGTTGTGGCCTGTGAACTGCGCAACGTACTTGTAGTTGCTGGCAGAGGCGGCGTCAACGACGATGATGTTGCTGCCGTAGGGGTTGCCGACGTTGCCGGCGTAGGTTTCGCCTGAGCCTGATGAGGTGGTGGAGCCGCCGAAACCGGCGGTCGAGTATGAGCCGCTGGAGGGAGTGGAGGTCCAGTCACCACCGGAGGTACCGGTAGCAATGGCCTGGCGGCGCTCGAAGGTTGACTGTCTGGCGAAAGTGCTGCTAGTGAGGGCAGCTGCCAGCAGGAGGATAGACTTGGTGAATTGCATCTTGGAGGTTGTGTTGTGTTGGGTCACAAAAGAAGGTAAATATCAATGTAGATATAAACGAATGTGATATGTGGTTCGATTGCAAGGACAGTAGTGAATGAATGAATGAATGAACGGTGTTATCAAAAAGGAATGTGATAGTTTGAAGCAAGAAACCGGAAAGGAAGATCAAGGACAGCTATATATACCTTTCAAAACTGACAAAATCTTCTTCCGCCACGCTTGCCTCGTAAGTCGACAAAGGTTGAACCGCAAAGTGCCGGGTACCTGGCTCCATACCAGCGAACCACTGGGGGGCGCACATACGTCAAACCGCCTAAGAGGCCTCGTACACCATGGAAGATTCCACAAAGGCCGAAGCCCAGGGCCGTGGGCTTGACATGTGGTAACTTTGGGTCAGTGGATATTCGGCTAAATGTAAGCAGTGCCATTGGAGATGGAATGAAGTTGGATCAACTTCCATGGTTCGAGCAGTAGAAGATATAGCTTGATTGGATCCACATTATAGATTCAAGCCACCAGTCAATCTAGATTTCTCGATTCTTTGGAACGTCCCTCATTGGTGGAGTGGACACTGTGGGTCTGATCATCCATTGTCTTTGGATGAATCCCGGAGTCAAGTCAGGGTGGAAGCCACAATTTAGGCAGGGGAGGCGTTGGAAGTTCCAAGTTGTATCCTTTGGGTCCAACTCCAGAATGATGCCCTAATGTGGGACCGACAGGGTTCAGATCGTTTTAGTCCCGGGCTAAAGGCAACGAAACATCAGGAACTCAGATCCGGGATAATTAGAACTGTGGCCGCTGCATTGTCAAGATGTATTGTCAAGCTTGATAGCAGTTAAACACATGATACACTACTCCAGTACGAGGGATATCCTATCACCTGCTCCCTGAGAGGTCTCCGAAGTCAATTGCTGATAGGATTTCGTGGAATTTTGTGTCTCCGTGGACACCGATACAGTGGTCCAGGAGAAGATGTAATATGATTGGCTGACAATGTGGAACAGATCAACCAATCATAGTACAGTATCTGGTCTTGTCAGGGAATGGGCTGCTCTGTGGCCAATCACCGCTTACCCCTGCTCTATGTCTAGAGACGATCCACGGTTCACTACTTTGTGCCTTGAAGTCTCTTCAAGACCTGTGCGCTTTCTCTTAGCAAAGTCCGCAATTCAGACTTGGCTCCTGCTTCACATGGAAGCCATCGGCTAAATCTCTTAGCACGCCACCATCGTCCAGCGGCTTAGATTTCCCCTAGTGGATCGTTTGATTCTTTTGGTCATTACACAGCCTTCCAATAAAGCGCCACTGCCCAGACGTAAAGCAAAAGGACACGGAGGCGAAATAAAGATATCAGTGTTTGAAAAGAAAATCATGGAGGAGATTCGGTCTTCCTCGGGGCTAATGTTGCAATCGCCCCAAATGCGGCAACGGGCGATGGCATGTTGTATCAGGTTCCCTGTTTCGGAATGAACAAAGATTTATCTTTTCTAGCGCTAGAAACGGTCGAAATTAAGTTAGACGCTACGTAGAACAAAGGCCCCGTAAAGTGCTTAGCATTATGAGACTTGGGTAAAACTGTGGATTTCTAAGACAAAAGACAAGTCTAGACATGCAGATGGGCTAGAACGATCTGAAAGAAGTAGGCTAGGCCTCGCAATGCTCATTCAAAACTTAGATTTCCGGAGACGCTTTCCCTACTTTTGAAAATGCAGTACCTACGGCCTTGTTCCTGGTGACTCTGGCATTCACCGCCACAAGGTGTTCACTACGGAGTACATACCAAGATGATGCTGCATTTTATGTACCGACGACACCCATGCTAGAAAAATTATAGCATGTATTCTGTTCCGCAGCCCAAAAATAAAAGAATTGTCACACAGAGCCAGTAATACTCAGTCAAGTCCGGTGTTTATATGTCTGTTTTATCAGGCCTTTAGTGTACGATGACATCACGTGTAGACACCACTGTACATGTTGTATTCCATTTGATCATAGAGCCAATCAAACAATATCCAAATCCTCCGACCGTCCCACCATAATGCAGGATTTGGCCAGTCGAACATACGAACACAGCAACTACAGGGATGTGTACGTTGTATAAATCTCGACGAAGCACAATTTACATAATGAATAAGTGATCTTTATACTGGTAAGTTGAATGCATTCAAGTCTGACTCCGAGTCTCACAAGGATATGACCGAGCAGAAGTATATATGTTGTCCACAAATACTACTAAGTCCATTGCTTGGATTTCCGGATCGGTAAACACGCTGGCTTTAGGCTCCCAGCCCACCGAGATTTTATCACGATTCTCTTATATTCATCTGATAACAAGATTCATACCTGGCGGTTCAATGGAAAATCAGAGCACTACATACAACAATGTACTGGATAATGCCAGGCACTTTGAGGCCATTCCATTTCCGTTTTGCTCACCTCTTGCCGCTTTTTGATCACTGAGAAACTGCCCCTGGCCCGTTGAACCCCGGGGCCTCCCGGGTGCCCGTTCACGCATTACATAATCAAAAGTGATCTGCTCAGAATCACCTGATCATCACCTAAGGACCCCTGATGCTCACTGAGTGCTAAGTGCAGGGGTGAGCGGCCTGGATGCTTAATGCTCCAATAAAATGCGTCTCAAACGGCCCATATCTAGTCTAAGTGGGTCTTGATGACCGCGCTTAGGTTACATACTTCCCTTAACTCCGGTCGCTGACGCAAGAGTGTTACCACAGTACGGAGTACATGACAGCTAAATTATAGAACATTTCAATAATATTTCTCTTCGCAAATCTTTCGAGATCGCCTTGCTTCTTCTAACACTGGCAACAATGGCGACAAAAGTGATCGTTGTGACTGGAAGTGCCTCGGGGATGGGACTCGCAACAGCTACTAGGCTTGCTAGTAGTGGAGTCCATCTTGCTCTATGGGATATCAACAGCAGCAAGCTTGAAGAAATTGCAAAGTCCTTCAAATCCCAATATTCAGGGAAGATCTTGGCTCAAACCGTTGACGTGTCAGATCGCTCTGCTGTCAAGGCCGCCTTGATAGAGGCACAAAATTCCATCGGGGCCATCAATGGGATTGCGAACTTCGCAGGGACGGGCGGTCGGCAATTAGGAGTAGAACCAATTTGGGAAACAAGCCCTGAGGAGTTTGATTTTATTATCAACCTGAATATCAAGGGTCTTTTCAACTTATTAGGCGAAGCTTTGACCCCTGGGTTCCTTGGTGATCTGAAAAGTGTTGTGCATATTTCGAGCATGTTTAGTACCAGAGGCTACCAGAACGGGGCAGTCTTCGCTGCCAGCAAGCATGCTGCATTGGGGATGGTCAAAAGTGCAGCTCTCGAGGTCGGATCAAGGGGTATCAGAGTGAATTGTGTTCTACCGTGTGTTTTCCTACCGTCTTACCCTAATTCGTGATGAAGAAAACTGACAGCTTTCATAGAGGAGCTATTGAGACCCCTATGTTTCATGAAGTCATAGACAACGCTGGTCTATCTTCCTCCGCATCGAATACACCGATTCCCAGGCCTGGTCAACCAGAGGAAGTCGCAAGTGTCACGAAATTCTTACTTGGTGATCAAAGCAGTTACGTGACTGGAGCTGCGTGGAATGTGGATGGGGGTGCAAATGCTTAATTGCGTCTGTTGTCTGATTGTTTCATAAGGATACATTGCTGGAGGTGATTTGATCATTGCCTCTCGTTCAATGAGCGGCATAAACTGCAGGATGTAGGTCAATCGACTACTGAACTAGTAAGGACTTCAATTATTCTTCGAATGTCGCAAAACCTTGGAAAACCATCAATTTCTTGCTGCAATAGTTAGTGATTTCTTCTATCGAATGGCATTCTCGACTGTTATCTTCTTGGGCTTATGCCTCATCAGTCACAGCTTTGTGCCACATGCTGCCCACAGTGCTCTCAATTCCAATGACGAAGCGAGTCATAATTATCTGACTCCAGACGGTGTATATCAAGACGAACACCTAAACCCCCAACGGAAGACAGATGACTGCGAGCGACCACTTTAAATCTAGCGATATGAACGACTTGCGATGAACAGTCGTCTCATGCAGTGAAGCCCCATCCTACAGACACAGGCTGTTGTGCGATATGTAACTCTTGGAATGTTCAGTAAAAAAGGCAACACGTGCTCCGGCGCTGACGTCGAATCGGGCCGATCCAGTGCCAAGCGCAGTGACGATTATCGGGCCAACTCCGAGAATACCAACACACGCCACAGCTTTGACTGCAATTCCGGAGAACTGTAGTGTATCCCAGAGGGCAAACGGGTCTATCCCCACTTTCCCAGCCCCTTGAATAAATGCCCCGGTCACCCCCTCCCTCGATCATTGTTCTACGTACTCCGCATCTAGCACTGTCTCAAAGATGGCATCTCAGCTTTCCTCGCTAGCTACGCTGCTACTCCTAGGATCCTTCCTAGCGCCAGTCAACTCAAGTGATATTCCTGCTCAAGCCCAATTGATTGACCAAAGAGTCTTCAATGTCCTCGATACGACTCAGCCCCCGAGCGAATTCAATGCGAAGAGTGTATGCGATTTCTCATGCAGTCTTCAGTAACACATCGTACTAATCCATACATAGCTGTTTGTGCCTCCAGGCTCGACAGGAGACAGTCTAGCTCAGCAACCTTTCCATGTATACGACAAAGAATTTCTCAAGATCCTTGGGGAAGCTCCAACTTTAACCCGGATCGCACACTCGCCCAAGGACCCCTTATTCCATGAGGCGGTTGTATGGTATGTATTCAAGACACAAAATCTAGTACAAGCCAAGGTTAGATAGTATCTGACTTGAGCTTCCAGGTCCAAGGAAACGGACGAGGTGTTTTTCGTCCAAAATGCAGGCTCTAAGAACGCCAGCACCGGTCTGGAAAAGTCGGCGATCATTGAGAAGATCTCTCTTGCAGACGCTGCCGCTGTCTCCCAAAAATCAGATGCTGTCGGCCTTGTTGATGTAGCCACAGTTCCTTCATCGCCAATGGTTCTCAATCCAAACGGTTAGCATTCAACTCTTCTTACGAGTCCAAGGCAACTAACAGTGCTTCAGGGGGTACCAATTACCGGGGACAGATCATCTTCGCCGGTGAGGGTCAAGGCGATAATGAACCGCCTGCTTTGTGGGTTATGAACCCAAAAAGTCCATTTAACACCACAGGTCAGTGCATACTAGCTTTCTGGATTTCGGGAGCTAACAAACTGATCTACAGTTATTCTTAACAACTACTTCGGCCGCCAATTCAACTCTCTGAACGATGTGGCTATTCACCCTGAAAACAAAGATATCTACTTCACAGACACGATCTACGGCTATGTACAGGACTTTCGCCCTGCCCCCGGTCTGCAGGATCAAGTCTACCGGTTCAACCCCGATACAGGTGCTGTGACAGTTGTTGCGGATGGATTCGACCATCCCAATGGTAGGAAATCAAGGAAGTGTTCAGGCTGAAAAGGGAAAGTGCAACTAACATTGTACCAGGCCTCACTTTCTCTCCAAATGGCAAGTACGCATATGTCGCCGATACCGGAATCGATAGCGGCTTTTTCGGTTTCGACTTCACCCGCCCTGCTTCTATGTATGTACTGTCGTTTCTAATATTCCCTTGTTTGGACTTGAAGCTGATTATGCGATTTGTGTTGCAGCTACCGATTTGATGTGAAAGCGGACGGCACCTTCGAAAATCGCAAGACCTTTGCCTTTGTTCACTCTGGTGCACCTGATGGTAAGTCAAGCAAGTTGCACTTCATATGCCGTTGGGACTAATTTCTTCAAAAGGCATCCACTGTGATTCATGGGGTAACGTATATGCCGGCTGTGGCGATGGTGTCCATGTCTGGAATCCATCTGGCAAACTCATCGGCAAGATCTATCTTGGATCTGGGACGGCGAATTTCAATTTTGCTGGAAAGGGAAGAATGGTCATCTGCGCTGAGACAGACCTTTACTACGCTACGTTAGCCGCAGCTGGGAGTTACGTCGACAGTGAGATGTAAGGACCCGCGGACCAGTTTTGGTTTTCTATATTCCGGGTTTTGTCTTCCACATAAAACCAATGTTGGGTGATTTCACAGAAGTGGCCTGTCATCTTGACATATGCCAGATATGGACTAGTTCGGCGCACTACATATTTAAATATCATAAAGAAAGTGAGAGGGCATGGGGTTTCTCTCGGGTATTTACTCCACCTGAACACCGTGCACGCCATTACCGATATGTCGTCTGCGATGGTAGTTCATGGACCATATTTTCATCTCGACCACCAAGCTCTTGAGGAGGCTTGTTTTCGTTTCGGCCTGCAAGCTCTTGTGGTCGTTCGGGGCCTTTATTGTAGTACTCGACGATATTCGACCCGGGGACACTCGCGGGAAGACTTGACCCGGGAACACTCGATCCAGGAGCACTGGACATCAGAGGGCTTGGATCCGTAGGTGTCCCTATGCTCTTCTTTGCTCGGGTTCGGCGACGGAGTACGAACCAGAGTAGACCAACCAGGATGGCCAGCCCAGCTACGCCGCCAACAACCCCGCCAGCAATGGCTCCGGTATTGGACGAGGACGAAGACGAACTTGCAGAGTTGGTAGTGGAATGTGAAGATTGCGTAATACTTGCAGTGGCCGTGATGCCGGACGTTGTACTGGCTATTGTTGTCGATGGCGTGGGTGTAGAGGTAGTGCCTGTAGGTGAAGGATTAGAGAGCCACCTCGACGAGTCTATGGCTTTGTATGACAGGTTCATGTCACCGGGGTATTACATACCATGATACCAGATTTTCAAGAGACTCAGACTATTATCCAAGGTGGATATGTTGTCTGTGCAGCCGACATATCCATTCTTTTTCTGGAAAGCCGATGTGCCTTCCGCACAACAAAACCAATTATTGGCCTTGTAGACATTTGCAGTGCTATTTGCACAATGCGTGTTATTGACCAGTTCGGAGCAGTCTGCGTCTGATGGACAGCATTTCACGTTATCTTGGCCGGCTGGACATTTTGTGCCACCGGGGCAACAGGCGTGGAAAGGTTCCCAGGTTTGGCCGCAATCTTCTTCGGTGGTGAGACAAGAGCCATTTCTGCGGACAGAGAGCCCATATGGGCTACTCAAGGTATCCGACATTTGAACACAGATAATAGGGTGAGAGCAGAGAACCTGGAAGGTACAGAAAGTGGGAGAGTGTCAAAGCCTTTTGAAAGTACAGGAACAGCGGCTGAACCAGAGGGCCGATGCTTATATTAGACTGTTCCTTGGAAGGTACCTAGGTAAGGCTGTACCGGTCTGTGTCGAGTTCTAACTTTCCAATGTCAATAGACGTCAAATGAAAGGGGCCATACCGCTTACTAGCGTATACCAACGGGTTAGAGAGTCGGGCCATTTTCAATTCAGCTGCAATGTTTCATACCTATGTTGGAAGATCATGCGGAAAATAATAACTCATTTGTTACATATACACTTTGCAGCTGTTTTGCGAGTGAAATCTGATAATCATCTGGCAAAGAACCAGCTGTCTAGGCAAGTAAGGTATTTACAAAACTGCAGGCAGTGGAGACCTTATGCTTTAATCGGGCATGATTGACAGACAACACCCTCGTGTGTACAAGGTTCCCGCTAAGACGCGAGCACAGCCGAGCCCACATGTTGACAAATAATCATGGTAAAATTCCCATCACTGTATATTGTACATCGTAGTAGAGATGAAACCCCAAATTACCCGGTCTCTCTTATGGTGATATGGCTACTTCGACATGCGTTTATCTTCGCCCCGCTATCTCCGCTATATTCAGAAGTTGATTATTGTTCCATTGCCTAGTATGTTTGTAGATTGAGGCTCTGATTATACTCGAATTTTGTACGGTATGATAACTTCTATACTACATCGCTCCTCTTTTCTGTGCTTTCCCTCTCATTTTCCTCTGTCGGGTTACCAGATAGGTTTCAGCGAGGCCCTTGGTGTGGTCAAAGCCGTGAAGTTATATTATCTGGCTGACGCTCCAGAGCTGAACCTAAAACTTGCCCACGTATGCACTATGTAGGTCAGGGCGTCATGGTGCATATCCTGTAACCTATAATCTCCGAGAGAAGTTGGTACTTATTTGACCTGAACAATGTCTATAATCTCCATTGGATGCTAGTAGGATGATTGGCAATCATTTGGTTCAGGTGGTTCTTAGAAGGAAGCAGTCGCTGAAGAGCAGACTCTTACCATGATCAGATTACCAGACTTGATAGACATACTAGTACGAATCACACACATGAAACAACAGAGTTCTCTAGGTTGGCTCCATGAAAAATATTCAGGATTCCAACATCATGCTGAAAACTCATGTTTCGATTATACAACGATGCCCTTGTGGCGCCATTAAAAAGAATGATTGCATTTCCATGTCGTCGGCTGTCATTCCTTCCTTCGTGGAAGGTCGAGCATTGGGCAAGGCTCGGAAGAAAAGCGCTGTGGCTAGGCGGAGCTCCATTCGAGCTAGGTGCATACCCAAACAGACTATAAAATTAGCTCTATTGGTGACCCAACCTATGGAAAAGATCGAAGGACTTACTCCTTGATCCACCACCAAATGGTAAAGAAGCATCCCTCATCTCTTTCGTGGGATTTTCCCATCTTTCGGGTATGAAACTATTCTCTTAGCTAACTCCCAGTGTTGACACTACTGGTATTGAAACTCACTTATCTGGATCTGGAAAGATAGCAGGGTCTCGATGGAGACTATAAGCCTGTGTTGAGACCGTGATTCCTCCTGGCACATTATATCCGTTGAACTGAGCACCTTCTGGTGGTACTAGTCGAGGCAAACCAAACGGAACAGCCGTATACAACCGCAAAGTCTCGTTGATGATCTTATTGAGGTATGGTAGATCTCTGAGGGCTTTATCCGTGACAGGCTCAGGAATAGTAGCCAACTCGGCAACAAGCTTCTCTCTCACTCGGCTGTCTCGACAGACGGAGTATGTAAGATAGGTCATTGTAACAGCTGTAGTGTCACTTCCTGCAACAATGTATCCCTGGGCCTCTTGTATAATATCTGAGTCCGACAGGCCACTCTTTTCATCAAAGAGTTTTGTGAACAGAGTTGGCTTTGGGTCGGATGGGTTTTGGGAGACGATTTTCTTGTAGCGCTCAATAGACTGCATGGCATACATCTTGAGTCCAATCTGTGCTTCCGCTGCGTTCCTCATCACCGTTATTGGACCGTATCTTGCAATCTTCACTAAAAATGGGAATGTTATTCTAATGGCTTGTAGTGATATCAGCCTTTCCATGTCAAGGATGTATTGGTTTTTCTATTTTCTTAATCAGTATATAGGAATGGTACTTATCAAACCCATGCCTTTAACGCACCTTGCCGGTCTCAAGCATTCGAAATGACTCTCCAAATGTGAGTTCACCGATAATGTCTGTGGCCATAAACAGCCACCATTTGAACACATCAGTAGCACCACTGTCCGTCAAATCCATTTTGATTTTGTTGACAGCTAGTCGAACATTATTCACGATCAGTGGCTCCAGTCGAGTCAGCGAAGAGTCGGAGATAGGTGATGCCAAGAGACGCCGGTGGAGGGCATGAAACTGTCTATCGTTGGTTGAAAACATGCTTTGCACATTGCCCGTGACCAGTTGGCGATAGAAGACAGTTTTGTTAAATCGGCTATTGGTTTTGTGGATCTCCTTGACGGCACTTGTGTCGCATACATCGATTTGATCTGGGCTGATTCGTACAATAGGGCCTATTTCAATGTCAGGTATCTTTTCTTTTGATAACACTAATTGCCAGCACCACCTACCATATTTTTCATGAAGCTGGTGGACGTATATTGGTATCTTCCCATTTAACCAGTTGTATGTCCAAATGGCTCCTGTCCATTTCGATATCTCGGGTCCGGGAATATGAGACAGAGGGTTTGTGAGTCGGCGGTAGATAGTGCTCTATTTGTCGCATTTTAGTAAGGAAGTAACGGTCCCATATGAGGGGTTTTTTTGTTTAACCTACTAGAAGAGCAGCACAGAGAATGAAGATTAGCCAGTGGCTAATCAGAAAGGAGGTAAATGATATTCCAGGCTCCATTATGTACCTCGGGGTTGTTGCGGATATAAATCAAGCAACCATTACTAGGCTGTTAATTTATATTGTCGATTCCTTAGTGGAACAATGAGGTCAGAGAGTGTTCCAAAGTCATATCTGCAGTCCTATGTAGCACGGTAACAGATCGGAAGGCAAGCAAATGAGCCGATAGGTAGAGACGTGTTAGAGCAAAGTAGGCAAATGTTTTGAACGGATGCGAGAGAGGCTTTATTGCCGACTTCCGACATTGTACTCGCCTTGTAATTGCTACATAGTTGAACTCTATAGGATTGAGTAACAACATACTCATGTCGTGTCTTACCCAGTTAGATCATGGCCGTTTCAAAATCAGATATGGCATTGCTTGTAAAGGAACCTAACGTAATTCTCGCTTATGATGTAGTTCGTTCAATCATGGGGATCGCTTGAATGATATTTGAGCTCAAAATAGAAAAAAGATGTGCTTCATGAACGCAGGTGTTGATCTTAGACATTTCGGTCAACAGGAGAAGCTTATTTGGACAATCGAAAGTGTTCGGAGAGAGTTTCCTCGGAGGAATGATAATTGGACAACCCAACAGGTGATTGGTTTTAGTTATGGTCCCTCTCCTGAGGATTGGTGTACATGGCTGTCTGAAGGATCTGATTCATTTGCAGGGGACTTTTGGGACCTGGTTGAGCGGCCGGTTGAGTGGATGCCAAGCGAGTGGCCCGACAATCAATGATCGGGACTTGCCTTGGGTCTATAGTCGCATATTTGCATAGTGATTTTTATCGAAGGGGGCCTTGATTTTGCTGTTTGGGCTGCCTACAAGGAACATGCCAGGAGATTCTATAATTTTGTTACGGTATCCCACAGCAAGAAACTGATTTGATGGGAAGAATTAAGCAGGAATCCCCAAGAACGTAATCAAATGAGGATAGGGCGTTCCAAGATGGGTTCGGAAAGTACGACGCTATGAAAGCAACATTTCCTACATTTTCCATTATCTGACTTGTCAATCAGCAAAATCAACAAAGTTGATGGTTCATCCTCTACAGGCTGCTTTATCTTAATCAATTGGTAGCGAATATATGTGGTGCATCCAAACCTACGTGAGTACACATACTTCAACGTCACTTGGAACGAGCTGGCTAGGTGAACAAGTTATCAATATATATTTGGATTGTTAAAGCCCACCTACAGTTGTGTGTATGTTATAACTATTTGAAATGTAATAGGAACCAGTGTAGAACCCCACGTGCTATCCAAGACACAGAACCTTGGAAGTTATCCAGCCCTAATTACAGTTGCAAAAATGAAGCAAATTTGGAGAAAAAATGAATGCATGTACCCGGCCCAAAGTTGGCCCACCCATGAGGTATTCTAGATGGAAGTAGGCTCAACCGCAGGCCGGGGAGCTGGGTATGTATTTTTGTATGTAAGATATGCCACCTTAAGTGATTTTTGGTCGCTTGTTCGTGAAGCCGGAATCTGGACGAGATCGCTTTCGCTCCATTGCCTCCATTTCGGCCCTCATAATTCTCTCTTGCTCAGTCATCTTCTTGGGAGCCGCGAAAATGGATCCCTTCTTCCCGGCCAAAGGGTTCTTCTTAGCCATAGCAAAGACGTTCTTCGGCTTCTGTGCGCCCATTGACATCGAAATTTTAACTGGTGCGGCAGGCGCAGGCGGAGCGGGAGAGTCGGTGTTTCCTCTTGATGCATCTGCGTCTTCCAATGACACTGCTGTCTTTTCTGTTGCAGGAGGCGAGGCAGGCTTCGTGTCTGCCTTCTTCGAGCCAAGTCCCAGATTCAAGGTCATCTTTTCTCCTTCCTTCCTTTGTAACAATCTTGCCTCAGGATCTGCGTCTGCACTGGTCGTAGCGTTAGCCATCGCGGCTTGTTGGGCTCGCTTGATCTGGTCCTGGATCAAGCGTTGTTCTCGTTCTTCGTCTCCTTTCTCCTGGCGTTCTTTCTTTAAAATAGCCTCCCGCCGGCGAAGTGTGTCTGGGCTGTTATCAATCCACGCTATAACCAGGCCCTTTTCGGTTTCCTCGACCCGGCATTTTCCCTCCCGACCTAGATAGGCTGCAAATTGTGATAGACTTTTCCATTCTGCGTTCAAGGTTAGCATTCAGGCTCGTCCTCGCTTCCTCGATCTTCTCCTTTCCATTGGGACATACCTGTACTGTTCATGTGAATGTGCTATGAAAGTTAGCCATAATCCGTAGAAACGAGTGAAATACCAGAGACATACCTGCTTATCGGCCACAATCTGATTATAAAAGTGGTTGACGTTGATGGGTTTAGTTCCGTGCGTGGTTCTGAGGGTATCGAGGAAAGTTCGCTCAAATTCGCGACTAAACTCTCTGATGTGCTTGCGCGGGTCTTCCCCGATGATCATCATTTGTCGGACTAATACAAAGTTAGCTGGTGGCCAGAATATAGAGGATGGAACTTCCATACCGTGACCCTCAGTCATAGTATGACATTTGAAACCGTTTTCATCGCGACATTGCTTCTCGCATGCCTGGCAATACCATCGTAGGCGACCCAGTCCTTTGCTTTTGATCTTGTTGCCGATGGCTTTTGTGGTGCCAGCCTCCGCGCGGCCCATTTTTATGTCGTTAAATGAAGTTGAGAGAGTCTTTCAAAGGAGGCTATAGCAGGGGAAAGCTGCGCAGGGTCAAGATATCAAAAAGTTGAGGTAGGAGAGAAGTACTCGAAGTAAGTAGCGAGAGAAGCTTGGAGGTGGCGCAGATCGCGATAAGCCGCTTTATTACATAACGCATCACATGACAAGCCGATCGAGGCCTAGCCCCCTGAAGTTTGATTGGTTAGTTGATTCTTAAGTTTTATGTTTATGTTTAGGTATAGTACGAATGAATACTTGTAGGTATGGACTAGAAGCTGAGGACCTAGGTTCATTGAGTATTCTGACAAAAATTAGAAGAAAAAAAAACGCCCCCAATTCCTACGCCTGCATCCTGAGATCGCTTTTTTACTTAGGATCATAGCGTGCATAAAACAAGAAAGAGATGTTTCGAAGACAAACCAGCAAACTTCGCCTTGGCAAAGGCCTTCAAAGGCGGAAGAAGAATTGTGCGATAGAACATTATGAGTATCAAAGCACCGAGTCTGCAGTTACAGGATGTATTCATGGATTGCAGACGGCCCGCTCTCGTTGTACTCAACCCGGCTCATGTAGCCCTTGCTGAGGCCCTGGTCGATGACAAAGAAAACCTTGGCAGCCATCTGAGTGCCGAGGAAAACGGCCTCTTCCATTCCGTGGCCACCTTGAGATGTGCCGGGCGCACCCGGGTTACCCCCAGCATTGCCACTGCTGGCACCGGGAGCGTTACTGTTGCCTTGGTCCTTGAAGTCTGGGAAATACTCAGGAGGCTTCAGAGTCTTGACCGAGGTTGGAGTTTGGGAGTGGCCAGTTGAGCGGTAGTGTGATACCATGCTGGGATCCATAGAAGGCGTGCCGGGCATACCGGGATTGTTGTGAGTAGCGGCCACAAGGAGAGGGTTTACTCCATGTGCCGCGGGGTGGTACATCGGGCCAGGTTGACCCATAGGAGCAGGTGTATTAGCGCCGGTTGGAACGGGGGTGGTGAAGTTTGAAGGAATTTCAGACGTGAAGATGGTGGCAGATGGAGAAAGTATGAACTTTTGGGTTATGACAGCTAGCAAAGCCTGCGTAAAGCCTATTTTAATGTTAGAGAAAATACCTAAGTTGTAAATAGTGATGATAAAACATACCTTTGACCTTGCTTCCACACCCAACGATGATTAAAGAATCCCAGAGCTCGCTTCGCTTTGTAGCATCTGGGACGGCAAGAATGGTGTGATGAATCTGAGTTGCAATATCCTCGAGGATACCGCTACTCAGGCGGTCTCCGACCTTCGAACGTGGCGAAGTCAAAAGGAAACGCTCAACACTGACTTCGATATCTCGAGTTTGACGAACGTACTGCCGAGAACCGTGGGCTGCTGCCTTCTCTCCTTCCAACTGAACAAATTCCTCAAACTGGAAGGAGGCCTTCTCTTTCTTCGAGTTAGGTAGACGAGCTCCCTTAGGGTCAACAGCGCCTTTCTTGGTGGTCGTCTTTTCCTTCTCAACATTAGCAAGATACTCAGTGGGGTTGCCGCTAACAATCGCAGCGACATCAAGAACACCCTCGTCTTCTTCCCCGTTATCTCCCTCAATTCCTGTCTGAGTGCCATCTCCTGGGCCACGCGGAGCGGACTCATTTCCATCTGGTCCGCCCGTCGAAGCAGCAGCAGCAGGGTTTGCGCCCTGGCGTGCAGTAGCAGAAGACCCAGGCAGTGGGGTTCCTGGGGGCAGAATCTCAGTAATGTTGCTTCGCTTAAGCTGCTCGCACATCTCTCTGGTAAATCCCTTCGGGCCCAGCAGCTCAACGAGACGATCGGTCATAGCGTCTCCACCACATCCCTCCAGTGCGATTCCTCTGCCGTGTTCGTTGACTGCGAAGTCGGTCACAGCAGTCACATCAACTTTACCCTTGCCAACATCGACAACAGTGGCTGTAGCTGTACCATAGCCGTAGCAAGCCGCAAGAGCAGAGTCCATGAGACTAAACGCGGGTGCCTTGAACTTTTCAAAGACGAATTGAGTAATTGCTTCGCGATCGCGTGCGGACCAGACGGGCTGGCCAACAAGCATGATAGGCGTATGGAAAGGTGGGCTCAAGGTGTTGTAAATGTGAGTGAGCAGAGCGAAGAAACAGGGCCAGTCGACGATGCGCCCGTTCTCGATCGGATAGATTGCCCCCTCGTCGGATGTTGGGTCTTCTTCGTAGAATACCTCTTCGATAGTCTTGGTTGGCTCGCCATCATTCTGTGTATCTTCGTCGGTCTTGACAGTGGTTTCTGTGGCCGAGGTACCATCGGCCGCGACGGGCTCAGCGTCCTTCATTTCCACATCTGCCTTCGAGGCATCCGTGCCATTGTTGACCTTGACAACTTGGCGTCTCTCGTAAACGCGGTAAGGCTCATATTCTCCTTTCTTCTCAGCAGGGAACATGCGGGTTGGGAACCGAAATCGCGCGGGCGTGAATGTTTCGGGCAGGCCGAGTTGCGCCAAGGTCATTTGTGAACCCGGCGCAATTAGCTAGATGAATTTGTTAATTTTGGATGAGAGAATATGAGCAACTAAGCATACCAAGATATGCTCATCCTTGAAGGGAGGCATTGTTATCACTGGCAGTAAAGGGCGTTGCGACGAATGATGACTGCGCATAGGAGCTCCGCGATGGCTCGATTTGTGTTGGTTGCGCTTTCTTCCCATTGTGGTTTAGCGTGGTTTGGGGCGGATTGAAGGTCACGTGCGGGTAGCGTTGGAGTTGGACGGAAAATAATATCTCCGAACATTTGGAAGCCTAAGGTCTCAGGTGATGGGTACATAGGTACCTAACAGCAAACATCGATTGACTACTCATTCAGGAACAATTATCTAATTCATCTATCATGATAATATTTTCAGCATCAAACACATAATAGAAATATTGGAACTAAATCAATTTCATGTGGTAAATCATGACATTACTACACAGTTTAAGATATTACACTGTGCACTACGACATAGTCACCTAGGTGGGATTCGTCTATAAGCCCCGCCAGAACAAGATGGACATTCTCCAGATGTCATGATGGTCGATACACTCTTTGATTGCACATGCATTGTAAGTCGCTGGGCCTTATAGAGAGAGATATACCATGTTTATTCGACATTCAAATCATATGCAATTAACCAATGCATTGTGCGCTTTCGCTTCATTAGATAGTATATCCTGCCCACAACCCATTCTCTCAAAGCAGAGACAGGAAAAATTCAAAAATCATTCAGGAAAACAACTCCAGACCCACGTATCCAGTGGAACACACAAAACGCCATCATCCTTTTCACTCTATGACCAGCACGAGTCTTAGGTGATTCTATTCTGGGACAGCATGGTATTTGTCAGTCGCTGACCGGAAGAGCTCCTGCTGTTGCCTTAGAAGCTCTTCTTCCGTCAAACCACTTTGCTCCATCTTGCTCTGCTTCTTCTCTCGTGACTATATTTGAGAGCAGAGGTCAGCATGCGCTCTAAGGTATCATAGCTCCAAATTAAATCCGAACATACCTTCAACTGCTGTTTGTGTTCTTCAGCAACAGCAAGTACATCCGCGATGTAATCACTGAACCCGAGATCTCGCAATGCCTTCTCTACATGCTCACAAGCGATGGTTTTCTTAGCCTCCTTCTCGCTGATATCGTTTGCTTCGGAGGAGATCAAGGTGATAAATTCGACACAGCATTCCATGAGCAAGTCGCGCGCATCTTTAGAAAAGGTTTGGCCGGAGCTAGGTGGTAGAATCTCGGTGATAATCTTCTGGACCGTCGCTATGGCAGAGTTAGGTTAGCAAATACTAGCAGACGCGTGTGTGAAGCTGCAAGTGCATATGTAGTGACGCGGCAAAGCTCCCCACGAGTAATTATACACATCCAGAAGGGTTATTGTATCATACCTTTAGGCAGCGATAGGTCATCGTTTGCTATTCACGTATAGGTCAGCATGTTGCGCGTACGCGGCCAATATCCAGAGATCACTTACAGTTGAATTCTCGGTCAGACATAGCGAATCAGGTGATGTAGTGACAGGCGAATAAAGGGTAAGTACCAGATCTTAAGGAAGGAGCGCAAAAAGGGATGCTTCAATTTCTTTGATCTTTTGCGTGGGGCTCAAAGTTTCATGGCCCATCGCAGGCGTGCGACGGAGTTAAGTACAATTTCTTGCTGGCAGAATTATACCGCTTTCACCCACATAAAAGGCGCTGATTTTTTTCTCGTCTTTACTTTTTCTTCATCAGTTTTCACTCTACTCCAAACTACCTTGGAAAGAGTCTTTCAGATGAGATCGACTCTTTCCAAGGCTAAACACTAATGGTAAGCTCCTGCTTGAATGCCTTTTCCCAATTCCTATCATGATGAATTTATTGTGTTCGCCCCTATCATACATTCCATGGTGACCAAACCTGTCCTAGCCAAACGGACTATCTGATCTATTTCAATTCTGCCTATTTGCATCTCACTTCATCTTTTCATGAAGCTGTTGCTAACTTTATTGAAGATTACCACAGGGCATGAAATTCAGTTATTGTAGCTTGGAACTCGTCTCGGCTTGCATCATATTCATTATATTCTCGGAACAAGATTGGGAGGAGGGGGATATCTACATCTGTATCTAAAGGTACGCGCAGAAATTTTTGCTATATTTTCAGTTCCAATTACATGATGTATACCCTTACATTCCATGCTAAACATGAAGGTGTGCTGCACCTAATGCTTATAAAATGTATTGCTTTTCATCTTTCGACTGACTTGTAAACAATCATTGCTTCATTTCCTGCACTCATTGTTCTACGGCGATTCTTACTGACTTGCTATAAAGAATACAGATATGAACAACTATGAACAAAATACATAAAATATATACTAGCTACCAATGATATTCTTATTCCTGGAAACCCTCGAGCTCCTTGGAGTTCCATCTGCCAAATTTCAGTATTTCTCGCGTAATCTGAGTGGGATAGCACATACGAATAGAAACCACCACTGAGTTCCTTCGGCGCATCAAGCACCAACTTGGCCATGACATGGCCAGGCTGCTCGGGCTTGAGGAGTTTGCCAGTCTCGTGGACTCCAGTGAACTTGGAGTGCATTTCGGCGTCCAGTCCCGTAGCATGGTCCTCCCGTAGAGCGCGCTGCATCTCGGTGTCGACCATACCAGGTCTGATAGAAACGGTGGTGACGTCGGGTTCTTCGGCACCCAGGCTCATGGCGAAGTTGTTCATGGCGGCTTTGGTTGCAGCATAGAGACCCCAACCGCGGTAACCGGTGCCGGCGGCTGCTGCACCGGAAGAAGTGAAGATTACTTTACCCTTGGACTCACGAAGAGCCGGGAGAGCCGCCTTAGCCTAAGTTCTGTTAGTAATGCTTGATAGATTTGGTGGAATTTTTTTTCGCGTACAAAAGCGACCAAGCTCAAGAAATTGATATCAAAGCCTTCTTTCCACTGTTGCACATCAGCGTCGGCAATTTTGCCGATCTGGCCTAGCACGCCGTGGTTGAGGACCATTCCATCGAGCTGACCGAAGCTCTTGATGGCTATATCGACAGCCTGTTGGGCAAGAGAAAAGTCTGCCAGATCGCCATTCAGGACTGCCACCTGTTTGCCGTATTGCTCCTTGAGCTTTTGGAGGGGTTCAATGCTGCGGGCTACCACCACCACATTATGGGACTGGGGTGCCGTGAGCAGATACTTGGCCACAGCAAGACCGATACCTAGGGGAATAATTTCAGTATATGAAAACTCACAGAACCCGAGGGTTGGTACCTCTGGAGGCTCCTGTGACAATGATGGTCTTGGCTGCCATTTTGATGAATGCTGTAGTGATGTTAGTGATATGAAGCTTCCAGTAGAAAAAAAACACCGCGTTGAGTAAGATCTAGACAGGATGTTGAATTCGAGCCCATAGCATGAGGGAGCATGCTTAGTAGCGAATTTCAACATGGCCGTGTATGTCAAAAGACGGTTCACCTGGATGGAGGAATTGAAGATTGCTGTCTCGGGATATGGACGACCAAAGATGGCTGTGAAGACGGCAACTCGAGACTTGGGATACTCTGGATAGCCAGCGGGTATAACTTACGTTCAGATTGATCAGACGCTTTGATTGCGGAATATCAATGGTGACAACCTTGATTGAGGATATTACAAAGGCAGAGCGCGAAAGGTTTAGTGCGACGCTTATCTGTACCTTACCACGGCAGCTCGACCGAGAAGAAAGCCGCTCACTTCAGAAATTATTGCCCCGGTAATACCAATACCAAAGTCCACAGTGATTCAATGTTTTCTTTGATCAACTCATTGTATGCATTTGAAATAATACCGTATGTAATACTGGGGGCTATGTGCATTAGCGTCTCTCCCCAGCCGGGCGTGGTAGGGTAACGTCGGAGGCTTTCCCGACCCCGCCAAATCCCGGCCCAGATATAGACGTCATGTACACCTCTTATTATACGGGGTGATATGTGATAGAAAGAAAGGACCTTTGAAAATCCATTTGAGCTGTAGTACGACAATTGAACTCATCGTTTGACTTGTAGATGAGAGATCGGATTCGCAGGTATCATCCACAGTGTGGTTTCCTCAAAAAATAGCTTTCGGGCTGTGATCTCGAAATCACTTTAACCTTAAATCATAGATCTATATTTGAAGAAACTAGTTATCAGATGGAATATCTGTTGATATATATCTTGAATCTGGACACATGGAGCATAGCAAATGGAAGATAACGCCGTTGCTCATTTCAGAGAAGCGGTCCGAGAGAGATCCACTTTTGATAGGAAATACTTGAACGATCGCCTAAAAGAGTCAACTTTTGCGACCAGCTCTTCCCAAAATGTGTGCCAAGCCAGGAAATACCTCCCCGCTATCCCACCCCACTACTGGTATGTATTCCCGGCCCGGTGTAAAGGAACCCGGGAAGGAAAATCATAGATTGCCGCAGAACATAAGCTCGAACGGTGCCACCTGCAAACATCAATTGCTACAAACACTTCATTCCGGCAATCTTGTTTGACAAGCGTTTTCAGTTCTGCACAGCTAGCATGTCGACCGTCATTCTTGGAGGAGGCATCATCGGAGCCTCAATTGGATATTACTTATCTGCCAACCGACCAGAAGGCGAGATCCACATCGTTGAACAATCCCCAGAGCTATTCACCGCAGCCTCGGGATATGCCGCAGGTTTCCTAGCCAGAGATTGGTTCGAGCCATCTGTTGCGCCCCTTGGTGCGATGTCCTTCGACTTGCACCATGAGCTCGCTGCAGAGCAAGGCGGGGACAAAAAGTGGGGATTTATGAAAGGAACAGCATTCAATTTGGATACCGTTGCTCAACGCAAGCGAGGCGGCCCCCGCGGTGACGATTGGCTACGAACGGGCACTAGCAGAGCAGAGACCGCAGCTGGATCCGAGGATACCACTCCGGTTGAATTTCCGGAATGGTTGACCATGCAGAAAGAGGGAATCCTGGAGAAAATCAGCCAGGGCGAAACCGTGGCTCAAGCGTGAGTATGGTATCTAAGTATTTTGCAGATGATTTGCTGATTATGTTTAGAGATCCATTACGGTTGAGCCAATTCCTCATTGATGGTGCTATCTCTCGAGGTGCTAAGCTTCATAACCCAGCCCAGGCCACCGAAATAATCAAGGATGGAAACGGCACCATTACCGGTGTCAAAATCGTGTCATTGGATTCCAAGAAAGAGTCAATCATTCCGTGTACAAACCTTGTTCTGAGTATGGGACCGTGGACACCACAGGTTCTCAGAGATCTGTTTCCAGCCTCTCAGGTATCATTTGATATATCGCCTTTGGCTGGCTATTCACTGGTTGTTCGGTCCCCTCGGTATACAATGGAGCACGAGAAAAACGTTTACCGTGGAAGTAGCCATGCTGTCTTCACCACACACCCTCCGTCCTGCGGGTTTAGCCCCGAGATCTTCCTCCGGGAAGGCGGAGAGATTTATATTGCTGGTCTTAACAACCCCGCGATGAAGCTTCCGTCTTGTTCCGCGGATACGAAGCAGCTTTTTGATCCTTCCGAGATGCAAAAACTCAAGGATGTTGCAGTCCGTTTAATGGGAGGTCTTCCCAAGGATGCAAATGAGGCTACCGACGAGGTGGCAAACACAGACGACTTGGAGATTATCCGTGAAGGGCTGTGCTTCCGCCCAGTGGGAAATACTGGAAATCTTGGTGTTCCCACAATTGGAAGAGTTGGAGATTACTCTTTGGGAGGAGTGAAGGCAAACCCCAACGGAGGCGTCTTCATAGCCGCTGGGCATGGGGCGTGGGGAATTTCCTTGAGCCTGGGAACTGGAAAGGTTGTTTCTGAAATGATCAAAAAGCAAAAGCCTTCAGTGGATGTGAGCGGCTTGGCCGTTCAAGACAAAATTCCTAGTCCCAAGCTTTAAGCATTTTGAGAATAGAAAAAGAGATAGACATACTTCCCCCAAGATCAGCAAAACAATATGATATTCACGTATTTAATTCATACTTTTCGAGATTGACATCGACTTCCTCGATCTCGATTTTCTCAACTTTCACATCGAAAGCATCCCATTTCTCTGGCCCTTGAGGCCACAGAGGTCTTCATCAAGTCAAAATGCAGAATGCTTCCGCGTACGAACACGCGTCATTACCTACAGAAGACAGTTGAGTTTGACTATAACTTGACTTATCTCGGAGCGTTCGAGTCACCACCTTTGAAATGGTATTATAGACAAGCCCCAAAGCTCTACCACTTCAGCTTCAATTACCTCCTCATCAACCACACTGGCCGATACCGCAGCATCTTCTCCTGGTACTACCACTACTCAGGCTCAGCCATATTCCTTCCCTTTTTTACAGATATCTTGGTCTACCTCGTCCATATCATTCTAATCCATGCAATCAGATTGGTAGACCAGGCTATCTTTCACTAGCTAAGTTCATGTTCTCTCCTGTCTCTTACTTCACTCAATTTTTCTTTGTTTCTATTTCGTTTGACGAAAACAAAGGTGACCTTGGAAGTCTACGATCTAATATTATTAGTCTTCATCTAATTCCTAATAGCAAATATCTAGCTCTCAATGACCAAGCCCAAATCCGTCATATTCACCTCCATCCCAAATCAAACTAGCCCCGGCTCTGCATCCAGCACCAAAAACCCTAAACGCAAACACTATCAAACACACCACACCCTGAAACCACCAAACAGGGCCTAGACCCCTCATTCGAGTCAATCGGCCCGGATATGATATTAGTCACACACAAAAAGTCTGGCAATGTTGATAGAAACCAATTCTTACGCATTCAATGCCCTCGGGGGCCAAGCCGGCCCATTTATGTCAGTATGCAGCTGTCTCGGAAAGACCCAGAACACAGTCATGGGTTCTATCAGAGGCATAAGCACTCACTAGGTTATCTCACTCTCCTTCCCATCTCTGTGTTTCTTTTTATCACCATTTGTTTTCTATTTGTCTTTATTTTGGCTTCAATTTCGCATTCAGATCGATATTCTTCATCTTGAAATCAGCTCATGGTTTTGTTAGGTAACTCATAATTGAGACTTACTGCTTATGATTTGATTCAAGCCACGGCGACAAACTGTCCTAGGAACGAATAAGCCTAACCTAAAGTCTAAACCCTCTAATCGCTGCTTCTCATAACTGATATTGGCCTTATTCCACACCTACGGCTAGCAAGTCTAGGCAGAACATTATCAAGCCCAAAAATGGAAAGAATAAGCTACCCTAGGAGTATTAATACATGTAGTTTAGACAAGAGGCATATGAAATCCTGTCAAGCAAAGAAAAAATGACGTTCATTCAGTATGATCTTATGTAAAAAAATACAGACAGATTCCTACAGAGTGCTCTACAGGTATATAGCTTCTGGTTGAGTAGAATGCATCTTCAATATTTTTCAAGTCTTTTCGATATTATTTTTGAAGTGTTTCTCACACATACTAGTGTTATAATTGATAGAATAATGATGGTAAGCCGTGAAGTGTAGAATATATGTGGTGGAAAAGGTGTATCTCTTTGGATAGTTTTATGACACACATACATGTAGGCTTATGTGGTGAAACCTCATAAGTATTGGACTCGTGTCCCCATACACCGCCTAATATGCGGACGTTCAATTATTGCCGGATACCTCGAAGGTTCCACCGCCTGGAGAATATATAGTCCGACCAGCAGCTCCCCAGGTTTAGTCATCAATCATTCGCGCCACTTGAGCTCTCCAGAAACTTCGGACAGCCGATAACATCCAGCTTTCAAAGCAACTTCGCTCTCCCTTCCTTTGCATTGATTCTCCTGCGAACTGAGCATCTCGTATCACCACTCATTAATTTTTTTCCCAGCCCAGAACAGAATTTGACAGCAAGTAATCATGGCCAACTATCTTGCATCCATCTTCGGTACCGAACAGGACAAGGTCAACTGTTCCTTCTACTACAAGATTGGCGCATGCCGTCACGGCGATCGCTGCTCTCGCAAGCATGTTAAGCCTTCGTACTCGCAAACAATCCTCATGCCGAACATGTACCAGAACCCGGCCTACGACCCCAAGAACAAGATGAACGCCAGTCAAATGCAGAATCACTTTGACGCCTTCTACGAGGACGTATGGTGTGAGCTGTGCAAGTACGGCGAGATTGAAGAATTGGTCATCTGCGACAACAACAACGACCGTAAGTGATGTTCTCTTTTTAATATCCGACTCTTTACTAACATCTGGTCTCGCGATAACAGATCTCATTGGTAACGTCTACGGCCGATTCAAATACGAAGAAGATGCGCAGGCAGCATGCGATGCCTTGAACTCCCGTTGGTACGCAGCGCGACCCATATACTGCGAGTTATCACCCGTCACGGATTTCCGAGAAGCTTGTTGTCGTCTTAATAGCGGTGAAGGATGTGTACGAGGGGGCTTCTGCAACTTCATTCACCGAAAAGATCCTTCACCCGAGCTTGACCGCGAACTCCGACTCAGCACCAAGAAGTGGCTCAAGGAGCGTGGCAGAGATCCCCGCAGTGTCAGCCGAAGCCCTAGCCCTGAGCCCGCCCGGCGCAGACACTAGTGGTGTGCCACCGCTCTTGACTTTCCCTCTCTCATATTGTTGTTTCACTACATTTGATCCTTTGGCGTTCGGCGATATCAGTCGGTGGTTCGATTCCACTTTCCTTTGCGCAGCGGCGCATCTAGGGCATGGGGTCTCGGTCTTTACCTTTATTGAATTGGCATTTGCAGTTGTGATATCAGACTTGCGCAATCAATGAAACTCACAGCTGGACTGCATGTACAAATCTTGCTCAGTAATTCCTTTCCTGTACTCTAGGTGAAGCCAAACTTGGTACGTGATTAGCACCCACTAAGTAATATCGGTCAAAGAAACTGACTCGATGGCACAGAATTGAAACTTCGCTTTGTAACACTGAATTCACACAAGTCATTGTCTAGTAATGCAATTCCCTTATTAATAATAACTAATACTTCCGCGCAACATCACACGAATCATGCACATGTGTCTCGAAAGCACCGAATGATAGTTCCATGGATCGTACACACTCAACACGTCTGTTTTTGGCACACCACTCTAATGCGTGCAATGGTGCTCTCCATCGCCTGATAAGAGTAGCTCGGCAACGAAGACATTGAAACCAATTTCCTGCGATGCAATACGATGGATGCTTCCTGGAGTTTCTGCAATCTTATGGACCAATTCGCTTGCTCAACCTCTGCAGCTTGCTGCATCCCCCAGAAACAATGACCTGACTGGCTGTTTTTTTCTCTTGGAACAGAGTGGTATCAGACTTCCCATTCCCAAGTAAGAAGATGAATTCGGCTCCAGTAGCACCAGCGTCCACAACGCTTGCAACAGCAGAGAATTGTAGTAGAGAAAGTCGACGAGCCAGGATTGCCGACGCTGGAGTCGGGTGGCTTTCCAGTGGTCGTGGCTGCAGCCATAAACCTCGTGGAATTCGCTGGATGGCTTGGCTTTGATACCGAGGTTGACGCGTCGCATGAAGAGTGCATGATCGTGGCCTCGTCATCTATTTTGGTTATATGTTGAGTAGCTAGAGTTATTGTCCACATGTTCGGGCTCTCTCGTGTCGTTTGACGCAAAACCTGTGGTAGCGCACATATAGTCGGTCAAATAGAACTTGGCTATGTCTACATCACGCTCGCTACTGTAGTGATATTGTGCAGAAAAAAGGCAAATAGTGTGTTCAGGTTGGTAGAATAGTTGACAAAGCGGTTGCACATGCAGAAGGAAGTATCGGAAGAATACATAACACACTTAACAATCATTCTTTTCTGTTATATTCGCAAAGGTGTAAATGACTCGAAGATTGAGATTTGAGATCTGGAATAAAAGACCCACGGGATAAATCCCAAAGCCAGAAGGTCACAATATAGATATTCATTTCCCATAGAACCCCAACCGCTCAATCTTTAATACGCAAGATTGCAGACAACAAATTACATGTATGAATCAATGCCCAAGCCTCAATTTTGACCAATCTGACTGAGGATACTCCCAGGTGCTTAATACCTTGTCAAATGATCTGCGGCTCACCGGGGCTCTGTCACCCTGCATCTTGATCCCACTAGGGCGTTCCCCGCGATGCTGGTTATGATTGATTCTTGATGGCACATTTGGGGCTATAGCGTTAAAGTTTCTAGAGCCTCAAATCATATATACTCCATTTTCAGTCAAAGGAGAGCCTTGTGTACTGAGAGTATGGATATTCAATTCTTCTCAAGCCTCAGAGTCATAGATGTAGAAATACATAGAGTCGGCTGCTTTGGTTTCAGCTAATTTGATCTGTATATTTTTGAAAGCATCCTCTTAATTCTATGTAAATGGAAGGATTACCCATTATCAAAGTATATGCTTGGACCCTCCACGAGTGCTTCATAGAGTCGGGGCCATTCTAACGCAGATGCCCGCGGCATCATATAGTTATGTTGTACAGAGATGTCTGATACCTGTTTGCTCCGGCCATCCTAGCTGAGTTCAGACATCATTTCCCCTGGATTTATTACTCAGTTCGACTAGAGTAGGGCCCGTGTTTTCTACACGATTTTCTCTTTGATTTTTCCAACTTAAGTAGCAATTGTCGGAGTATACAGACCGGCATGCTGGAGGTTAAATTAATCTAGCCTGTTCAGTAATTTCGAGTTAGTAATCCGCGGCCTACATACTCCGTACCTTAGGTAGGTACCTAGGTAGGTAGGTATATTGCTAGGGAAGCGGATACTGCAATACGGAGATTTTAACACCGTTGATTGGGCCCACACATTTCGCAATACCACTTGAATTGACAGCAATACGGTGCCTCCCGAGGTCAGGAACCAAAAAAGTTACTAAGCTTCCTTATCGGGCATTCTTATCTTTCTTTCATCTACAGCGACGCGAGCGCGTCAAATCGCGTCAAAGCCATTGCTCTGTTGGCACAAAGGACCTTGAACTGACTGATATTGCGAACTCTGGGATCCTCAGACCAGAAGACATCTTCAAAATTATGCCCGAATACAACGACAGCAATCGTGCCTTCCTCCAGGCGTTCATGGCACGCTCGTCTATGACCTTTGAAGATGCGCAACCCATACTAGCTGCGATATTAACAGTATCCGGTAAGAGAAACTTGTTTAAGCACCATGTCTGGATCACAGAAGTCGCTAACTTTGAAACTTCCGAGCAGAAGGACGAACAGTTGATCCTGACGAGGTCGGAGAAGAACAATTCTCCGACTTTGTCTCGGCCGCCAACACCGCCGTGTCACCTTTCGATCTCGAGATTAGAAGCTCACTGCCACAAATCCTTCAACCATCCCAAGAAGATGTCTCGACAACACCACTAAAGCGAGTATATGCGCTTGTAAATACTACGAGTGATCCTTTGACCCAGCTCGCGACCACTTATTCCCCGGACGAGATAGCATTTCTCAAGCGCTTGCTTGACTTTATGTTTGCCACAAATAATACACGAGTGTGTGAAGGAATGGTAGCTTCACAGATGCAAGCTGTTCAGCTACATAAGGCTCCGTCTGGGGAACGGCAATCCACGAGTAACGATTCAACACAGACCCAAACCGCAGCGGTACAGTCGTTGCGTATGACCCAAGCGGAGACTATGATTCTCCACTTGATTGAAGAGGGCTGGTTGCAAAAAAGCCCGAAGGGCTACCTCAGCCTCACACCTCGAGCACTGATGGAGTTGCGAAGCTGGTTAGTCCTAACGTACAACGACGAGAATTTCGATGGCCGACCCATACAGCGCATCAAGTCTTGTGCTGCTTGCAAAGACATCATCACCGTTGTAAGTATGGTGAAGACCAAGTTACTATGAAACAGGCCTGATCTAGATGTTTTAGGGCCAACGCTGCGAAGACCACGAATGCAATGGTCGGCTCCATGACCATTGCATGCGCAACTTCTTCCGCATGCAACAAGCAGAAAAATGCCCGATGTGCAAAAAGGACTGGCCCGGTGATAGATTTGTGGGTGAGAGAGCGCTCACTTTGCACTCGAGGTCAAGCAACGCCGTTCCACAACAGAGGGAGTCCTCGCCTGCTGCGCCTATGGCCCTTGGTGAAATTTCCGAGGACGAAACTGACGGCGAAGAACATACGTGAATATCGCAGGTGTGGCAAATAAGACTTGCCTTGAGTCTTGCCAAATCGGTTTGACCAAAAGTTACGACGCGTATCCGCACCGTGGATACACCCATGCGAATAGCGACGAATGAATGAATGAAAGCGGAAAAAATTGAGCAAGGATTGCTGTCAGGTTGCCTGAAGTGATACTAAACATGATCTCCCATCTCGCGCCTCGAACCCATTCCTAGGCTTCTTGACAAAGCTCAACCTGCTATTTTGGTTCAATATGTAAACACTGGAGATCATGTGCGGAGAGGGGTCGACTCACCGGGAACCAGGTGCCAACATGAGTTGATATGACCCATGAAATGAAACCAAACAACTTTAAGCACATCAGAATGCATCTTAGTATTTCCAAGCCATCATGTGATATGGGAGAAAATCTGCGTGTTGAATGGATAGACACCTTAGGCACCACTCTCTCACAACCGTGGAACTTCAACCTTCCATCCTCTACACCATATCATCTCTTCTGAGATTCAAGCCAGAAACTTGATTATTTTAATACTCTGATTATTACATAGTCTCAAACGGAATTTCGTCGGATAATTTACGAATGAAAGCCCCATTTTCCCCACAACATGCCCTCGCACCCAACCTTCTCTGTACGCGATGACGATCTGGGACGAGCCGGCTCTAACCCGGGCAGGTCTTGGCCGTGAAGGATGCCGACGGAAACTAAGCTGCCTTCATAGCCAATATTAACCAATGTGAGTCGATATATACGGTCATGTTTGGGGGTTACCCCCCGCATTTTCCGGTTCTCCGAAGGTCCTGCAACCGGACACATCCGTTTTACATAGTGTAAGCCAGCCTCGTACGCCATCCCTCCCCCTTGGCTGATGGCAGGCCTCCACTTATGACTAGAGGGCGTATGATCAACTGAGAACAGACTTCATTTCCCCACATTTCATCGTTCATTGCCACTTTGAGCGATTTTGAGATTGTTACTGTGCCTGGATCATTTCATTTGTTGCTGAGTTAGGAAAGCGCCCTTAAATCTCCATCCTTCCTTAAAACTCGCCTTCCTCCCTCCTCTTCCGATGTATAGTGTCGATCGCTTCTTCTCTTTCAATTTGCTTTTAGTTGATTTCTACAAGAATCTGATCTGGTTGGCCAAGCGGTGTAACTGCGAAATGCAGTTCAAGGTTCGTACTTTGGTACTTTGAGTCTCGTATGCCGTTCCCAAATCGTCTTAACACTCTCCTTAGTCTTTTACGTGCGCAGTATTGCCACTACTTCTGAATCTTGTCAGCGGCTCCCCCGAAAGTCGTACCACAAGATGCCTCAGAGAACATACAGGCTCTAATTCAACAACGAACTTCAGCAAGAATGTGTACCAGACCGGCTTCGATGGCGTGATCTGGGACGAAGACAAGTGGCTCTTGAGCACGACCAACTTGGAACAGGGCCGCTATCAATCTAGAGGATCCGTAGCGAACGGATACTTGGGTATCAATGTTGCCAGTGCTGGTCCTTTCTTTGAAATTGATAGTCCCGGTGACACCAACGGCTGGCCACTTTTCTCCAGACGCCAGACCTTTGCAACGATCAGTGGGTTCTTTGACTCGCAGCCTACCACAAATGGCAGCAATTTTCCCTGGTTATCCCAGTATGGAGATGACAGTGTGATCAGTGGTGTTCCTCACTGGGCAGGAATCATCTTAGATCTTGGTGATGGTACCTATTTGGATGCAAAGGTTGACAATAAGACCATCTCCGATTTCCGAACCACATACGACTTCAAAGCAGGAATCTTGGTCTGGTCTTACAAATGGACGCCTCGGGGCAAGAAAGGAACGTACCAGATTACTTACCGTCTTCTCGCCCACAAGCTATACGTCAATCAGGCTATCGTCGAAATGGAAATTATTCCGACCACGGGTTCGGATGCGACCATCGTTAATGTCATTGATGGAGCTTGTGCAGTGCGCACCGACTTCGTGGAGTCTGGTGAAGACAATGGTGCAATCTTCTCGGCAGTACGACCGAATGGGATTGCTAATGTCACAGCTTATGTCTACGCAAACCTCACTGGGTCACCAAATGTGGATCTCTCTTCGCGCAAGATTGTGTCCGACAAGCCATACGTTCACTCCAACAAATCGTCCATTGCGCAGGCCGTGGATGTGAAGTTCAAACCTGGTCAAGTAGTTCGCGTCATCAAATATGTCGGAGCTGCCTCCACGGATGCCTTTGCCGATCCGAAACAAACGGCAAAGAAGGCTGCCTCCGCTGCGATGAGCAATGGATATACCAATTCTCTTCGGACCCACATCGTCGAGTGGGAAAATGTTATGCCCGAAGCTTCGGTTGACCACTACGCATTCCCTAACGGGACCTTACCTACAGATAGCCACATCATTGATTCCGCAGTAATCTCCGTGGCCAACACTTACTACTTGTTGCAGAATACTGTTGGCAAGAATGGCGTCAAGGAAGCTGCGGGAGCGCCAGTAAATGTGGACAGTATCTCAGTTGGTGGCTTGACCTCTGACTCCTACGGTGGTCAAGTCTTCTGGGATTCGGATGTATGGATGCAACCTGGTCTTGTTGCCTCTCACCCAGAGGCTTCTGAGCGCTTCACCAATTTCCGCGTGGCCAAGTATGCCCAAGCACAAGAGAACGTCAATACTGCTTTCTCCGGCTCTCAGAATCAAACACGTTTTAGTCCGTCAGCTGCAATCTTCCCTTGGACCAGTGGTCGGTTTGGCAACTGCACGGCAACTGGTGCTTGCTGGGACTATCAGTATCACCTGAACGGAGACATTGGAATTTCATTGGTTAATCAATGGGTCACAAGTGGCAACACAAAGCTATTCGAAGAAGAGCATTTCCCGATCTATGACTCCGCAGCCACGCTCTATGCGGACTTGCTTGTTCGGAATGGGTCTTATTGGACGTTGACCAACATGACTGACCCTGTAAGTTTGACGCTCCATTTCTCTCGGTATGCAAACTAACATGAAGTAGGATGAGTATGCCAACCACGTTGATGCGGGTGGCTACACAATGCCGCTCATGGCTGAGACCCTACGACATGCCAACGCTTTCCGTCAGCAATTTGGAATCGAAGAAAATGCCACCTGGGATCAAATGGCTGACAATGTCTTGGTGCTTCGTGAGAACGAGGTGACTCTTGAGTTCACTACCATGAATGGAAGCGCCGTGGTCAAGCAAGCTGATGTGGTTATGGTCACCTATCCCCTGGGTTACAGTGCCAACTACACCAGCCAAAACTCGCTGAATGACCTGGACTATGTGAGTGTTGACTTTTGGCCAAGGAAGACACCAGAGCTAACTAGATATAGTATGCAGGAAAACAGTCTCCCGATGGCCCCGCCATGACCTGGGCTATCTTTTCTGTTGTCGCAAACGAAATGGCGCCTTCTGGCTGCTCAGCATATACATATGCGCAGTACTCATACAAGCCTTATACCCGTGCGCCTTTCTTTCAGCTGTCAGAGCAGATGCTAGACGACGCTACTATTAATGGAGGCACGCACCCAGCGTACCCATTCTTGACTGGCCACGGCGGTTCCAACCAGGTTGCCATCTATGGCTATCTTGGATTGCGACTAGTCCCAGATAATATCCTACATGTGGATCCAAATTTGCCTCCACAGATTCCATACCTGAGATATCGTACCTTCTACTGGCGGGGATGGCCCATCTCGGCGTGGTCGAACTACACACATACGACTATCAGCCATGCCAAAGGTACTGCCCCATTGGATACCGCTGACCAGCGATTCGCCAACAAAACTATCACCATTCACTCCGGCCCAGAGGACGATGTCACCATTTATCATCTTCCTCTCAAGGGCTCTGTTATTCTTCCTAACCGACAGAGCGGATCAAAGAACACTGTGGCAGGCAATCTTGCACAGTGCCAGGCTGTTTCCTCTTCGGATGCCTTCGAACCTGGCCAATTCCCCATTTCCGCAGTAGACGGCGCAGCCTCGACAAAATGGCAGCCCTCACTGGCAGCTGAGGTAAATTCTGTGACAGTCTCCCTCGAAGACGAGGCCGGTGCTATGGTGTCAGGTTTCTACTTTGATTGGGCGCATGCACCCCCAGTCAATGCTACAGTGATCTTCCACAACAAGACACTCGAGGATCCCACGATGGCACTTTTTGCCTCAACGTCGGACTACAAGGTTGTCCACAGCCTGACAAATATTATCCCATCAAACCCATACGACCCTGAGACCACAAACCTTGATATCATAGCCATGCCCACTGGAAATACAACAAATGTGACTTTGTCATCTCCCGTACCAGCAGCGCGATACGCGTCTCTGCTTATTGTGGGAAATCAGGCGCTTGATTCTGTCGATGTGGAGGCCAAAAATGGAACTGGTGCGACTGTTGCCGAGTGGGCTATTCTCGGTCAGGAAAAGAGGCGCGCTCCTTCGGGCACAAAACCTACCAACAAGAAGATGAAGTTGCGTGCAGCAGCAGCACTTTCAGATAGAGATGCCTTTATGCGTCGGCGTGGCTAGTGCTTTTCCAGCTTCAGAGGCTGATTGAGTTGCCCCGTCATTCCCATGAATTTTCCCAGGAACCCAACGAAGAGACTCTCTTGTAAATATGGTCTTCGTTTCTATTTGATACTTTCCTGACACTTCCCCAATACAAATTTATTCAGCGCAGCCTACAGATCGCGTGTCCTTCAAAGCATAAATCTCGAGTTGTAGATTGTGAAAAGCTGAACGAAGCCGCACCTATTTAAACTTGGTATATCCATACATACAGTCATAAAACAACCGGCACCATTTACTCATCAATCGCAAACCGATCCAAGAACTTGAAGGTCCGAAGTCCCTCCTTGACATCCTTGGCAAAGGCATCTCCAGCGCTGCTAGCAGTATACACACCATCGCGGTCCTCGGAAATGAGCCCAGACTTTAGAGCCTCAGAACCCTTACCAAGCGCACCAATGGTCTTCCCAAACCGGAAAGCATCAAGCAGAATATCCAAAGGCCGACCAGCGGGGTACAAAGACGACGCACCGGAAGCCTTGTTAGGTGGGTTCGTAAACGACTTCGATCCAAACAGACCCTCCGCCCCATCTGCAACCACGACAGCATCAAACTGCACCGCATCAGAAGCAGAATAAGTCTGATCAACATCATCCGCCATTCTCTCCGCCACAACAACGACATCTACGCCCGCAGAAGACAAAGCAGACTGCAATTCCGCGCCCTGCGCAATAGAATCAGGATTATCCACAGACGCAAGAAGGCCAACCTTCAACCCATCCAATTTAGCGAGTTTCTGTCCAAATGCGCCGATGTGCGCGGTGGTGTTGTCGTGGTAGAATGAGTCGTCTGGCTTCGGCGCATCAACACCAATGGCCTTTGCGACGCGCGTGGCGAGATCATTACTGATGCGGTTTAGTTGGATGATCACATTCTTGCGGACGACGCTGCTCTTGACATTAGATGTCTCGAAGCGCATCGCGTCGACGACGAATTGTTTCTCGGCTGCTACGAGCGAGTTCCAGAATAGCCGTGGCTGAGACCAGACGTCTTCGAAGGTTGAGCTGACAGTACGTTGGAGCTTGCCGCTTGCTGTGCGATCTGGGGCTGTGAAGAAGCCCTTGCCGACGGTTTGGTTGGCTTGCTTTGGGGAGCCTTTGTTTTCCGTGTTGGGGGAGTAGGCGTTGGGGTTTAGGGGGATGAACATTTGGCCTGGGGCTGTTAGAAAGGGGGTTTAGAGTGGGATTGGGATTGTGGTAGGTACATACCTGCTCCGTCGCGGTTGTTGTTGTGGATTGGTGTGCGAGGACGGTTAATGGGGAGCTGCTCGAAGTTGGGACCGCCGTGGCGGTTGAGTTGGGTGTCTAGGTAGGAGAAGAGACGGCCCTGGAGGAGGGGGTCTTCGGTGAAGTCGACGCCGCGAACAATGTGGCCAGGTTGGAACTAAGAAATTAGTATTGTTCGTTGGTATTCATGAACTGAGACTTACCATGACTTGCTCTGTTTCAGCGAAGTAGTTCAAAGGGTTCCGGTTCAGTTGCATCTTGCCCAGCTTGGTGACAGGAACGAGTTCTTCTGGGACAATCTTGGTAGGGTCCAAAAGATCGAATCCAAATCGAAGCTGATCCTCTTCCTCCATGATTTGGACACCCAGCTAATGCATAATTAGCAAGAATTCCGATGAAGATGCGGTTATTACATACCTCCCATTCAGGGAACCGTTCAGCTTCAATAGATTCGAAGAGATCTTGACGCATAAAGTCCGCATTTTTACCTGCGGTCTGCTGCGCTTCTTCCCAAACAAAGCTGGCCTTGCCCTGCAATCCCTTCCAGTGGAACTTGACAAGCTTGGTCGAACCATCATCAGTAACCAGACGGAAGGTATGCACACCAAATCCATCAACATGACGGAATGACCGAGGAATACCGTGACCAGCCATTGCCCAGAGAAGGGTGTGAAGCGTACTAGGCTGCTGACTGAAAAAGTCCCAAGCCGAGTCGTGCGCGGTAGCAGCCTGGGGAATCTCATTGTCGCCGCGAGGCTTCACGGCGTGAATGAGATCCGGGAATAGGATAGCATCCTGGATGAAGAAAACGGGGATGTTGTTTCCAACGATATCTATATCGAAGTCAGTCATGTCCTTTGTTGTCAAAAGGAGTCCATCGTACCAAAGTTTCCTTCATCGGTATAGAACCGAGTCGCAAAGCCGTGGACGTCTCGCGCGGTATCAGCGCTTCCGCGACTACCAGCAACGGTGGAGAATCGCGTAAACACTGGGGTTTGTTTGCCTTTGGCGGAAAGGAACGACGCGGCAGTTATGTTGGACCAGTCGCCGTAGGAGGTGAATGTTCCGTGGGCGCCGGCACCTCGAGCGTGAACGGCGCGTTCGGGTACCTTAAGAAAAAATACATGAGCTTGAGAACCTCAATTGAAATACAGAAAACATACTCGTTCATGATCGAAACGTTGGATCTTCTGGCGGAAAATGAAATCCTCGAGCAGGGTCGCTCCACGCTCTCCTGCGCTGAGACTGTTTTGATCCTCAATTGGGCCTCCAACGTCGGAAGTCAGATAGACGTCTTGGTCCTTGAGGTAGAACTGAGAGAGGAATTCTTCCGTGTTGGCAGCAGCATCTCCATCACCTCGGCGCTCGATGTGAGGATTGTCGCCGGCCTCACCTGTCATATAAGGACAGGCAGCATTGGCAATGCCAACAAGGCCCGTAACGAGGGCAAGCACGTGCATTGCAACAGTTGAATACCCTGTCTGTTGATAGAAAGCTCAACCTCAATTGAGTTGCCCAAGGTTCAAGCTTCAAACAAAAGATGGGAGATCTGGGGCTCACTTTATAATCCGGTGCAAATCCGAACACCGAATACGGAATCAAAACCGCCGAGTGCGACTCTATGCAGTGAGCCAATGGGAAGGTCTATGAAAATGAAATGACGCATAATCCAGGTACTATTGATCAGACATGGGGTGGCGATTCTCCAACCAGGAACCAGTTGATTATTTCAGCGCAACGGCCGAGACCAACAGTGTGACGAGATCGAATCATCTGTCGCACATAGTGGGGCGGTTATTGACTGTCTCCACGAGCCAAGGAGAAGAACAGAGACACTATGCATGCTTTGCTCCGACACTGTTAGCTCGCCTCAATGGGAATACTGGTGTACTAGCCCGTAGACAGCCCGCATCGATCATACTAGACAAAGAAAGAAAGGTCTCAAGATGTAAGCTGACTGCTGACAATCCCGGTGAATCGGATTTGAATCGGAATAGTCGGATGAACGTCAAGTAAACAAAAAGTACATAGAAGGGGTACAAGGGGGGGATGTCTTGGCGTTGATTAAGCGTCACAGGCGACATTGGTCGAGGCCACGCTGCTTGGTAATTGGCGAATCTACATCCGTGCAAAAGCCACTGGGTGTCTGTTTGAACTTTTGGAAACTGGCTGATGTAGGGGATCTTCTCCCTAGCGTCAAGAAATCAAGTCTCACATTGAAACAATCTCGTACTGTGTCTAGGTAGGGAGTACTCCGCCAACCTTGTACGGAGTACATTGTAGTCCCTTGAAATTGGGACCTGGAAGATCAACAGGGATTAGGCCGCGGTGCAGGCTCCCAAGGCCAATTTCTGCACCTCATCCCTGTCGACGCACATCTCTACCATTTTTAGAACTCACCCGCAATTTGGGGTCTGTGATAAGTCGTTTGAGTTGGTGATAGCCAAGATCTCGCATCCGGACGTGGAAGATAATTTTAGATATTGGCAGTCTTATCCACCCGTAGATATGTTGCCCATGTGCCGTTCGTGGTCGCTTATTGCTGGATTCACGGGAATGTGACAAAGACCGAGATGCTTGGCGAAGGGGGAAATCACTTTAGAAGACGTCCTTTGTCATCTTGGCAGTGAACTTTGCGTAATCGTTATAGAGAATGCTATTTTTAATGTGATATGTGTGTGATAGAGCTTTTCGCGGGTGAGTACGGCATACTCCGTCCGGAGGATGCCCGTAATAGTAAGGTGTCAAGATATCTTTTAGAGTTATCGTCAGCTGTACGGAGGAAAATGGAAGAAAATCAGATTCTTGGATCCACCGCACGAAAGGAAAGTAAGAAAGTACAATATACAGAGCCATGACTAGAAAAAAACCCTCAATGCTCCATTTTGACTACTCCTTTTGTCTATAATTCGAACGGCCGCAAGTCTTCCTCTTTGAGTATACTCGACCGATGAGATAGCAATCTATCCCCGAGCCATCGGAACCACCTCACTTGGTCCATCGACGTCACTGCGATCCACAAACCCATGTTTCGCATACAGCGGGGCACCAGCCTTGCTAGCATCGATGTATGCTCCAACGCCCTCACGGTCCACGATCTCGCACCCCCAGCGAACAAGCATAGAGCCGGCCCCGCGACAGCGGTAGTCGGGATGTGTACCAAGCATATCAAGGTCTATCCAGGGCGTCAACAAAGACACAGTCACACACAGTAAGTCGCGGCTCGTCGAAATTCAGACTTACAGTAATGCTTCCGATCACCCATCACACGCTTGCGCTCTTTCTCCAGTCCCCCAAAGAAAACATCACAATCTTGGCCAGGCATGTCCCCGTGCCAAGACGGGAACCTAGCCCCGCGCTCGTCGGGCATGGCCAGGTCCCATTTTGCGTACGCGGCTATCCGTGCCTGCCCTTGCGCATCTTTGGTATTGGGATCGATGATTTTGATGTATTTTTGATACGGCTTTGTGAGCATGTCGATGCGGTTGGCTTCGGTGAACCATTCGCGCGTCCCTGGCGTGTCTGGGAATAGCTTACGCATCCCGGGATCGCTGAACACGGTGAACCATAGCTCTGTAATGGCCGGAAGGTCATTGAGAGTTGCAAGTTCTAAGACTAGAGGGCTTGGGGTAGACATTCTGGCCTGCGTGTTGAGTTGGTTGTTGTCAGGGGGTAACTTTGGGGGTATACAGTGGGGTCGCAGGGTTGGTCGCAGGGTTAGCCACTAGGTCAAGAGTTTATAATATTCCCGATTCGAAGCGTGAGTCAGACGCAATGTAAAGAAATATATAGATCAGAAGAGAATTTTCCCTTGGCATCTTACATGCAGGTCTGTATTTTTTTCTTATCAAAGTCTAAACATAAGCAAAACAAATAGAAGCGGCGCTATACCTACCCCCCTGTAGCATCACTCAGTATTTCGGAAAAGTAGCAAATTTCCAGCGCTTTCCGCCCCTGATTAGCTGCGAATCCACACCATCGCTACCGCTACTGACATACAGCACCTTGGTAAATGCCACTTCGCTATAATAAGTGAAAGCCACACCGACCGGAACGAAAGCTACATCGCCAGTGTATAAAGTTGCCACGGGATAGTCCCCGATCTGAATCATAAGCACACCCTCCACAACCTCAAAAGCAGCAGCTCCAGACAATACATAAGTGGGCGCATTTTTCTTAGTTTGGCGGCTGAGCGAGATGGTCGAAAGAGTGTAGTCGGCATCCTGGGACTGCTTAGTGACCAGAGGCTGAATGACCTGGTACCCGTACTTGGAGCTGAGGTACTTGGGACCGTATCCATTCGCAACAAAGTATGGCTTACCAGAGCCACGCAGAGAATCATCGCCGGTGTGCCACGAGTTACCAGGGGCGGTGCCATTAACCAGATCACGACGGGGCTCGAAGCCAAGCTGGGCGTAGACGTCGAACCTCTGCAAAGCAGACATCATGCTGGGGTCGGGCGCCGAAGAGCTGTTGGAAACAGCCGGAACGAAGGGGGTATTGGTGGACGAGGTATAGTTGGTTCCAATGGCATAAAAGAGTTCCCTTCTCAGGTTAGTCAAGTTCATACAATTTCGGTATATGCAAATTTACTCAAAGCCACCAGGAACAATAACGCCAACCATCTCGGTATCTGGGTCCAAAATCTGGAAGGTGTGGGTCGTGTTTCTGGGGACCGACCCATAATCACCCGCTGTCAACAGGCGAGCTTGTTGCTCCTCTGTACCCTTTTGCGTCCAGAGCTGGAACCTGCCCTTGAGATTGAAGAAATTCTCAGAATGCTTCTGGTGTATGTGCGGTAACACGCCTAGTGCTCCGCTAGAGGGTGCGTTGGTGCTCATCAGGGTGAACGCATTATCCGAGGAAGGGCCAGTCACTGTGAAGCGGTACAGCTGATCCCCAACGGTGACGGCATGCGAGTTTGCGTAATGTGGAATGACATATGGACGTGGGGAAGAGGGTGCATTTTGGAGGTAGAGCTCCTCCAGGGTAGCGGACTGGACGAGCCTGCCGAATGAAGCAAGCAGAATCAGCGAAGACACCAACATTTCGATTTCAAACCAGACACGTTAATCTGAGACTGAAGTAAGTTCTGTCTCCAAGAATTTGTGTGAGCCCTCCGTTCTTCTCACTTTCTCCACTGCAGACACATTACAATCGAAGTCTTCGAAATCCAGCAAGCCCCTATGTCGGAAGCGCTCGGCAATTATGGAAGACCGGCATGCCCTAGCCTATGTCGAAGAAATATGCAAGCAATATATCTGGTCCTACATCATACGATGTATATTGTGTCGATTGTTAAGCTTGGTGGATATCCACCGCGGAGATAATCTTTGCCGAAGTCACATTTTGTCCCCATGTGGCTTGCCAATGGAATGGCCTGGCAGACTTATTGCATGCAGATTACCAACCGGATGAGTGTGGCGCCGACTCGAGACAATGACAATTTAACTGAAATCATATGAAAACACGGGGTGACTTTGTAAGTTTCTTGCGTGGACACTCTTATATTGCAGTCCTGTTTCGAATGAGCTTGGCGGCAGTCGTGCGACAGTTTCAACAATCCAAAACGACCTAGACTTGAAAGACATCGAGCGATTATCGTTTCGATAGTATCTAGCAAATCTTTCGTCAACTGATATCCACTTCCCGAATGGCGTTCTTAGGCGACGGGTGGCTTCGGCTTGGATTTTCGGGACACTAAGGCGACCAATCCAGCGAAAGGGAGATGAAATGAATTTAAATTTCAATTTCATGGCTAAATCTACAATTCATATTTACATTGAAGAGTAACAAAAAGATTGGTGGACATACGGCAAGACTCGGCAAGCCCAAGTTTGACAGATTGTGCTGCTGTTCATGAATCGGCACCCTCGAGACTTGCGATCCTCAAACGAGTGGCAACAAGTATGCGCCAACACTATAGCGAAATTATTAGCAATTAAATCCTCAAAGAATAAGAGTGCACATACGAGATAGCTGCAAAGCAGGCACATAAGATAGCCCCCTCCATATAATTGGTCTTTCCTTTGAGAACGATGAAATCGACCATAAGAACAGCCCCGATCAGTGTGACCATCTCGAACTTGTCAAAGTGCAAAGTCATGGGCTTGTCGAGAGCCCAGCCAATAAGAACCATTGCAGGTGACACCAAGAGACCAATTTGAATGGCTGATCCAAGAGCAACACTGATGGCAAGATCCATTTGGTTTTTCGAGGCCACAACAACCGCAGTCACATTTTCGGCAACATTTCCGGCGATGGGTATGACGATCAAGCCGACAAATGATTCGCCTAGAACGCCCTGTTCATTGAGGATTGAGAAGCTTGAGGCGAAGAATTCTGCGCAGATAGCGATGAGGATTGTTGACAAGGCGAGGAGGGATACAGATATCATGCGGTTGGATGTTCTGATATAGCGATCACAGGAACATCCCAGAGAGTCTCCAATAGGATCCGTTTGTCTGTTGAGGCTCGTTCTTCCTTCGGATGGACCGTCATGGAACAGTGGCATTGCCGATGCCGTCTGTGCGTCGACTGAACATGACCGTGATCGAACCTCTTGCATCTCTAGATGAGGAAGAGCCCTGCTTGTTGCGCTTGCGAGATCGGTGGGATGCGATTCGAGGTCTGTATATTCGTGATCATCGGTTGGAAGTGGTGTCTGAAGCCGCGTGGAGAGGAACAAGTGAGCGTGTGATTTGAACTGGAAGAAAAGGTATAAGAAGTATGTGCCGAGGAGGATGATCGATACCCCCCTGCTGAAGGATAATGACATATGATCAGCAGAAGAAACGCTTTTCACACTGCCATAGAACGCGCTCTATGTTTAAGATTAGCATCCAATATAATTGGAACATTCGAAACATCGCCTTACTGGAATCATAAGGCAGGATATTGTGAGATTGAGAAGTCCCACAAATGAGTGTGTAAGGTCCGTGTTATATGTCACATCACTCTTAGAGATACAGCCTGCTATAATTGCAGACCCAAGAACAAGCAGGAGGTTCACCAGGATAGAGCCGAGAAGTGATGATTGGACTACTTTGATGTTGTTTTTTAACAAAGCAGTGCTATAGGCGATTAGTTTCGACTCAGCCCCAAGGCAGTCAACTTGGTGTTATGTGCAAACTTACACGCTACATGCTGGTCAGTGTATGTTGATTGGAAAACACGAAACTCTCAAGATTGGTACTCACAAAATGATCAGCTCCGCTAGATTCCCTATGGTGATGTTGAGGAGAGCGCCAGCGGTCTCACCCAAATCCTTGGAGATCCTCTCAGTGGCTTCTGTGAGCGTGATCGACAGCGGCACAATAGCAAGGAGGTTCCAGATGAATATTACAAGCGCCGGGCTTTTGGTTTCAGAAATAATGATTGCCGATGCGGCGAATGCACCGGAGAAGATGATCCTGGGGCTGAGAATCTGTCGTGCCTGTTGTCTGAACATGGACATCGGATTGCAGGGTGTGCCATGGTGGGGCCAACCCGACACACCGTCATCATCGGAAATTGGTGCCTTGTCTTTTCGAAGAAAGTTTTTCACTTTATGGAAGATATCGTTGTTGTCTGAGCCTGAATTTGCAGAGGCCAGCTCGGCTTGTCCTTGATAACGATAAGAATTTGATATCAGCCTTGGCCAGACGAATTGGATGGTACAAGACTCACTGCTCATTTCATATTGACAAGGATAGGAACCACTTGATCTGGGGTCGGATTCGAAGGAAGTGTTCAGGGCAGCATGCTCGTCAGTCGAGCTTTCAGCGAAAGGATTGATGTCATGCAGGTTATTATTGGAACCATGCACTGTGGTCATCATGAAAAAAAAAGGCCCTCAGAAGAAAAGATCGAAACCACTATATAAATGCCAAAATTGAGGGCAGACTGGCCATCTGAAACTGAAAACGAAAGGTTTGAAAATGAGCGTGTTGCATTGGGGTTGCGGGAATTGATTGTCGACACGCGAGTTGATCGCGGCACAACCCCTTTTCCTTAGTGGCACACCTGTTTTAACCAGATTCGAGCTAGCACCTCTTGGCTGCCCTATTTAATTCGACCTAATTTTCCCCTTATACAGCGCACAGTGGACTATGTGGGGACCATACGCCTATTGACCGCCTACCGTACTCCGTAGATTAGCTTTGCGATCAGCCAAATATCGAAAGAAAAAGACTTATCTCAAAATCTGTCAGTCAAAGATGTGCGATGGATTGAAGACAACTTATATCCAAGCTTTTTCTCCTTTCAAATACTGTGACGTTGGTACTCTGTCCTCCGTAGAAGCAATTTGATAAAATGCCTATTTTAGGACCGGCAGTACCGGGAGTGCCGGCAGAATCCAAGAGCGGTGCCTGATCCCTGTCAGCGCCCCACTCGGATGTTCGATGTGCAGTCACGTGGGAGTGGGGGCTGATAGGGCTAATCCCAACTTGGCTTAGGGTGGTGCCTCAAATAAAAAGGGGTGTGCGGATATCAAAATTATTTTTCAACATCCCAAGGTCTAACGGGATGCCCAAGTTCAGCCATCTTCTACTCCATACAGTACCCCCACTACTAGGGGATCCAATCATGGCCTAAGAGATGGATCTCAAAGGAAAGAATGACGGAATGGATGTGGAGCAAACAAGGCTGGGAGCCAGTTGATCTGTCTCTTGTGGGTATTGGATGCAATAATCCCCGCAGAGATTGGCGGGCTGGCAATGGATTATACGATTACGCGTGGAAAAGGGGCTCAGCCCTGGAGGCCTATAGGCCCCCGGGGCCATTGATGACATAAAAACATAGAATTGGTCCCAAGTTCCTTGGAAGCGTCGCCAAGACCTATTTTGGAATGGTTCATTTAATCGCTCATAAGGTATCTCATGCTTACTTTGTTCGGCAGACAACACCATATACCCAGGAGTCTACTAATATGTCTCTTGAAGTTAGCGCCATGGACGGTCTCAACAAGCCGGGGGAAAATAGACTCTGGAGGTCTTTCAATCCGTGTACTACCAGTGTATGTTTGTGTCCTACTGATCTCGAGAATGAAATTATGTAGTATAAGAATAGATGGCTACTTATGCGGCCTTGTGTTATCTTTCAAGTGGCCTTTTCGAATGTTCTGCTTAGATGTTTTCAACCTATTTTCTTATTCCTTGGCTTGGGAGGTACGTACGCATACAAGAGAGAGAAAGCGGGAGGAGGCTTTGTTTGTGCAAACGACTTTTCAATGTACAATCTAGGAAAGATATGAGAACAAGGATAAAAACACTTGTAAGTCATCGAGGCTCAAAAGACCCGCAGCCGCTCTAAAGTATTGTATAGGCCGTAGTGAGTTGCCCCCTGCATCGACGAAGGCATTTGACACCATACCACGTCCGTGATTGGATCTCCGGCTACGGAGTAAACATGGCTATCATTCTTATGACGTGGAACTTAGCCCATCAGCACCAAGGTAAATGTCGACTCGAGATAGATGGCAGGTGATCATAACCCACCTATTAAAGTGACCAGAGTGGATAAGACATTTGCATGGCTATCAAACACTGTGCATCCTACATGATCCTAGTTTACATTTACAAAAGGGTCCTCGCAAGTGGTGAACAATGGAAGCTCCATTGAGCCCTCGAAACTACGAATCCCCTCGCAGATGAAAAGCACGTCGAGTTTCCCCGATTGGTGTTTTCCTGCCAAATTTCGAATCTCAGATACCAAGTTTTTCAAGCGTTATTGAAACCCATATAGAGACAAACTTTGGACGGTTAGGGGACTCGAGCTTCCAACGTTCTAAATGTATCGTCAGCGAAAATGACATCTAACTATCAATAGCAAAAATGTCATCGAGTTGATATTAAGTCATTTACCCGAAATATTACCGAGCTTGATCAAAAGAAGCGATTTTCCACACGAGAAGTATAACAATCAATTCCTTAATTATACACACGATATCACCAGGCAAATATAAATACATTACGCTGCGAGTTTCCGAATCTGCCCAACAAGATCGATCACGGTCTCCTTGAAGGGTCGATATTTGACCCCCAACTCCCGAGCTGCAGTATCCCCGTCGATTCCATAAGAGCCAACCGGTTTCTGACCCATTGTATAATTCGTGGTTACAGTCTCCTTCGCCCAGTCGAACTCATTACGAATGATATCCGCAGCGTATTCGTACGAAAATGGCTCCGGCGAAGCCGCCACAAATCTCTTTCCACCAGCTTCGGGTGTAAGCAAGGCCTGAACATGCACCTCAGCAAGATCGCGGGCATCAATCCAACCCGGCACCCGCGTTACAGGAAGTGGATCTGCACCTGAGGCCACACTCCAGAGGACCATGTTTGACTCGTTGAGCTGCTGCACCGTCGGTACGGGGTGTACCACGGGACCAAAAACCATAGGGGGACAGAGAGTCACCAGGTCAAATTGAGTCTGATGCTCCTTGACAAAGTCCCATGCTGCGATCTCAGCAAACTTCTTCGAGCCGCGGTATGCGGTGACAGAGTCGGATTTCGGATCAATTGCCTCCTCGTATGTCAGTGGGTTCCAGTTCGCGGCAGTATAGGTGAATCCTGGTTCCGGAGTGCTGCTTGGGTTTACCACTGAGGCGAAAGAGGATGTCATGACAAGGCGCTGGACTTTTGAACCAGATTGGGCGGAGGCGGAAAGAATTGACTTGACTCCGTTGATGGCGGGCAAAATCAATTCCTGCTCGTTATTTGTGGTGTCATAGAAGAAGGGCTGTGAGGTACGTTAGTACGTTCAGTCAGTCATAAGCAGAACTATGAGTTGCCTACGCTCGCTACATGGATGACCGCATCAATGCCATCCATTACAGAATCGAAAACACCAATCTGGGTGAAGTCTTCCACAACGACAAAATCAAGCTTTGAGGCGTACTGCGGACGTGCAGCTTTCATCTGCTCTCCCTTCTGCTTTGATCTTGTTGAGCCTCGGACTGAGAATCCGCGAGCCAGGAGGTTATCGACAACATGGGCGCCGATGAATCCTGTGGCGCCAGTGACGAGGACATACCTGCGATTATTAGCACTGATCGTGTAGTTGAGAATATACCGACTTACGAAGGCTTCTGAGAAGACATTTTTGGTAGGTATAGGTGTCTAGTTGGAGGGGCAGGATGAATGACGACAGGTGAGATCCAGGAATGAAGTTATTATAGTAGTGCCCACCCCGCGTGGGGGAAGATCGGGACTCTGGCTTGGGGTTGGTGCGAGACGCGAGATTTATATCCACAATTGCTGTTAGTGTGGGGGAGAAAGATAAGGCCGAAAAGATTGGTTGAATAGAGGAGAATATCTATGGATCACATTGATCTAACTGATTGCTTATATAGTCTAGATATGTATGTATAGGGAATTTCTATATACACTACATCATCACTCCTAACTCACTTCTCCTGCAGCACCTCCTCCGTTGTACGGACAATAACATCAAAGGCATTGCGGATGTACTTCTCTTCAGCCATAGTGTTGGCACTAATCACCCGAATGACGCACACGCCATCAACGACTGTAGATGTGATGAAGATCTCGCCCCGCGAGTTTACTAACTCGGAGATCTTCTTGGTCAGCTCGTTAGCAACCTCATCTTTGGCCACGCGGTCAGACGCCCCGTTAGACACAGCTTGCGGGCTCTTGACGCGGAAGACAGTCAAGCCAAAGCCTGGCTTTGTGACGATCTCAAATATATCGGATCGGTTGCGCACCAAGCCAGCAAAGACGTCACCAAGCCCGATTGTCTTGCGGATGTGCGCTTTCATGCCATTGAGGCCATAGCTCCGGATCACAAACCAAATCTTCAGTGCGCGGAATCTGCGACCGAGAGAAATAGACCAGTTCCGGTAGTCGATTACTGTTCCCATATCGGAATATGGGTTGCGCAGATATGTTGGTGTGATATCCAATGCGCTTGTCAGATCTAAGCGATTCCGGACAAAGAGGACGCTTAAAAATGTTAGCACAAAGGTGCAAATTTACCCACAGGCCATTCAAATCCAAAGCTTACCTGGCATCAAAGTTGACTAGCAGCCATTTGTGCATGTTCATGTTGAAACTATCAACACCATCCGCAAAGTCCTTTGCAATATACTGCCATTCATCCGCCACGAGCGATGCACCGGCATAGGCGGCATCGACATGCACCCAGATACGCTGCCACGCCGGCTTTTCTTGCAGAACTGCCTTGAGCTCTGCAAAGCGGTCCACGCTGCAGGTATTTGTTGTGCCAAATGTCATAGTGAGTTGGTAGGGCGTAAGGCCGTCCTTATCGCATTTCTCAAGAACTTCACGGAGACGAGGTCCGGTCATTTCCATGTTATCCTCCAGCCGGGTGGGAACACCGCGGAAGCGAGTACCTGCAACCAAAGCGCCCTTAGCAGCGCTGCTATGGGTTTGATCACTGGCAATAGCGACTAGCTTGGCTTGGACATCGAATTTGCGGTCCTCATACTCCGGTGTACCCTCCTTCAGGCCCTCGGCAAGCAGCAGCTCCCGCACGCGCCTCTCCCGCGCAGCGACAATAATAGTTGCAATAGCATCACTCGCACTGTTCTGGATCACACCGCCGCCGTGGGTCTCTGATGTACTCCGGAAACACTCGGGCAATGCCAGAGCTTTCGCGACCCAGTCCATAACAATGGTTTCCATCTCAGTGCATGCTGGCGAGCACAACCAGTTGAAAGCAGGAGCGGTGAATGTGGCGGAGTACATCTCACCCAGGATACTGGGGTATGTCACGCACGCAGGGTAGTATGCCATGAAATTCGGAGACTGCCAATGGGTTAAGCCGGGTTTGATTTTGTTATCAACATCTTCCTGAATTTGCGCCCAGTCCTCTGGCTCATCAGGTGGGTTCTCTGGGATCAGAGGGCGAAGATATCCGGGCTCGACGGCGGGTAGGACTCGGCGCTCGGGCACGCTGTCGAAGTATTTGACGACTGCACGGGAGCTTGGTCAGATTGAATATTATCGTATTTGAAGGTTATACAAATAGAAAACGGCACATACTATCATCAATGGCAGAGTGTGCTGCAGTCTTGAACTGGTCGCGGTCCATGCTGCGCGGCAATTAGAGATCTGCGATGCGGGGTACTGTGGAAGTGTAAGTGCGGCAATTGGTGGCACAGCACAATACAATATAGAAGAAGTGACGGAGAAGAAGTGACGGAGAATAAGTATACAAGTGAAAGAGTTGATATTGAGCCCACAGCGAAACTTTCGTGGTAAATGTGGGAAAAGTAGAAATGTCAAAAGGCGCGGGGAGGACTGGAATTAATTCCGTCGGAAGGCCTATTCCGTGTTCCGAGAGCTCGGAATTTTCCGCCTTTCCGAGAAGTATAGAACAGGACCTTCCTCTAAATTCCAAATATACATCGCCTTGATCAATCTTCCTCTTCTTTGGGATCATAAATATCGCCTGCAGGTGTCTTCTCCAATCTCTTCCCCTCCTCCGTTACAATCTCCTTACTAGGGATAACCACCACAAACATCCGAGCAACATCCTTGCCTCGATTTACCCATTCGTGGTTTGCGCCGCGGCAGACAATGACATCGTGTTGATTTAGGATCTTCTCTTCACCTCCATCTGTTATGAATCCAACGGTGCCAGACAGTACCACAGCGTAGTCCAAGCTTAGCGTCCGATGGAACCATCCTGCATCTGCCGGGGGTAGATCAAGGATGCGGCACGAAGGTCCCTTAGTGTCAGCCAGCGGGACCAAGGTCTTATGCGGATCGGGGAGCTGGCGTGTATTGTCCACAGGAAAACCGCGTGACCGGTGAATTTGGATAACCCCGAATCCAGAGTCAGGCCCCGGGGTTGAGAATGCCGGAGCAGAGGTAGGATCGTATGGTGTTAGAATTTCGTCGGAGGCAAAATAAGCCTTTCCTTGAGCACCGTGGCCTGTGATGACACGACGAATTGGAGTGTCCATTGTAAAATGATCAATTATTTGGAATGACTGATGGACAAATGGAGTAAAGGGAGTCTTTAGAAGTGAGGAGTGAGGAATATGGCAGCATAGAAAAGAACAGGTTGGAAGGCTTGCTCTTTTTATATACAGAAATTAAGGTAGGTTCGCAATTCAATCATCTATGGATAGAGTAGGCACGCTGGTCCTGATTGATAATCACGAGATTGGTAAGATGGGGGCTGAAACCCCACGCGCGCTGCGAGGACAATGCTTTGGGGCTATTTCAGCCGCTGACAAAACACCGTCAATCTAGTGCTGACCTGATTTTGATCAAGAATGAGTGCTCGGAGAGAAGAGACCCGCTGTTGTTTACCTAGCCTCATTGAAATACCTCCGAGTCCTTCTTCACATACCTCCGCATTCAGGTCCCTCCTCCTTCTCTGGTTTGTCAAATCCCTCATCATATACCTCAGCTTCTAGGTTCTTCCCTTGGATGTTCAACTTTTCCATCGGCAGATACACAAACAACATGCGGCACCATTTTGTGTCACTCACATTCCGGAAGGAATGCGCAGTACCCCTTTGCACACTCACGTCGCCACGATGCATACGCCGACTAGCACCCGAGTCCAGTAAGAGATCAACATCACCCTCAATTATCACCCCATAGTCCACGCTCACTGTCCGATGCATTGGTGTCGCTCTTCCTGGACGGAGATCAATCAGACGGAAAACGGTTCCGCCATCAACTGTGATTCCAGGAGGTTGATGCAGGAACTCATCGTACATCGCGACGTCCGCCTCAGCGTCAACCGAGGCTGGCATAGTGGTTGTAGCGTAAAGCAGGGCAATCTCGCCATCATCTCCGCTTGGTGTCGATGGGAGGTAGTCAGGAACTTGCGCATGAGAGAGAAATACCGATTCGCCCTCGGTATTGTGAGTGGTGATGTAGCGGCGGATATAGGGGAGGTCATTCTTATGGTAAGGCATAATGAGCTGACAGGGGTGAAATTTGATGAAGAGAAAAGTGGTATTAGGCTAGTGATAGTTAGGTTGTTGAGAAGTTGTAACTGCGTCTCTGAGGAATTGCTCTCACATCATGGTGGCATCATGGCTTAGATCAATGGAATTCCCAAGTAGGTAGGATCAAGCATACTTTGGTTCCAAGGTTCAGCAAAAGGCAATCGCCACGCATATACCATATGAGTCTGTAGAGTCTTTCGCAGTCACGTTCTCATCCTCTATCCATTAAGCAGGGGAATCACGTTCTATCACTCGATTGGCAAAGTGACATTTGTCAACTCGGTAAGCAAGTCTGTCCAGTCTGGTGTATTCAGCTCAATATTAGCGCTGCTCTCTAACATTTCCGCCCATATGTCTTCAAGTGGTACTGGACTAGGCAGCGCATCTGCTGAAGAGAACACCGTTGATTGACCAATGGAATTCTGTGGAGGAAATGGAACGGCACTCTTCGAACCTAATGAAACAGGCGTGAGTAAATCCGGCCGTGGGGCACTTTCTGTTGTAGCATCCGAATTTGAAGATGCAGAATGCTCCTGTGAGTCGCGAGAACTTGCACTTTTTTCGTGTTTCCAATGCCTTCGCAAGATATCCATCATAGCATTGATTCCCTCACGTGCGGTAGGCGAAGATTGTTGTGCCCGGCTAAGCATTCGACAAGCTCTGAGTACCTCCTCTTTTCGCTTCTCGGCCAAAATGTCATCCCAATTAAAACAGACATCTATCAGGAGGATGGCGGCTGCCATGAATACGTGGTGCATGACTGCCCATATGACCGAGCTATGCGGGGTGAAGGCAGGCTCTTCCTCATCCATAATGCGTTTTACTTCCAGTACCCTCCGGGCAGACTGAAGGGATATCACATGGGAATAAGAATATTTGGGGTCCTTTGCTCCGCGCACGAAGTAGTGGCGATGCAAGCGGCATAGTCGTGAATGAAAGCCCTGCTGCACCACAGCTCGCTGCCACGCAAGGGCTGGTCGCTCACGATAAAGCGCCGAGTATCTACGCCGAGAAGCTTGGTCAAAGCGAAAATAACTGGGAATCTCACGAGATACCTTGTGAAGCTTTTGATCGAGCTCGAGTATCTTCTCATAGGGTACCTCTTGTCCATGAAAATGATAGTATGACATGGTGTCAACAATTTGGCGACATACAACAGCTAACTTCAATCGACATAGACTGAATGACATTGCGGTTGGAGTAGATAGAGGGACACCATTCTCGCTATGGTCGATGTCTTCATCCTCGACATTAAGAGGCTCTTGTACAACCATATGCTGAGGTTGAATCGAGTACGTCCACTCTTGGGGTCCACTCAAAAAGCCTAGAAACCTTCAGGTATTTTTAGTCATAGAACCGGCAGGGTCTCTTGCAAACAACGTACCAGTCATATGTTGCCAAGTCCCACCACAGCCGTCGCTTGAGTTCAACATTGGGTTTATCAAACCCGTTTGCTGACCGTTCGGCTACGATCCGAGGAGAGTCCACAAGATGAAGCCTCATACTCGTGGCTTGACTCACGAATGACCTATGCACAAATAAAGGACTGACGGAGGAGGGCAAGTCCATATTGGACAGATGATGACCAATGATCATAGTCGCTTGCAGTCCTTCAAGATTGGGATAAGGTATATAGTTGCTCTGAATCAATGCGGAGCCTGCCAAGAATGTACTTTCTTGACTGAATGGTTCTGCGTGCTCGGGTGACTCAACTAGGAGTTGGTAATACAAGGCGGCAGCAGTGATCCCAAACAGCAGCGCAGTATGGGCCAAATTGATGGGCTCATTTCGCACAGCACAATCGTAAATTGTCTGAATCTGTTGTTCCACGTGACTGGGTATGATGACATGATACTGGAAGTCAAGATATTTACAATAATACTGAAATAGACTCAGGGCTTCTGCCAGCGGCGGTAGATAGGACGGCAGATGGATAGTAGCCGGATTCTCACGAGAGGCGAGCCGATCCCATGTTGTAGGAAATCGATCGCTAGGCGTGGTATCTTGCTGGGTAGGCGAGTGCTCGGGTTCCCGGTGCTGGGAAAGCTCCGCCCTCAACGTGGCGGGGACTGCACTTGGTACGCGGTGTCCCATGACAATTGTTTCAAGCCAATCGGCAGTTAAAAGGGACTCATTTCTGTTGCTGTTTTGTGTCTCCGTGTCCTGTCGTGGAGTCCACTGCAAGGTTGGAGGTGGTTCAGACACGCGATCGTCCAATATGGGCCATTGATCTGTTTGACTCATAGGTCGTATAGGCGTTGTGCCCGAGCTGTAGCTTCCATAGCCGCACTCCAGCTTTCGTGCAGTGCAGCTACTGCATGGGAGCCCTCTATTACACTTCAGCTTTTTCTTTCGACAAGACTCGCAGGAAACGGGGTCTTGTCGAGAGGGTCTCTTCGAGCCTGAGGTGGCGCCCCCAGCATCTGATCTTCGTTTCATGGTGTAGATTGCCTCGAAAACATTTCAAAGGTAGATGGAGCCGCGAAAGCGAAAAGGCTGTGGGGTGATTGTTTGTTTTGCGCAGCAGACAGCTTGTAGATGTTCGTCTGGAGAGTCCGCGGATTCTCCGAGACGCTAAACCATATTCGGCGATTGTGCCTTCGTGCATCTAGACAGTAGCTCGGAGACTCCGAGGGCGATTATTTACCTTGCAGATGTAATTCATCTGATGTCTTATAAAGACCAAGGCCTTCCGCGATGTTTTTGCTTCACTCCAAAGCAGCTTCTCATTTCTTGTGATTCCCATTGACCGGTAAAATGGGTTCGAAGAGTAGTCCCCCAACTGAATACACGTACGTGAGATACGCTACAGGTTACGATATAACTGACCACTGATCCTGCTAGAGCTCGAGCATGGCTGGTCATATTCGGTGCCTTCACCTGTGCCTTTTGCACTGTGGGCTTTATGAACTCGTTCGGTATCTTTCAAGAGTACTACACAAAGAATCAACTATCTGCAAGCTCCACATCTACCATTGCGTGGCTCGGGGCAATAGCAATATTTTTCTTGTTCGCTACATCTGTCTGTGCGGGAGCGATGGTTGATATTTTTGGGCCAGCGGTAGGATCATTGCCCCCGATCATTGGAGAGGAAACTAATGTTTTCTTCTAATAGTTGATGCTATATGTTGGCTCATTTGGATGTGTTTTCGCACTCATGATGACTTCGCTATGCGACAAGTTCTATCAGTTTCTACTCGCGCAGGGTGTCTTGCTTGGTATCTCTATGGGCCTGGTGACATGGCCTATGCTCGCGTTGATCGGACAATACATCAAAGTGAAGCGTGGTGCGGCGATGGGGATTGTTCTTGGAGGTTCGTCACTTGGCGGAGTTATTTGGCCCATTGCAATCGACAGATTGATCAATAATTCCAGCATCGGGTTTCCCTGGACCATGCGAATTGTCGGCTTTATCATGATTCCTTGCTTGATCTTCACTTGCGCAGTTGCCAGATCTCCAACAACACCTACAACAAACGTGGATAGTTGTGACCCAGAGCACGAAAGCGTCGAAGATACCACCCAAGAAATGGAAAAATCGCAGAGTCACAAGGAAGAGGCTATGGTTCTTTTACGAAAGCCATCGCTGCACCTACTATGCCTCGCCATGTTCGTCATATACTTCGGTATGTTCTCGCCATTCTTCTATACGACTTCTTATGCGGTCGAAAAAGGATTCTCGACATCTCTGGCATTCTATACTGTCTCTATTGTGAACGGGGCTTCATTCTTCGGCCGAGTCCTCCCCGGCATCATTGCGGATAAGTACGGAAAGTTCAACTGTTGCATTATAGCCACTATATCCGCAGGGGTTATTGCATTAACCTGGACCAAGGTGACATCTGTGGCCGGTCTGGTGGTTTGGTCTGCTGCATACGGCTTTGCGTCTGGTGTGAGTTATCTCGAATAATAATACAACTCGGATGCTAACTAGAGCTGTAGGGCATTTTATCCCTCCAGCAAGCTTGTGCCGCCCAGGTTTCTACTTCTACCACTCTTGGTCTAGCAATCGGAACTGTGTCAGCCTCCACGGCTCTATCGTATGACCACCATATCTTGAAAGGATAACGTGAAATGCTGACACAAACTGCAGTGCTATGGCAAATGTGCCCATAAGTGGTGCTCTAGTTGAAAGATATGGGTATCTCTCCCTGTCAATATTCTCAGGCACATCCTTATTAATTGGCGGTTTTCTTTTGATTGCTGCACGTCTGATACAGAACCGACAGCTTCGAGCCGTCGTTTAGTAGTTGTTAATCAGGATGAGTGGCTGCTCTTCTGGGCAGTTTGATATGTTCTCACAAAAAAAGCGGAATTAATAGAGATTCGTCCATTAGTAGTACCAGGCTCGGGAGAGGTGGCAAAATTGGTCAGAGTTAGCTCTGGCTTGAAGATCTCTTATATGGATATAGACTTGTTATAAAATTTGGATACAAATCTAGTACATATTAAATATCATTATTTTTACTTAGTAGAGGAGTTTTGAAGATGGACTAGTATGGATTCTCATCTATTCACAAGATTGACTCGGGACAATCTGCTAGTGTTCCAAATGATTGTTTTTCGTTACGACGGTAGAATTCCACTGATATATACAGAAAGCAAGAGCAGGTTCCAATAGTTGCACGCGTCTTAGATCTTAGGTGATTGTTAAAAGGTTACTTAGCCCCAGATCAAGGAGGAGGGCCGTTGCCATCGAATTCGAATTCAACAACACAACTAGCTTTTTGACATATAGCGATACGAATAGAAGATGTATCAGTCTTTTATCATAGTATTAACAGTTCCAGTTACTTCATTCAGAGGCGGAAAGGTTGAATTGTATCATTTACAAGAGGGAGAAGCTTGCCGGGGGCATGGGAATTTGACATAAAAAGGGGGTTCAGCCCCTGTGTGGCCAGGCGTCATACAATCCCTCGAATACCTTCACATCTCCAAATGTCGTTTCTCCTATGCCGTTATGGAAGAAGTTAATTCCCGTCGAGTTGGCGTACCAAGACCTTCATGTAGTTAGATATCGTCCCATATTTTAGAAATAAGATAAACGTACCGAGCCCATGTGCTTAGAGCAAACCGTCCATTGGCATATATTTCAAGAACCCCATTATCCACAATCACGGTGAGATCCAATGTCTCAATCTGCTTTTTTCCATTTTGCAAGACATCAAATAGCCGTAGACGGCCCGCCTCATTGGCACTGCTAATTCCATCAGTAGTTTTCGACGCGGCACTTGTGTTACTGCGGTCCACGATGATGGACTCGTTTGAAAATTGGTAATAGATCGTCGTAGATTCAAGATCGGAGGACAAAATCTGGAAGCCAGATTGAATACTCGAGTCACGGGCAGAGGTAGGGAAAGAGATTTTCGCTGTCAGAACAAAGAACTTGGTTGAGGGCGAGATGCTGAATGCCTTTGACCCAGCCTCCGATAATGTTTGATCGGACTCCACAGAAGATGAGCCAGATGTGAGAGCGCTGTAGGTCTCCCTGGCAATTGATATTCCCATCGTTTCGAGGTCAATTTGACCGTGTCCCTCGCGAGCCAAACGCCACGATGCCAAAGACTCACGCGACAGTTTGTTGTCTACCACGTTACGGATAGTGTGAGCATTCAGCTCCCGCGGCAGCAAGAGAGTACCTGTCCAATTTTGCTGAGCGGAAGGGAACTCTTTCGATAGCTCATATAAATCTCCAGTGAGCCAGGTGTAGGAGATAAATCGATCAGGAGCACCGCTCTTCCTAGATGCCTGAGAGCTCGCTGGCAAAATTTTGCCGGCAGCAGCATATGCCGATAAGCCCCAGTCAAGCACACCTGCCATGGTTGGGTTGAAGGTGACGGAGCCATCGTTTGTAATATCCCCGGCTACCCACAGCATATCGTGAATTGAAGATACCTTGGGAACGATGGGAACTTCAGAACTCTCGGTACCAAGGGTCATGAAGACTTCGCCGTCCTCGCTGTAACCGTCTGCATTCAGGCTGAAGACATTGCCAACCTCAAAGTTGAAGCCCCATCCACCCGCCCAGTCGCCATTTCCCCAAGTTGTATTGACGGGCTCACTCCACCATTGACCGAGATATTCCCAATATTGGAAGTCCGCATCATGCTGCCGGTAGAGAAACTGACAGGGTCCGACATCGTGGACCCCACCTGAGATGGCAGTATACCAGGTTCCTCGAGTACTGTTGAGAGCTATGTCAAGGGCTGGGCTCTGGAAAGCGTAGGGGTCACGGAAAGCGGTGACATTGACAGCAAAAGGAGGCGAAGGGATCATCGGGCCCTGGTCAAGCTTGGTGAAATTGCGTCCACCATCATAGGAAACGGCCAATGACTGTGTCTCACTTCCCCGGGTGTAGGGGATGGACCAATGAATTGGAAGGTATGACACAGAGGTATATAGCAGAGTTGGCATGCCGTCTATGCCGCTTGGAATGACAGAGCCATCGAAAACAGCAAGGGGGTCATTCTTTCCTCCCGCAATAATCGACGGGGCTCCATCAGGATTGAGGTCTCTGTAAGTAGCGAGATCATCGGTTGTAGCCCCTGCAATTCCTTCATGGAGCCAACCAACATGGAAGAGACCAGTCTTAGGATCGGTGTATTGCCCGCACGGGTCACCTATCTTCCCAGATGGAGGGAGGATATGGGCTCTGGGTCTCCAGGTCTCGAAAAGGGATGCATTTGTCAAGGTAGAAAGGTTCGGAGGAGCTGAGTTATAGTCAATTTGAGATTTATAAACAACAGCAAAAGCTCGATTGGCCAAAACCACGGTGATTGCACTTGACAGTTTCATAGTGTAGATCCCTAGATAATCCTAGTCATTTCCCCCGGATATACATACTTTTATATGTCTGATTTGCTCAGAATAAATTTGTCCGAGATTAACTGAAAACAGCAGCCAATAAAAATAGTATCCTATTCAATTCGGAGACCGCTGCGATGTTCATTACCTCTTCGAGCGCATTCGGCAGTTTTCATGAGCGAGCGGCAAAACCGCGGGGAAACCCCGGCTGGCGATTTCCCCGATGCAGAATACTATGATCCATCTGTATCTCGAAGATCTGATACTAAAAGGATTGTAAAGGGTTAGAAGATACTCTCAAAGTCATGAATAGTACACGATGACGTTTGCTTGGGCATTGTTAAATTTGACAATGATCAAAGGGTGCGATATGTTACTACCTGCGAGTCTAGACAATGAGGTATATGAGATAATCTTTTCAATCATTCTGCGGATTCGATTGGGGATAACGCTTTGGATTTCGTTCGGGACATTTTGAAGTAACTAGGAGCGCAATATTTTAAAGAAGGGGTTATTTACAACCATTGAGATTCCACTCAGATCATGGCGATAGCCCTAACTATTCGTTCCATCAGGTTCACCCTAATCCATCGGCTTTCTTGCAAATAATTTCATAATATGCTCACTGCCATGAACAGCAGCAACATCCAAGCTTGTTCGCTCGTGTACATCCTCCAACATAGGGTCAAGTCCGCGACCCATCAGAATTTTGAATCGTCGGACGACATTGTACGGGTATGTGTCACTATAATCATCATATTCCTTCTTAGATGCCAATAAATGGAGCAATGATGAGCCCACATTGTTTTGCGCCAAGAAGTCAGCACCAGCCTCTTCAAAAAAGTCGAAGACAGTCTCGGTGAGGTCATCTTCCTTCTCAAATCGTTCAGTCCAGCTGGAGGTAGGAAGTTTTACGCCGTTCTGGATATATTTGAAGAGAGGTGTGTCGCCATGGTGGTTTCGGGAGTTGATATCCACGCCCAATTCCAGGAATCGCTTGAAGTGAGCCAGTGGCTCATCCTCCGTGAGATGCTTAGCCAAATGATGAAGCGCGGTGTCCCCATTAGAGTCCGGCTGGAGAGGGTCAACCCCCAGTTGGAGAAGAGGATCAATAAGATCGAAGTTTTCTAGCGCCAAGGTGCGGTGAAATATTGATTCGCCTTTCCGATCGCGCAGATGGACAAGGCCCGGGTTTTTCATGACAACTTCATACAGGGTTTCCAACAAATCGGAGTCCTCCCACAAAGGAATGATATATAGGAAGGAACCTCTCGGAGGACAAATATGGTGGAGGATAGTATTGCCATCGTTGTCTTGTGCCATGACATCGGCGCCGCGGTCTATGAGCTCTTGGAAAATCGTTTTTGCAATGGTTGTACCGCCTTCGACAAAATCCATCTTCTCATGCAGTGCATGTGCACTCTGCGAAGCTGCAAGAAGTAATGTGCAACCAGTTGAATCACGCCGTTCAAGCTCCAATGACGGTAGTTGAAAGAATGGCCAGAACAAGTGCCCTGATTTCAAAATTTGATGGATAACAGTGTTTCTTGGGGGTTCAATGTCAGGGTTTGAGAGATCGGGCTCGTCTAAGTGTGGGAGAATTTGCCACCCCATACCCCATCTCTGGGAGATTCCTCCAACATATGTAGTAAATGGGTCTGCGCCATGATTGAGCAGCACTTCCATGATTCGCTTATCGAGTGAAACGCTGGCCGAATCTCTCAGACATCCACGTCGGTTTGTAAAGTAGTTCTCAGTGTATCGCAGATTAGGAACACTAGAAAAGAGGAGAGGCGAGACCTCCGAATCAAGAATACTGGCGTCATAATCGCTCTTTTGTCGAGGAATCACTGGCTCAGATCGCCTGATATTTGCGTAGTCACCGTGTGATAGCAATGTTTCGAGTACTTCAACCTCGCCGATTTCGATCGCAGAGAATATGGCAGCTGCGGTTATATGGGCACCGTGTGCCATGAGCAGTCTGGTCATCTCTAGATCACCTCCGGCTTTTGACAAACATGTATTTCCGAAGAAATCCACGGCATTGACATCTGCTCCGCTCTCAATGAGAAGCTTTGCCGCATCTCTGAGGAAGGGGCCTCTTTCGAAGCGAGTATGCAGGGCTTCGTGTAACGGGGTCACTCCGTGTTCATCACGTAGATCAAGATTCGCGCCCTTTTGAATCAAATATGGCAAGGCTTGATGAACATGCCACCAGTTGTGACCCAGAGCGAGCCTATGAAGTGCGCCTCCAGCCACAATAGAAGATCTGAATAAGGAGTTTCTCATGAAATGCGCGTCTAGACTGACGCCGACCTTCTCGACAAGTAGTTCCACCACGTCCATGTTGGGCAAAGCACGATCGCATGCAGTGACTAGTAGAGGCTCCACAAGATCCTCGCCTAGTCTTATTGATACCTCTTCACACCATTTGTGGTCATCAAGACTCAGTGCAGCATCCTTAATGCATACACGATCCAGTAGGTCTCTGTAGCCCCAAGCCACGAGAAAATGCAATAAAGAGCTTGTAGAGTAGTTTGGCTTGGATTTATTAAGCCTCTTCATCCCCTCTTCAAACAAATCGTACTGCCTGGCGAACACCAAGTTTCGCATGTAGGCGTAATCGAGTCTAGAAGACTCAGAACTATCATCGTGACAATCTTCTAATCCGCCGTACTTTCTGAACGCTTCTCTTGTCGCATCTGAGCGGCCTTTGCAAATGGCGTAACTAAGCCCCTCGATGGGGCAGGGGTTTGAGTCGGGAAGCCGAGATTGTAGTCGTGAGAGACAGTCCACCGTGTATTCGAGCCGATTTGAAATAGCTTCATCCAACGCACCACGAAAGCAATCCTTTCCTGGTGAGAGGGCTCCATGACCAACAAGAAGATCCAGAATTTCATCGAGCCGCACTGTATCATGCTCGGCATTTTGTTGGTTGCAATCCTCACTCTCATCTCTGCGAGGAGGGACAAGGAACGGCCTTTTATGATCGTTGACCAGCACACCAGCTGCATGGAGTAATTTCCTCTGCGGTATTCTCTCAGGACCGTTCCATAGTTTTTCTTCTATTTCAAATTGCACACATGCTCTAAAAAGGCGAACGGCGCTCAATGTCCAATATTGTGGGGTCTGCGCCAGCTTCGAGCAATGTGCGAACGGTCTCAGGGCGACCCGAACGGCAAGCATAGTGAAGGGCTGTTTCTCCATCCTTGGTTTGCCTGTTCAAAAATGCAGTCTTGTCTTGTACTCCAAGCGCTGATAGCCTAGAGCAGCAAAGAGCCACAATATTCGGCTGACGGGCTCGAGCTGCGATATGGAGCACTGACATCCCTTCGTGGGTTACCTTCAACATGTTCGCACCGGCATTGAGAAGTTTGACAACGTAGGACTCTGATATTGTAGCGGCTAGGTGCAAAGGTTGAACACCATCACAATCACTGGGACTCGGGTTCTTGCAGACTCCAAGGACGTAATCCAGGGTATGTTCTAGTGAGAATGAGTAAGTGACAAGTTCCACCCTAGCACACAGCACGTGCAAAGTGGTTCTGCCACGATGATTTGGCATATCTATGTCCAAGCCCAGGTTTATTAGATGCGCCATGATAGCAGGATGCGTGTAGTACCTCTCAGTAGCTGCAACCTCCATCAAAAGCGAATTTCCTTGATAATCGGTGGCCAAAGGATCAAGGCCGAGACCTATCAGATGGTCCAAACGATTGGTGTCATTGCAGCAACGATGCAAGAGGGTTCGGCCATCAAAATCACGCGTATCCAGGCGAGCACCAAGAGCAATTAATGTTTCAAAAGGCTCTTCATCTCTATTCGCATGTTTGAAAAGAGCTGTCTGGCCGTCATGATTTCGAGCTTCAAGGTCTGCACCAGCATTCAAGAGTTTGGAAATGAGTGGGCTACTCTGCTCCCTCGTCGTGTGCAACGGGCTATTGCCTTCATTGTTCATCGCATTTGGATTCGCGCCCAGAGATATCAAGGTATCAAAGACACGAGAAAGAATCTCATCATAGTCGCTCCTAAACGCTGCGACAGCATAATGCAATGGACTATCGCCCTTGGCGTCGGGGATATTCACGTCAGGATTAAATTCAAAAAAGGTAAGTGTGTTTTCCACCCAAAGCCCCTCAAGCCCAATGTGTAACGGAGTTTTCCCAGTCTTGGCAGTGACTTTGTTGATATCGACCACCCCAGTACTCAAAAGCACAGGAAACAGCTCTGCACCCTTATAACTTGCTTTATGTAATGGCGTGGCCCCAGAATCGTCCTCTGCCGCAGGATCGGCACCCGCTTCAAGCAAGATCTTCACTACATCTGCCTTTTGGTGTTCGCAGGCAAAGTGCAGAGCCGTCTGACCCCTAGGAGTTCGCACATCAATATCAGCCCCTGCTTGAAGCAGAGAATATAGACATGCCGTTAAAAGTTCTGGCGTGCGCAAATCTCTGTAGGATTGGCAAAGAGCATGTAAAGCAGTATAACCCCTTGTACATTCTTGATCCTCGTCACTTTTTGAATAACTCGTGTGATCTACTCCACGGCAAAATTCATCTCCCGCCTGTTCACAATATATGTTTGGGTCCGCTCCCGCTCGCAGCAAAACATCAATAGTCTTTTCATCTCCTTTCAAGCAGGCTATAAAAAGAGCGGTGTCTCCTCGGTATTTACCGTTTATATCCACACCTGGATATTGGATGATCAACTCAACCACCGCACACTGCCGATGATGCGCCGCCCAGTAAAGGGCTCGGTGATACACTTGACTGTCTTTCAGAAAAGGTAGGAATTCGGCTACCGTATTGAAATGGCCATGATGACAGGCATACATCAGAGGCGTATGTCCCAGTGATGTGGGTGAATTCCCACACGTTCTATCACCATATTCATCCTTCATCTTGGGAGTGAGTGGATTGACGCCAGCAGCAAGTAAAAGTCTGGCCACTGCTGCATGATTCCTTTCAGCTGCCACATGTAGTGAGCTGTACCCTTGGTTTTGTTCCGCGTTGGGGTCAGCTCCGTTGGCAAGCAACAACTGTACCACGCCGGAGTAACCGGAAGCGGCAGCCCAGTATAATGGTGTATTTTGGCAATCATCTCGCACTTCGATGTTACTTCCCCTCTCAAGTAAGTATGCGACATATTCATCTAAGCCAGCCCAAGCAGCGACGTGAAGCGCGGTGACGCCCCGGGTTTCATGTGTCGGCCATGATAAAACTCGCCAGGCGGCAAACATCCGCTTGTCCCCAACGAAGGCATCAAGCATCGCGTAGACACTCGACATATCCACCCCCGCTGAGACTGCGCGGCGGATGTGAGTGTACCAATCATCAGCTGCATACATCAAGAACGGAAACCGTAGTTTGAGTTCTAGGTGCTCTTTGGCCTTAGGATTTCCATATTCATATACATTGGATGTTTCCTCCAATTCTTGATAGACTAAGCACCCAGACCGGAGATAGGCCAGGCACGCAATAGCCAGGCACTTGTTTGTTGAGCCCGGTTGGAGAATTGGATATATCGTATCATCCAACTCACTTGAACGGGTGGACCCTTTCAAGAACTCGGTGAATGAGTGGTGAACAACCGAGACTGTTTCATCGGGAAGGATCTCGAGCAGCGGACCACAAGCAGCCCGGACTAGGTTTTTCGTCTCTTTTAGACTGCGACTTGCAGAAGCTTGTACTGTGTTTGCCATTTCAGCTATTTCGAGAAGACGAAGTGGGCGTGTGGCATGGGTCACAAACTGCAGGACAAGTAGTTGAAAGTCCTCTGGGACATTCGAGCGTCGCGCATGTTCACGCAGAAGGTCGTTGTACATCACATTCAAATCAGCCGGTAAAGCCTTGAGAACTTCATGTGCGTCGGCACCTGGCTCAAGAAATGCATCCATTGAAAGCTTGGCATACAAGAAGAGCCCATTCGCCCGACCGGGGATAGCCTCCTCTATGACACTCCATGATTCAGGGGAGATTGATGAGTGATGAAGTTTGTATTGTACGTAGGAGGCGATATCGAGATCGACAAGAGACTCTTCCAATCGAATCTGGGGAATAGAGAATGATCTAAGCGTATTCTCCACTATCGATACTGGGCGTGAAGTGATCAAAACTTTGACATTCGACGGGCGCCAATGTCCCAATCTGACCAAGCTGTGGAGAAACTCATCATTCCCCAGGTCCATCTCATCCAAGGCGTCTGTGACACAATAGACCCTGGGGAACGCGACCAGTGCCAGTTTAAGATCTCTCCAGAGATCGCTCGGAGACAAGCTGGCTAAATCACGTCTGTTTTCCATATATTCCTTCAGCTTGACCTGGAGTGGGGGGCTGTAGTCTAGGACTTGACATAGCCAGTCCCGCAATGCCGCCATGGGCTGATGGTTGGCGTCAATGATCTGTCGGAAAAAGAAGAAGATAACTGGAATGCCATCCTTTCGTAGTTGGTTGATAATCGAAGCAGCCAGGACAGACTTGCCGGAGCCTGGAATACCTTTAACCCACAGGATTCCATTTTCCTCGCCTTGGTACCACCTTTGATAGGTTGTTGTGGAGGTGAGCCATTTTCCTGTCCCAGCGAGATGTGAAAGACGATGCCTGGAGTATTCACTTCGTTCGAGATCATATGCGGTTGGCTGAAGCCATTTTCTGATCTTAACGATGTCGCTGGCAGGGGAGAGGAAGGACGTTGTCCACGTTGAAGTCACGAACGTCGTCTGGGCCAACCAGAATGGCATCATTTTCTTCGTTCTCTGGCGAAGTGGACATGTTGTTTGTTTCGGGATTTTCTGAGGAAGACACAATACTCTGTCCACTTGTGATGTTTGTAGAAATTAAGAAGCGAAGACGACCTCAGAGGTTGATCATAGGGAGCCCTTGAGACCTGTGGCCCCCGTTTTGCCAAGGGCGAGTACAACGCTGGCGCATTGCTAGCGCATTACACAGCCCAGCTCAGGCAAACATTGAGGCTCTTACAACCGTTGGGGCTCTACTCCGCCTATTCCCCTTTGCCAAGCCGGGGGAATATGACATCCATGAATTCTGACTTAGGACCCGGTAAGGGATACAGCATATCGGACTGTTTCATTGTCAGGGTCAAAGATTGAGTATATATAATGAATTTATTCCTACAAATATTAATAGGATAAGGTACAAGAATACCAGTGATATATGCATAAATGTATCAGGCTAGGAAACGATGTCCCGAGGTCTGGAAGCAAGTATCATCTAGGTGATCTAAACCCTAGGGTTCCCACCCAACAAAAAGACAAACCAAAGGTACCAAAGGACTTCGATATCCGACGAGGGTGATTTATTCATATGCTCCAGCAATAATTTGAAACCAACTCATGGCACAACATACAAAAGATGACTCAGATGAGTACCGAAATATCCTTACAGCCATAAAATCAAAGCATCAAAAACAGAAATCCTTCCCTTAGAATATCCATATACACATTCAATCATGAGAGACACAAAAAAAACCTAAATCCTATCGGAAGAATACAAACGAACGGGCACGCCGAGATCATGCGACATGGTAAGGTTGGATAATTTCACAGGTTCTTGTCGAGGATGGGGGTCCGCGTTTTCGAGACTATCAAAGTGCTGCATCAGACGAACGAGGGTGTAGCTCGCTTCAGTGAGAGCATATTGTTCTAAGGGTTTTATTGTTAGTGAGTTATTCCAAAGAGTTTTCACTATCGTCTCTCCAGCGAAAGACAAGCATATGCACAACTTACGACCAAGGCAAATACGCGGCCCGCCATTGAAAGGCAGATATTCCCAGCCGTGCTTAGCATTTTCCTCCCAGCGCTCAGGCCGGAAAGTAGTTGCATCCTTACCCCAAAGATCCGTCCGGCGGTGCATAGCGAAGACGTTGTAGGCAACCATGGTGCCCTTGGGGACATAGACTGGGGATTGACAGTCTGCCCCACCACCGACCGGTAGGGAGGTGTCTTTGGTTGCAACGCGGAAGTTGATAGGCACAGGGGGTTGGAGACGAAGGACTGGGGTGGAGTTAGTCGCATTTTCGTCGACGGAGTATACAGTATCCACTGCAATATTCAGTGCAATATCAACACACCTTCATTCAACACATATCGCAGATAAGCAATATCCTTCAGCTTGGTCTGTGTAATTTCCGACCGCGGATTCCTTGCGTCTCCGAAAATATCCACAATCTCGCGACGCAGCCGATTCCACACATTGGGGTAACGGGAAAGGTAAAAGAACGTTGAACTCAACAAACTAGCTGTCGTGTCACGACCCGCCAATAGAATGTTGAGCATATTATCGCGTAGAATCTTGGGGTCATCGGTGTCGGCCGCCAGGGCTTCAAGGAAGATATACCGACCGTCGGTGGTTTTCTTGTCAGGGTTACGTTTCGACTGGAGAGCGAGGTTCACATAATGATCGACAACTTCGTGCACTTTCCGGTTTGCCTCGCGGAATTCTTTGGGGTTGACAACCCAATACAAGCCCTGAGCGCGACTCCGTGCAGCGAGATAATCCTGAGCGGTCCCGAAGGCATTGGCGAAGCCTTGGGCGCTGCCTACAGCGCAGCTTTCCAGGACACCTGCCTTTTCAGAAGGTGGGAGCATACAGCTGACCGATTCCCCGAATAGAAAGTGCGTTGCTGAGTCCATGGTGAGCAGGAAAAACAAGCGCTGAATATCGAAATTGCTTCTGTCTTTGGGGATCAGGTCAATCAGGTTGGAGATGTGATCATCCAGCATGGTGAGATCGGCGACCTATAATTGTCAACCATGTGTGCATGACCGTGAACATTCACTCAAGTGTACCTGGTCCCTAGTAAATTGCGGACGCAATAGTCCCCGCGCGTGTGACCACCCGGCACCATCGAGGGTGAAGATGCCATCGCCCAGAAGTGGGTAGAATTGTTGATGTCTTGTCCCAAGAGAGAAATCTTTAAACTGGGTAGCGAGGAGTGCCTTGAGATTTTCAGGTTCGATAGTGGTCAAAATATTTCGAGACAGGAATTTCTGTTGGTAGGTATTTCCATAGACAGCATATTCCTCATAGAGATGATCGATCCAACGCTTTTCACGGGCAGCCTTGGTCAAACGAATAAAACCTGGAATACCGAAGAAACTCGAGGAGCCCAAACGGGGAGGTTTGCAATGTAGAGCTTGGGATTGTTTACGGTGGTGGTACAGTTGTAAGAAGTAGCGGACGACCAGTAAGGCCGCAGACAACGCAACCAAGGCAACTATAGGGCTGACCGACATATTTTTTGTTTAAAATGATATCTCCATGGACAGAAACAATAAGTCATCAAATATAGGAACAGCAAGGTTGATATATGTCCATGGCCTCGGTAGACCTCCACGTGAGAGAAAGTGGGATCGCAAGCTGATACAAAAAGGGAATAGTGTCAAACTAATAAAATCCAAATGGGATCAGACCATGCCGATCTCAGAAACATTCAAGCCATTCCTTCAAGGCAGTGGTAAAATAACCTCGGGAAATTGCACCCGGTGCAAACGTCGTGCGGAAATCAAAGCAATGTTCCGCATTCTGCATGATGTAGCCAAAGACCGTGCTCTGATCCGTCTCCACGTTACATTTGGGGATCTCCGTTGTGAGAGTCACTCCTTGCGGGGCTAACCTGGTACCAGCCGCAAGGGGAGACAAAGTACGCCAAGGATCAAATTGTCCGCCGCTCCAGTAAACGTTGGACGGACGAATAGTCCATCCGCCCGTCTCCGCGTTGGTCGCTTCAACCTGCGGGTGTTTGGGGAACAGACCTTTTTTGATAGCCTCAGGGAAGTAACGGTTACAGTACTCCTGCTGGTAATCAAGAGTCTGGAATTTTGACAGCAGTGAGTGAGGTCCAAAGTTGTTGGTCTGGAAGTATCCCCATTCAGTGCAGTACTGCCATGTCCAGCTGATGGTGTCCGGTTCGGAAGAAGGCTTAGATAGATCGCACACAAGCGGTTCGCTGGCTTCAAGCTTCCGGCAGTTTGTCTCGAAATACTTATTGGTCATTTGCGCGAAAGCCGGCCATGATGCATATCGATCCGCGGCATACTTGTTACCCCGGGTTGGGGCGAATCCATGTGGGGGGTGCCGCTTTGCCAGTCTCCGGATCGGTCTCCATGTGCTCACAGAATGAGTCCAGACTGCCTGTGCCACCACCGAAGCCATAAGACTGGAAATACCAGTAAATTGTCTGAAGCGCGGAGGAGAAATCGCCGTTGCTGTTTTTCTCGGCCCCTTCGCCAAGGAATTTGCGCTTGATGGCCGCCGCGGACGATTTGCTCTTTGAGAGTTGCCAATCGATGTACTCTAGTGCAGCCTTGATGTCCTTGGTGCAGTTCAAACGACCATTTGCTGCCATTCCGTCATACACCTGGTCGAAGTAGACGCTCATGTCAATCCGTGCTTCCACGGGGGCAGAGGAAGCGTAGGCGGCGTAAATAGTGTCAGGATACAAGTGACGAGTGAACGCAGATCGCATACCAGAGTACGAGCCTCCGACCATAACCCATGGAGTTGCGCCTGGGGTCAGGTCCACGTCACTGTAATTTGCACGAGTGAACTTTTCCGCAAAGAATGGTAGGTCGGCCAATGCCTGTTTGTTGTTGAGGTACTGCCAGTGCTCAGGCTCTGTGTCTATGCTGACGTTGTAGGGAAGAGATTCCCCATAGTATCTACTTAGTGTTAATTGAGTTCGGAATTTTACATGGGCGAGGACACAAACCGGTGCTCCCAAACGATGCCGATTCCACCAAACTCCTCGACCAGCTTATAAAAAAATGTAGTGGAATTACCGAGATAGGTTTGAGCTGAATATTCAGCCGTTGCCTCACCGACATCGTAGACGAAGACTGGTCCTCCTTTTTTGTAATGCTGTTCGGACACCCAGTAGCGGTTTTTGTAAGTACCAACCGAAGAGTCGCTGTGATCAATTGGGAGCTACAAATTGTCAGAATTTACATCCGCCTTCAAGCGTTTTGGAAAACTCCAGACACATACCGAAGCCCACTCCGTCTCGATGGTCGTATCAAGCTGGGCACTCGCAACAGCATGTACGGTAGTCTTGTGATTAAGCAGAATGTCCGGGTGAATGCCTAGCTCAGCGGAAAGCTTCAGATCGCGCTTGAATGGTGATGTTACAATTCCTGCAGCTGTACCGGACAGCGCAGCCAGAACAGCAGTAGAAAAATGCATATTAACAGTGGCTTAGGAGTCTCCCAATAACCCAGTCAATGATACACAGACACAGAGCAGCTTTCGATGGTCTTTACGCCTGGGTCCGTCCCGCAATATATATATGCACTGCGGAGATGAGCTACTGTTAAGGTGCCGATAACGCAAATCAGAGTACATTGGGATATTACCCCGAGAACAATACGATAAGAGCAATATGCTTGCGTTTATGGCAAGCCTATAGCCGTCCAGAACGTTAGACGGATTGTGGATTCGGGGCACCCGATAGGATCAAAGTCGGGTGAGCATAACTGCGCAGGCACAGCCGAGACATGACCGTTGCGTGCGGCCAGTAGCTGTGTCTGTATGACCTGGGACGAGAGGGCGCAGGGTCTAATTTCTGGGGTGTTTGAGTTGGATGTAACCTACCTAACAGAATTAAGACGTAAGTCTCGTATTAATCAGAGAATTTCCATTTTTATCCGTCAAATCGATTGCCAACAAGCCCTCTCCTCCGGCTATCGTATAATTGTGCATGTGCATTGCGTTAGTGATGCTGCTAGCTCATATTGACTATCACTTCCCAATTCGGCAGGAATGCGATCGACAGATTCAGCGATGACCTCCTAAAATCCGGAGATGGTGGTTATCGAATGCAATACATTGAGTTTCTCCAAGGCTGAGCAACCACTTCCGCATCAAGTTTTACCCAAATAAAGGCACCACGCGATGTCTTCTCCAAGCCTGGTGGATCCCGAAACCGGGTATGGGATTAGAGCCTATTATTGGTCCTTGAGAGAAGCAATGGTCAACCGGACTCCGAACAATAGCCGGAGCTTAGTATTATTGTTTGTGTTTTAGTTGTTTAATTAGCCTCGTATCTCTGCCTCTAATTACTCTATGCACATTATCATGGTCTCATGAGCTTGTCAGAATCATGTCTAGAACCAGGAATAGTGGAATGTCCGGAATGTCAAGACCAGGTTGAAAAAAAGAGCCCGCACTATAGAAAAATATTGTTCTCCGGACGGAGTACTGTGGCTGAGATTGATTGACATGGAAATATTATTCCACGCACTTCTCCATCTCGGGAATTCCGGGCCGCTCACCTAGCCCCTCCTCTCTTCTGTTCCCTTCTCTTTTCCTCTTTTCCTCCTTCAAGTTATAATGTGACACACGTCCGGTCAGATAAGCCAAAGCAGGTCGGAAAATAACTGTAGACGCAATGTTGTCATACTGGCTGTGTGAAGATGGTAAATTGTACTCCGTATGAGGGTTGGGGTTGAACTTACATGTCCCTTGAGATATAGACACAACCTCAGGCTGGTCAGCCTAAGCTCCGCCTTGAACTCAGCAAACTTGAATATTCAAAGAACGATTTGTTATCATAGCCTAACACATGCTTCTATGAACTTCGTAAAAGGATGCACAACAGTTTACCCCTTACTGTCTTGTATATATCCAACGCGGTAATATACGCCAGCAGAGGAAACACACACATTCCAAGGCTGTACATTGTGCGCATCTTTCAACTCGCTATCATTCTCGGAATAATGATATGTAATTAACCACACCTGAAGTACATCGTAGCGAGAGCAAGAATGGCAGACAGACCACTTTGTGTCCCTAAAAAGGAAGGCGAAGCGAGACTTTTCGGCAGGCTTTCTATTTACATTCCCGTATCCCCATACTTCTCGGCTATAAAAATCGGGCCGAACCCAATTTACGAATATAGTCTACAGGTCCTAGCAACCCGCAACAATCAAAGATGTAATCTGTGTATTATTAAGGGTAAATGACTTCCACGATTACTTCGGCTCAGTTTCCAACTCAATAAACTGCCAGGGTGTAAAGCCAGGGCATCTGACACGGACCATACCCCTCTTTCCTCAGTATCATCTCACCGTGAACTACTACTTCTCGTGAACTATCTAAGCAAACATGTCGCAATCATCTCGCCTACAAGAGAAAGTTGCCATCGTCACCGGGTCCTCATCCGGCATGGGACGAGCCATCGCCATTCGCTATGCCCAAGAAGGGGCAAAAGTGATATGTGCCGATCTAACACCAACTGCGCGATCCCAAGAGGAGGCGGAGATCACGACGCACGATCTGATCATCAGAGACGGCGGGCAGGCGAGCTTTGTGCAGACAGATGTTGGGGATGCAGTGCAGATGGAGAACTTGATTCAATCTGCGGTGAGGCAACATGGACGACTGGACATGTATCAAACTCCAAGACTGAAGAGCCTGAATAAATCCTCTGACTATTGATCTTTAGTCTGGTCAACAATGCTGGTATCAGCCTGGAGTCGCGGACGCCTGCCTTACTGCATCTGACTGATGAGACCATCTGGGAAACGACGATGCGGATAAACGCCAAGTCTGTGTTCCTGGGTTGCAAGTATGCTCTGGCTCAAATGCTGGCGCAAGAACCTCATCCCTCCGGAGATCGGGGCTGGATCATCAATATCTCTTCTATTATGAGTATGGTCGGTGGACCGGAGCTTCGTGGGTTTTATATTTTCTTGGTATGTTAGTCTGAGTGTTGCTGACAATTGAGATAGCATCGTATTGTGCGTCAAAGGGGGCTGTCAGCAGTCTCACAAGGCAGATTGCTCTAGATTATGGCCCTCATAATATCCATATCAATGCCATCTGTCCTGGCTGTAAGTCGATTGGCTCTGCACTCGACAAAAGCACCAACTAACAAAAGCTCAGATACTCAAACGGCTATGTTCAAAGAGACAGTCGCCAACTCGGTTCCTTTGGAGGACCTTCGAAGGCGCCATCCGCTGAAAGGGCCCGGACTGCCGGAGGATATTGCTTGTTTAGCTGTTATGTTCGCAAGTGATGATGCCAACTGGCTGACTGGTGTTTGTCTTCCTGTTGACGGTGGATATACTGTTCGTTAAATAGCCCACTGTTAGTGTATTGACGGTGTATCGTCGTTTTAGCTGTGATTGCAGTCCAATGCAGAGATGTTGAAGAGCTTTGAATCATGTTCTCAAGTTTGATATCGTGAACAAAGTAACATGAAAATTAGAAAATAGTACAATAGATGCAAATAAGAAGATGAGTCAATATATTCTGAAGGTATAGTCATCATCACCTTTGGACCCAAAGACTCAGCTTTACTGTTCATGAGGCGAGTAGTTCATTCGATCTTCTCAGTGGCAAAAGGCGTCCTCGCTTAGGTCAAAACAACACTGTGCCTCATCAAGCTAGAGCAATAGCGCCTATTCGCTCGGGAGATCTCATCAAATTGGAAAATCCTGATAATTTCAAGCCAAAAATCAAGGATTCTAGTATTTGAGAAGCAACTAGCCAAAGGAACACACAGTATCGGATTACTTCTAAGGCTTATACCTACCTATCTCCTGAGTTGAGCCTGCCAGTTAAAACGAGGGAAAGGGGAATGCTTCCCGTGTTTGCCAAACAAAATTGAAGTAAACAGCATCCTCAGTAACTGGGCAAGCGTCACTGATCACATCGAGTCGGATGTTCCTTCTAGTGTCAGTACAACATATTTAGACAAATGGAATCGCCGGTCCTTTCCAGAGAGATAATATTAAGCACAAGGAGGACTAAGGTCGCAAGAATAAAGACTAGGTACACAAGTGCATTGTTCCAATTTGAAGAATATGATTTGACACATATATATTAATTTTAGGGTGTCTATTGTCTATGAGAAACAAGGGCCCGGAATGCATAACACCAGATGCATAAGGGCGTCTTTCTTAAGACAGTACAACAGCGACTCCATCCTTCGAGAACTACAAACCCCTGATTATTCCAGAACTAAGCAAAAGAATCACCCGCAATCCATCTGGTCAAAATGTCCAGTGCCACATCACCACGATTTTGGGGAACCTATTATATGACCATTAGCCCCTGCTCGAATTAACATGCCTGGATCGATGAACTCACCATATGACCAGCCCCATTGACTGTGACAAATGCAAACCGCGTTGCCTCTGTCTGGCCCTCTAATTGCACACGAACCTCTTTCGCGGTGCCAACGGTTTCATTCCTTCCATCGACAATTGAAGTCCAAGGAAGCAGCGGTTTTGATGTAAACTCAGTCTGTCCCTTCCAGGCAAGCGAGTTAGCCCACCGGAGGTTTCCTGCTGTGTTGCAAGCCAGGTCAAGATTTCCTTGGTAGGCCAGGAAATGCACCCCATGGGAAAGCAGGAAATTGATCTGGTCGGATGAAGATTTCATCGCCTCCGGTGTTGTTGCAAAGGCGTCAACCACCGCGGTGGACTCCAATGTGTACCCCTTGACCCCTTCCGGTAGGGCAATTGCTTCCCGGACCACGGTGGAGTTCAGATACTGTTCGATAAAGCCTGCTTCTTCGTAGCATATCTCGTCAATGTAGCACGGGGCAGTGACTTTTGGTTCCCTTGTGTCAGCTGAAGTGGCTCATTGATAGTATATTGGAAGATCTTACTGTCAAAGCGGTTACGGCCACCCTTCTTGCTCTCATCCTCGTACAACCCGACAATCCCTTTATAGCAAACAGAATATGCAGCATCACATAGTACAACATCAGGATTGGTGTTGCAAGTATCGTAGAGGTCCATGCATCGCGGCATGTTTGCAGCTATTATATCGCACCGGGTCTTATTAAACACGGGCTCAGAAACGCCGGGATTGGTCGTGCAAAGTGTCTCCCAATACCCGAAAGTGATGTCTTTGGATGACATAAAGCCATTACCTATCAGGCATGATTTGAGGTTGATCTGGGGCTCAGAGGGGTATTGCAGGTTATGAGTCACAATCTCTGCCCCAAGGTAGGGGATGTATTTGCCCTGAATGTGTCAGTGGTACGTACAAAGTGACAGGAGGCTAATCTTACTGCATAAGATTCACCGGAGATATGGAAAGGCGAGTTGCGTTTGTTGGGGAAGACCTCTGATACGAATATTTGGAGAAAACGGCGCATATCAACTGCAGCTTCTTGGGAATCGCGCGCGACCTCATACCCCTCGTCAATATAGGACAGGCCTACATCGGCTGGCTGGTCAACGAAAAGTAACGAGGAGTTTCGAGACCAGCCCCATTCATTGTGAACAGTCCCGTTTCCGTACTTGTTGACCAGACATGGGCCATTCTCTTCGAAGAGACCCAGCATACTGGAGCTCCCAGGCCCACCATTCATCCATAACGTTAGCGGGTCGGCGTCAGGGTCATTCTGACTTTCGAAGTACCAGAAAAATAGGTGCTTGGGGCCAATATCTAGCCATCCTGTATACTGCGCAGAGCCCGCAGCACAGATAGACTCATTTTGCTGTCGGATGCGTATCGAATGGGGTGAATTTGTACTTCGGAACGTAGTGAAGTCCGACGCCGAGAGCTCCGGTCGGAGCACGGTTTGTGAGGCATAGCCTACACTGATTAAAGTAGCAAGACAAAATTTCCACATTTTGGTGATGATTCAGATTTGTCCCAGAGGCAACGTCAACAATGGCAAAGTGGTTTATATATTGGTGGTTGGTCAGCGTGACATTGAAAAGTCGGAGTTCGGAGTTCGGACCTAACCTAGCACGCATCGTAAAGGGGTTAGGCGGAAGCGAAGGGCTGTGTATGACGAATTTGTTAGCGCAGGAAGAGGCTTCAAGCGTAATAACTTCGCCAGGGATTATTCGCGCGTGTAGATAACATGACTGAATCAATCACATGAGATTCTGGGCCGCCGATATTTCTGGGGTATATCGTAAGTGGATACATTGAACATTTAACTGAAAAAAAGCAAATACTATGACCGGGTGGTCTACACCGCAAATTGATTCGCAACCCATTTCTATTTTTCTACCTTTTAATTCCCGAAATCGGCCGTTGGAAGGAGATCTTGATATCACCTTTTCTCACACAGCTAGGGGCCGGCAGATGCAAGAGATTCACAAAGAACAGAAGTGGATAGGGAGAAAGAAATATGGAGGAGAGGGGTTATATACCCCCAACCAACGCGATTTTCTATGATGTATCGTTGTGTGCTTCCCTACCTAATATTGTCGGACACCATAGGCATCTATATGCGTGTTATATATATATCAAACATAGCAAGAAGTAGGACATGGGACCATGTTTGGCAGTAGCATAAATAGGATCCCAGTATCCTATTACTTTTTTTTCTTTCTCCCCAGTATAGTTAAATAGAGATAATAATCAACTTCTTCTTCATCATCATCAGGTCATGAGCCTACGAAGCCCAATGGAGAAAAGTACTGGTTACCCATCACTGACAATGCCACACATCACATCGAAGGTGTCGCACTCACCAATAAAGGAGAAGCTTTCGTTAAATTGACTTCTATTTGTGAAAAAATCAAGCTTCTCACAGACAGATACCCACGGATTTGGCGAATCGATGGCGGAACAGAGTTCAAGAACTTCATCGACTGGTGAACAAAGCGCGGAATGACTTTCGAAGTCACCCCTCCACCCGCTATACAGCTCAGCCAAACGGTGTTGTGGAGGGATTCGGGGGTTACATTAACGATATTCAGCATACGATAATTATTGAAACTGGAACGCCAGAGAATATATGGCCCTACACAGTTGAATCTACAATTTATATGACGAATCGACTAGTCAATCCCAAGACCAAAGTCTCACCATTGACTCACTGGAGAAAAGAGCTCAATGTTCCTAATCCAGAACCGGCATCGAAGCACCTCCGGCCGTGGGGATCAACTGCCTACGTCCACATCTCGAGAGCTCAGCGGACACAGGCTCAGAAGGCAGCCCCAAGAGCATTGAAAGGTACGCTTGTTGGCTATGAGGGAGACAACGGGCATATATTCAGTCGTCGCCAAGCCGCAAGAGTTCTATGATATGAAGGATTTAGGCGAGCCAAAACAATATTTGAATTATGCTTTGGTTCGTGACCACAAAGAGAAGACGATTTCATCATCTCAAAGCGTCTGTGTGCAGAAGATTTTACGGATTCCAAGCACCCTTTGCAGCAAAGAAACCCCCTTGCCGCCTAGTTAGATAGTACGCTGTTATGTCAACAACGGTATGGTGGAACCCGTTTCTACAGCTACAGCAGATAAACTTCAAGAGAATGTAAAGAACTTTGCAGAAAATTTCATAATAGTCGGCCATATGAGAACAATTCAATCTAGGCACTTGAGAGGACCGCATATTCAAGCTCAACGAGCAGCCTATATTTAGGGATCAGCTGCCCCCCTGGCTTAGTGATCGAGGACAAATCTTGTGGACTGAAGAAGACCATCCCATAGCGATAGTGGCTTAAGTTTGGCCGGGAACTGCCTAGGTATCATCACTACTGAGCTGATCTAATAGATAAAACAAAAGTCCTCTCTGAGGCTCTACCCATCTCTGTTTAGCCCGATCCGGTTAGGGCAAGTCATTCGAGGTCGGAACCAATCAGCATTGCCTGAAATACTAGTACTCTCTCCACTAACCGTATCTGGCTAGTGTGCTGTCAGCATCAGCCGCAAAGTCCTGGGCAGAAATATTGCTCTCTAACGGACTTAGGAATTTAGAACGGAGGAGAAGATTCGTAGTTATATAATAGACGCTCCCTCCTAATGCATCCTTCGATATTAACTCTTCACATCAATCCTCACATTTCCAATAATTTACAAAATGCATCTTATTCTCACAGGGGCAACTGGGCTAGTCGGGTCTTCGGTACTCGACGCTATGCTAAAAAATGCAGCAGTGTCCAAGATCTCGATCTTGAGCCGAAACCCCGTACGAATGGCAGAAGACGCAAAGGATCCACGTGTTCATGTCATTGCCCACAAAGACTTTGAATCATATAAGCCAGAGCTGCTTGATCAATTGAAAGATGCGGATGGATGTGTTTGGGCGCTGGGAACAAGTCAGACCAATGTCACTAAAGAGTACGAGTTGTCGCTTCCAAAAATGAATATCAGAATTAACAGTTGATAGAGAATACGTGAAGATAACTAAGGACTATACCCTGGCAGCTGCAAACGCATTTTCCACAATCAAGCCATCAAATCATCCCTTCCGATTTATCCATGTATCCGGCGAAGGAGCCACACAGACACCTGGGCGATTTTCGCCGATCTTTGCGAGAGTAAAAGGGAACACTGAAACGCTTCTCGGGGAGCTATCAGAGCAAAAGCCGAACTTCCGTGTCGACAGTGTGAGGCCTGCATTCGTTGATCCAGCAACGCACGATTCCATTAAACCGTATATCCCGTCTAGTGGAGTGACTGGAGTTGTCTCGAGAGCTGGGTTGGCTTTGCTTGCACCAGGGGTACGGTATCTCATGAAGTCGATGCATTCCCCAACGCAGCACCTCGGGTCATTCTTGACCGAGATGGCCATGGGACGCTATGAAGGAAGATTGCAGGGTCCAGGGGTGTTCAAATTGGGAGGAGGCTACGTCGTTGAGAACTTTGGAATGCGAAGAATATTGGGGCTCTGAGCATCTAGGGGACTATCATGATAGGAACCGCTTGGTATGTATATACAGCAATACTTAATATAGTCCACTTTTATTTTCTGTCTTCATCCGTTCTTAATGACCTAAGTGAATGAGCTCAAGAATTTTACTTTTACCCATATCCCAAATAGCGCTGACCAAGGAGTATAACCAAGCAATTGAATTTGGATACCGGCATTCATCCCGTACTTGTCGAAAATATATGTCACGCCCTCATCTTAAAGCCTGGGTGTTTCTTCTCTGTCTTTCTCAGGCGCATACCCCGTTTCCACCCATCATAAAAAATGCACCAGCACCCAGTATACCCACTTTCACCCTTCAGATTTCAAGGGGGCTTTCAAAAGACGGCCGGAGAGAAATTACAAAGCCACACAAGCGACCGAACCTTCTATTAGGGCGTCCATATTTGAAACAAGCATATAACGGTTTGAAACTTTCCGTTGGGTATCTGTCAAATGTGAGGTAGTCCCTGTGCTCTACCAATCAAAAAGAAATGGGAATTTGATCACCAATCATAAAAAGACACCAGAGCGATCCTAAGTCGAAAAGAAACGTGGAAATTCCAAAGCAAGCCTAATGCTGATGATAGACACATTCGATGTCGTCTATTGAGCCCCATTCTAGGTAGGAAAAGCGATGAGACGCGTATTTATCCCCGTTGATTTTCGCTCATCAACGTGATATTGTTCTTTGTTACCATAGAGTAAGATAGATTTGAAGAATGCTATCCAATCAACCCCATGTTTTCGGGGAGATCGGAGGTTTGTTCGTGCCTCACAGGACGCTGATCTTGACCTGTAAGTGTACCTCAATAAAGAATTCTACTCGTCTGAATAAGCTGCCTCCAAAAAAAATATCCTAATGCTTATTTACGACAAGCAGCAAGTTTTGCCCCCATAAAGAATATAAATAAAGCGACAAACTGCTGTTGTCTTGGAACGGCCACGCCACATTCTACTTTTCTTCTATACACAATGAAGTACTTCCAACTCGGCAGCATTCTCACCCTCTGCAGTATGCTTCTAGCTACTGTAATTGCAGACTCCTCGGCTGGCCTTCAATGTATACAAAAAGGGGGAGGTGGTAGGCAGCCAATTGCCCTGGGCCCCGAGTGTGGACTTTAAGGCCAGTCGCTCCATCAGAGCAGAAAAGCTTGTGAGAAGGCATGTCAGTACTCTCTTGACACTCGGATCCTAAAACATAAGCTTACTCATTTCTCAGCCGTGCCTTTGAGCGTGTTTGGTCAACTTGTCTGAGCGGCTCCTACGCCTCGGTAGGTGCGTTGCCATCTGGGACACATTTGTTTATATTTGGATTGTAAATGCTGGATTGGGACATGTTTGCTATTTGTGGCTTTCAATATTCTGGCACTTTTGTAACATTCATTGATGTATTACCCAGTTTCTCGGGAACTCACAGTCCTTTCTTTGTTTGCTACATGCGACGGTGGAAATCCATCCAATATCAGTCCTTCCTCAAGCAGAAAATGATTACACGCAGTATCGTGCTTGAGAATTTTTCTTTTCCAATCACAATTTACGTATATTCTTGATCGCCTGGATATTTCCTTTCTGTAAAGTCGTAAGGACTTTCCCACTCAAGACAACTACATAAGCCTCATTTTTGGGAGATGGTTAGTTATGATTTGTTTGGCCTAAATTCCAAGGCGGCTAGTTCTGTGTGCCCCTAGGATGATTTGACTGTATATCCAGTTCGGTCGCTCATTTTTCCCTTAAAAACAATTAATACACATATCGACGAACCTCTAGAGAACATCCAACATTTTAATAGCTCCCTCGGCCTTTCGGGAAAACGAATTCCGCACTCGGGACACTGGAATGATACTTTCCATTTGGTCGAATCAAAGTGATCGGGGAGTTTACCCGTTTAGATCAAGATATCCATCAAGCTTCAAGATGTCTCAAGATGAATCAACTTTCTTGACTACTACAGGCGCCCCGTGACATTGAAACAACCATCCCCCCACACGGGTCCCACACGGAGTTGCAGGGGGGTGGAATAAGACTACGAGCTGCATTTGGTCAGGGGAATTTGCGCCCCTCACAGGAGCTGGTCTTGTGGTTGTTTTCAACCAGCGGCCTTTGCGTCAAGTCTGCAGACTGTCCATTCCTGAAATGGAAATCATCCAACTGCCAAGGAACCAGAAACGCCACGCATTGGTGGAAGTATGGCCAGATTCACGGAGCACTCTTCAGGAACGGAGGTCCAGCTATCTGCCAAATCTCCACCTTTCAGCATGCAGAGTTTCAGCATGAAGAAACAGAATTTCGTTCGTATATATTATAATGATCTTTTGCCCTTCATGTATTTCGTGGCACCAGTACATTTCTCTACAGTTCACGTAGGACATGATGTTTTTCAAGTCCTTGGCCGTTGTTTCGCTAGCCCTTTGGGCTAAGCAGGCATCCGCGGCCTTCGGAATTACTACTAGCAGTGCTTCCTATGTAATTGATGCCGGCTCTTCAAACCCCCTGAAGTTTACTGTCAGCCGGACAAACTGCGACATTACTTCAATCAATTACTATGGATCTGAGCTTCAATACAAGTCGACTGCATCGCATATCGGATCGGGTCTTGGTAGCGCAACTGTGACTGCGAGTCAGAGCGGTGCGTTGAGAAAGAATTCGTTTTCTAGAAATTGCGCTGATCAATATAGGCGATTATATTAAGGTGACATGTGAAACATCCACCTTGACACATTACTATGTTGTCCATAATGGAGATTCAACTATTCATATGGCAACATACACAACTGCAGGTTCGTGTCTGTTGTGCTTGATTGTAGTGTCGATACTCATAATTCTTTTTAGAGCCGAGTATTGGAGAACTTCGTTACATCGCGCGCCTGAATGCAGACCTACTCCCCAACGAAGAGCCATTTGGCGTTGTCTCCAATATTGGAGGTGGTAGTGTTGTTGAGGGAGAGGATGTGGTGAGTTTACTGACCCTTTGTCCCCGAGTGAAACATACTGCTAACACATATCAGTTCTTGGTTAGTGGCCAAACGCGAAGCAAGTTCTATTCCAGCGAACGGTTTATTGATGACAAAATCCACTGTAAGAAAATGTTTGCCCCTGTCTCTCGGATTAAAAAATAACACGCACAGGTGTCTCTGGAAGCGCACACCGCGTGTGTATGATCTTAAACCAATACGAGACATCCGCTGGCGGACCTTTCCATCGGTAAGCACTACAGCCATCCGTTGTTACTATATTTAAGCTAATATGTACCAGTGATATCAATACGAACAATGTTGGCTCTTACACCGGCCTATATTGGTACATGGTATGTGACCACTGTTTCTCAAATCAATAGCTGCCTCTTATCTTATATAGAACTCCGGACACGTTCAAACCGAGACCTATCGCCAGGGCCTGCACGGTCCATACTCGATGACCTTCAGCCGGAGCGGTACCCCCAGCTCCAACATTGACACATCGTTCTTTGCCGACCTCGATATCAAAGGATACGTCCCCACGTCTGGGAGAGGCTATGTTAAGGGAACTGCATCTGGGGCTGACTCTGCTTTCAAATGGGTCATTCATTGGTATGTCCAATGCAGATCGTAATGAGGTTGGTAGATAGCTAAAGCCCAGACAGGTATAATTCTGCCGCACAGTACTGGACCTACGCTTCGTCTTCTGGGGGATTCACCTCCCCCGCCATGAAGCCCGGCACCTACACCATGGTATATTATCAGGGCGAATATGCTGTTGCTAGCTCTTCGGTGACAGTTACCGCCGGATCAACCACTTCGAAGAGTATCTCCGGGTCTGTGAAAACCGGAAAAACAGTCTTTAAGATTGGAGATTGGGATGGCACGTAAGTGCATTGGTTTGGGATACATAAATGGTACAGTTCTGATATTGACTGCTTGATAGACCAAACGGCTTCCTCAACGCGGATAAACAGCTCCGCATGCATCCCTCAGACACCCGCATGTCTTCCTGGTCTCCATCTACCTACACAGTCGGCACTTCTAAGGTCTCTTCTTTCCCCATGGCTCTCTTCAAATCCGTGAACTCCCCTTTGACAATCAAATTTACGGCATCTTCTTCGCAGACCGGAGCTGCCACGCTGAGAATTGGCACCACTCTTTCCTTTGCGTCTGGCCGGCCCCAGGTTGTGGTATGTTGAAACCACATTCCCCCTTTTGCAAGTGTTGGCAAGCATCTGACTGTTTATATAGGTCAACAATTATGCCGGCTCCATCCCGGCTGCCCCGACTAACCTTAACTCGCGTGGCGTGACTCGCGGCGCGTATAGAGGTTTTGGCGAGGTCTACGATGTTTCAATTCCGGCTGGAACTATCGTTGCGGGAACTAACACTGTAAGAACTTTTGAGCAAAGTCAGATGATATAATGCTAACTTGCAATAGATCACGATCAGTGTTGCTTCTGGTAGCTCTGGAGAGACTTACCTGAGTCCCAACTTTGTAACTATCTTCCTGCTTATCTTCTCCTTTGGCTGGAAGCTGACTTATGCCGATAGATTTTCGATTGCGTGGAGCTCTTCCAGTAAACATTTGGGGCAAATGGCCGAGTTTCAGGAAGCAGCGGAGCAGCAGAACAGGAGTTTTCGAAGTAGTAAGAGTGCGGATGGCTTTCACTTGTCTGATGTCACTTAACTTCCTGTGGCCTTGATGCCTATTTATCGGAAAGGATATCTCAAATATAAAAAAGGATTTGATTGAGACATCGTAAATATGTACAGGAACCCCCAAACCAATAATACATAAACAAAAACCCCAAGTGATACATCACCACTCAAGTCCTTGAATGGACCAACCTTCCCCCAACCCAGACAGCCTTTACATTCCGATCATCACCACTCCAGACCCATTTCTGAATCTTCTCCTCCCAACTCTCCGTACCGAACAGGTCCACATTTCCCACAGGACCAGCCTGCACAAGATCCGCACTACCATCACCTACAACACAATCCAGCGGACTCTTCTTTGTCAACTTGACCCCGCCCAGGCGAATCAACTGAACATCCCACAACATCCCCTTCTCAAACCCACCAACATCTCTCGCCATATCAATAACCGCCGCTCCGCCACGCGTGGCAAGGTAAAGACTCTCAGACACCGACAATTTCTCCCGTCCATCAGAACCATTCCCATCCGCATCCTTAGGATTGTCCCTTTGCCACGGAGCCGATTGAGCCAGCAATCGTGAAGAAAGACAAGCCTGCCGCGCCGCCTCGAGGATACTAGGACTATATCCACCACTAACATCTGTCCCAAGTCCAACCGTAATCCCTTCGTCAAGTAGCGTCCTGACAGGACAAATGCCAGACCCCAGCACGGAGTTTGACGCTGGACAGTGCGAGATCTTTGAATCGCGCGCTCGGATCAGAGCCCTCTCATCCGCCGTGAGATGCACCGCATGCGCGAGGATCGTCCGCGGTGTGAGGAGGTTGTATTTATCATAGACAGCGGCGTAACTGTCCGCCTCAGGGAAAAGCTCTTTAACAAGCGCTAACTCGTTAATATTTTCCGAAATGTGCGTCTGGATATGCAGGGGAGGCGAGTAACTTGCTGCCAAGTCGCCAAGGCTCTGCAATGCAGGTCTTGTGCATGTGGGCGCAAAGCGAGGTGTGATGATCGGCTTAACGAGATTGCCTTCTGGGTCCAGGGCATGGATGTACTCGATTGTCTGGCGGGTTGCGACGAGTGAGTCGTCGGCGCTGAAATCGCGATAGTAGTCTACGCAGAAGTCGGGGTTATCCATGCATACGCGGCCGATGAAAGCGCGTTGGCCGCGGATGTAGCATAGTGATGCTAGAGCGTTTGTGGCGGGGACGTGGGTTGTTGCGTAGTATGAGGCGCAGGTTGTGCCGTGGGATAGAGTGCGGGAGATTACTTGGTCGTAAATTCGCTGGGCTAGGATGGGTGCGTCTCTGGGATCGGCTGAGGTTTGGTGTCCCGTTTTTGGATTAGGTGGTGACCCGAAGCGGGACTCTACTGGAAATGTGTAGGTCTCTAGCCAGTCTAGCAGTGTTGATGAGCCGAAGAGGCCTGCGTTGGGGTATTGTGGAGCATGGATGTGGGTGTCTGAGGGGACATGTAGTTAGTATCAAGGCTTCGGCTTTGGACTTGGGTGGCGTTTAGAGGGATAGATTTAATACGTACCAATAAATCCGGGGAAGAAGAATTCATTTTCCTCCTCGTTCGCGGTAACAACCTTCACTTTGATCTCTGAACCATGACCGTTGACTTGGCCCTGGGCCGTCACGGCGTCGATATCAACCCAGTAATTCCGGCTCATCAATTCAGCGAACGCATTATCATCACTGGCTTGCCAGTCCCAGCCTTGAATGCGGCCGTCAGCAGCAGATACCCATAATGCGCCTCGGTTACGAGACAATTCAGGCTTCGACCCCGAGTCTGGCAGAATCGATTCAATGAATGTACCGCGATAGACAGTAAATGCATAATCAAAGAGATCGTCCGTTGTTGAGCCCATATTGTCGATGAATAATTGAAACAGCCAACTATTGGTCGCGGTGATCAAGTTGAGGATGAATGTGTGCAGTGTTGTATAGTGCTCTCCACAAAGAAAGTGAATCAGAAGTCTTGATATATATTATAGATGCAAATGTAGATCAGTCTCCACTGTGGAAATAAAAAGACCGAAGGATCGAGTCAAAATCAAGGCGAGAAAAGAGGGTCAGACACACGCTTATATGTCTAGTTTCTTCAACCTTTTGCCAAGCGATAAGTGATATTACCCGGAAAGGGCAGGCCCCGCGCTGTGGGGAATTCCAAGGTTGTCCCTGCTTGATTCGAATGTTCTCGAGATTCCTCCGACGCATGAAGTCGGTCGTAGTGGGTTGTAGGGAGTTTGTTGGTGATTAGGGCCCACGGCGGCTATTGGAGGGAGAGAGCGGGGGTCGGCCGTCTCCGATGACAATACAGAGATAATACGGTATTTGGTGCGGATGAGTTGATTTTTGATAGTGTAATTTACCATGAGATGGTTCCGTATGGTTATAAAGCACCGATAAGGCCCTGAAAAGCGTCAACCTTGGGAAGTTGATAAAAGCCAGTCAAGATTACGATAATAATACTTATTGCTAGTTTTATCCTTGAAATATCGTTTTGAAATGAAATCGATTGAAATGTCTAGAATACTTTTGATTCTTTGAATTGTATTATTCTTGGCATACTGGATGATTATGTTGAATCAATCCAGCCCTCGTAAGGACGTAGTCCGTAGGTAGTCTTTTTCTACCCTCATCAAAAATAAGAAATGTTGAATGTATACACAGAGAAGAGGTGAGCATCGGGAAAACGAGCCCCCTTATAAAAAAAAAAACAATCAGCGCAGCGTGGGTATCATAGATCTTTCTAGATCTGTCTCTATTCGGTGTCCTCGACAGGCCCGCAAGTGCAGAACAAGTTCTGGTCACCAAAGGCATCATCGACACGAGTCACTGTAGGCCAGAACTTCTTCTCCAAAAGCAGAGGCAATGGGTAAGCAGCCTGCTCACGAGTGTAAGGGCGGTTCCACTCAGAGGTGAGCAGGTCGCGCTGAGTGTGCGGGGACATCTTCAGCACGTTACCCTCACGAGGCTGGGCACCGGACTCGACCTCGCTGATCTCCTGGCGGATAGAAATCAAGGCATCACAGAAACGGTCCAGCTCAGCCTTGTTCTCGGACTCGGTGGGCTCGATCATGAGTGTGTTGGCAACGGGCCAGGACATGGTAGGGGCGTGGAAGCCATAGTCCTGGAGACGCTTGGCGATATCAATGGCCTCAACACCGCAGGTCTCCTTGAAGGCGCGCACATCGAGGATGAACTCGTGTGCACAGCGGCCGTGGTCGTTGGTGTACAGGATCGGGTAGTGGGGCTTGAGGCGGGAGAGGATGTAGTTTGCGTTGAGCAAGGTGATCTTTGTGGCGTGGGTCAGACCACGGTCGCCCATCATGTTGATGTAATTGAAAGTGATGGGCAAGATGCTGGCACTGCCCCAGGGAGCAGCGGAGATGGGAGGGGAGGAGACGTCACCACGCTTTGACTGCAAGTACTCGCTAGTGGGGTGCGAGGGCAGGAAGGGGCGCAGGTGTTCACCAACACCAATGGGTCCGACACCGGGGCCACCGCCACCGTGGGGAATACAGAAGGTCTTGTGAAGGTTCAAGTGGCACACATCAGCACCGATCTCACCTGGAGAGCAGAGACCGATCTGGGCGTTCATGTTGGCGCCGTCCATGTAGACCTGGCCACCGTGCTCATGCACAAGGCGGCAGGCCTCCTTGGCACCGGGCTCGAACACACCGAAAGTGCTGGGGTAGGTGATCATGAACGCAGCCAACTCGTCCTTGTGTTTCTCACACTTAGCCTTGAGGTCCTCCAGGTCGAGATTTCCGGTCTTGGTGTCACACTTGATGGTGACAACGCGCATACCAGCCATGGCGGCACTGGCGGGGTTGGTACCGTGAGCAGAGACAGGGATCAAGCAGAGATTACGCTTGGCATCTCCCTTGGCCTCAAAGTACTTCTTGATAACACGAAGGCCAGCGAACTCACCCTGGGCACCCGAGTTGGGCTGCACAGTGACCTCGGCCATGCCAGTGATGTCGGCCAGCTGCTGCTCCAAATCGTCAATCATCTTTGTGTAGCCCTTGGCCTGCTCGGCAGGCATGAAGGGGTGAATCTGGGAGAACTCGGGCCACGAGACTGGGATCATTTCCGTGGTAGCGTTGAGCTTCATGGTGCAAGATCCGAGAGGAATCATGGAGTGAGCCAAAGAAAGATCCTTTGATTCAAGGTGGTGAATGTACCGGAGCATCTCAGTCTCGGAGTGGTAGGTGTTGAAGACTGGGTGGGTCAGGTAAGAGGAGGTACGCTCAAGGCTGGCGGGGACAGTGGTGAGACCAAGAGTGCCATCAACCTCGACGGGAGAGGCAGAATTGTGGGCAGCAAAAACATCCAGAATTCCCTTTACCTCATCCCGGCCAACAGTCTCATCCAAAGAGAGACCGACCTTGTTTCCGCCCAGCCGGCGGAGGAAGACAGACGCAGCGCGAGCCTCAGCCATGATGGCATCGGCCTCGGCAGCACTGGGCAGCTCAATGGCCAGAGTGTCAAACACAGCGCCGCCGTCAGCACTGTTGGAGCGGAGTGGGACTTCGTAGCCTAGGCTGACGAGCTTCTCGCGCAGCAGTGACGTCATGGACATGATACGCTGGGCAATAGACTTGAGTCCGACGGGCCCATGGTAGATAGCATACATTGCAGTCATGTTAGCAAGCAAAGCCTGAGCAGTGCAAATGTTGCTGGTAGCCTTCTCGCGACGAATATGCTGCTCGCGAGTCTGCAGAGCCAGGCGCAGAGCCCGGTTACCGAGACGGTCCTTGGACACACCAACGACACGACCAGGAACCTTGCGCTTGTACTTATCGGCACAAGCGAAGAAGGCGGCGTGGGGGCCACCGAAGCCCATGGGAACACCCAGACGTTGGGCGCTGCCGAAGGCAATATCGGCACCAAATTCGCCGGGGGCCTTGAGGACGGTCAAAGCCAGCAGGTCAGTGGCTACACTGAAAGTACCACCCTGGCCGTGAATAGAGTCACTCAGAGCTTGGAAATCGAAGATACCTCCCTCGGTATCGGGGTACTGGGCAAGAACACCAATCAGGTGGTCCTTCTGCTCCTTGACAATCTTGAAATCATCGGCCAAGATATCTCCGATCACGAGGTTGATCCCGAATCCCTCGGCACGGGACTTCATGACTGCAATAGTCTGGGGGTGACAGAGTTGAGACACAACGAAGGACTTGTCAGCCTTCTTTTGCTTGGAGGCGGGCATTGTGGCGAAAGACATGGTCATGGCCTCGGCAGCGGCGGTGGCCTCGTCCAGAACTGAAGCGTTGGCGAAGGGCAGACCAGTGAGATCAGCTGTGAGTGTCTGGAAGTTTAGCAGAGACTCCAGACGGCCCTGGCTGATCTCAGGCTGGTAGGGTGTGTAGCTGGTATACCAGGCAGGGTTCTCGAGAACATTGCGCTGGATGACTGGGGGCACAATGGTGGGGTAGTAGCCGGTTCCAATATAAGTCTTGCCGGAGATATCAATCTGCTTCCTATAGGTGTCCAGCAGCTTGAGCATATCGGTTTCACCCAGTCCACCTTGCACACTGGAGCGGTACAAGCTGATATCAGCCTGGGGATCGGTAACCTTGAGGTCCTTCTTGGAGAGAATGTCCGCGGGCAAGACCTGCTTCACGAAGTCGTCCAAGGATGCCACCGGCGGGTCGAGCACGGCGAGCATCTCTGCCGCGGCGTCCGGGGAGGGACCGATGTGGCGGCGAGGGAAGGTATCGAGAGGCTGGAAGATATCCTGGGGTTGGGGATCTCCATGGTCGGAGAGGGAGCTAGTATAGACACCACGACGAGGGGCGGGTTGTGAGGTATGCAATGGTCTCCGAGCATTCAACGGTGACAATGAAGCTCGAGCAATTGAGGGCACGCGAACGCGCGACCGCAGAGCAAGCTGTCGGCCGCCGCGAAGGGCAAACAGTGATGCCGCCATACTGAGACCGGATAATGAGGGCTTTAGAGAAAAGCACTCAACACATCCACAAGGAAATCAGTAAATCAATAAAACAAGAGTATGAAGAAGACAAAAAGTGCCACAACTGTAGAAATTAATATTTATTGCCCACGCCTCTTGCCTTTTCCCTGTCCGATCATCCGATGACGGAGAACATTTCGGAAAACTAACAGCGGCGATAAGAGATTGCCTTATCCAACCAATCACAGCTGCTATCATTCGCCTTGGGCCCCAGTTCAACTACTGACCGCCTTCCAGTCGGAGCAAATGGCCGGTTTCCCGTCGGAAAAGTGGCCTGTCTACTCCACAGATCCTCCCCACCGAGGGGGACGGGGGAAGCTCCCGATGTTATCATAGCTTTCCTTGAGCTTCGATTCATCATTTAAAGAACAATATTGGTAGTGAAAAAGGCCTGCTTTCGTATTACTATCCGAATTCATACAGGATGTGAATATAAAAACATTCCCCCGATCTCAAATCGTGTACCGGAAAGCTGCATCGCCCTCAATGACCCGCTTTCCCCGGTCCGCCTGCTTATTACAGAACCGGAACCACACGCTCAAAGCAAGGGCCAACACGATGATAAGAATGTTGCACCTGGTGAGTCACCGTCAGTATATGAGCACAATGTGAAATAGAAGGAAAGACCACATACGCGATAGCAGCATACATTCCCGGTCGGTAACCAGGTGCGTCTTCTTCCCGGAACACTAGACTACTCACGATACCACCGAGACCTCCAAGGCCTACAAGTGTGGCACTTGAGAAAGCACGCGTCCATTGACCGCGCACGTTGTTCGCCTGGTATGCCATACACGATGGGATATTAGCATTAGCACCTGCAACCGTGAAGAACACGCCCGCATAGCGGACGGCGTCGCTCTTAGCGAATCCCATCATGGGCAGGCCAATGATGGCCAGCAGGGAGTTGAAAATAATGATCGGTGCGCGGACGCGGTACTTGTCGCCAACCCAAGCCGTGCCATACATGACGATTCCGGCGAACCCGTAGGGTGGCGCGACAAGGCATTGGGCTTCGCCGACGCCGTAGCCCATGCCTAAGTTGAGGATAATGGGGAGGAAGTAGGCAATAGCGTAGGTGACGGTAGTGATCGAGCTAAGACGCGGTTAGCAGAACTCGGGTCTATTTGGGGAGTTAACGCACAAGAAGATCATGGCAAAGGCCCAGATCTTCAGATCCAATGCAGGTTTCAGGAATTTCTTAAGAGAGAAAGCTTCCAAATCGCCATCATTTCGGTCCTTGTTGATGCGACGGACAATGAATGCGCATTCTCTCTCATTCAGGAAGCGCCAGGACTTGTGTGCACGGTCAGGGAAGTCGACGAGGAAGAAGAAGCATAGGATGCCTATGACGCCAGTAATCTATGTTTTTTATTAGCTCGGTTTGTTTCCGCTAAATCAACTTTGCATACCACTCCCTCAAGGATGAAAATCCATCTCCAACCAGTCAGCCCTTCCCTGCCGTTCAATTGCATCAAACCAAATGCAAGGATGCCCGCTAATGCAGAAGCAACACATCCAATGAGATAGAAGATAGAGAAACGCTTTTGAACATCATCTTTGAAGGGTCAGCGCTATGCAATCACTTGGAGGGGTGTTTTTGGCCTACATCGGGTATACCAGCAGGATAGCAAGTAAACGCAACCAGGGAAGTAACCAGCTTCCAGCACACCCAAAAGCACACGCGTGCCAACCAATGCGCCCCAGTCTTTGACAAATCCCATACCCTATGCCAGTCAATAAATTGAAATTTCGATGTTGAGAGAACGCAGGAAGCCCTTACAATCATAATTCCGGCCCAGCATACAATAATTGAGGACAGGAAGAATGTCGGGCCAAGTTTGCGAATGATAACCGTCATCGGCGGCTGGAAGATAATATAGGGCACGAAGAACATCAAAACGACAATGGACTATTCAAAAGTTAGCTAATCACCTTCTAGACTCGTGCCCTATATATTTGAACGTACATAGCGCTGGCCAACTTCTAGTTGTAATTCTTGTTTCAACCTATTACAGCATTCAGTAAATGGCTTGGGCACATACGATTGTCCTACATCACTGTAGTCTTACCCTGCAACGGCAGCCATGCTCAGATTCGTCCGGTCCATGAGCGAAATGCAATAAGCCAATCCGGTCATGGTCACCAGACGCAGATCAATCCGTCGAATAATCTTTTTCTGCTCTTGTGGTGTAAACTCCTCCTCTTCCTCCTCGCTGAGAGGAGTTCTTCTCCCAATATCCTCGATGAGGTGGTCAGCAGGCGGTTTCTCATCGATGGGAGCCATAGTTCCCATATTGATATGCCCGAACTTAATTGGAGGATAAAATGGATGTATAAGATGTAGATGTAGAGGAAAGTAGGAAGGACGGAGATGGGATATGAGAAGAAGAAAGAAAGAAATTCAATGGGGTTGGAGTAGAATTAGTAGACAGAGCTGCAGCCTTATCTAGCAAAGGACAAGACCAGCAAGGATCAGAAAGTATATATTCATCTAGTATTCCAAGGAGGAATAAGCCCCGAAAAAATGCAATCCATTCCTAAATCAGCCATTCAAGATCGACGCTCGCCTATTGCAGCCTGCTCCAAAACTGCCCAGGAAAGTCTCCAAGAAACAGGTGCATCGAGAACGCAATAGCCGGCAAGTGGTAGTAGTGTGCCTCGGGACAAGCACATCTGCCGTACGGCAAGTAATAATGTCCGAAACAAATGAGGGGGAGGCCACTCCACTTGACACTCTCTACGAGTCATCTCTGGTATGTCGTTGGACTAGTTCGGTGGCTACTTCTGGGGACAATCCGGGGAGGGAGTAAATGCGGGGGAATGTACTTGGCAACTTGGCAAATGGCAAATTTGATACACTTTGATCCCCCTCTCTGCGGGTTTCAAGCCGATATCTAGGGCTAGAGACGTCATTTGGACGATCTGTTCTAGCCAAGTTTGCTTAGTGTTTACTGTTGATTCACGAAAAACCCACAAACTCCCCTTACATCTGGAATTCCTAGGGCAAGGAGAGACCTTTTCTACTTGTCAGGTGGTTCAGTGGGCATGGACTTGGCCAGTCAGAAAGGAGCTTATAAGGGAACTTTAGCCATCGCTCAAATAGTCGGTGATGCCGAAAGTATAATTCGTATAGAAAACCCTCTCGAATCCTCAGTAAATAGTCACATCCTTACATAAATGTCATAGGCTACTCAATATATTCTCTACTGCGAGACATATATGTAGAATATTTGAGACGACTGTTAAAATCCATGAGTGGTAAAATATTCTTGCAATACCTCAAATGACACCAGGTGAGGCATTTGAGTATCTCATATTAGGATCGTTATAAGGACCAGAATAGATGGATGCAAAGTGTTGACATGGAAAATTGAATTTCGAATTTTTGAACCTCGGTTCAGCCTTAGAATGCTAATCCCGTCGACGGTAACTTTCATCATCCTCGTATTCGTCCTCTTCTTCATCCTCTTCCAAGAGAAGTCTCTCGCGTTCTTCCTCATCTACCCGATTTTGCTCTCTCATCTGTCTCACAGAAACAAAAACAAAGATCACGAGTGCCGTTCCAACAAGAAATCCCGCGATTGCCAAGGCGGCATTGATTGGAATTGGGTTGCCATCAAACGTATGATGAGTCAATGCGTCAAGCCCATACTGAGAAAAGTTGGCAATTCCCGAGAGGCAAATGATGGCACCGTATACGCGCCCAAACGTCGCAAAGCCGAAGACTTTGGTGGTATAATCACTAGAGCCAAGATTAGCACGTGGAATGTACCAGTGAGTGGAAGACAACATACGACATGGCCGAGTAATAGAGAGGCCGGAGTAAGACAAAGAGCACAACGGTCAGATAACCAGCCCAAACTGCCGGGATGGAGTTGAGTACACCAATGACCGTGGTGAAAAGCACAATTAGCCCAAGCATGGTTGGTACGCTGAGGCGATCGAGAAGGTATCCGATCGCAGGTGTGAAGAGAACACCCCCGAGCGGTAGCGCGATATCGAAAAAGGCACCTATCTTATCTGCCTCCTCGATCGATCCGAGCATGTATTCATACTGCGAGCGAATCGTCGCGATAAAGTAGTTCATGCGAATCATCTGCAAAACAGTCATCAGCGTGATCAGGATAAACCAGGGCGTGGCCATCTGCCGATGCGCCGGCAGGCCGTGCATTACACCCCAGACCGAACTCGTCTGCTTGCGATCCTCTTCTCGCTCCGCACGCATCTGACGCTCATCTTTATCACCGAGCACCGCATCGATTTGGCGGATCTTCTTCCTTCGCTGCTCCGCTCGCTTCTTCCGCACCCGGTTGAGCTCCGACGTGCTCTCGATTTCATCATCGGAGTCGTGGACGTCGCGTGTGGCATCTTCGGCCTTTTCTATTTTGTTTTCCAATTGCAAGGTCGATACATAGTCACGCGCCGGCATAATGGTCACTAGTGCGATTAAAATACACACGGGGACGACCAGATAGCCCAGGAAGAACTTGTCCGGGGTGAAAGCTCTGCCCGACGCCTCATAGATGAGTCGGTAAAAGAGGAACACAGCAGCAGAGGCGTCGAATGCACCAGTCACCAGCGCGACGATCGACCCCGCATATTTGGGAAACGCATTCGCGATTTGGAACGAGGGTACAAATAAAAATGTGCCAGCTAGAGCGAGGAAGAAATTACCCGCGATATAGCCATCGAAGCCAGGTTCGTGGAATGCAAATGCCATGATAACACCACCGATGGCAAGCAGCAGGCAAGCAATAAACCAGCAGACGCGTGATCCACATCGGTCCAAAATCGTCCCTACGGGAAGAGCCGAGACATTGGCTGTTATCGAAGCAATGGTGAAAAACAGGTTGAGTCTAGTTGTGGTTAGCGACAAACACAACTCGAAGGCGTCTGTGCAACAAACATACCTAAGATCCTGCTGTGCGCATAGCTCAAGCCCTTCATCTATTTCCGCAGGCGTGCAACGCTCGTGATAAACACCCTCTTCGACGAGAACAGGTTTGAGCGCCGCGAAGCCAAACACGATCCCCGACGCGCTCCAGCACGCGAGAACAGTGACGACAACCTGAGCTAGATAGTGTCAACAGTTTGTCTTACCCTATACTGAACTGTACATACCTATTCGCTTTGCAGGGGAATGTTTGTACGCTGGTGTTCCAGGAAGCAATTCTGCGACCGGGATAACCTCGCTCGGGGGTTGGAGGACATCATAGCTTATTTTGCGGCGAATGGGAACGAAGTCACAATCGTCAACTAGGTCTATTTCGGGTTCCCGATCAACGCCGTCAATGGCAGAAACATGCTGCACCAAGGACATTCTGTGTTGAACAGAGTTGTGGAGGGGAAGTTGATCTTATCGTACAAAAACTTGAGTTCGCCGTTTTCTGCAAGGCAGCTTTTATGTATTGAATATGTCCCTGGAATGCTCATTTCGGTCACTCATACTAAACTTATTTATATTCTTGTTAATAATGTGAAAAGCCACTGTCTTTTTTTATCCTTGGAGCTTAGAGCTGGAAAAACTATATATGGTACCTGATACGCCTAATATTTCGCCATAAATTCAAGGTATACTAGAACAAACATTCATATGTAGGTGTAGAAATAGGAGAAAGGGGTATATTAATAGTCTTCGTATTACCATGTCGTAGATAGCATAAGCTATAGCGATTTTCCTCCGATTTGTCTGGTTCGCTTAAATTGCCACATCCCTTGAAAGCTGCTCTAAATTTCTACTAATATTTAACCACAGTATAGCCGAAAAGAAAGCTAATGACAGACAGGTAATGGTTGAGTGATATATATTTGTTCTTACCTTGTTCGAATATCCACAAACATCCATAAATATTAAATACCTAACGCCCCATATCTTGAGTGGAAATCTCTAGAAAGTTGTATACTGGCGACGTGATATGCACCTCAGCACGCCCTCTATCACAAGCTATAGTTTTTCTTGAGCAGCCGCAGCGGTAGCTTTCTCCTTCTTGATTGACTTCCATTCCATTGTCAGCGCGGGGGCAACCATCAGACAGGACACTGCCACGGAAACAATGAAAGACCGCCTGAGGCCATCATTGTATAACGCCAGAACCTCGGCCAACTTGTTAGCTGGAACAGCACCTGACAGACCCGTTGCTCCAGTGTCCATGATTTTGGCTACATCAATTCCCTGCACACGGGGAAGGTTTGTTCCGAGGTAATTCTGGAAGAGCGACTGAGCGACCGCGATAAAGATTGCTCCACCAAGAGATTGGGAGAAGAACATGAGCGAGATACCGATGGCGACCTCGTCCATAGAAAGGATAGTCTGCGCCGCCATGGAGGGCTGCTGCATTCCTGTGCCGATACCAATACCAAACAACACTTGGTACCCAATCCAGGCGGCATGGTTGGTGTCCACTTTGAAGGTCGTCATCAGCCCTGCGCCCGTCGACATGAGAATCGCCGCAACAAACATCCACGGAACATAGTATCCCGTTGCAGTGATAATTCCCCCAGAGATGATGGTTCCAACAACAAGCGCCAGCACCATGGGGATCGTGTCGATACCAGACTTCACAGCTGATGTGCCTTGCACGCCCTGGAACCAGAGTGGGAGTGTGTACATCATAGAGATTAGCCCTCCGCCCACGCACATCGAGAAGACGACACCGCTGATGATGCTGCGTTGACTGAAGATATGAGGCGGCACCGTCGCATCCTTCTTGAGCCGGACCTGTACCCCGACAAAGGCGATCATCAAGATCCCTGAAATGACGAACAGTGCAATAACGCGTCCGTTGCTCCAGGGGTAGGTTGCGCCGCCCCACTGCAAGGCGAGCAGGAAGCAGATGACAGAGGGCAAGAATAATACGCTCCCTAGGGGATCGAGACGGAGAATTTGTTGCTTCCAGGTGTAAGGTTGGGGTTTGTGGGGGACAGTCAGGAAAAAGAATAAGATGACCATGGTCAAACCGCCGATAGGCAGGTTGATGTAGAAGCACCAACGCCATGTTACGTTATCTGTGAATGCACCCCCCATAAGAGGACCGACGATTGATGAAATTCCAAAGGTCGACCCCATCAGCCCAACATACATGGGCCGTTTTTCCAGGGGTACAATCTGTGCAATGATCACCGACGCGCCGGAAAATATGCCTGCCGATCCAATCCCTGCTATCGCACGCCCCACGATGAAGGCCTTGGAGTTGGGTGCGCCGCCACAGACCGCCGATCCTACTTCAAAAATAAGGACCGCGATCAGGAAGATGGTCTTGGTCGAGTAGAAGGTGTACACCTTGCCCCAGGATAGCTGGGTGGCGCAACTCGTCAGAAGGTATGCACTTGCATACCAACTGATATCTTCCAGAGCATTGAACTGGGTTGTGATTCGGGGGACTGCTGTGGCAATGATGGTGCGATCCTATAGTGTTTGAAGGCTTGTTAGTATAGATCCATGCAAGCAATAGGAAACACAACATTCATACCAAGGCAACCAAAAACATAGCCAGTAAAATAGAAACAATGATAGCTAGCAGCCGGGCCCCCGTAGCTAAGTGAGTCTCATCATCTTTGACATCGGAAGGCTTCTCGGTGGTAATCGAGACCTGGTCTGGGTGCTTGTCCACCCCTTCTTCTATCGATTCAGTCATGGTATAATAAGCGAAGTAACGAATATGAGAGAAGTAAATATTTGAAGCTGGCTTAATTGACACATAGGGGAAATGGCAGGTTTATAAATAATTCACGCGTGTACAGAATTTCGGAGGTGAGATTTATTTCGGCGCCGAACAGCACAGAGCAAAATCAAGTTCGGCGCCGAATGAGCTTCGGAAGGCTTCTTATGTACGCGAAACAGACAGGCATGTCATGGATCCGAAGCGAAAAGATATTCCATTCAAACCCTTAGATGAACTCCAGAATCCTGATGAGTTCCATTTCTCCTACCACCGACAGCGTCATCTCTTCGGTTGCACCTTCGATAAGCCGACAAAGAAGCCGCATAGTTGAGCCCCGTCGCCGTAACGACAAAGGCTCCAACCATTTTTCCTGGTCGCAAAGAAGCGAGAAAGAAAACACACAGTGATTCAAAAGGATGAATGAAGCTACATGCTCTCGGAGGGTGGCTATAACCTTAGCTGGAGTGCTGAGGTGATCGATCAGACTCCCTTTTCGATGCCATAATCGTACGTATAGCTTCGTTATCAACCACAGCGCGCCAGCTTCATGACTGGATACTATAATACCGTGATCTTTTTTAAAAAGAACAGCTGGATGAATGTCCGGAGCGCGTCTTGAGACTGAAATGTACAGCAAAACTTTTCTTGTCCATTGAGATTTGGTAGAAGTACACTCGGCGGCTTCTGCGCCCATATTGGTCAAGAGCAAGAAATCTCAATGCCTATGACTCATCAGTACCGGCCAAGTAATAAAGATATGGTCGGTTAGATTTTGGCTTATAAGTCTCGCGATCACGTTGTCTGGTGGACGGCTCTCGAATATTTTGTTGGTTCCTATTGAAGAGCCTAGTCACACCTGAGACTCCAGGGCTGGGGCATTCATTAACATCATTTTGACGGAAAATTTGCAGCTCATATCTCCTAAACTTCCGCAACATGCCAGGTTCGTCACTTTGAGTTGTGGATTTATTCAGCCTTCGGCTCTGTGTTGGCTTATTTTGGGCATTTGAATCAGACACCAAAGAGACAACGCCCGGGTAACTCATGCTCGATGGGTGCCCACGCCCTCCTGCATTTTGACGAGACTCAAATGTAAGTAAGCATCTCAAAAGAAAATGTGGTTCAATTTTGATGTTGAACATTCAATTGCTGATATGGTAGAGACAGATCGATCTTCCATGTCGGATGTCATGTCCGCCCTGACCATGATTCACACTTGCATCACACAGAATGCTACAAAACTCCCAGCATCTAAATGAACGACATATTTCGTAGGCTCATTGATATTCCCACCACCATCATGCTGATCTCAACCAAAGCAAAGTTGTTCCTAACTTTTGGAGCCCGCAGATTTACCGTTACCCGGTTCTGTGCTGAACAGCGTGGGTTCGCTCAAGTAGCCGGCACTGAGACAATACCTGAAGTTAGCATTTAATCTCTGCATATTAGGGACAGCGAGACTAACGTGGATCGGGATAGGAAAATGATAGGCCTTTCACAATACCCCTTGCGGAGGAAAGCTTTCAAACATACAATCTTGATCCGCCGCCATACTTTGTCGAGACAACGAAGAACCAACTGAAGCAGATGTATCGCGACATGATAGCAATAAGGTTTGCATCGTTTCTGTGGAGCTCACCATTTCACGCATGCTGATATGTCTCAAGACGCATGGAGCTAGGTGCCGACCAGTTGTACAAAGAGAGAAAGATCCGCGGTTTCTGTCACCTATCAACTGGACAAGAGGCAGTTGCAGTTGGAATTGAGCACGCAATTAGCAAAGAAGACAAACTGATCACCGCGTACCGCTCTCACGGGTTCACATATATGCGTGGCGGTACAATCAGATCAATCATCGGTGAGCTCCTGGGTTGCCGGGATGGGATAGCACATGGGAAAGGCGGATCGATGCACATGTACTCCAAAAGCTTCTTCGGCGGAAATGGTATCGTGGGTGCAAGCGTGCCACTGGGGGCTGGCATAGCGCTTGCCCAGCAGTATGACGAGACAGGTAACGTCACAATCAATTTGTATGGTGACGGAGCCGCGAACCAAGGGCAGGTGCACGAGGCCTTCAACATGGCAAAATTGTGGAATCTACCCGTGATATTTGGCTGCGAGAGTAAGTCTTTACTGATTTGCAAGTTGATTTTCTTCCTCTGACAGCAAGGCAAACAGACAACAAGTATGGGATGGGGACGTCTGATAAAAGGGCATCTGCCATGACGGAGTATTATAAACGTGGTCAATACATCCCCGGTCTTCGGATTGATGGGATGGACGTTCTAGCTGTACTGACTGCAGTCAAGCATGGGCGTGATTTTGTTAAAATAGGCAATGGTCCCCTCGTATATGAGTATGTCACCTATCGATTTGCCGGTCACTCCATGTCCGACCCTGGAATTGCCTACCGCAGTCGAGAGGAGTTGCAGAAAACCCGTGAAAACGACCCACTTATAAATTTGAAGATGAAATTGATAGACTGGGGCATCATTACCGAGGACGAAGCCAAGGCTATCGAAAAGGAAGTGAGAAGATTCGTCAATGAGGAAATCGAACATGCCAAGCAGATGCCCGCCCCTGAGGCCAGTCTTGATGTTTTGTTTAAAGACATCTATGTACCGGGTAGTGAACCTTCTCAGAGGCGAGGCAGGACAGTCGATGAGACTTGGTATTGAAAATTGACGCTGCTGTGGTGCTAGAAATTTAGATATCTAGAGTCGGTTCACGGTAGGGCCAATCAAACAAAGGATACATACCTAGGTAAAGCGTAACAATTTGCTAGTTGCCGCAAAACAAGACACTTCCAATAGTCATTGGTTGGATGCGATATCTCGAAGTATGAAGCTCTAAAATCAAATGCGAAGAAGTTCCAATACTTTCAAAAAGATCGAATGGTATTGATCAGAATGGATCAGCACGATTAGCATTCGCAGCCCAACACTCGTTGTCAGTACAGCTCGATTTTCCTGTAGCTGACATATCAGTATCTTTTGCTTGCTTATGGGATGTTTCGCATCTAAACAGGTGCAGACACCAACCCCGATCGAGGGCCAAATCCCTTTTTATACGGGCAAGTGGTATACGAAATATCTGGCTCATAGTAAAGATGCCAACTTCAGTTCTTTAGAAATAATGTGAGCTTTTTGGTAACAAAAGAAGGTCATTCTTGGGAGCTGTATGGTTTATTTGAGGCTCAATCGACCTTCTGTCGGAACCCAGTTGTAAGTACGGAGTACCGGAGACTCTGATGTATATACATCGTACATCTTGAATTTTAGATTTCAGGTCGTACAACAATGTAGTCTAGCTCATGGTACTTGACTTGCTGGAAAGCGGATAAAAATAGTAACTGTGGCCGCCTCTGGTTTGTCGAGAGTCGTTCCACAGAGAATGCGAAGGTCCACCCACTCGATACTTGGTCCAAGGTATCAGAGGTCTTCCGCTGTGATTGACTACAAGAATAAGTTGATATATATTTATTGAGCGACTACCAAACTACAAATCACCGTTAAAATTTCAAGCGGCAAATTGAGATTCATGATTCGATCATGATCATAAGAAGAACAAGGCATACAGAACAGCAACACAGGCTTTGATCAGTGAAAGAGCAAGAACATTATCTTCATATGCAGCTTCAAAGCCCATAGAAACATCCGAAAGGTCGGATAATGGAAGAAAGCATGCACCCGATTTGTTCTGATGCCAAGACTTTTTAATATAAAACTGCCACGGATATTATGACGTACCCAGACGCCAATGACGTAGGACCTCTTAAGGTACCATGGGCTCACTTTTTATTTGAACCTGTTCTGCGTCGAAGTTTTTGTATAGCATGTTCCTGATTGACATTGAAATAAAATCTTACTGAGTTGCAGTGATAGCAACCACTGTACATACCTTCGAAATCCACAGAAACCAGCACCACCACGATGGCCAACATTTCAATTAGTGCCCCTGGTCTGAGCAGCGGTGGATTCCTTTATAGCAATGGCAACAATAATGCGCGGCTATGCATCACAGCCGAGTCCGATGATTTCGATATGGACATCATCAGAAACTGGCAAGAAGAAGGATTCGACGTCGTATATCTCCCTTACAACGGCGGAGGAAAAGAATATGCTCGTCGGCTGCAGTCTGTAAAGGACGGTCTCGGTGTAGGCGAGAATTACGGTGTGGTCGGTATGTATAGCACTTTCTTTGAACATCACAAAGAGGGATTAACTAACTGGCTCTATCCACAGCCTTTGGCGACGCCGCAGATTTCTGTCTCGACTATTATCTGAATTCCGTCAACGCCAGTCGGCTCTGCGCCCTGGTTGCATACTACCCCAGCCTGATCCCCGATACGCGATCGCGATTCCCCCTCTCGCTCCAGGTGCTCGTGCACTTGGCAGGTGAGACTGTGGACGTACTTGTTCAGCCCGTTGCACTTGGAATACAAGGCAAGAAACGCCGCCAAACTCGCCCAATCAATTCTGGTATCGGGACTGGAGAGCGTTTGGAACTCGCATACCCGGCATTTACATATGATAATGCCCAGCCCGGGTTTGCGGAGAGCGATGTGGAGGAATACGATCACCTTTCAGCGAATCTAGCCTGGACACGGACTTTGAAGGTTCTGCGGAAAGGATATTCCAGAGATCCGGATTACGAGCAGCGGTATGAGCAGCATGTGGATGGTAAGTTGCAATCGCAAAAGGATGGAGCGACTTCTGGCTAATGCTTTTTTAGGCAAATTTTCCTCGTCCAACGTCCGAAAGACCATGGATGGTTATGTCCAGCACAAGACCCCTAGTGTCACTTATACACCAACAATCAGCGGTGGAGTCGGGAAAAAAGGCTTGCGCCATTTCTATGAGCAATACTTCATCGGCAAACTGCCCCCATCCATGCGTCTGCGACTGCTTTCTCGTACCACAGGGTCTGACCGCATCGTGGACGAGCTGTACGTAAGCTTTGAACACACACAGGAGGTTCCATGGATGCTACCGGGTGTTCCACCGACGAACAAGCGAGTCGAGATCATCCTTGTGAGTATTGTCAGTATGCGCGCCGGGCGTCTTTATTCCGAGCACGTATACTGGGACCAAGCCAGCGTGCTCGTGCAAGTTGGCCTTCTGGACCCCAAGCTGCTACCGGAGGGAGTCCAGGGTGTCGAACGACTGCCCATTGTTGGGCGTGAAGCCGCTCGTCGCATTCTCCATGAGGATCCGGAGCTTGAACAGGAAGACTACCATAATAAGATGATCCGTCGTGCCCGTGCGCGCGCAAGGAGAAGCATGAATAAGAGCGCCCGCGCGTCGCAGGCCGGGGATGATTATGGTGACCTGAAGAGTGAGGCGGAGCAGTCGTTGCCTGACAGGAGTCGGAATAAGGGCAAAACAGTCCAGAAAACGAAACCTGCGAGTCTGCAGCGGACGAATACAGAAGCGGCTGAGCACGAGGATGACGGCGATAAGACAGAGACAGAATCTAAGGCTGGTGATCAGGCTGCCTACGTCGAAGACGAGGAAGGTAATAGTGGTGCGAACGGGTCCAAGCAAACGTGACTTGTCACTTCTTCTCTTTGCCAGGATGACCATGGAGACATCGCCGTGGATCTTGTTCTGCCCGTAGAAGAGGTCAAGTCGACGATGTACGGAGTAAGCTGGGAGTGTTCTTTCGATATCTTATGCGACTGTTTTTTGATCATGAGTGATGTCGTACCTATGGACTTCTTCTGTTTAGCATTAATGGTTGGCACTATTGCGGATACGATGGTTAATGTGATATATATGTTCGGAGAAATATTGCAACAATTTCCAGGTTGACACTTCTACGGGCGACTAGACATGACGACGATAAATAGCATCGGCAGCCCCAGTCGAAACAGTAGATTTCATTATCTGCATGAACCGAACGGGCCACGCTGACTAGCCAGACCCTAAAACACTCCATATAGAAGCAGATATTGACTGTAGAGCCCTTCCGACCCATACTTGATGTCTTGAAGCAGATCGAAGAGGAAGATCCTGAGCTTGTATGTTGGGCTGCACGTCTCGTGGCGTACGTTCGGTGTTTGTGGGATTCTTGTGTATCCAAACATATAGATATTCAGCAGCTCGAAGAAGAAAATAAAAAGCTGCGGAGCGGGAATATTCAGCTATACAACGATGGAAACCAGTTGAAGCAATGCTAGGATGAGCAAGTGGCTCGCCTGTATGCTATTGATGATGCGTTGGACGAAGTTCGGGGAAGGCTTATCGACGTCCTTAAAGTTTGAAACGAACGGTCTGTTGGCGACTTGGCAATTCTGCTAGAGGATGGGTCTCCTCGATGTTAGTCGTTGCCGCTGTGAAGGAGAATCAAATGTACAACGGTAGAAATCCAGCCCGACAATAAAACCTACTGTGTCCTAGACTAGGCGATTTACCATAATTGTTGAATAGCTTGATGGTTCAGCGACTGAACTTCCAGCATTTTGCACAATATAATATGAAATGATCATCTAGGTGGTCAGAACGTATAATTGTAGCTATCAAAGTCAGCCAAGAGTGATATTTCCTCGTACGCAGCTAAACTTACCTCTAGAGATAGCAACCAGCAGTTCCGGACAACCCTAAAGACCGCGACGAGAAGAAGCACCGCTGCTAACCCGGTCGTGTAAAGCAAACCACAATATAATCGTGTTCGAGTCCGGGAATATATCGTTGTATACCTATGTAGCCACCATAAAAGAGAAGCCAAACTAAAATAGTCCACAAAGTGAAGAAAGAGCACAACACCTCGGAGTGGCGGGTAAATATAAGTACCAACGAACATAGATATGATCTTGATTAAAGACGAGAGAATGTAATATAGTGAGAAACCGATCCTCAATCGAGATGGTGTACTGATGAGGTTTTGCAGCAAGATGCTTATTCGGAGAGACTGTCTTGGTGGTCAATGTCGGAACCGAAAAATTGCCTTTCACTCTAGCACCTACCACAAGTAAAAATGCAAACACGCTGGCTATTCCTAGAACTAACTCTCTTGGAGTATCGTTTGTTACAGCCCAGCTCAGTCCTATACAAGCTGTCAGTAAGATATTTTTCGGTACTGACACTGTAAGTTCCAGAGCCAGATTTGAAGTGCTTCCCTCAACTGCTCGACGAAACAATTCAAAACGTACGAGGCTGACTATCAGCAGTGCGGTAGCCAGGGTAGTATACACCGTAGACGAAACCTGCATGACTGGCTGGCTTATTGGTAATGTCCGAATACGAGGGAATTGAATTGAACTTATACTGAGAATGACCTGTAAATGTTATTTCGCAACTTGCAAAGCCTGATATCATACATGGAAGTCTAAAGATGCTGTTTTAATCTGTAACTGTCGTCGTCAAGCTGCCACCACCGAGCCGTCTGGGAGACGAATGAATGCCCACCTAATGGGATCTTAGGAACCAGCTTTCCACTTAGCAGCTTCTACTACCACTAAAATTTAGGAACAAATAGGCTCAAAATCTACTCAACAAGCCCTGGCTCCGAGGAATGGTTCCTCCAGGAGTGAACTGCTTACCGCAGGCTCATTCAAACTTTGTCAGATTCCTTATAAAGGTGCTTGCACCCCTGCTACCTCATACAGCGGGAATTAAACCCCGTTCCATTCAATTTTTTCTATCAAATCATCATCACGATTACTTCTTGGTAAGATCTCCCTGATTCCTGAGAAGTGAAGGTATACTGGTTTTTGTCAACCTCCAGCTCACTGCATCTGCACCATCTATCCCGATGTCTCATATTCAAGGAGGAATCCCATTTTTTTTTCGTCACGATGGGTATTATGAGATCGCTTGCACTATAATGAACCAACTGACGGCCTCTGATATTGGCGCCCTTTTGGCTTCAATTCGTATTACACCCACCCAACGTATCAAAGAAAAGTTCTTACAGCCACTGCGAGACCTTGACCATACCATGCAACGGTTTGAGCCTTGGTTCCACGACAAATGTCAGGTTCTTATCATCGGCCCAGACACCGTTCAATTGAACGCCCGAATCTTCAAGGCAGAGGAATACCACAAGGAGAGTAGTCGTTGACGCGGCACTGCATGTACATAACATTAAATCCAATTCCTCTCCACAAGAACTTATCCCAAGACTAACAGGACTCAAGACATGCTTAGCTATCACAAAGTTCCTCCACCTGCGTGACATCTTCAGCAAACGTAGCGCCATATTCTCTCATCATCTGTATCTTCTCATCCATATTCATCGCTAAACTCATTCTCCCAAAATCCTTTGGAAGTTGCCTATCACTCTCATATCTCAACACCCATACACCCACTCCATCCGTCGGCCAACCGAACACCAGCACCTTTTCTTCTTCCTCCGTCATCTCCCTCGCGCCTAACCGTACTTCCAGCCTGTCCTCCTTACTCGACCACCACTTAGCACCAGTCCGTCGCATGAGATTACAGAATCTGTCTTCTTCGTCGTCACTAGGAGAGCGCTGCGACTTATGAGAGCGGGAGAGTGATAGGAAGAGCATGTCGAGAAGGTCAGCCTCTTTGACGAGAACCCCGCCAGTGGAGGGGTAGCCGTAGACAATGCATCCTCCTGGGCCGGTGCCAAAATTGGTCCGTTCAGTCGTTGATAGAGGGAGCATGGAGCATGAGGCCCAGTCGTTCCGCGAGTCCCCTATTTCTGTTCGCTGATGGAAATAATTCGAGATAGGACTGATATTGATGGGAAATATGCGGCCAATGGTTTGTTGGCCGAGAGTCCATAGAAAGGTAGAGATGATGGCGACGAGCCTGATGTTGGACCTCCAAGTCATGTTTCAATATGGCTACAAACAGAATAAGGTCAAAGCTCCGAATGAGCGTGTTCTTAGTGTCATGCAGATGACCGTTTCAACATATAGAGGAACTAGGGGAAGCTCCCTTCAACTGATTAGTTAGGCAGCGACCTTTTGACATAAGTAAGTATTGTTCTGCCGAGGTCTACCGCTAACCGATGGGATGTCGTTAGCGTTATCGTAGCTGTAGGTGTGTCCTCGCCAATCGGAGTTATGAACGCCGCCGCTATGTAGCCCTAGGGCCAGGTCGAATGGGGAAGAATCTAAGAATAATGAGCATGGATGAGAAATGGTGGGGATTGCGTGATTTGGGGCGAAGAGTAGACCTCATAACCGCCCACAGACCCGCGTTTTGCGGGCCGAGGGCAGGATCCTCCTGCCCGCGGGTCGGGCATGTCTTTTACCTGCCCTCAGAGGGCGGCCCTCGAAACATGACAAACACAGAATATTACCTATGAAATGATTGGATCAGTCAGCAGTGTGATATATTGTTGGATGCCATAGGCATCTAGGCATATAGATCAAACATGTTTGATATGCCATCATGTTTGGCAGTGTAGATAGGATCTTAGTATCCTATTCATACTTGCTTTCCCTTATTCTCTCTCTCTTAGTCTAGCTTCCAGATAGACAATATTATTATCTTCTCTGTCATCAAGTTTGTCCTTCTTGAATTTCAGTCTAACTGAACGACGTGGTGGGGAGACACGAGCCACGAATATATCCTCGACAGAATGAATATTTGCCAAAAATGCATCGTCAAGGATTTTGTAAGCACAAGGACAATTATGTCGAAGAAAGGTTGTTTGACTTCAGACATTAGGAAGATTTTTCTATTAGATAAACTAGCTTGGCGTAAAACAAAGCCTTGCAATCACTGACCTCTTTGGTTTGGTATGATGACCCTTAGTTTGCTTCAAATCAATTTCCATCACAAGATGGTCACAAATACCTCCAGGGTTTGGGAGTAGAATCCAACTAATCTGACCGTAGCAAAGTGTTTTTAGATCATCTTCTCTGAAGTCCCAATCTTCGTCGTGTCCCTCAATTTCATCTGCACCACCGAAGAAATGCTGGATATTAGTCCGCTCGTTTCGGTCAACATAAACCGGCGCTCCTGGTCGACTACCGGTATATGCTGACACCAGAAGTAGGAAAGCGAGTTGAATTATTTGACGACCATCGGGATAGGGGGTTGTGTCTCTTGTCCAATGGTGGTGGAGAACGATGTACAAATCATCAACGTTCATTACAGGCTTCTCCCCAACAGACATGTCGAGATTGTAACTTGTAACTAGATGCTCCTTCATGTACTGTTACATTTTTGTTAGAAAGCGAGCAAGGGAAGAAACAAAAATGACTCACATCATTGATATCCTGACAACTCTTGGCATGAAGACTTCTCCCTACAGTTTTGCGGTAGAGCTGGCACCATTGCCTCCAGCTCTCATGTAAACTGCTGAACTTCTTGATCTTGGAGTTGTCAAGAATCCACTCGAGAAAAACCATGATGTCTCCCTTCTGTGCTGCAACAAGAAATTGGAGAGGATCTTTCCCTAAATATTCATAGTGCCTATTTGGATCAGTTTCAGAAGGACAAGAAGATCAGGTACTTCATTACCTCATCCATCTTTTTTGATTTTATCAATGTTGTTCTTTGTTGATATAGCATGTCGTTTTTGTATAATGCCTTTCTCAAGCTGCTGACGACGTCGCCGGTAGTACTCAGTGCTATGGGCCAGCTTTTTTCCACTCCCTGTGGTATCAAGAACAGACATGGCATGAATTGGAGTAGGCAGGAGGTAGTGAGAACAGTAAAGGATAGTAAAAAAAGAAGATAAGAGAAAGAAACCCGTAATGACTGAGATCTAGAAGACCTGGGGATTGAAAATTGATCATGTACTTGCAAGTCTTGGGTGAAGTGCTCTGAGAAAGCCCAAGACTTGACAGGGGGAAGGCTCTTTAAATATTGGAACAGAAGGCTTGGATTGGGGGGAGGATTCAGCGTTTAACAAGAGGACCTTTCTATTTTTACAAACAGCGGCTGTAATCGGCTAACCTGATGAGCATAACATTATGACGTCCCTGATCATCAACGATGAATGCTCTGAGTGAAGGGTGAGCTGATCCCTGAGCAAGTATGAGTGCTCAGGGAGCGCTCTCTGAGCACTCAGTGACTAGGGGACGATAACGAGCAGATTCTAGTCACGTGACAATTTAATGACTAAGAATCTGGGTAAAAAGAACGCTTAAAACGGCGTCGAAGGTAGCCGTTTTCGGCGCTCAATTTACCGTCACCTAGCGTTGTGGTGTAAATTGGAAACCCCATTTCAAGCTTATGTGTTAGATTTAAGACTTTGGAAAATTAAAAGGAGTTAGAGTACAGGGATTATAAGTCGACGGTTTAGAAGCACCAAGACCCCCTTAATGGGCTATGATGGGCTATGGTGGGCTATGGTGGGCTATGGTGGGCCCCCATGGATAGATAGCCCATCATAGCACCAAGTACCATCAATCACCAAGGAACATCGGATTTTGTAGCACGGCGGTGCGTCTCAGCGTGCTGATTCAACCAACTTTGAATCAGCCCAATTGCAACGCGAATGTCTGGAGAATCTCGATAAGCATGGGTCGCCTCGCCATAGATCAAGCCATCGGCCTTTGAAAATCCCAAGAGCTTGTCCACACGATCGGTTCCTTCATCATCGGCCCTGATGGTCCAGCCGAAGGTCATTCCCACCTTGGGCTTTCTAGGCTGTCGATCGCGCAGCAACTTCGCGCCTTGATATAATTCGTAGCAGACACCAGTTGGATAGAACACGTCCTCCTTATCTCTTGGCCAATCACAGTCCATCGCATACGGTAGATTGAGGAACGAAATCCCGTAGTCCATCACCTTCTGTTTCACAGACAGTTTATCAGAGGTGAGGCTGTCAAAGGTTCGCCCAACAGCCCTATTCCGGCCACCAATGCTGATTGCTTCGTTCCCACTCAAGGATCTGGCTAGTTTATCGAATTCCGCAAGACCCGTGTCTTTCAAGCTGAAGCCATACAGAGCTCGAATTCCGACTGGCTCCAACTTCTCTTGTACCATCCTTTGAAGCTTTTCAATGGAGGTTCCCTGGCTCGCCCAGGTATCTGGCTTCTTAATGTCAAACCAGACAAAGTTGGTCTCGTTGGCATGCTGTGTAAAAGTATCCAACATTTCTTCTACCGTATGGCCTGGCTTACGGCCAGGCCCGATATCATCATGGTATGCATATAGCTTCCCGTCATAGGGTGCCACATCCATTTCAAATGCATTTGCGCCATCGCGGAGAGCGATTGGGATTGCCGTTGTGTGCAAGACTCTATGAGCGATGAGATAGATTGGACGTTGAGGCTTGTTTTGGATGCCTACAACCTGCTGCGCCGGGTTGTCAAAGCCCCAGCAGAGACTGGAAAGCAAGGAGGTCGACACAAATGCCTGGACAAGATTTGGCATCACACGCATGATGGACGATGAACACTGCACATTGACGATCAGCAAATGTTGGTAGTAATGAAGACAGACCATTGGAGATGACGGAGATATATTTGAATGCTTCGAACGGAACTTATCACTTACCCTGCTCGATTCCCCTTTTTTTATTTTCTTCACACTGTGTTCTCGTCGTAGAAAGGATTCGATTAAAGTCAGAGATCATAAAGCGGTTCCGGTAGTACTTTATAATATTCGCGTTACATAAGGTCATCCCTTTAGTATGTAGGGATATCACTATGCAGAATGCTTCACGATAAACGCTATGGTTCCTGTTTTCAGTTAGGACTTCAGCCAGCCACCGCTCTTTCACCAAACCACCATTCTTTCATTTAGCCAATATTCTTTCAGGTAGCCACTATTCTTTCATCTAGTCACTGTTCTTTCAGCTAGCCACTAAAGCCAATTATGCCCCTCTAGCCGTGCGCTTCCTCGCCGTACCACTACCAATCAACTTTGGAGAAGAAACTTCGCTTGCCACCTTGCAAATTCTTTACACATTGCCTTGAAGTACTGATATTGCTGAGTCACAGTCGTCTCTCGTTTTCGTCATAGGTAGGGTCAATGTATATGGTAAGAGGGCTACAGGTATGGGATGTAAAGAATGGAGTGGCCCTCACTGGGTGATTACACAAGTCATCTCATATTGAAAAGCTTTAAGCAAGATAGTCCATCAGAGATATTAACCACGGGTGGTTGGCTTCTTGGTGACTTCCACATCCGCAGTTCCAAGTCCAGTACCACTTCTATTATATCCATCGGCAGAAACAATATACTGAGAGCGCCTGCCGGGCCCGGACACCGAGAAGGTGTTTGTTTTCGAACCGAAGGGGACATTCCAGTAGAGGGTGGCGACGTATTGATCGTCAATATCATCGAGATCAATCGTTCCTGTTGTGCCGGCCGGCTCTTTATCACGACCGCAAATGTGAATGAGAAGATCTTCGTTGTCTTTGATTTCTAGACTTTCCATATCACGAGGGAGAATCTCATTGTCCTTGTTTGGCGCATTGTAGAATTTGCCGCTAGAAAATTTGCCCAAAGGTCAACTTCAACTTCCAAGTAACTGGTTACGAGACATACAATTGCAAATTTGGCCGTGCAGTGAAGATGCTAACACCAGTAACATTTCTGATTTTGATTATGCCGTCGAATTCGTACATTATTGCCAAAAGAGATAGCACGGTTTCAGCAAAGAAATATAGGGGGAGTAATTGAGAGATCGATGACAAGAAGAAAGCTCGGAAGCAATAGACCGCTAGTTGATAGTCTGTCGGAAACAAAGAGCTATTTAAGTAAAAAAATCTTGAATGACGTGTACATACACCCACATTGCAAGGCCGGTCCCAGCTGATCGTGCGTCACCCAAAAGCTGCATGCTTCTAGTTGTTGTGGCACGCTGTCCTCGGCTGTGACTTCGATATGGGCTCTAGTCGGAGGCGATGCTCCGAGGCTAGACTTGATGTAGTTCTATCTCGCCACACTCAACTAGTACCCCGAAGAACCCTCGCTGAAGGTTCTTCGTAGTATAATAGTCTGAAACATTTATTCAAAAAAAGAACTGCAAGATTGAACCGCTTTCGGTTCTCTCATTTTCCTACGCAGATCCTATGGAAAAAAGAAACACCCTTATACCTGTTTAGAAATTCGAAGTGGATTGATGGTGTGCACTACGGATCTAAGTCCATATATACATCAGAACGAGTGAAAATCCAGCGAAATAATCTCACTCTTGGCAATAGAAAAGGGGCTTGAGCATTTCCCTTCCTGCACAACCAAGGTATCGGACTGCTTTAGCCCTTCTTTCCAACCTCAACATCGACGGAGCCAATAGCTCCAGAGTCTCTGTTCCAGGATCCCTGCTGGATCCAGTAACCATGAGTACTCTTCTCTGAGATACCAAAGTCATTGGCCTTGCTACCCCAGGGGCAGTCCCAATAGACTCTGCAAATCTTGGTGTCGCCATCATACAGGTCAAGATGTCCGGTCGTTCCAGAGGCTGAATCGGAGCGGCCACACGAGCTGATACTTTTCGAACCGCCTGGAGGCACCGTGATTTTGTTTATCTCAGAAGCCTTGATTTCTTCATCTTTGTTCCCGTCCCGATAGAATTTGCCCCTGGTGTCCTGTAAGAAGATGATATTCGCGATTGGATATGGGGTGTATCATACCAGCCTTCGCTTTTGTCAACGTCGGGGATGGCATTGGCGATACTTAGCGTGTTCGAAGACATGCTATTGATGACATTGATCACGATCCATTGTGCGTAACCCATCTTGATCTCAGAGTTGGTAATGGAAGTTCCCGTGAAGTTGGATATATTGTGTCGTCAAGGTATGCTGAGGGATCTGGTGGCTCGGATGATGAATGGAATTGATGGTCCCTTTCTCTAGGGAATGTAGATGTGTTTTATAGTCAAGACTGCCTTACTCATCTATGGGCTGTGTCGGCTATTATTGTCCATGAGATCATCAAACATAAGTACTATGACCTGGACTAGATGCTGAGTGTGCGATGTGAGAAAACTAGCGCATATCACACAGCCCATGCGATTCGTGTTTCATGAGACAGAAGCGAGGCGCTCAGATACGGAATGTGTAGTCCAGCTGATCATTGCTAGTAAAGGCAGTCCGGAGGTATCTACAGATTTTTGAAGCTGAGCGAGGGATCGATCCGGATATCCCCGTGCCGCGTAGCCCTGCGTTGTAGATGTGGATGATTAGTATGATGAAATCAACTCAGAGTCGGGGTTATCACCTAATAGTGATACCTAAAGTGTCTGTCTCCTACCTCTTACAAGATTTCGTAGCTTATTTATCCTAAAATTCAATTCCTGAGGGCTCAATGCCTTTCAAATTTCGTTTTCCTATATCCTATTCAACTTTTTCACCTATTCAATCACGCTAGGCACTATAGAATATTTTCAGTGGCTTGGTTCGTTTTTCAGGACTAGTGTGTATGTTCAACTCATGTATTCTCTTCACCGCATAGATTGGTTAGCTGGCTGGCTGGCTGGATACGGGGCTGAAGATCTGAGTGCTGCGTAACGATAGAAATAATGTGGCTAGCTGTACATGTCGGGTGCTACAGCATGGCCTGGGCCGCGGCAGGCTGCATTAGCCGTTGGCAGGTGGAATTTGGCTGTGCGTCTTCCAACATCGGGGATCCCGCTGGGCGCCCCCATATTGTTCATCTTATTACTCTACCTTGCATAGTTTCTGGAAGATCATCTAGCTCCCTCTATTGATAATCCAACTTCATGCCTGAAAATGTATCATAGAGCGCGTAAATTATCTTCTTTTGGAAGGGATCGAAGGTTTGCCTGATCTTTGTCAAATTGCCTCGCCATCGTACGCGCTCATCATCCCCTCCCGCCAAGCCAATCAATGCAGCAAAATACATCGGCATCACGACCCTCCCAGGATTGTCTTCCTTATGGGCAAACGAGGGGACTAGTGGGCCGTATCAAGCGTGCTTGGCTTTGGAATCTGATCGAGGGTTAACTTTAGCGAGTTCGCTCGCTACTTCTACTTAACTTTTGTCCACGTATTTCGAATTTTCTCTCCTAACAACATCGAAAGCTTTTTGACACAAAGAATATTTACACAATCAATTGACTCAAAATGGAACGTGAAATTGTTCCCTACTTTGATGGAATGCAACAAGGGCAGGGGTATGTTCTATATCTTTAGCGAGCAACTATCAAGAGGTGGTAGCTCAAGCTCTTGATGAAATGATAACCTGATTTCTCTTACTAGGTACAACACGTACCTTCAGAGCCTTCGCGTTGCAAATGCTGTGACTATCACGGCTGAGAAACCACTTCCTCCTAGCTACGATATTACCTACCAAAGCGAAGAGGTTACGGAATACAAGTGAGTCGAATACTTCAACCATAAAACTTGTCTGAGAGCATAATGAGATTCTGACTTCCAACAGGAAGCTCGCCCAGTCCCTGGAGATTACCGCTGGAGCAGCTATCTCGGGCTGGGGCCAGGAAGGCAAGGTTGATTCAAGCTACCTCAACCGATCCGAGGTAAGCGACCGATGGACATGACACTACTACTTTGTCTTGCTAACTCGAGCTTCTAGTATGAAAGTAGTACCATTACCTACCAAGTCGAAGTTTCGTCCCGTCAGCAAGGTTCAATCGGCAACGAGTATTCCTTCAACAAGTATACTGGCGACAATCTGAATGACCTCTATGGAGACCGCTTCATTGCAGGTATTTATATCGCAAGGACGCCATGTCCGGCAGATTAGCCCAGGGGATGCTAATCTATCCCATAGATTTCATCAAAGGTGGTAAATACCTTGCCCGTGTTTCCATTTCTACGTCAACCCAGGCGTCCAAGCAGGAGATCAAGCAGTCGTAAGTCTTCAGAATCTTAATCCTTGGCAATTTCACCTGACAATGATTAGAGCCGAGATTGCTTTCAAGATGTACGGAACCACCGGGAAAGTGACGGAAGAAGTCAAGCAAGCTGTTGAATCACTCCGGAAGAACGCTCGTGTCAAAGTCTGGACTCATATCTCTGGGGGCGGAGGCAGCAGTGATGTAGTCGAGACTTTTGCTACAGAGGATCCCGACAGTGGCTCCCAGCTCCTTGCAATCAAGAAGGAGGCCGATGAGTTCTACAAGGAGCTAAAGGATGGAAAGCATCGATACAGACGCTTGTGCGTATCTTCTCATGTCTTTGCGGTCCAAGAGCTGATATCAAGTTAGTGCGGTGCTATGGCCGTACACCAATGTCTCAAATTTCGATAACACCTTCAAACCATTTGACTACTCCACTGCGAGTAGAAAGGTGAGGCCCCGAGTTATCTGAATCCTCCTAACGGCTGCTGATTTTCCTCACCAGAGTTGGGATCTCTTCGACGAGTACACTCAATACGGTGTTTTCATTGACGGTGCTAAGAAAGGTATTGTCATTATTAAAACTCAGATCAGGTTATGCCTTAGCTAATCATCGCTTGCGCCTCATTCAGTGCCGTCCAATAAATTCAAAAATGGAAAAACTGAACAGCTAGCCCTTGTACGAAAAGGATTTGATGTAACTGAGGCAATCTATGAAAAGGTAAGCACACACCACGCACGCATCAACGACTTTTATTAATATATAAATAGGTCAAAGCAATCAGCAAGAATCCAAGTGAGGTGGAAAAACCAATCCAGTATGATCAGCCATGGGTGTATCAAGCTTCTATCATCGTAAGTCCGAAACCGGTCTTCCAAGGTAACTTCCAATGCTCACCAGATGAAAAGAAAAGCATCAAGACAGTGACGATGATTGCCCAATCAAGACCCCGTGAAAACGGTAGCCCCACTGATAGTAAGCAATATTCTCAGTCACTAGAAATCCCGCAACCCTTGATTAATCTTTTCCTCTAGTTGCATCCCCAACCCTCGAACGCGGAGCACAAAAGCTGTTCGAGTTCAAGGCATTTGACTTTGGTGATGTCTGGGGAAGTTCGGTTGTATCTTTTGGAAAAAAGGACTCATCATTCATTTGCCTCGACGGCTTGCGCGCGTCGGACTATGGGTATAAGGAAGAGAGTGTTTTTTGGGTATTTCACGACGAGCTCAAGGACGTGGGAGATCAGAAAGTCATCGTTTCGAAGCTTCAATCAGCAGATGTCATTCAACTAAGTCGCGATAGCGCAGGGCCCAGACGTCTCTTCCAATTCTATGCTGGCAAGGCCTAGGATGGGTTGAAGATGGGATTGGGCATGATTAGGAGAGCACAGACCGGAAAAGCTGATATCGGATGGAAGATCTGTGGAGCCGTGGGAATCGGAGAGGAGATACTGGGTGAGAGTGAGTTGTGGCTTCGGAGCGGGATTACCTGAGATCAGGTGGGTATCTCAACATACCCTCTGCGCCGTAAGCTAGTGGTATACGAGAAAATCGGATGGAAACCATGCAAAACCCTCTTCCTTGATAGTTGTATTTACCCGACACACGATCTAGCGAACCCGCTGATTATGTTTGTAGGATCTAGATCTCGTAGGCTCCAGTCTCCTCTATTGTCGGCTGTATTGTCTTTTTTTTTCTTTGGTTGGGTTGTTCAGCTATCGAAGGTCTCGTACTCGCTTCCGGTAACCAGATTGTCGGATGCGACGAGACAAGGCATTGAGATAGTAAATCCGATGAGCTCTCTCCCTCTAGACCCGATAGTCAGAATTTAGTATATGTTGATGGCACATCCGATTTGAGGATTCGTCTGCCGTGAAACTTAATTCTCCTCGCGTGACTCTGATGGAGTTCGGCTAATGGAGCAAGTGTTCTCGCGCTGCCATGCTTGCAGTTCGCGACGCTACCAGTGATGGGGTGGTTTGCCCCGATAATACTTGAGCTCACAATGAAAAAAAGAACCTTACAGCCACGCTTTCCAGTGGAGTCAAGTAAACAGGAAGCATTTAGTCAATTACAGGGCAACAATGCAATACTAAACTTGAGGGTTTCAAGATGCCTCGGTCGGCAGCAATATCCCGGTTGATCTTTTCAGGGGCCCCTTTTCCTTTGGTTCGGGCAAGCCCTCAGGCCCTCCGGCCCTGAGAGGTCCGCATGCCACAGATTTAAGCTTCGCCCCCGACATTTCCACCGCAAACACGCGGGGCGTCCTCGCCTCAGCCCAGATATTCTGCGAAAAACTAAGCCACTCGCCCTGGCTCACCGCGCAGTTCTTCAGCCTGCGGACTATCCCCTCCTGAGCGAAAAGGGATACATAGATCTTTCCAAGCCATCGAACCCACTTATCACGGTACATCTGAAGGATCTCGGCTTCCTTTGCCATTTTTACGGCCAGGAGATCACCCGACCTCCATCAACGCGGCACGTATCCCCCTGAGCAGAGGCGATGGTCTAGGCTGGCTATGCTAGGTGATTAAACTTTGTAGGGAGTCCTGTAGACGTTTCTCTCTTCGTAGTGGTGAAGAGGCTCGCTTCATCTTACGGTTCTTGTATGCTCTCGCCGTCGTGGGGGTCGCTGCCAATGGGAGCTGAACTTGACACCGCGCCATCGACCGGGTCGGCGGAAGGGTATTCCGCAAAATCAGCCCTAAGTTGCGGCTCGTCGAGTGTAAAATATCCGGACATGCATGCCAAAATGCAGGGATATAATATATCGCTTATTTCTACCATAACCCTGTTCTCATAGGAGATTTGATACATTCCACAAATAGATTAAACATTTTATGACTATATCGCTTCGAGAGACCATACCCACGTCGACTAGAGCTGACGAACGAGATCTAGGAAGTTGTGGAAACTTTATCATTACAATATGGTAGACAAATCAACTCGAAGGTTTTGAGTCGGGCAGAAGTATATATTGATCTAGGTATATCACGGTAGGACAAAGGGAAGAAGTACTGTAGTAACGTCATTATAGTTCGGCTTAACCCAATATACGTATCCTAACTCGTAGTAGTTCATGACTTTCCCCCTCCTCCTTCCCCGCCCGCCGCCACGCAGCACCATCCTTTCGCCTATTTCATTCTCTTCTCAAAAGAGGCTTTGAGCTGCATGAAACCTGTGACAGTTGTCAGGGGCCGCTTGTCCACTTTGGTCACTCCACATCGGCGTCCCCAGCGCCGGCTCCTCCCACGTCCAGACTCATGTACCCCTAGGGGTCATTGGCGCGGTCGAGACTGTAAAGCTGCAGCCAGGGCCAATCGGCTGTTTTGAGGGCGGTCTCCCAGGCCCATGGGGACAGGCTGAGATGTCGTGCTGGGAGGATGCTGCTGAAGCCCGTGATCAGGGCGAAGGGGCTGAAGAGCGCGCCGAAGATAGTTGGCTGTTACAATCTCGTTCATAGCGGCGGCTGGTTGCCTCCCAGTCGCTGTCGGGGTTAGACAATTCGTAGTCTTTCGGGTCAAGTCAGAAGGCTGGCAGGCGCAGGCTCTTGGATACGCCGATGGATGCGAACGGATGACCATCCAGAGGATTCTTCTCACTGTGAAAGTAGGTGTAAATCGTCTCTAATTCAAGCTATCTCCCTTCTGCTGGTCTTAAAGTGGAATTTGATGGGGGTGAGGGTGAGTCAGTTGAAGGCGTCTTGAAGTAACCGATCAGGACGTCCTGGTTGTAGATCGCGTCGCCGAACTTAACCGGGAAAACTGACACTCTGTCAGAGCATCGATCGGAAGAGGGCCATGTTTGCGCTGGCGTCTGCGCTCGGCTTCGCGTTGCGCTGGCGGCGTAAACTCGTTTTGTCTCGGTTTCGCCGACAGCTCCAATGCCCAGCCCGTGTTAGCTAGCGCCAGGGGCCACCCAACGAGATCGTTGAGGAATTGACTATAGGCGCTCGGCTGGGCCACGGTGATGGCCAGCACTGTGCGGATCATAGCCATAAAGACTTTGGGGTAGATATTATTCGGGCGGCTGAGCGCATGGAGCTGCGCTGTGGTGGAGGCGTCAAATACGGGCGGCTTCCCTTCGGTCAGCCGCCTCACGTCGCTGGCAGCGGTGCGCACCTCGCGGTAGAAGGTGCTGATGGGGAGAAAAAGTTGTCAACTGTGGTCAACGTAATTTATGACCACCCAGCCCTTTATGGGCTCGTCAAACCCCGTCGCAGGCCGCCAGAGTGAGTTGGCGACTGGGGGATCCTCGCGCCCTACAAAGTGCGCGTTGAGCCGCGCCGGCTGGCTGATCGAGAAAGGGAATTGGATGTACTCCGAGTGGTCCAGGGTCGAATCGCGCGGGTCGACGACGCTCACACAGGTGGGATGGTCTGGCACCGCGTTGATGTCGTAGAGCTCGCTCAGCGAGGGCCGGATATGCTCCAGTGGTGTAGCGCCAAGGGGCAACGCAGGCACCATCTACCCAAACTTATCGACAATGTTGACCTTGGTAAATTGCATCCGGCCATGCGTGAGAGCCTTGAATCCCGAGCCAGGAGCGCCGACCACGTACGTGGTCTTGGGTGCCAGCCCCGTCCGCGCCAGCCGCTGCTGTAGCTCCCTTTTCCCGAACGGGATGTGAGCGTATTCCGCCTCCCACTCCACATACAGTGGGAAACCAGGGCTGCGTCTCGCTCCAGCAGTCGCGTCAGTCGCTAGAGCGGCCGGTCGTCTGTTCGTGGTATGGTGGTGGTATCTGCTGGTCAGGGGGTCACGTTGGCGTCTCGCACGAGGCGATATCCGGCGTTCAGTGGATGATCGAGATGCTACCAGCACCAAGTCCGACACGGCTTTGGCACATCCGGGTGCTCTCGCGGGGATTCCATCTCGAGCCTTCGGTGCAAGACCGAAGAAAGATCCCGGCCTGCTCCCTCACGCTCATTTTCGCAGCCGACTGATTGCTTGGGATGAACGAGGTAATAAAGGGGGCCACGTCAACCTCCAGATCCAGCGATTCCTCGAGCTCATCGATGCTCCGCGTCCGATTACTCTCGATTATTCATGCCGTTGCCTCGTTCATGTTTGGCGGATTTGGGGCTACCGTCGTCCCTGCGGTCGGTTCAAAGACCTGAATGAGAAGCCAACGGTTTGGAATGGTATGGTACCGCGGTTCCGTGGGATCGTAGTCAATTGACTACCTTGAACTCTTCTGCTTCTTGCTCTGTGACGGCTGAGAGGTGATAATTCTCGAACGGAGAGGGCGAGGCAGACTCCAATGCACGTGGACGCCCGCACGGTTGCGGCGCTCGCGGGCCTTCCCCAGGTCAGTCAGGCGCGGATTTCTTATCGCGGGCGACTAATTGTGCAAGTTAACATGGCCGAGGATATTATTCTGGATCAGGCTATTCTAAAACTGAAGAAATGTATAGTTATGTTGGATGATGGGCGCAATCTTGGACTGTGCGACGCCGCCGCTGCATACCTCACAGTTGAAGACGAAGGCATCGAGCTTCATGGGTAAGAGGAAATTGTATGGTCCCATTGTGTTTTCTCTGTGCACCCACAAGAGCTTAAAAATATCAAAAGCAATCGGCAGTGGTCAAATCTATCTTCGAGAGATCTTTCCGAGCCCGCCATAGACATGAAAGACCGCTATTGTATAGAGATAAGGCGACTATAAATACCGAGACCCAGTCCGACCCAGGCGCCACCGCTACAAGTCACCACGTGTAGTGTACATGGATCGTGTCTAGACAACGCCACACAGTTCCTCCTGTCCAAATTAGGCGAGAGCCTCATTTTTCCTCTCCGCTGAGGCAAACCCCGAATTGTCCGATCCCTGGAGGCATATTTAGTGCGGGAGAACGGGACGGGGGGAAGTATGTTGAGTTCTGTTGACCCCCGTCACCCAGGATCCCTTTTCGACATACTCTCGTGTTGACCCTCGTATTGTGTTGAAACCCCCGGGTGGCTCCTCCACGGCGGCGGTTTACAAAGCCGCTCACTAGCAGGCGATACCTGGCTCTACGCCATCGACAAAACCAGGTCGAGGCGCGCGACTCCAGCAAAAAGGAAAAGCTGGAATCAGCCGCTTGCGGATGGTGAGAAGTTTCCCTTGTCCTCCTACCGGCCGAGTCTCGTCCGTGGCGCACACGCCATCCGTGTGAAGCAGGGTATCTCCAAAGAGCTACGATTTGAACAGGGTCCCGAAGCAGCTTCGTCAGACTTGTACGTGTAATCCCGCACGCCATGGAGGTGCTGGTCCCACGCTTTGAGTTGCCCGCCGACGCCGTGTACTCGGTGTATCCCGAACAGGGCCACACGGCGACCCACGATTCCCTCCCGCACATTGTCTTCAATGATCCGATGCTGCCCTGGGAGGCTATTGCCAGCTGGAAGGCCGAACGGGCGCCGCCCGGCGACGCGGATCGCAACCGGGTGCCCTGGCTGGCATGTCTCGTTTTCAGCCCCGAGGAGCTGACGATCGCACTGCCTGAGATGGCCGGCATATTTGCACCTACAAGCATCCGCACCCCGGCATCTCAGACGGAGTCGTTGGCCGTGCGCATGCCCATGGAGGACCTCCTCAAGCTGGCAAATGGTACGGCGCATGCCCCATTCACGGACATTCGGCAGGCCACATAGCCTGATCCCGCCGTCATATTTCCGCCTGCCGCCCTGTTTAACGGGCTCTTTGCGGCCTACACCGACGACGGGGAGATCAACTCCTCGCCGTCAGGCGAGCCGAATATCCCCGATATAACGCGTCACCGCTTCTTGGCCCATGTGATGCGCATGAGCACCGCGGGCATAGCCCACGCCGACCGACCAGAAGAGGAGAGCACTCGGGATTTCAGTGTGCTCGTGGCGAACCGCGTCGGGCCTCTCGTGGGTGATCAGGCAAGCCCGATGATTGCCCACGTCGTCTCGCTTGAAGGACTGGAGACGCTGAAGAATTTTCCCTTGGCGACGACGACGAATTCTGAGTTGTCTCCGCTTCCTCGGCGTGTCGCTCTGGTGTCCTTATATAGTTGGTCATTCACGTGTCTACCACCAGGGGCGCTCAGCGTGGAGGATACCTTCCGAGTCCTGGCCGACGATAGCGGCATGCTCAAGCCCGATCTACCTCCAGACACGTTCCATTCAGATTCGGTAGAGCAGCGCCAGCACATGTTGCACCGGCTTCAGGATGGCTATACTATAGTCCGGTCGCGAACTGCGGCAGGCGAGACGACGCTGGCCCTGCTGCGCGGACCGCTCACCCCCAGCGTAGTGCCGGCCCTGTCCTGCAGTCTACCCTCCAACAACGGCAGTAATCTGCAGATTCTCGATCCCGCACTGGGTATGATGGATCTGACCTTTGCCAGTGCCTGGTCTCTCGGCCGGACTCTCGCACTGGCAGACCGGGCGTATACCATCTCGCTCACCCGGGTGCGCCATCAGATTGTGAAGACGGCCACCGCCGAGGCGCGTCAGCAAATGGCCCCGGCCACCGCTCGCTCGCATGACTCCTGGCTCGACCTTGTTCCGGCCCTCGAGAGCCTGGTGGATGGCACAGTATCGGTGTCGCGCACAACGGACAGCCGCCGGTGGAAACGGCCGGAGAAATGCCAACCCCACCTGGACCTCTCCTATGATGCCGTAGCACCTTTTCTCCACCCAGCCATAGATCAAGCCGCATGCGAGGTTGCCTCGAGCCTCGATCCGAAACCGGAGGGTTGGACCCTCGCTGCTCCGCCGCCGTACGACCAGTATGACGAGCCCGCCTCCCCCGACTGGATGATTGTCCTCCGGTTCATTCTGGACTTGTACAACCTTGTCAACATTCCCGCCCATTACCTACTGCCAGACCAGAGCTCTTTGCCAGGGGAGAGCCTCCGCTTCTTCTTCATCGACCACAACTGGATTGACGCTCTCGTCGACGGTGCCCTCAGCCCGGGAAATCACAGCGGGACAGACCGGGAGAATTTGGGAGACAATAACCATGACAAACCAGCTCAGTTCGATGACCCTGCACGTGAAGTCATCAAGAAAGCTTTCAGTCGCTTCTTGAACGAGCCGCTTTGTGGCAAGCAACTACCAGCCATTCCGCGCTTCGGATTCTACCTGCGCTCCACCGTCGTCGCCCAGTTCCCTGACCTGAAAGTTTCCGCCTATCCTCCTGACCAGCAAGCCGATTCCAAACCCATGCTGCTGCGTCACGACATTATTGACAAGGACACGATGCTAGGCTTCTTCAGCGATCAGCCTTTCAAGAACAACAGTCTGCAGGGTTTGCGTTTTGAGCTTCCAGGTCACCAGCAATACTTCTCTGTAGATCGTGTCACGGCCTCGGAGATCCAAATTAAATATCGGCGCCAGTACACCATGGGCCGCGATCAAGACCCTCGCCGGAACGAGCCCGCGGCCGAGATTCGCTGGGGCCGCCATGAGAAAGGAGCTACCATCACCGATCCAGAGTCAAAGACCCGGAACCCCGTCTTCATCTGGGGTCTGACTCCTGACAGCAACGACCTGCGTCTTCTTCTTGTCGAACGGCTGGCCAAAGATGTCTATGATACCCTCAGAGAAACGATGGCGAAGGTGAATCCGGACTGCTTCACTGAGACCAAGGCTACCGCCGCACTCATAGGCTGTCAACTCCGTAGTTCTTCCTGGCAGGTCAACATTGACAATATGCCCGCTGCCTAAATGGCAGCCGTAGACGCTGTCAGCCGTATCTCCGGTCCTCTATCCTACCCTAAGGTCTGGGCTTCATTGGCTTCTAGAAGTGCGGAGACTATCGCACCCAAGGTAGAGTCTGAAAAGCCCAAGTCCTCGGTTCAGGCTCACGCTATGTCACCCTGACCTGTACCCCCACACACCCATGCACGCATTCACAAAACTCCCTACGTGCCACCAACAGCTCATCTACCAACACATAAGTCTCGAATTACCTCGGTTTCCTCCCAGGCATACTTCATTGTGTCACGTTATCATTATCGTGGGAGCTAGTCTTGGTATCAGATTCTCCACTACCCTTGGACCCCCACTCCGACTTTGAAGACCTCATAGGCGGCGGCCCTAGTCCCTCAGCTCTACCCTTTTCCGAGTTTTTCCTCCTACGTGGTTAATAGAATTTCGCATCTCGAAATCAGAAATTGAGGACGAAGCGCAACTGGATCATTAACATGATTAGCCTGCATCTTTTCTTCAAAACTAGACCAATTTAGAATATTCCAATTATAGTAAACCACGATTGAATTAATCAGAGCAGAAACCTCTACTCAAAATCTACTCCCCTTCTACCTCTATACAGGTCATTGAGGTTCCAGTTAGATTGTTGTATCTTTATCTTGAGCCCTTTTTCTCTTACTATCGGCTTCACGATTAAAACTAGGGTAGATTCGCAGATTTCACTCATATAAGACAAACAATACCACTCAAAACTTGAACCTAAGGCCGCCAACGGAATCCAGGGTGACGCCAGTCGAGGTCCTGAATCTGCAGCAATGAAAGTCCTCTCAAGGCAGCAGCAATATCCACTCGGTCACGCCGCTTGTTGTCCCAGGCCATGTAGACCCACAGGCTAGCGGCCAGGATAAGGGACATAGTAGAAGTTGCCAAATTAAGTCCATTCCCGATGTGATAGTTAGGGGCATCGAAGGGTAGGAAGGACCAGGTACTGATCAGCCCGCCAATATTGCCAAACATGACCATTGCGCCAATTGCCGACGACCGTGCGGTATCTGACACGACGTTCGCAGATACTTGCGCCGCGCAGAAAGCCCCTAACGAGAACGACCCACTGGCTATAACGAAGGTGCCTCCATATCGCACCATGGGATCTTCGGAAGCAAGGAACATAACATAACCTACCCACTTTAGTCAGCCTTTGATCAGAGACTATAATAAGGGGGATATTTACCAGTGATCATTAGCGGTGGAGATAGCACACAGAAGAACAGTCGGTTGTCGAAGCGCCAGCTAAGGAACGGGAACAATAAAGTAAAGAATGCCCCGACAATATACGGGGGAACCGTATGTAGTTGCTGGGATATCACCCCGTCATTGGGATAGATAGTCTTGATGATAGTAGGTGCAAACATTCCGAGGCCTTGAACTGTGATATTATTCAACATATAGATGAAGGTCATGATAACCGTGGTTGGATTAAAAATGCCACGCATCATTTTTGTCTTGTCGAATTTATCGAGAAGCTCGGTTGTCGCCACGCGCTCAGACTTAACACGGGCAACGGCTAGATCCTTCTCTTCTTGTGAGAGCCATATCGCCGTCTCTGGCCGATCGGTCAAGGTGAAAAATGAAATGACACCAATGCAGATAGTGATAAGGCCTTCGATTGCGAATATCATTCGCCAGCTCGAGAGAGAGCCGAAACTATCTAGCTTCAGAATGCCAGAAGCTAGGAGGCCGCCAAATGCGCCGGCTAAAGGAGCCATAACGATATATAGTGATAGACGGAAGGCAAGTTCACTCCGTCGATACCACCGTGAAAGATAATATGCGATTCCAGGCATCAATCCTGCCTCGAACAGACTAGTAAAGAGTCAGCGGTATTGGCGAGATATTCATGTGGAAATCATCAGGCGATGATCTACTTACCCCAAAAGAAACCGAACACCACACGCCTCATGGATATTATTGACAAATGCTGTCGCGACGGAGCAAATACCAAACGCAACTTCAATGCCTGGCAGCCACCACCCAGGGCCGATCCATTTGCACATAAGATTGCTCGGGATTTCAAAAACGATATAAGAGACGAAGAAGACCGACAGCACAATGTTATAATCAAAGCCTTTGAGTCCAAGATCATGCTCGAATCCAGCTAGTTTAGCATTTCCTATTTCAACAATAATGATTAGTTAGGGTCGCAAGGGAATAGTGATAGGCAATATACGCACCTATGTTTGCTCGATCGATAAAGCAAAATAGATACATTAATGCCACCGTGGGAACAATATATAGATCGATCTTGAGACGCAACCTCGACTCAGCAGCCTTGTCGAATTCCACAAGAGCCTGGCCATGATCATCTGTGGCGGGAATGCCTCTTTCGGCAGCGATATCCATCACGTTTTCTTCATGGTTCACCGCGCCCTTTTCATCCGCTAAGGACGCGACTGGGGAGGCATTAGCCATAGTGAAGGTGCCGGACAAGCGCTTATCGTGTGGGAGAAGTGATATGGAGAAGTGAAGTAGAATATTATCCCTGGGGTAGAAATGCCGAGCTCACCATGGGGGATATATTTATACCCAAATGAGGGAGACTTAGAGTTCCTAGACGATCCAAATAGGGTAAATTCCGAGTGGTAAAGTCCCATTGATCTAGACTACATTCCCCTTCCATTGGTCAGATCTATCCCCAGACTTTATTCACTAGGGATATTATTAGCGGTAATCATACGGAGTAGTGTTGTTGATACTGTTTTCTTCCGCCGATCCTTTCGAGCGACAATGCGGAGTAGCAAGCCACGATTTATACTACAATGAACTCGCCGTATATTGGCAGAGAATGTGTAAGGATTACAAGGCGAATTGATACTACATGTAACCAGAAATAAAGATCGAATGAATGATTCCACAGTGTATGTGTACAATCTGAATGTCCAAAAGTCTCAAAATATCTGATACAGGAGAAACAGACGTTTAGATGTTGGAGCTGAATACTCCACCATATTCCGGCAGTTACACTTGCCGACCTCTGGTAGCAGCATTGACGCTCTCAACAAAGTGCGCATATGCCAAGAGACGGGATGTAGTTTCAAAGTACGTTGCCCCTCGATTGCGGGAAATAGTAAAGATCCAGCATCCGAAGATGACACGTTTTGCGATCTGAAGTTGATATCATCTAGGTCTATGGAGTACACAATTCATTTTGCCCCAGTCAACCCTCCGGTCGGCTGCGGGGGTGGGGAATATCTTCTTTTGAAATTTGCAATTATTGGCAGCCGTTAATTATTTAAGGGTTTGGAATCGTGGTTTCAAATAGCAGGGTACATCTTGGACCATCAGTGTTCAAACAATAGAAACCTACTGAGCCTGAACGCTTGTAGGACCGCGGTGCGTCCATCTATACAAATGCTGGTGAATGTTGAAGGGTTCTAAAGTTTCTAACAATCCGGATCTTTGAACCGAGCCCTAAATACCATATTGGAGAAACTCCTTCTCGTGGCACTGATCTTTAGTTCTTCCTCAACGGAATGAGTATTGATAATCTAGCATTGATGTCCAACCCCCCCTGCTTTGAACCCGAGCTTCAGCCAGCCTTCCCTTTCTAACCATGACGTTGAGCGATTCTGATGTCGCTATCGCCACCATCTCCGAGTCGCAGGTGCTACCACGGCCGATAAGGGGCATAGCGTGCCAATTGTCGTTACCACGTTACTACGTAGTAAGCATACAGCCTTGGTTTAATTCTAACCAACTAGTTTGGTTCAACCGCGGGCCGGCCCGTTTCTCAAGCTCCCATTACCGTAGGCTCCCCGTTAGCTAGGCAAAAGTCGTGCCGCCAGCCGTAGCGAGAAAGATGCCAAATCGAATCCGAATTTGGGCGACTAGATATGCCATCCAGTGCATAATTTATCATTGGATGATATTGCCTGGTAGTATCTCAGTGATCCAAAGGTTAAATTCCTGATTTTGCTGAGTTTATGCCTGAGTACATCTGAATTTTATCTTAGACGGGCATGAATGAGAATGCCTGGGTTGTTCTGAAAAAGAGAGGCCTTGCTAGTACTGGCACTTAATGGCACTACCGATCTATAACTCACTCATTAGTTGATATTGCCCAGCAGTACTTTAGATACACCCTTGCTTTACAAAACCCGATGATACACTTATCAAATCTATGTCAAATCAAAGCTTATCAAGTTGGAGCATGCTCAATCAAAGTACATGGAATGAAAGGATTTGCCGGCTTCAAAAAGCGAGGTAGTCCCATATTTGTAAGGTTTAGGATCAATAGCTTCTTGCACTATTATGAAGTACCGAGAAAGAGAAATTGAAATTAATATAAAAAGTGTAGGTATTGGTTAGACTTCCGCAAAGCCCACAAATGGGTCTATGTATTACGACCTTCCACTAGGTATATAAGATTCAGATTTGATACATAAGCTTGTAGTAGCTATAGAAGCATATATTCTAATTTTAAACAGATTCCGACAAGGATCAAGGTATCGCGGAAAAGGTAAATGTTCATATTGTGATGACAGAGAAGATGATGATATTCTCTATCTAGAAGCAAGACTGAGAGAGAGAAGAAGAGAAAGCAAGTATGAATAGGATACTGAGATCCTATTTATACTGCCAAACATGATGGCATATCAAACATGTTTGATCTATATGCCTGGATGCCTATGGCATCCGACATATTGTGATAGGAGATATATTTGTTGAAGAGTATTACTACTCTATAGAGAACCCCTGTATTTTTTGAATATTCTGAATCAATGCGTTTTTTCGTAGTTTCAAACGTGCTTTAGAGAAATAAGTAGTAATTAATTCTGAATGATTCAAACTAATATAAAATATTATATAAGGATTATACTTAGAGACGGTAAAACAAAGGGTAATTAAAAAAACTAAAAGGGGCCCCCATTAAAGCCTAGTGAGCTTTCACCCCGGGCCCAAAGCCCATCGGTGGGCTCGAGGCCGGGCCCAAAACCCAATCCATTTGCGGGTTGGGTTTGGTTGGGTTCTGGGCTTTATGGGCCGGGCGGGAGTCTAGATGGGTTGGTTAATCACGGCCGGACGGCTATGACCTTTGAGAAGGCGGTGATAAGGACGTCAAGCAGTATTCAATGAGAGGGTTATGCATAGGTGGCACATCTCCCGTCATGTACTGGAGAAACTATTACTCCGTTTTTAAGGTGGTATCTAGGTCTTGGCAATATTCTTCCCGCAACCTCCAGGGCCTCTCCAGGGCCTCTCCAGGGCATTTTCTCGTCCAATGAACATCGTCACTGGCCTCGGGACCTCTCATCCGGCCGGGTTAACCATGGACCATTATACATAGTGTAGCATGGATACACTCAATGACACTTACATTGCCACTACAACATTTAGACACGTACATAGTACTCAGTCAATTCCCCCCTTTCAACATGATTGTGTGAGACGACAGATCTATCCAGGTGTGGTTGCTATTTCGGGGGTCGAGAAACGCCGCTTTAAATGTACCGCATATCTACATAGCGCTGACGTCGACGTGCTCATGTACGGAACACACACGGATTGAACATCGCATTTTCCGCGGTTCTTCTGAAGGGAGATTGTCGAAAACAACAAAACTCATATGCGTCGAATCATCCCCGAAATGTGTTCCTAGGGACTCAAAGACTCAACTTTACCTTGGCCCAGGCCAATATGACGCGGCGTTCACATTTCCAGACCGGTCGCAGACCTCGAGGTTATCCTGGCTTTCGACTAGACGAGACACGTGTCACGGGTCCAATATCTTTCCTCAACCCCACCGCAGCACATTACAAACCAATCCAGCCGTCAGAAGAGACTCGCCCTCCTCCACAAATCGAGCGCCTCTGGCGATCTCGCGACAACAGAAAAGGCCGACATGCTATCCGCGTTGATACGGAGGCCCTGCCTCATGAAACCGGAATCAAAGTACCCCCACTTACGCGGTCGTTTTCAGCAGTAGCCAAGATTATACTCAAGATGGTGACCTACGTCCCTTATTGGGACGTGTCGTATCTAGTCGCTATGAGTTTCACTATCGGGTCCGCAGTCTTCATCATCAACGGATTCTTTGTGTGGTTACCGCTCGCAGACAGGAAGACCGAATTCCACGGTGAAATTGACGTTGCTGGTGGTTGGACAGGGTTCGTCGGCGCGACCATTTTTGAAATCGGAGGTGTCTTGCTGATGTTGGAAGCTTTTAATACCAATCATACTGGATGCTTTGGCTGGGCGCTTCAGACTGTCGTCGAGAAATCTGTTGAGGAGGGGTCCCCCACCATGCAATCAAGGAGCTTACACCGAAGTTATCGAGGTGTGAGCATCATCAGGCCAATCACAAATCATTTCTCCGAGAAAAACACTTTCATCATGGTGGCGGCAGTGTCCATCATCATGCTAGTGACAGTGCCCATCTTCATCGGGATGGCACAGGCTACGTTAGTTCGTCCACAGATGGCAGGACATTCCGGTGGATCCCTTCGATGTCTGAATTGCGCACGCACTTTTTTCATGAAATTGGGTTTCTAGCTTCTTTCATCCTCTTTGTGAGCGCAACGATCTTCTGGATTGGTGCAATTGTTGGTGTGCCTGGTATCTTTAACCACTTGAGCAAGGGAGTCCTTGATGGCCTCTACTGGGGTACCACGACTCTTGGCGGGCTGGGGTTCACGGTGAGCTCATACATGTACATGCTTGAAACGCAGTCAAGGTGGTATATCCCTGCTTGGCATATTCTAGGTTGGCACATTGGGCTCTGGAATCTGATTGGCAGTGTTGGCTTTACTCTTTGTGGCGCACTGGGGCCAGCGAGTAACAACTCTGGCGCGAATTTCCAATCTTCCCTCGCTACATTCTGGGGCTCGGTGGCTTTCATGATAGGTTCTATGATCCAGTGGTATGAGAGTTTGCAGAAACACCCTGTCGAGAAAAAGTGATGATGGCTTGGATTAAAGCATGCATGAGAATTACAAGTAGAATTATAGATATACAATGTTATTTGCGGTTTTCATATCTCCAGACAGGACATACAGCAAATGAAATTTTCATTTCCTCATTAAAAGCTAGGCGCAAGCTTCCTTGCAGACTTGACTCAGATGGGGCCTATAGAAAGCAGTGCTAAGACATTCACTCCAAAATCCCTTGCTAAGTTCATCCCAGAAATAGTTCTATGCGTTTATGATCATGTCAATCATACTGGCATCTGAAGGGACTGCTCACAAAACAGCTCAAAGCAATGTTCGCGGACTATATATGAGCTATTTCTCCAGTTCATGGGACCCATCCTACCTGTTGCATAGGCCACTGCAACCAGCAACGATGCTCCTCGTCCAAATGGTAATATATACCACTTATAACATGAACACTAAACCCCTGCATCCACCAAGCCCATTCCATCTCTTTCATAACAACACAGAAATATGCAAAAATTACCATCGCTTCAGGTGTGCGCCGCTGGAAGTATCCAAAATACTGATCCGAAACTGCTAGCAGCCAAATAAATATATCAGCAGTCTCGCAGTTATGTGACCCAATTTCGTCGATTGTGGCGAATGACATCGCCATATTCTCAATTGAGTCGTGGTAGCACTGCAGTTCACTAGGATCCTGAACTGTATCCTGCAAGAGCTGTTTCAAGACGAGAAGAAACGGCGGCGTGGCCGCGGCAGACCTCGCATCACGAGCCAGCTTCCTGCGGTGGCCCATAGCAAACATCGGTGCTAGCAGGCCCGTCTTGAGAGAACCGTCTGCCGACGCGATTATGTGTGTTGTACCACGAAATAGAGTCAACCACTCGAGATCTCGGTCACTCTTTGCCCAGAACTCATCTCTGACGCGCGGCTTGGCACAGGAAATAATACAGGTCAGGATCGAAAAGAGGTATATGCTTTGGCAGTTCTCCTTATTCACGTCTGGGAGAATGGCAGTCACCATCTGCAAGGCAGCGTTATGATGAAACTCGGCTTGAGAAACATAATGGTCGTGAAATTCGGGCTTTACATGAGCCAGATGTAGGGCAGACAGAGCGATAATGGCGCGGAATACAAATGGCGACGAGAAGCCGACTTGGGGGATCCTGATTTGCCATACTGTTTGCAAAATAGGGTTGCGTGCAATCGTATAGCAGGTTGATGTAGAGAAATGGTGAAGTAGAGCCATCTCGGCCATACCCATTGACGGGGTATTCTCCCCCGACACGGGACTTGGGGCATCAAAAGTGCCGGGAGGTGGAGACCTTGATTTCCTGGCGGGACCTGTGGGGGCGCTCTCACTGAAGAGACATTGTACGCCGTGTTTGAAGCAGTTGTTACAGTGTGGTCTGGTCTCATCGCACTTTTTTTAGGTGTTAAATAAGGAAGATATACCATATTCCTTTGAGTCACTCACTTTCACCTTGCGGGCTTTACACCATTGGCAGCCGTTCCTGGACTTCTTGTGCGACCGTCGAGGCCCCATGGTGAGCCCCTTAGGCGGGACTGAACCTATACAGGTCGAAGTAGATGTGTTGACTAGAGAGAGAGAAAGAGAGCAGGTGTATCAAAGTTCCAAAATATAGTTCCAAATGTTCGGAGAAAGAGTTTTCGTACTCCCAAATCACAAATCCATGTCCAGCGCCATACTAGCGTCCCTTCGACCCACAAAAGAAGCGTTCAAGCTAAAAATAATCCATGGTACCTTCTTTCCAATTCAGCCTCAAATTAGCCTCAGATTCAACCCTCAGGCATCTCTTCTGATGTCAAGCATTTCTTTGCTGCTCTCCTGAGACTCAACATCATGTGTAGCCGACTGTGGAGTCACCAATGTTTTCGGGGAGAAGATGTTGAAAGTGAGCATAGTCAAGAACATGAGAGCTGCATCAAAGATATACAGATACACCTCCGTTGACATGAGCGGACCGTTCGTACCAGTAATATACTCAATGGCACGGAAGATAGACCGGATCATAATGAACAGACTAGCCGTGTATAGGACGAAGAAACATTTTTGCCACGGCACTCTAATAGAAGACATCGAAATACAATCACGGCACTTCCAGAGCCGGTAATTGAACATGCCAGCAGTCACAACGAAGAACCCAAAGAAGGCAATTTGGATGAAAAGACCGGCGATGATAATGTTTTGTCCGAGGGTAACCTTTGACTGAGTCCTTGCAGAGGAAAGAAAACCACCGCCAGCGCATTGGGCTAAAAATGAGACCACATCTCCGCAGACAAATATTTTCGTCAGCCACTTGACTGGAATGACAGAGAGGTTATCATGGCCGGTTGAGGCAATTGAGCGGCCCAGGATCATGTAAATGGATGCAGCGAAGAATGCTGGTGCGACAAGGAGCAGGAGTGATTGCATGATGAATGGGCCTGTTGTCCAATTGGGAGTCTCGTTCGAGTTAAGATATCGACCGACGTAGCCAACAGCTTCAACTTTAAGCAAGTTAGCTCAATGCGCCTCTTTGTGGATATTATTTATACTTACAGACTCCTCCTATAATGAAAGGAATAAAAAACTTTGATCGGCTCCGGGTCATTTGGAAAATGTGCACCAGGGTGGTTAATCCAAAGAGAACAACGAATATGATCGCCGCAACTGCCGATGGGTCGTAGTTGTAGAGAGTGTATGTGGAATCGCTGGCCATGGCTTCGGTGGTCTAGTTCGAGTACGATATGGAATGGTAAGAATAGTATCGAGACTGGAGCTATTGACTGTGAATCAAAAGACCGTAAAGAGCTTGAGAGATGCTTTTATATCTGTAGGTCAATTGAATTTCTACGATTCTTGTGTAATAGACGCTACTGAGGTCTGAAAATCTATTTGGAAGTCACGTACTCGGGTTAGAATCCGAGAAGATTTAGACAGCCTTGTTCCTAGAAGCTTATTTTGGGTAGGGAATCCAGACGTTCCTTGGCAAAAAATTTAAAAACATAGGCTGCTGATTAAACTCGGATTTTGTCCGTGTTGAAGGCAAATTAGTGAAACTGCTGTTTAACATAGTAAAACATGGATGCTTGAAGATCAAAGATCCGAACCCGAAGTCCGGAAAAGAGTAGGACGTCGGTTTCTGATTGGTCTGCGGGTCTCGGACTCGTAACCTTATATTTCGTATTCGGGTTCGGAATATCCAGCCTGCCCGATCTGCTTCATCGATGTACCTGCAGGCCTTGTTCGAAGATGATAAACCTAGATTTATCCAGATGCCTAACGCCATAGTTTGCCGTGTCAGTAATTGTTCTGCCTCAACAAGACTCAGCCCTCTTCACCTCCTGTGGAGCACATTGGGAGTATCCAAATTGTTGATCCGAAAACAAGCCCCTACCGCGATCGTCATGGAAAACACCCTAAATAGTTGGTTTAAAGGTCGAACAGACTGAAACCCTCATTGAGATAGATTGCATGGGGACAGAAACCGAAGAATCGCAAACTTATAAGACGGGATCGTCCCCTAGGCTTATTTGAGAAGCATTAACCAGATATTTGATTCTATTGCAACCAAAATGATGTTTTTTCTTCACTTAATCGGACTGTTCCTTTTGGGCATTGCTAATTTGAGCAATGCAAGCGCCTCAGCAACTACGACGGGTTTCCTCTCCACTCCTTCCGGTACTCTTCGGGTTCCTAAGGGAGCTTCATGTGCTTGCGCGAAACTTTTCCGGTCTATGCCAAGGAGCGTGATCGGTCCCGGTTCGGCAAACTACACAACTCAGACTGTTGATAACTACTGGGATATTCGGGCGGATCTTTCTCCTGCGTGTGTTTTCGTGCCCAATACTGCTGCTGAGGTGTCGCAGGCAGTTAAGATCATCGCAGCCTGCAATGCGCAGTTTGCTGTTCGTGGTGGAGGTCACATGAACGTAAGACTTTTTCCAGAATGGTATCAAAATTAATGAAGTAATAGCTACTCAACTCTACAACAGTATCCTGGATCGAACAACATTGATGCGGGAGTCCTGATTGCTCTGTCGAATATGAACTATATCAATGTGAAGAATAACACCGTCGAAGTTGGCCCTGGCCTCAATTGGTATTAGGTATACTCCGCACTTGAGCCTCATGGTCGTGTCTGCATCGGTGGCCGAATGAAGACAATTGGTGTTCCCGGACTCAGTCTTATCGGCGGTTTCCACTATTTCAACAACAAGTACGGATACGCCATGGACAATGTGGTCGCATATGATGTTGTTCTTGGGAATGGTACCCAGATTAATGTCAACAAGACCTCGAACGGCGATCTCTTCTGGGCCTTGAAGGGCGGCGCGAATAACTTTGGAATCGTCACCAGATTCGAACTAAAGACTTATGCTGTTCCAGAGATCAGCACCACTATCCAGGTCTTCAATGAGACAAACCTTCCCCGATATCTTGCTGCTGTATGCGAAGCGGCAAAGCTGGACAACGAAGACCCCATTGCTGCGGGCATGATCTCCACTATTACCTACAATGCGACCACCAAGGTGGCACAGGGCTCAGTCCTCGGGGTCCAGGAGGGTGTCAGCAAGCCCCCATCTCAATTCGCCAACTTTACCAAGATTCCAGCAGCTGAAAGGATTCACAATGTCACTACCATGAAGCCGTGGGCCGAGGCCCTTGACTCCCCTAAGCAGATGATGCGGTATGTAATCTCGAGTGTATTAGAGCTTTCAGTTCACTAATTATCTAGTGTACAATTTTCCCACAAGACGATGAAACCCGATGCAAAGGTTCTTTCTTCGATTTACAGGGCCTGGAAAACTGCAGTCGACAATATTGCAGACGTCCAGGGGCTTTACCCAACTTTTGTTACGAACGTCATTTCGCCGAATTCAATCCGAGTGGCCAAGACCAATGGCGTTGGCAACGTTTGGGGTCTTGAAGAAGAGCCTCTCATTAGTCAGTCCTTCCAAAGTTACTTCGGCTTTGTTTCCTAGACTAATCCTTATTGTATAGTCTGGCAATTCAGTACCGGTTGGGACCTAGCCCAGGACGATATTCGCATGGAGGCTTGGTCTCGCCAACTGGTCGAGCATCTCCACAGTATCAACAAAGATCTGGGGCTTGCTTCCGAGTTCATCTACATGGGTGATGCTGGTGAGTGGCAAGATCCCTATGCGGGGTTTCCCGTTGAGAATGTCGCTCGTATGAGAAAGATTAGGTCTTCTTATGATCCTGCTGGTGTTTTCTCTACCCTTAGCTGGGGTGGCTTTAAGCTGGGTCTGTGATCATACTCAAATGCTGGTGTATTTGTGGACCTTGCAGCATATGTCGCTTTACTGTGTGTAAAATTTCTATAAATTACCGCTCCGTCCTTCATGAGCACGAGACCTTGACTGGTTTTGATGACATAGTCGCGATGTAAGTCGCAAGCAAATTAATCCAGTACTAGCATCAACACCTAGGCAGGGTGTCAAGCGAAGTTTTCAGAGCCAGTCGAATGCTCGCGGAATGATCACCGGCCAACCTCATACATCAATGTCTTCAATCATTTTCTAACCCGTTCAAGGTAAAGTACACGAATAGTATAGGCAGGACTGCCTGGTAACCAAGCATTTCCAAGTCTTATAAGAGGCGCACAGCCATTGGAATGTATAGAGAGTAGTAACCACATAGCGCGCACGACCCTAGATCGACATGATACAGACCCCTTGTGACTGGAATGTGCAATCGACCAACAGATTGAAGGAAGATAAGTTTTAATGACACTTGCCAGCCCCTAAGCATGACCCCAAGGTCCTTTGAATTTTAAACGCGTTTCAAATTCAGCATCATAGTCATTCCAGCCATTCTTCCATGCCATCCCATTACGGCAGTACGTGAATCATAAGAACGGTGAGGTGGCATATTATGTATATAATAACACACAATAGGGAATGAGGCTCGTGCTGTCTATATCCTGCAATCCAATTCAATCCATTCATAAAAATTTCAGCAACCATGCATTTCCTCGCGACATCACGTATTTCCCTATGCCTGCTATCATGCACAGTCCAAGCCCAAAGCATTGCTCGTGTCTGGACACACTTCTATCCAAGCTGCCCTGGCGAGCCATTTAGCAACCTCGACACATACGAAAATCATCAAGAATCTGCTCCATCCCAGGATATCACCGTGGACAGCTGCACAAGCTTCGCGGTTCCCTCCTACGGGCGCAACCTTGTCAGCGCCATTTCCGTCGATGCAGAGCTCCTCTCCAATGGTCACGATGTCCCCTACCTAGAAGGCGGCAGCGGCTGCAACATCACCGTACATGAGGTCCCAGGGTGTATCGACCCGCCCCTTATCACCAAAGAGATTCGAAATGGCGTCGAAGTCAGCCAGTGCGAGCCGCGCCAACTTGCCTACACCCAGGTCTGGGTGAAACTTGTTTGCGATAGCGATAGTCCTCTCTACGGCGGGAACGCATCTACTCAGGGAACAAAACAGAGCGAGCAAACAGATACTAAGCAGCCCATGTCTACTGCCCAGCCTGATGCGCCTGTGCGTGCTGAGAAGCATACTACCAGTGAGGATATCAATGATACCCAGATGCCTGGGTCAAATCTGGAGTCGTGGCGTGGTTCTGAGGCTACACATAGCCAGCGTGAGCCGGTGCAGGAAAGCCGCGTGAATGATGCCGGTCATGTGGGAAGCGATCGGATCGTTCATCAGGTTATGGCGTTGTTGAAGAATCAGACTTCACACATTGTCACTGGCAAGCATCATCCTATCCACTCGAATGTCACGCTGCATCAAAATGGCACTGCCCTCGGCAATCACACTGTGATGTCACGTCGGCGTTTGTCTGTTCTGCGAAACCGAGCTGCTCGGTTTGTTTAGATTCAATTTCGAACTGTATATTTTCTGTGCGTTTGGCTTATGTTTGATCAATTGGAATCATTTGTGCATACTATATCAACCAAAAGTTAACTTTTTCTTGTGCCTCGATTCGACCATTTACACTAACACAATTGTAGGTTCAGAGAGATTAGGTTTGACTCCCAAGCAGTAGAACGACCCACGGCCTACATGAATCAACAACCTTACCCGATGGTTTCCAAATACTCTAGCTTGTCTCCTCATCGGTATCTTGCGCTGTCTGCTTCCGACGAGCAGCCTCCTTCCCAGCAAAGCTGAACAACATGCCAAGGTCATAAATCACTTTCAAGCATCCTGCAATGATGAAGGATACACCGAAATGGCCATTGCGCGACAAGATACCGGTTAACAAGGGACCCATGCTCTGCGTAGTAGTCTTGACAACATTCACCGCACCCATGATAGCAGTACGCTTGTCTGCCGGCAGAGCCGCAGCAAGGAATGCGGAGCGAGGCGCCACATCCATGTTTTGTGAACAGGCTCGCAGAACCAAAAATGTCAGTGCCAGAGGCAGGCTAGATGGGACAGAGATAAGAGCCAGGCAGATCGCCGACGGCAAATGTGTGAACACCATAGTCTATCGACAGGTTAACAGACACTCAACTGCCCCGAGCAAAAATATCCTACCTTGACATTACCAATTCGCTTGGCGAGGGACGAGGCAACCAGCATGGATGCTGCGGCGATGATGTTTGTGGTGAAAAATATAGTACCGAGTTCACCTTCAGGCAGATTGAATTTACCCTTGAAAAAGTAGGTCATCCATGACCTGACAAATTAGCGTTGCAGCCGACTAGAGTTTGGATTGCACTTACAGTGAAGCCAACCCAGACGCAAACGAGTCCACTCCAAATAGGATGAAGAGACGAATAACCAGCGACCACAGGTCCTTTTCAATAGACGGAAACAGCCCCTTCTTCTTTGGGGTCGGCTCGACATCAGACTCAACTGCTTCTGTCAGCAGCGGTTGGGTTTCGGAGCTCTGTTCCTGTGGTTCTTTCTTCTGGACCTCGACTTCACCACTCAGACCCAAAGTGAAGATTAACTTCACGAATCCAACGCCGGCATAGACGAAGAAAATGATGCGACAGGCGGGAATGAAAGCCCATCCATGAATTGACTCTAGAGAATTGATAATCCAACCACAGACAAGCATACCTGTGGCTGAGCCTGCAGTTCCGATTAAGGAATACCAGGCAAAAACATCACTCAAAAGCTCATGCGGCGTGAGATGAGCCAAAGTCGATTCCTCAACGGCGCGGAACGGACCAATTTCATTTCCACTAAGAAATTAGGTCAGATAAAACCAGAAAATAGAAACGAAAAGGCCAAACGAACCTCGGACTGATGACACCAAAGACTGCAGCTGCCAGTAAAATCCAAAAGTTTCCAAATAGCGCGAAAATGACTCCGCTGCCAGCCATGAGGATCGATCCGAGCGATAACACCGCCTTGCGGCCCATACGATCGGCATATAGGGTGAGGAAGAAGCTAATCACCACATCTCCAACCAGCGTTAGGGTCATAAATAAGCCAATACGATCATCTGAAATCCCCATAGCCGACAGATACGATGCCAAAATCAAAGTTGAGCCACCGTACGCGAAAAGGCGCACGAAGCGTTGCGCGCAGAGAAGTTTCACGTCGAGCGACGACCGCCACATGGTGGTTAGGCCCAGCTCTTCGAGGACATGAGCCATGTAACGCGTTGGTCGCGATTGATTGTCCATTATCAGATTATCAGATGGTTGAAGGAAGAAGATTGAAACTCCACCCACCAATCACCTCATAAGTCCGACCTCGGGGTAAATACTCGGTGTTCGGGCCGGAGCTAAACTTTTTTGGGAGACCTCTTTTTTTGGATATAAAAACAAAATTATCATGTACAAATCTTCGCAATTACACCGGTCACTCAGTCTTAGGGGGCCATTTTACCCGTCGTTCCGCCCGCACATATAGATTAGTAGGACGGATCAACTGGAACATAGGATCATACTCGACCGACGCATCGTTCTCTCTCGTGAACTTGTACCGGTATAACAACTTCGGCAAGAACACCTTGACTTCCTGTAAGGCAAAATTGAACCCAATGCACATACGCGGTCCAGCAGCGAACGGAATATACGCAGTCTTGTGGCGGTTCTTGACTTCCGGCGTATCCCAACGATCCGGGTCAAAGCGTGCTGGGTTCGACCAGACCGCTGGATTGTTGTGTATGTGGTGAAGTGCAGGGATGATGATAGAATCCTCAGGGAGCTTGTATCCCCCTGGAAGAATCATGTCAACTTTGGCTGTGCGCGCAGGCTGATATGAGGGGTTATGGCGGCGCTGGGTTTCTTTGATGAATTTGTCCAAGAATGTCAGACGATCCGTCAGGTCTGCGGTCATTGGGGTATCGGCGTCGATATCGTTGTCAATCAATTCTTGTAGGAGTCTTTCCTGCATGCCGGGGTAGTTGACTATCGAATAAAGCAGCCACGATAACAACGAGCTAGTAGTCGTAAACCCAGCGCCAGTAGCTACGACGAGTGCCTCCATCAGGCTTGTCTTGGGCAGTTTCTCGCCCTTGTTATCCGTGGCGCGAATAATATAATCTAGCGAAAGATTAGCTCAAGCTTTGCAGCCTCCGGTTATTGCACATACCAATCATGTTGGAGGCCTTCAATGCAGCATCCTGCAATGGGAGATCCTCGACGCCATTGCGAGAAGCATTTTGAATTGACTCGTTGACCATCTCAGTGATACGATGACGAGCGTCCCGGAGACGTTGCGGGTCACCGAAAGGCAACTTAGCGTACCAATCACCACGAGCGGTCACCTTCTTATTCAGCTCCAGCGACTCGGCAATTCGGTATACAAGTTCATGAGGTGGCGCATCCACGGCCGAGAAATGCCTAAAGTCCATGCCGAGAACCAGTTTACCCACAGCCTGCGCACCAAGCTTGAGCATATATGGGTAGACGTTCCAAGCCTCACCGCGCTCGTCTAGCTCATCGAACACAGTGAATGCATCCTCGACAGTTTCCTGCATAGTGGGAGCGTAGTGGCGCACTGCTTTCGGTCCCAGTGCTGGCGGGAGGAACTTGTGCGCTGCGCGCCACTCAGGTGTGTCGGTGTCACCCAAAAACACACCTGCCTGTTGATTCTTGATCGGGTGTAAAGGGTGCGCCTCGTTAATTCTCTTAGTAAAGAAATCAGATTCGGCAAAAACAATGGCCGATAACTCGGGGTCATTGGTGTGGTAGACGGTCCGGCCCATATTGGTGGTTTGAATGATGGGTCCATATTGGTCAAACAGACGCTGGTGGTTTCCTAAGTGATCAGGGTAGATCTCAAAGAAGTTTCCCACGAATGGCAGTCCCTTGGGACCAGGGATCTCCCGCACTGCCTTTCCGTCTATTGAGATGGCAATGGGCTCTTCATTGGCAAGGATCTCTGTGGGAGTGGACAACATCGAGTCCTCCGACTGGAACCCAATCCCTAAGTTCAGAGTTAGGGTGATACCAGTCGAAATGAGATGTAATCTTACCATTTGGCTCAACGATAGCAAATTGACCAGCGATAAGGAGCTGAAGACCTTGGTAGTCGACCGTTGTCTCTACCTCGATTGGGCGAGCTGAGGTGATAGCCTCGCCCAACAGGTAGAAATTTCTGACAACCATCGTGAGAAGAGAATGAAAATAATAATCTATTCTTCCTCTCTTGAAGGGCCCGCTCACATTTATAAGAATCTAGTTATCTGGGCCATTTGTATACGTCTCCACTATTCATGGAAGCGCGTCCCGATTCTTTTTTCCTTTCATAAAGGACAATGCATATCTCTGAGAGCCTCGGCTCAAAACATTTATCTTGATTAGGATCCAAAAAAGATCCACAGCCTGAGATTGCAGCAAGAGTAGAGTGGACGTTGTTTCGGCCTCTCCGTGGCTGACACCATGGCGCAAATTTCCCGTCTCAGAAACGCCCCACCGAGAAGATATAGGTTTTTTTTCTTCAAAATACCGAGGCATTTTGAATTCCTGCTCGCTAATAGGCTAGCTTATGCATACGTTAGAAGTGCTGAGTGGGTTATTGCGATAATAGCTACATTTTCATATTGCAGTACGGAGTACTTTTCGCAATATTAAATTGAGATTCCGTCCTTTTAGTTTTTGCAAAATTATTCATTCGCGATGTCTGTTCCACAAACGACAGAGCTGAAGGCCCAGTGGCAGGCAAATGTCGAGCTGCCAGAGTATACATTGAAAGATGTGGCAGCACATAACACCAAGGGTGATATTTGGATGGTCATCCACGGACAAGGTATATAACAACGTTTTTGGACAATTATCAAACTGATGCTGACTTTGCAATAGTTTTTGATCTCACAGAATATATCCAAGATCACCCAGGTGGCGCAGATGCTCTCATCGAGGTAGCCGGCACAGATGCCACAGCAGCCTATGAGGACGTTGGGCACTCTGAAGACGCCCGCGAGATCATGCAGCCATTCCTGGTGGGCACTTTGAAGGATGCCCAACAGTATGTCCGACCGAAGGCAGTTCGCGTGGTCTCTCAAAAAGTACCTGAAGAATCCAGTTCCACATCAGCGACCATCAAAACGATCGCTTGCGCTCTGGGTGGACTGATCCCAGTCTTCTACATCTTCAGCCGAAGCAGCAATCTTACGAACAGCCTGGGAGCCGTCTCCCAACTGATCCCTCGTCCACTGAAGAGCCTACGACTACCTCATGGAGGCTTTGTCAATGGCTTTTTGGCTGCTTCTGCTATTTCCACGGCCGTGGGAGTAATGGTAGCGCGCCAAGCAGGCAGATTCACCAAGATCGAGTCTGGGTTTATGCGCTTCCCGCCTCATATGAAGTCAAAGAAAGTGATTCGTGCCGATCCGCATCTGACACGCGGTTTCCTCGAGCCGCAACAATACCAGCGCCTGCCACTCGTTGAAAAGACCGAGCTAGCAACGAATGTCTACCGCTTCGTCTTTGCCCTTCCCACTGCCACAGGGGTTTTAGGTCTTCCCATTGGCCAACACGTTGCCATCAGAGCCATTGTCAATGGCACCACCGTCACTCGCTCGTACACTCCTACCTCGAACAACATCGACCGGGGCCGTATTGAACTCGTGATCAAATGCTACCCCGACGGTCTATTAAGCGGGAAATATCTGGCCGGCTTGTCCGTGGGCGATGAAGTCGAGTTCCGCGGTCCTAAGGGCTCTATGCGTTACACAAAAGGTCTCTGTCGTAAGATCGGTATGGTGGCTGGCGGCACAGGCATCACACCTATGTATCAGCTTATCCGGGCAATCTGTGAGAACGACACCGATATGACAGAAGTTAGTCTGGTGTACGCGAACCGTAGCGAGTCTGACATTCTCTTGCGCGAGGAGCTTGAACGGTTCGCGCGCCAATACCCGAAGAATTTCAAGCTGTGGTATATGCTGGACTCTGCGCCGGAAGGCTGGACCTATGGATCTGGGTATGTGGATCAGACGGTTTTGGCGGAGCAGCTCCCTGCGCCATCGCCAGACACCAAGGTGATGCTATGTGGGCCGCCTGGAATGGTCAATGCCACTAAGAAGAATTTGGTTGCGCTAGGTTTTGCCAAGCCAGGAGTGGTCGCGAAGATGACGGATCAGGTCTTTTGTTTCTAGATAGTTACCTAATATAGTAATAGCCGAGGTTTGAATTGAAAGTTTGTTTTTGTTGAATTGATGGGATCGGCCCTGGTCCCGAATTCGTTCTCGCGTCCGACTTGAGATGAAAAAATCGGGAACTTTGAGAGACTCCACTCCCCGAATTGATGATCCCGAGATTTTCACTGGTTGGAGCTTATCCACGCGAGAAAACGGTACATTCAGGGGGCTTTGCATAAAGATATGGATTAATGTATGGCATACACAAAAGACCACGGCTCAAGGCAAATTAATAACCTTTGAAAATACATTGAGAAGCATAGTCCCAAATTATGCACGATACATGACAGCACCAACAGCCCGTTGTAAACTAGGCTGAATATGCAGGCTATCATCGAATAGTTAGTTAACTAGCTGACTGGAATGCAATTTCCCCCTGAATCCTTTTCTCCTTACTGTCATTAATTATTCCTCTGTATATCTCTAGCTCTAGGATCTAGAGATCTTGCGCTGTATGGTCCTTCAGTTCATTCCAAATTTGCCAACTGATCATCAGAGAAATGGTGGGAGGGTTACTGTGAGATACTGAGAAAGAAGACGGAAGAAGACGAGCGAGGAGGGGGGGTTTATACCCTTATGTACCTTCCCAGATTGGACCTCCAATGCACCTTCCTTGGTCATCATATCACAGGTCATTGCTCGTTACGATTTTGTGTGCGCCGCAAGGCAATATTGTGAAACAATACGGTGAACTGGTAAAGAATGGGTAGCCGTTCGGTTCATGAACAACATACCTAAGCAATCCTCTGCTCCTTACCTCTGACCACGGTTGTGAGTCCTTTTTCCACTTCATCTTTCACTGTTATCTTTTCTTCGAATTGATACTCTTTCCAAAACAGAGTTTTTACATCGTTTGCGACATAATTTAGCTGCCACCGCAAAATCCAAGAGCTCCATCTAGTCATCTTTGGTATAAAGCCGGCCCCGCGAATCTGTATATATAACGAAATGACAAGCGCGTGGGTACCCTTGGTATCTCAATTTTATCATTTTTGGCTTCGTGGCCCTTTGGATGATACATCAGAGAAGGATTATACGTTCAAAAGTCATCGGAGAATTTATCAATGTTGCGAGTATGATGTACAAAATCTGTACCTGCTAGCAGCACCTCGCGGGTGGCTGGGAAAGGTGGGTGTCCTAGGCATGCTCGCCCTATATCCTATTAAGCCTTCTACGTCCCTTCGACTTATCTAGTAGTAGTTATATAAAGCATTTGGGATGAGGAACAGAAAGTTGTGAGCACACTGGATCATACTAACACTACCTAGGTAGTCAAAGATTTCGAACGTACAATCGGTCGGCGGATTTCTATTTAGTTCTGAGAGTTGCGTTTTGAGGCGTCGTCGGATAATCATTTGGTGCTTATTTGACGAGGCCATTTGGTTGGATCCTATCTACCTGGAAGTAGACAGCAATCGTAGATTTAAAGGGATTTGTACTCCGTATAATGATGTAAATTAATGTACATATAGGCCATGTATGGATAGACGGGAAGACGGACAGCCTTATGGATAGATATGATCTGCCCCTCTCAGATGGTCAACATTTCTAATCTGGATTCGGTAGAACCTCATCAATGCGTATCATCAATCTTCGCGCCGTTTGTGTTTGCTTCGACGCCTATGTCTCCGACGCTTCTTCACCCTCGGCGGTTTCTCCCGTTCTCGAATCAAAAAGCGAACTGGTTTTCCCAATCTTCCCTCCCTTGTCTGAAGCCCGGTCCGCACGCTCATTTCCGTTGTTATCCTCACAAGAGGTGTAATGATCGGCTTGGCGTACTTCGAGCCGGAATATTGAGGGAAATATCGAGGAAGATCAGAGGATATGGTAACACTCTTTTTTTAACCGGCGGTTTATTACTAGGAGCAGGGTCTGGAGGCGTCGGGTCTGACGCTTCGGGATCTTTCGAATCAGGTGGCAATTTGGCCGGTCTTGTAATAGATGTCCCCCATTGCAAACGGCATACATATAAATAGTAAAGGAGCAGAAGAAAGACCACAACTCCGAGAACAGACCCTGCTATTGCACCTTTCTTTCCGTCTGATAGTTCTCTGCTTTTAATTGGATGATGACTCTCAGGCGTAGGAGTTGGACCTGTATCGATGACTCGAATGACAGTCGTATGTGGCTTCGTCACTGTATATGTAACCAAGTTCAACGTTGGCCATGGCTTGATATTCTCAAGAGTGACGACTTTCACGAAGGTGGTGTCTTCAATAAGCGTCTGGGTGACCGCGCGGATCGCAGGTGCCATTGCCCGCAGACATTTCTCATAGACAAAAATGAAATTGACATGATGAGCACTAGCTTAAGTGTCCATGGCAGCTTCACTTATTTCGCGCCACTAACACGTAGGGTATGCACGAGCGGGTCAAACGGGTGTTCAAATTTTTGTGATAAAGCAATTGAATTGGTGCCAATGGTATCTTCTGACTATATTATGCAGCTTACACTGCACAATCACAGGAATATCAAGGCGATTGGTGGAAAGGTCTGCACGCTATTAGATGTGAGGCCAGCTCACTGGATTCTGGTGCGGGGATTCTGATCACGAAATGAAGAACGCCAGTGTGGGTTCTTTTCCCGCAAATACTAACAGGGGGAGTCTGACGTTGCCTGATTTTGAACAAGGTGTCAATCACCCTCGGATGTTCATTAGACTGACATGCAGCTTGATCTCGAATCAATTGCTGCCCAAGAAGAATGAGCGCTGGTGTATGGTCGCCTCGCCCTGGAAGTCTGCCACAACTCTCTCTCATTGGTTCATGTCCCCAATAATTTGGAACCTTTCCATTGAAAGGGAGAAAAGTACTGTAAAATCACTTAACTTTTTCTCGCGATGGCTACACCATGTACGCGAAAGTCTCAAGCACCTCAATGGGATTTTCCAAGCTTGTCACGGAGCAAGACAAAGTTGCAGTCTACCCCGGCCCCCACACACTACTCTTCGAACAGATAAGCGGTCTGTTATCCAAAGTCGCTGGAGATTTCATCGGTCCTGAAATATGCGGTCTGCTTGGACACTTTCCCCATAGCGTCGATCAATCTTACCATAGGAGTGACCTTACGGGCACATATGCTATGCCAGTCAACGCACGGTTGGACAATACATGATGGGCTGGGAAAAAGCGCATCTCTCTTATGTGATGTTACCCGTGCGAGTAGGCTACCAAGACCTGAAACCAAACAAGATGAGTCTAGGTTGGGTTCCGAACGTGTGAGATGCTTATTGACGGACTCGATGAACGACTTCGATGGGGAGTTTCTGGAAAACCACTGCATCTACTGGTTGAGCGACCAGCAGGAGCTCGGCCACTGTGGTAATTCCATGGATGTAGCGATTAGAACCTTCATTGGCGCTGCTGATGCAACGCGATAGGGTCCTTGATCCAGTGTCATGTCAAAGGCGAACAGCTAAACAGGTTTTTATCCTCGTACCGCATGCCCTGAAGCGCCAGAAGCACATCCCTCTGTATCATAGTCAGTGGCCCACAAAGCAGTGTAACATTCCCCTCTCCAGGTCCAAAGCAATACCTCTGAAGAATTTCCTTTGTCCTCAATCTTGAACTTGACTTGGCCAATGCACTTGATTTCGCCGACGGGTCCTTTGACGTTCATCTCCTCGCCGCAATGCAGACATTCAAGGATACTGCTCATCGTTCTTCCCGGCTGGGATTCATCCGGTGCATCTGTTTTGACGACAAGGTCGAATGTGCTATCTTCTTCTCTTTCAAAGACAGGGCGTATGGGTTCGACCTCACTCATATGTACTATTGAAAATATGTAGTATATAACCCTTATATATTCACAGCTTCGCCCGAGCAGGAGCGAAATTTGATCCAGTCCCCTGGCTAATAGCCTCAACGATGGCATCGACACTATTCAAAATCCACGTATTCCCCTCATCACTAGCCAACCATCGTGCAGCCTCTTCCCCCTCCACATCATTCACCCACGAGCCATCCTCAAGCGCCTTCCGCAACCCAAACACATGCGAAATAACCTGGGGGCCAACGCCAGACTGAGCGCGCAAGCATGCGACAGCAACAATAGATGTTAGAATACGCCCGGCAGACGCGCCAGTGGTACGTTCCGGATCAGATAACAGGGCACCGTAGTTGCTGTGCAGGATGTGCACCGGCAGATCGGGGTGTGAGTCCGCCAGTTTATTGTAAAGCTTCTTCTCGAATGGTCGATAGATAGAGTCCCAGAGCGCGTGGCCGCGCTCACTGATCGCGGCAATATTCTCCGGGGTTGGTGCGCGGGTGGGGGTGCGGGATAGCCGATCGCTGACTGAGGCCGGGAGGCTGGCTTTGAAGGCGTTGAGGCAATTTATAGTGCGCGGGATGCCGTTGAAGCTGATGCATTTCAGTCCGACCTCGCGCATGAGCTCGGCGGTCTCGACTTGCTTGTCGGAGTTGGTGCTAGCTAATTCGTAGAGGGCGGCGAGGGACTCCGGAGAGTTCATGGTCATTGTTGCTGCAGTCTGGCATTGATGTTAGATCACTTTCAATCTGAAGCAAAGGAATTGACGCACTGATAGTGCGACCCATGATGGCTGGGAGATTTGTTTGGATTGCGCGGTCTGTTGGATCTTCTGGTAGACCGAGGTTATGTTCGCTGGCGCAGGTACGGTGGATGGCCGAGCGGCAGGAGCATTGATCAATGCCTTGAGGCTAGGTGAAAGTCGAGACATGTCGGATGATGAGCTCTTATGCGTTGGGCGTGGATTTCTTGCCATTAAAGATTGTTGACCAATTCTCTTTCCCGGTCTCGGGAGATCTGGGACTGACCGGGGCTCAGAAGTGAGCACCGAAATTACCGGGAGGGGACAGTAATTTGACAGTAATACGGGCAAATTATTCTCGTAATATTACCAGTGGGTACACGTGAAAATCTGGGGATCGCGGGGAAATAGAGCACCCGGACGCGAGCTTAGGGAAGCTCTGCCATTGGTCTAAATCTGAGGCTGGAGAGGAGCTCGGACCCAGAAATGCCAGCCGAGGGGGCTCCCCCTGCTGATTTATGGCCCATTTGTTCTCATTATTGTCCTATTTTCACCTAAGCTGCGACAGATAGGAATCAGTTCCTCCGTCACTAAGAAACACTCTACACACATCATGGACCCTCCCAAGTCAGCTGCATCAGAGCTCGAAGAGGCAAAATCCTCTCCCCTTGATCGATATGGCGACCTCGCACACCAGCAAAAATTAACACGGAAGGTGCTATGGAAGCTAGATATACAGTCAGTTCAGTCACACCACAACGATCGTGCGATTGCTGATACCCTCCAGCATACTTCCCATTCTAGCTCTGCTTTTCCTCATGTCATTTTTGGACAGAACCAATGTCGGAAACGCGAAGATCCTCGGTTTAGAAGCGGACCTTTCTATCACAGACCACCAGTATGATATCGGCCTAGCTGTGTTCTATCTCACCTACATCTGCAGGTACGTTCTGTATTATCGAACCAAGATACAAAGGCTGATTGACATATAAGCGAGCTGCCGAGTAATTTGGTGCTCAAGAAAGCATCACCGAAGATTTGGCTGCCATTCTTAACGGCTATTTGGGGCATCATCACCATGTGTCTAGGATTTGTGGAGAATTTTGCTGGTTTTGTGGCCGTCCGGGCCTTGTTGGGTATTGCGGAGGGGGGTCTTCTCCCTGGCATGGTATGTTCTCAAGGGAACTGACACTGGCCAGAACTAACAAATCAAAAAGGTTTTATATCTATCTTCTTTTTATAGGCGAGGCGATTTGGCCCTGCGGATTGGCTTATTCTACACAGCTGCTTCCTTGTCGGGCGCATTTGGAGGTGTGTATGGATCAATATCTTTTTCTGGCAGCTGCTAACAAATTAGGACTTCTTGCTCGCGGGCTTGCCGAAATTGGGCCTCGTGGAGGTATAGAAGGTTGGCGCTGGATTTTGATTATCGAGGGACTTTTGGTACGTGAGAGTAATATTGAAATAGATTTTTTGTCTGACTTTTAATCAGACATTCGTCTGTGGGGTGTTTAGTTTCTTTTTTCTTCCAAATAGTTTGGAATCTGCATCTTTTTTAAGTGCAGAAGAAAAGGACTTCGGCGGGAAGCGGCTGAGGCTTGATAGTCCCGGATCCCCAGAAGGGTAAGCTTTTCCGACCCACAGGGTAAAAGCTTGGCTAACGCAAAACAGGTCGCCTGAGGCAGAATCGTTTAAATGGTCTGAGGTACAGCGAGGTGTGTTGGATCTACAAGTGTGGCTCTCTGCTTCCGCGTATTTTGCCATTCTTGCTGGACTATACTCTTTTGGCTTATTTGTATGGGTGCTCTGTCTCTATATTCGTCCCAAAGTCACTAACGATTTATAGCTGCCAACAATCATCAAAAACCTCAATTTTGCTAAAGATGCCAATGAGGTTCAGTTATGGTCTGTTATACCGTATGCTGTCGCAGCCGTGGTTACAGGTTAGTATACTCTTTGATCAATTTCATCAAATGCTCACCCATTTCTAGTCATCGTTGCGGTCATTTCCGATCGTCTTCGCCTCCGAGGCGTGGTAATGCTCTTTACCCTCCCAATTGCAATCATTGGATATGCAGCTATCGCCAACATTGACTCCCCTCGTATTCAATATGGTATGACTTTCCTCATGGCGACCGGTCAATATGCCAGTGTACCGTGCATGCTGGTGTGGTTGTCGAACAACTCTGCGGGACATTATAAAAGAGCTACTACGTCAGCATTGCAGCTAGCAATTGCAAATGCAGGAGGATTTGTTTCAAGTAAGTTACCCGTATAATAAGCTTTTTATCTTTTTACAGGTCTTTAATGACAGTGCTATAGCTTTCAACTATCCATCCCGAGATGCGCCACTCTTCCACCGTGGACATACCATTATCCTTGGGCTGTTAGTATTTGCATGGTTTATGTGAGTATATTTATCATTATTGATTGAAGGGCTACCGCTGATTTGCATAGGATTCTGCTTAATGTGCTCTACTGCGCAAAAATCAATCGAGACAAAAAGAAGGGCAAGTATGATCAATACGTAGGGTATAAGGATGACCGTAACCCGGAGTTCATGATGGTCCTATGAGTGATGGCCATGATATCTAGTAGACATGATTAATCTGCCTTACAAATACTAATTTCGGTTTTTTGAGGATATGACAAGCCTACGCATCACTTGAGGTTCAAGATATGATTCTGCATAAAGTTTATTATAGCTACCAATTCCACCAGTGGTGAGACTTCCAGTCCTGTTTAGTTGCACCACGCAGGTCATCTGTGTTTATCACGTCCACACCCTCACGCACAAGTACACTCCAGACATGGTTTCGTAGTTCCACCGGCCAGGTTGGAGTTCCCCAATATCGTACCTTCAATCCCAATTTGTGGGCTGCATGTATTTGACTCCGAAGAGTAGCGAGCTGAACATCCGATAAACGGTTAAGAGAAAGAGACCCGATAGTCTTGCGGAAGTCTGCTGAGGCGTAGTAACTGTTGGATGGGTTATAGGTGGAATCCATTGGGCTGTTGACATCTGCCGCTATTTCGGTCGGAAATGTCAATCTGTCAAGAGGGGCATCAAAGAAGATGTCGCGGTAGGTCGCATCCTCCAATATCAAATGAAAAGGCGCGTCTCCACTGGCGACAATAGTAATTGGGCCGTAGACAACATCCGAGCCATTGAAGTGAGTCAGGTAGCCCTTTTCACGAAACGGGCTCAGTTGTTCGACAAGTAGAGGCCAGAGCTGCTCGGCGTCGGTTTTGAAATCAATCATCAAAGTCAGAGTCTGTTCTGGGTCGTTGGAAAATACCCCAACTATCTCCTGATCCATGACTTTCGGCCAGTTACGAGAAGGTGCATTGTGTGCGTCGAGCATCTCCAGCAGGGGGTCAAAATACAGGCTCTGCAATGTTCCCCGAAGGACTGTGACACGCGAATGACCAACTAGAATGTCATTTCCCCACGGCCAAACGTCAACCTCGACGCTGGTACATCCTGCACGCAGTGCCGATCGTAGTGGAACACGGCGCCAATAATCATTGTGCGAGTGACATGGTATGGGGTCGACACCGTGGGTAAACCACGTTGAAAATCTAGGACGTTCACCGGGGAAGATACCCAACCCCCGATCGTGTCGAATGATATAACCAAGGCCTTGCAACACAACGGTGAGGAGATTGAGGATGCCACTAAAGTGAGACATTGTTCCAAAGTTAGTTCATCACATGTCAAGTGTAGACACCAAAAACCTAGAAATCAGACTGAAATGTAAATAGTAACACACATAATGAAAATGAGTGCCCAGAAAGGCCGCTGCACTATTCGGCAGTAAATGGCTCTCTTGGCATATGGGTATGCAATGCAGTCCGGGTGAGAGCATTTCCAAATGGAGAAAGATGATTTGGGTTGGAGATTCAATACTACTTCGTAGTCAGAGACCAGGATGATTGCTTCATTCTCTGGGATTGACTCCAGAGTAGATGGATGAAGTGCCATAGTGAAATGAAGAGGAAAAGTGGGAAGTTCCAAGGGCTGGGCAAGGTAAGCTTAATCTATCGGGTGAGCTTGTTTTTTGGGGGGGCCGAAAAAATTCTGAGCCTACGGAGAAAAAAAGAAACGAAAAAATTTCTGCCTAATTATGGGGTGGCTCTTCGGAAATACAGGGGATAAGTGAAAAGTGATTTTTTTGTTGGTTATTTTCTAGTCAATTTCTGGTGATTTCTAGCGAGAAAGTCCCTTTGTTTTGACTCTTACCATATTCCGGGGACGCCGATCCTCTTTATTCCATTATCTCAAGGGTATCGGCAATTTTAAACTTGGCATCCGTCTTCGTTTGTACTTCTTCCACCTCAACGCCCGGAGCAAGTTCCGTCAGTGTGAGCTCTCCGGTAGCCCGATCCACCTGGAACACACACTGTACGGGTCAGTTTGGCTTCAATCAAGGCTCTTTTCGAACTCACCAGATCTGTGATAATAGTGCTGACAACATTAGCGCCAGTCAACGGTAGGCTGCACTTTTGCACAATTTTGGGAGATCCGTCCTTGGCGACATGACTCGTGGCCACCACGATCTTGGTCTTATCCGGGTTCGAGATCAAATCCATTGCTCCTCCCATACCCTTGAACACCTTCCCAGGGATCATATAGTTGGCCAGATCGCCGTTGGCACTTACTTGCAGAGCGCCGAGGATAGACACATCTACATGACCTCCGCGGATCATGCCAAAGGATTCGGGACTGTCGAAGGTAGCAGCTCCAGGAACTAAGGTCACGGTTTCTTTTCCGGCATTGATGATATCGCTGCTTTGAATGAGCGAGAACTCCTATCACCACATTTGAGAACGACTTACGGATCCAATTCTTGCTCCGTGGGATAATCACCCTAAATATTGTTAGAACAGCCCGCGGGAACACGTTAGAAACTTACCATTCCCAAGATTCCATTCTCCGACTGAATCCAGACCTTCACATCTTTTGGCAGGAATGACGGTGCCAGTGTGGGAATACCAACACCCAAATTCACATAAAATCCTGGTTTAAGCTCCTTGGCCGCCCGGCGACCTATCAGTTCTCTTTGAATCTGAGCCGCATCTTTAGAAGGCCCAGTCACAGTAGCCGGGCTCGAACGCAACTTCCTATTTTCAATTTGCTTGTCATCTGTGGCAGGAACGATCCGATCCACAAAGATACCTGGCAGGTCCACATCATTGGGATCAATGGAGCCAACTGGAACAATGTTCTCCGCCTCCACAATGGTCAGGGTTGCCGCCTTGGCCATAATAGGTCCAAATGCTTTGGTAGTATACCTAAAGAATATCAACATCCAGATTCTGGGGCATACTGGTAGACGCATATACTCACCGGAACACGCAGTTACCGGCTTCATCCACTTTCCAGGCTCTGAGGATAGCTACATCCCCGGTCAAAGCTTCTTCCATGAGGTATGTCTTGCCGTTGAATTTTCGGGTCTCGCGCGGCTTTCCAGTCTCGATAACTTTACCAGACTCATCCATGCGAACAGGGATCTTTCCCTCCTGGATAAAGGTGTCTTCGGTTATCAGCGATAAACATAGCCTCAGGGGAATCTATACATACGGACTCCCGTTGGAGTAAAGAAAGCTGGAATCCCAGCACCCCCAGCGCGGAGACGTTCAGCCAAAGTACCTTGCGGACAAAGCTCAATAGCAATATGTCCCGTCAGGTATTTCTTCTCCAGCGCTTTATTGTTCCCCAGATATGAAAGGATTAGGCGCTTAATCTGGCCATTCTGCGAGAGAATTGAAAGGCCTCCCTTGCCCGCGGAACCGGCATTGTTCGAAATAGCCGTCAGAGAGTGCAGTTGATCAGCGCCTCGGCGGTGCATAGCATTAATCAGGGTTTCTATATTCTATATTAGCGTCACTTTCCTCACACTGGTTACCTATCTACATACCTGCTACACCGCAAAGACCGAACCCAGCGCTAAGGATGGTCGATCCACTCTTGATGTCGGCGACGGCGGTATCGGCATCTTTGTATATCTTGGAGCCACCGCGCTCAATCTTAGGAGCGAGCGATTGTAATGGTGCGGTTATGGAGTATCTGGTCCTGGTACTGGTGCTGAATTCTTGCGAGCGGCGCACGCTGGCGCGCACTCCGAGGAAGAGTCGAGGTCGACAGGCAGCGAGCGCTTTGCGCGACAAAGTTGTGGAAATTCTTAGAGCTGCCATGTTTCATTAAGGTTTAGATCAGGAACAAAAAAAACAAAACACGAAATAAAATGAAATCATCGCGCAGTTAAAACATTCACGGCACCGGCTGGTCGGGGCTACTTCTGGGTGCCGAGCGGCCACATTCGGAACCCATCCGAGCTCAACATCTTTGATCTCTACTTACATACTCTTCTATAAATTTCAAACCAAACTCCACAGCTTCACATAAAAAACTGGAGCACTTCAGCCTTGGTCTTGTTGAAAGAAATTTTTCAACCCCCCTCCCCAACTCAGTATCAACACTTCGCATATCGTCGCCTTCGTTAGACATCTCCGATTTAGCCTCAAGCTCTTTTGATTGGTTTGTAGTTAACAATGTAATTTCCCATGTATTATTACCCTTTTAATATTTTATTATGGCTGCTATATACTCGATGTATACGCCCGCATCCTCATCGGGCAGCAGTCTCGCCTAGCATGGCACTTCCAGCCGGGCCAAGAGCCAGGGCACTCGAGTCAAGGGCGACGGCTATGCTTATTTCGAGGTAGTATAATCTGGTTTTTGTGCGGTCTATTGGCTTGGTGGATTATAACTTGACATTTGCTTGCATTATTACTGCGGGGATACATTGGGGCCTGTGGCGTAGGGATATGCCTGAAACTTGGGCAATCGGTGCCTTGCATTTGAAACGGTAGAAAAAAAGATATAAAAAAATCTGAAGCTGGCAATAGTAATATGTAACGAGGTTCAATCAAATAAATACGAGGAAGATAAACACTGGGGTATACAAATATCAGCCTTCCGGTCCTACTAAAAATTGAAATCCGGGTTGGCAAAGTCAAGCCAATCCCAATTAAGCATGTCATCAAGAGGCACATCCGGGATCGACGCACCAAACGCGGTGCCCGCCCGGTTGACTGCATCGACGATCTGATTATCAGACATGGCAGAGAACTGCAATGGCTCAGACCAGAGATCCTCGGGCGGTAGTGTTACGGGAACCGCAGAATGATCCAGACAAGCAGACGGAAATGTCGGCTCGGGTGGATCGACTTTGGATGGATTTCCTCGGGATTGTAAAGGCAAGGCCGGTGCACGTCGGATCAACTCACGCAAGAATCTTCCGTAAAGCACAGAGGCGCCGCTTCGATGACTTGGTGTTGATCCTATTCTCTCTAGGACGCCGGCAGTCTCTTCGATGAGATTTCGGACGCTCGGCGCCAAACTGGATCTGCTGTCGCCAGGTGTTACGCTGAGACTGAGGGCAGAGCACGCAGCAAAGGAGATCATGATGACGGTATTGTTTGGCATTGATTTCAGTCGGGATTCGCCCTGTATGGCTGCTCGCAGGACGTTCAATGCAGACGATAGACCAGCCGCGCGGAAGAAACGTTTAACCTCAATTGGAGCTGTTGGGTGATTAATGACACCACCGTAGGTGGACAACTGAGTATGCGTGACAAGGATCTCGACATATGGGGGTAAAGAGCATGCTGTAAATGATTAATGTCCAAGTCAATCAATTTGAAGTGTTACGCTTACTGTCTTCCTCCCCAATGGACAAGGCCCAAGTTGCATACCACCGCTCGTAGAAGGTTTGAATGGTTTCCTTGATTCTGTGATACAGTCAGTACATTAATGATATTCACCAAAAGCGTGGTATCATACAGCTGGGCAGCTTCTGAGCCGGTATCGACGACGCGATAAGTATCACAGCTTGATTTGACTTTCTGAAAAAGTCCATCCTGGATATGTTAGAATGGAGCGGAACAGCATGGTATTGGGTGCGTGGATTGGCATTTGTCATGGAAATTGGGATAGCACCTACAAGGTCCCTTCGAAGAACTGCCATAGAATTCATAGAACCATCACGCGGGTCTGCAATATTGGAGAGGTGCCAACGATCACAGTTTTCTATGAGCGTTGTTGGCGGAACCGTATAGCTTCGTCCACGTGCAAGGCAAACACTGAGAGGATTAGTGTCAGATCCAGATTTACTACTAGCAGAACCAAACCTACCCCCTCTCAACAACATACAACGCAATCCATGCTCTTTCCCGTCTTCGTAACAACCTGAGGCCCCACTCTGATGATGGGTCAACATCATCAAATCCATCCATGTGTAAAGCCCTCTTCGCATCAATACACTCTGCTCGTGCCAGACGATTCATGAGTTCTTGTTGAAAGCTTGAAGATGGCGAGACAATCTTGTTCAAAGATAAGTCTAGAGCAACAGTGAGAGCCATGGCAATATAGGAGCAAGTATCATCGTCCCCCAGTCTATCACCAGGGTTCATCCATGGAACGTTCACCATGAAAGCCAGAACAATCTCAGCAGACCTATGGCGGTGTGTGAACACACGCTTCGCGAGCCATTTGCAATGCCTAGATAGTCTTTTGGATAGAGCAGCAGCAGATGGTAAAAATAGGGCAGCTCCTGCCATAATTGAAGTAAAAAGGAAAGCCGACTGGGACCGTACAAAGGACGGGGTGTGTATCAAAGGATCGAGGCCCCATCGAGTGTGTGCGAGATTTTGGTAGAAGCTTAAACGGTCAGTCATAGATATCCCATCCCCACAAATTCTTCCTCTAGAAAGTAGCTTAAAAGAAGACATTTAAACAGAAAAATCTGAGAAGACCGCTGAAAAGACATCACAAGTCCGCATAACCGGCCAGATATTCTCGTTTAAAATAAAAGCAGACCACTTACAATGAAAATAAAGACTCCGACTCATCAAATGTAACCAAACCCAGCTCAACAGGGTCAAGTTCAGGTCCAACATCCAGATTTGCTTTTGTGGGAACAAAAAATGACTTGCCACTCGGTTCTCTCATCGGGGTGCTTTGAAGGAAAAATGAACCCTCTGACGATTGCATTGGACGTCTTGGCGCAGGACGCACCCCCGTCGGCGAAAGCTGAAGATCTGAAGCTCTGGCAAGCAGCTGGAGGGGGTTTTCTGCATCGACAAGAGCAAGACTCTCCTCCGCATGAGTATCGCGTGGAGGGGTCATGCGCGGATAATCTGGTACCTCTGAGAGGTCGTTCGTATTCTCATGTTGATTCTGGGTCAACTGGCCCTGGACTTGACCAAGAAGGTCCTGTAGGACTGAAATAGCCCTTTGCGCATCACCGTCACTAGAGTCAACTTTGGGCCGCTTGATTGCCTGCTCGATCTGATGTATCGCTTTCTCCAGGCCCTTGCGTTTACTAGACTCCATTTAGGTTCTTGTTTCATCATGACATGGGCTGACTCACTTCTTAACACCCTTCTGTCGGCCTAGATGATGGTTGGGCACAATACACTCTGCATTGGTCTGCTTACATTTCTCGCAGCTGGACTCGCCTGCCAGGCGGTTGCAGCGAATCTTGCTTCGCCGACAATTTAAACATGCAGCTTGTTTTCCATGTGAACTGGAGGCTGAACCTGCCGACTCGACCTCCATGGGTAAAGTGGTTTGATCTTGGCCATGCACTGATGTGGAGATGCGTTATCGGGACAATCAGCAAAGGAGTCTTTGCTTTATTATGTATTTTATGGCTGAGGTCTTCAACAGCCCGGCCGGGCTAGCTCAATCGGTAGAGCGTAAGACTCTTAATCTTAAGGCTGCGGGTTCGACCCCCGCGTTCGGCTATTCCTAAAACCAAACCTAAGATTTCTTTTTTGCTCTCTTTTTGATCGCTAGTCCTAGTTCTATCAAAAAAAACGCATATTAAGATTTTTTCTAAAAGTCGTATGAAACAATATGAATGGCTGCGTTATAAATAATGACAGACAAAACGTCGCTAAATTTTGTAGTCGCATATATATATCGATCATGATGTCTCCTTTCCTCAGGTTATGTATAGTAGTATATATTCCATCATGACAAGGCACTTCAATTTCCATCTTCATCCACCTTTTGTGTTTCAACAATATTGCATTTTGGACCATTAGAATGTGGGACTGGGTGATAGATCCGGGACAAGGCTGTGAGTTCGCATTCGACCTCCTACCGGCCCTAGATCATAAACCTTTCATTGGGCAGCCCCTCCACAGATACACGTATCAGTACTATAGCTCAATTCTTCAGTGGAAAGGACACGGGAGGTTATGATCAAACATCGTGCCGACAGATGGAGAGAATACGTCTTCAAAATTCCTGGGTTCAGAGGGATTCTGATCATATCGAGAAATGACCAGAGATTATCACCACATAGCCCGAGAAGCTCTATCGTGATGTTGCCTCTCGGGGGTTATCTGACTTCAAACACACCATGAACTCTTGCCTCTTGTTGTAGTCCAGGTTTAGTGAATTCAATGTGAAGGATTGCTCCCCATTTGACGAAATGGGCGTGATGCGGTTGAAGTATAGAGCGATTGAAAAGAAGGCGTTGAGAAGGAATAAAACTTCCAGGGTTGCATCTCGATCTTGGTCTTGTCGAGAGTAAGACAATATTTAAAGTAGTCGCCAAGTGATTATTGTGGGCTTCCAATGCTGATCTTTTCGATTTAGCTCGAGATAACATAAGAGACATGTTCGAGACGTTAAATATCATTTGTTGTAGTGGCTATGTAGTATACAGATTGAGCAACGAGTAAGTGGTATATATTAATTAAAGATCAGTAGCTGGCTAGATACAAGCTTCAAAGCAACAAGGCCGTAGAACTTTTCGTGACTTATTAAGTGATAGGGAGTATAGATTGGAATTCAACATAGCAAAAGATCACATATGAACCATCAATCAAGCATAACGAACGGGACCAGTCTCCTCGCCATGGCCCGCTGGCAGTACACCAGATTGCAGTGGAGCAGGATAGGGCTGAGCCTGAGGTACAGGAGCCTGAGACATCTCAGCAGCCGTGGGATCTAGCAAGCGCGGACCAGACTCGGTAGGCCTCTTGCTTGTCTTGACAAGCGCGGGCGCGGGGCCCAAAACAGTTGGGTACTTGAAGCGGAAACCCCAGGCTAAAAACAGGCGAATCTTAGTCCAGAAACCCATGGCGTCCCATCTTTGCTTGAGAATCTCGGCGTCCTCTTTGCTGCGGGCGCGGTAGCCCTTGCGGAAACAAAACAGGAAGAAAAGAGAAAGAGGGAGCCAAATGAAAGCCCAGAAAAGAGGCAGACCACGGCGGGTCTGCCAGCCCGTCATGAGGCGACGGAATCGCACCCAGGCCTCGATCATGCCGAGGATGAAAAATAGGCCAACCCAACCCAGCACGCAGATCAATGTAAGTGCGAGGTAGGAGATGCCGATGCCGGACCACCGTGCGCTGGTGAACCAATTGCCGTCGTCGTAGTAGTCATAGTAGCCATAGTTATTGTAGTTATTGTCGTTCGAATTGTTATCTGAATCGGTGGAGTCAGACCCAGAGGCGGTTTCGCCAGTGTTGTAATCGTCGGAGTATCCGTAATGAGATGTGCGGCCTGTGTACTCGCATCCAACACCTGAGTAGACAGAGGTAGGGGCGTTGTAGTAGCTCAGAGAGTTTAGAGAGCTTGTGGGAAGTTGGGTGGGCTCCACGAACACTATCTCATAGATGTAGGTGGTGGGCTGGAATGCCCGACTGTCGTCGACGATTGTCGTGGTTTCTATATTATCTCTGGGCAGCAAGGTGGCGATCTCATCGGGAGGGTAGAACTCGACACCGGTCGTGGTGGTCCATTGAGTAGAGCAGGCTGTCGGGGCCGAGTAAGTTAGGTTGACCTTGTATAGGGTGCCGAGATAGTTTCCATCACTATCCACATTGTTACGATAGCCATCGTATAAGCCTCGCTGTTTGCCATAGCCAGTGGGATACAACTTTTGGACAATGGTGTAGTCATAATCGGTATTCGTAGAAGTAATGGTGGACAAGGCCTCAGATGGCAAACTTGCAGTTGGAGAGATTTTTTGGACCTCGGTGGTCAACTCGCCGTAGTAATCTGTAGTAACCCTTTGCTCGTAGACATCTGTCACAATCCAAGGAGCAGCCTGAACGAAAGGGCTTAAAACGAATGACAAGAAAAGAATAAGCGAGTGTGAAGGTACCATCTTGAATGGTCCTGGAAGTTTGGAGGGAAAACTGTCAGGGAGGCATCCATGGCTTTATAGAAAAGAAAAGACCAACGCCTCAAGGAAGACCCTTTATTTTTTTTGGCCATTTGGGGGCTGTTTATCGCCTAAGCTATACCGATTCCTACTAAGGTGGAAATGAATGCATTAAAGTAGGCAGATACTCTCGTTTGATTGGTGATGTCTCATAGTTTGCCTGGGTTAAGTGGAGTGTCTAGTCTAGTTACGATCTAGTTGCGAACCCTAGTACTTTCGCCTCATGTTTTACCGAACTGATCTTTTCTTAGATTTTTCCACGGCAATGACTCAAAATTTGGACTAGCTTCAATGTATAAAAAAAAAAAAAACATCTTCGAATACGCCTAGTCACGTTTAGAACAGCGCACAATAGAAGCAATTGAGAATACAAGCGTAACTTCGTGGATCGTCAGTGTTGCAAGGTCAAAAGATTGCGAGGAATCTATATGGGGGAATTTGACACTCCCATAAATCCGGAGTGCTCAGAGAGGAAGCATAGAGAGAAGAGACAGCATGAATCACTTGCTCAATTAGCAGCCCGTAAAGCTCGTAGCCTTGCACCCAAGCCATCCTCAACCTCGGCATCTACATGCTTGGGTTCCTTGACATCCTCTTTGGGCGCAGCATCGGCTTCGAGGTTCATGCGCATATCAACACCCGCATCATCCGCCAGTTGTTCCATAAGCCGATCAACATCAGCCTCGCCCTCCGCACCATATTCTTGCATCGATATACCCTGTGCGACATCCTCGATCGCACTGCTAGCAATCTTGAAGTCCTCCGACCGGGCGAGGAAGTTGTTAGCGTGAGAGACGAGGTGTTCGAGGTTGACGCTCCGTGAGGCAGCGTCTAGACCACGCGATGCCATAGCGAGCGTCCGGGACGTGTCGCGGGTGCTCTGGGCAGCCTTGAGTTCGTTGATTATGACGTCGGCGCGTGCCGCTTCGGATTTGAGCGTTACTTGGCGTCGCTTCTCCCGCACAGCGGAGGCGGCGTGAATGCGGGCGATCTGAAACTCGTGGTTTTTCATCGCTTTATCTGCTTTGGCCTTTTCGGATTTGAAAGTCGCCTCCGCTCGGACGGCTTCTTTCTTGAGTCTGTTGGAGTGTAACTGGGAGATAAGATTAGCGATGGTCTCATGCAGCAGTGATGCACGCTGCGAGGAGGGGAAAACAGAGTGCGGGGAGGTGACTTACTTTGACATTTGTGCGGGCTTCGAAGATAGGGTCTTTGCGAACCATGATGTCGGTTATAGATGTTATGGAGGATGAGGATTACAGGTGTTGTGGAAGGCAGATGGATTTGGGGGCGCGTGGCAACGTCACTTACCGCATTCATGTCATTCTTGGCGTCTGTGTTATTTTAGCATCACGGACAACTCTGAAATTGACCTTGCCCAACGCCTCTAAATGGACTGAGCCGATTACAGTGGCGGATTATAAGAGCTACTACATGTACTATTCAGGCGATGAAAGTGATTGCAAGATGACACAGTCGATTTCGCATTATAAGAACTATATAGTATACAGGCCAAAAAATGGAACCCTCAGCGCTGTTTGCCCATGAGCAAAGATGAAAGAGCTTTGCTCGCACTGGAACTCCGAAAACTCCGTTTACCTCGATGCACCTTTCCATTACTGCGTTGCCGACCGGATTTCATAGTGTTTCCCCGCTGGTGTCGTTTTGACAGGCTGAGACTATCGATTGCCCAAGCCATGGTTAATAACGACTCCCAACTCGGTCGAGCCTCCGAGGCGCCAGCCGACCAGGTCTGCGGGGAGAAAGTCTCACTAACCGCTAGCTGCAATGCTCTGCCCGTCGCATCTCGAAGTGGACGCGCCAAGGCTGGGCTGCAAGCTAGTAGTCTGGTGAGAAGTCTCATCCGAAAGACCGGACGATTGGACGCCGTCGAGGACGACAGACTCGGGGTCGAAATCAACCATAGAATCAAAGGGAAATGCTGATAGATCTCCTCCGTCGAGAACGTCAAAGGCAAACCCATCTTCAGGGAAAGAAGAATTTGGCTCAGCGGGTGAATCACCGTGGAACAGGCGGCGGAAGTCATCGTCAGAAAGAGGAGCTGCAACGTCATTTGCAGTCTGAGGTTCATCGGAGAGGTCGAAGAGGGGTAGGGCACTTCCAGCTCCTTCGAGGCCGGCGACGGACACTGCAGGTCACATTCACACAACACCGCTGCAGGATGTTGTGTCACGTCGGAGGCCTCAGCCAGAGTGGAAGGCTTGAGGGTAGGAGAGTAGTCGGTAACGGAGGGAGTGGGGAAAGGAATCCGTTCCATAGGGAGTTCGTCGCCTTCTTGCTTGAAGAGCGTAGGCGTGAGGGTAGGAGATTCAATGGCGGGAGAGCTGGCTTTGGGAGTCACGCTGCGAGATCCACGGACCTCGGCAGAGAGCTTGGCCACTTGTTGACTCAAGCGGTTGTTCTCTGTCTCCATCTGAGAAAGACGCTGGATCAGGAACTGGTTTTGTTGCTCCATTCGGATCTTTTCAGTCTCGAGTTTCTCCATTTCGAGGCGCTTGCGTTCGCGTGACGTTTGAGCAGCAGCACGGTTTCGAAGGACCCGTTCGATCCGACGCTGCTCCTTTTCATCATCTGTCTTGGCGCGTTTTCTAGAAGAGTCAGCGGGGGTTCGACGTTCGTAGCCAGGACCAAGATAACATACCGAGGAGGGAGGTTTGTTTTTGGGGTTGGAAGTTCTTGTCCCCAAGACTTTCTCTTCTTTGTTGGCTTCTTCTCATCATCTTCCTCTTTAATTTCATCTTCGGGCTCCGGAGAGTCTAATGATGTATCCGCGGGGGAAACTGTGTACATCTCTGGAGATGGTGATGCGGGGAGCGTATCCATCGGGTTGATAGTATCCGCCATGGTGACAGGGTCAAATGGATAACCGGTGCCGGACGTGATTTAACAATTGTATATAGACTTAAAGGGCTGTAGGTGAAGATGGTTCAAAAATCACAGAGGCCACGTTATCATCACGATCGGCACCGGAGACCAGAGACTCCGGGGAAGATTGAGTCAGAGGGTGAGTCAGCAAAGAAAAAAGAGGGAGAAATGGAAAGGACAGCTGTTCAACTGCAAATGGACGGGGAGAGATGAGGTTTAAGTAGAGGCCACGGTGGTCTGAAAGGGATGGGCTAGGGGAATGGAACAAAGGGGGGGCAACCTTGGAACCTGGGCGCACACGTACGTCAGGTACATGCTGCACCATACAATTTACCATGTGCCACCGAGTACCTCAAAAGGGGCTGAGTCTCCTGTAACGAGACCTGTAAATTACGTTAATTTCCCCCTGCATTCCGTCGGCCCCATCTCGGCAGCCAATTATGATTCGCTGCTTGAAACATCTCCCACCGGGGGATTTGCTCACTTGATTGCTTCCAATACAATACCTGGATTTCTATAATTGGGCTCGACGGAGTACACTGGGAGTATTACTTCAGCTTCTGATATTTCGGGTAGTACGGGGTACTTACGACAGATCCAGTCATTCCGATCCATCCAAGTCATAGTGTGGATGCGGATTTAATACCACAGTCTCGAACAATCTACCTTCTAGAGTGGACCTGGCACTGATACCTTTTCTCCTGATTATGAGGCGATTAGGACGGAGTATTGCCCGGAGAATGCTCCGTTCAAACGCCAATCAGCCAAGGGCTGCCCCGCCCCCTAATTCTCCGTGGCCCCTAAGTCTGAGAATGTCACTGTATGATTATGTACTCCGGCCTCCGTACTCCATACTCGCAGAGAGGGGTTCAGTGTGCCATTTAGATTGGCGGAGATCATTCTGGGGACGTTACAGAACCATTTCGAACACGGCGGAAGCATGCAGTCTAGGCCGAGGGGCTGAAACGGGGCGTCGTTAGGGTTGACCTCGGTTTACAGGGGGTGACTCCTACCATTTGCTGCATATAGAGTATGGAGGTTTCGTGTGAAAAGATAACGATATATGTCTACCTCAAATTCAGTACACTAAATTTAGTGATCGGTTTAGACATCCCATTTTGGAAACCTTCGACACCAGGGGAATTATATGCAGTCCCTCAAACAAAGAAAAAAACGCCATCCCATAGAAACGTGCTCATGACAAGATCGTAAGCGAACATGTGCGGGGCTATGATCAATTGATCTCATCTACATGGTGACATCCATCGTGTCGTCGCCAGCATCGATGGCATTCTGGGCCTCCGGATCAGGGACCACCACACCACGTCCTCGGCCAGCAAGCAGTTCACGTCGTACTTCAGGTCCAATATCCTTGTGTCCACGGACGAGAAGCAAATCGAGAAGCGCTTCACGCTGGTCCTCAGTGATGTCGTTACGATAACGCTGGGCAAAGACCAGAAGGGACTGGTGCCAGAGAACTGGCAGCTTGTACGCCTTGGAACCGAGGCCTGAAGGTCCGTCGTTCATGGCATCCTCCGAAGGGTCCACGGCGCGGAAGCGCATGAAGTGGAACACCAAGGCGTCAATGACCTTGTACGGCAGCGCATACTTCTTCTCTAGGAAGACACGGATGAACATGTTGACAGCACCAGTGCTTTCAATGGAGGTCAATGACTGTTCCGCGGCCAGGTCACACATGCGAAGCAGGGCGGCTGCGGAGTGCAGCACGGGAACGGAGACACGGGCAATCACAGAAGAGACAATGTGGGCTTCACGCAGAGTGCAGGTGCCGGTGGACACGAGCGGAAACAAAAGTCCCTTGAAGAAGCATGCGGGCTTGTACAGGGCCTTGCGCAACGCATTGTAGGTGTGAATATTCAACTTCTTGGTTTCGTGGATTTCGTTGCGCACTCGGTCCAAAAGGACAATATTGATGAACTCCTGGGCAACTGCAGGCTTGGAAGAAATGAAAATACGGGTTACGGCGTAGACGGCGTTGCCGGTCCATGATTCAGGGCGAGTGATATCCAGAATAGTCTGCCAGTTCGGTACAGCGGGGAGGATCTTGATAGGCTTGGGGAGGGGGCCAGACTTGTAGCGAGAAAGAATCATGCCGACCCTAGGGCAAGTTAGCTTGGCCTTACAAAGAATTGTCGCAAAACATACTTCTCATATACTTCTACGGCCTTGGCAGGAATCTGGACAGCATCCTCGGGGATACCACCACCTTGGATGTATGGACCATAGGGACCCTCGCCAGCCTGCTTCGCCTCGTGCTCGGCAATTTTCTCGAGAATCAAATCGGCAAGGTTGGTGGGGCCAGCGGAGCTAGGATCCTTGGGGTGGAATATAGGGTCCTCCTCGTGAGGCATGAACTTGTTGAACATATCTAGATCATTGGGGTCGACCTCCTTTGCAAAATGTTAGAAGCAATTTCATTGTTCAGAAATTCAGGAGTCTTACAACTTGCTCGACGTCATCATCAACCCAATCATCGGCCTCAAACTTCCCCTCATCGTCGGAGAAAGCCTCCTCGTCCTCGAATCGGGTATCGAATTCAAATGCATTCGCCTGGGGCCGTGCTGAGTTCTTGAGTTCCTCGGCGGCGTCCTCGTCGGCCAATTCCTGTCCAATCTGTAAAATCTTGCGCGACATCTTCGCATCGACATAACGCTGTCCATTTTCGCCATCTTCATCGTTTTCGTCGGCTTTGCCTTTGCCTTTCTTGCTGCTCTGTGTCCGAAGGTGCCCCGCGGAAGTAATATCTTCAGCGAGAGGGTTGTGTCTGCGTGCTGCCGCAGCGGCGCGAGAGCTTGATACCTTTGGCATGGTAAGTGATTCTTCAGATAAACCGAAGAAACTAAAATGAGTAGTTTGGGCTGGCCTATCGAAGTACACACGACGATCAAATTGTGTGGTCATTTTTTTTTTTTGCCAGGCGGTGCCCCCCAGTCCCCTCACCGCCTGTACCCATACCGCCCTGACCTTCACGCATTTTCTGCAATTAAACACTGACCGCCTCCGTTTCCCAAGGAGATTCTCATTCGGCGCGCGTGTGATTGACTCTTTCAAAGAGAAGTTTCCTCTCTGTTAATGAAGATAGGAGCCATTGGCATACTATAATAATTTGATTGGGGAAGCTGCAGGTTGCCAACTCTCCGGTTCTCCAGTGTATATACACGCCGGAACAGCTTCACAGCATACAGACAAGCTTCAAATTGTGTAAGGACTTCCAACTCCGCAGAAGGTCAATGCTGTAGAACCATACTCATTGGCTTACATTTTGCCCAGATTGCTGAATTAAACTATATCGACAGAACAATCGGCAGACCACAACGCCAGCGGTCAAACAGCCTCCTCCATCATGGCATCCGGCCAAGCCCCCGGATCTTCCGCTCCGTCGTCCAACATCAACTCCCCGATACTACCTCCTAACGGTGGACCTCTGCTCAATGCGCAATTCACAGACTTGAATCCAAGATCTTCCCCCGCCCCGTCCGCCCAAGGCGATGGTCGAGCCAAGCGCAACAAGCGAGATAGTCGCAAGAAGCGTGAAGCCAAAGGACTGGACACCGAGAGCGCACCACCGCCGAAAAAGCGAACTACAGCTGCACCGAGCCACGCCCTGCCCAGCTCAAAACTGAGCATTCTTCGTCCATTGTTGCTCGCCGAGCCGCACGCCTCGGATCGGTACCCTCCACAACCTCGCCAATTGAATCGCGTGAGCCGAAAGACGTCGGACGTTTTGGGCCAGAGCTGGGATTTCTACGAGGTGGTCGATAAACTCACCAATAAAAATGGATTTCGTTACAGCTATGCCATTGCCGACCCCGGTTTCCCTCACATCAAATATCGACAGACTGATGTTCGCCCGTACCATACCCGCTTCAGTTTCGAGGATTCACCAGCTGCCATATCATTTTCAGAGAGCGCGACTGCGGTAACTACCAGTGATGCGTGGCATACCGCCCGTGCCAATGTATGTGCTCGAGAGGGCACATATTATTACGAAGCGCGTGTGATCAGTGGCATAGTCAATGATCCCCAGGCACCTCAGAGCGGCAGACCGACAACGTCACCCCGTGGCCATGTCCGCATTGGATTCGCCCGTCGTGAGGCCGACCTCGACGTCAATGTTGGAGTGGATTGCTACGGGTACGGGATTCGAGATGTGAACGGCGAAGTCGTCAATCGCATGCGATGCGAGTTCTTCTTTCCAAAGGGAGAGGCTATCAACGAAGGCGATGTTATTGGCATGCTTATCACTCTTCCGCCTCTTTCTCTGCACAAGAAAATCGTCGAGGGCACTTACGACCCCGCTGATAATAGTCCATCGCAACCGGTAGCAACCAACATCATCCGAGATCGGATTCCCTTCCACTATAAATCGGATTTCTGCTGGCAACAATCCAACGTCTTTTCTACGAAACACCTCCGTGACTACGCTTTCAATCTGAAGGAAACACCGACGTTTGGTCCCCCGTCCCCTTTCAACAGCGAAGACGCCACGCTTCGCACACTCCCGGGGTCTAGTATTACCATTTTCAAGAATGGAGTAAAAATGGGCACCCCCTTTAAAGAACTTTACGCCTTCCTCCCGCCTGCAAGCCGTCTCGCCAATGGTACAAACAATCTAGGTATCGGCGAGCGTGAAAACGCCGACGACGGCTTGATCGGCTATTATCCGGCGGTGAGTTGCTACGGCGGTGGTGCCGTCGAATGCCGATTTGAGGGGCCATGGTGGGTTGGGCCACCCGAGAAGACCGAAACGGGAGAGCCAGTCCGGGCCATGGGTGAACGATTCAACGACCAGATCGCCGAAGACGTGCTGGCTGATATCGTGGACGAGGTTGAAGCCATGTTCACATGGGGCGGCATTGATGGCGATGTCATCAATAACAACACCGAGCTCGATGGAGCGGGAGTCGTGGGAGGGGCGGAGGTCTTGAAGGGTGGCGTCAGTGCGGCGCTCGACTCTACCCTTGCCCATACTCCTGGAACTGCTGGGGCATCTGACTCCGCTGCTAACAGCAATCGTGAGACGCCAGCGGCGGGCGATGTTGGGAACCACGGCCTTGAAGATGCGATGAGCGTCGGAACCGCTGGCACCCCCAACGTTGAAGTGCAGGGTGACGGCGATGTTGAGATGACTTAAAACGGGAAATGAAATAGGCGTTTGGCTTTCGCAATAGCATTGATACCAATTCTGATTTCAAAATCTATTCATATAATATACATTTCATACAGTAGCCGTACAGGTATGGGGTCTAATCCAAATGCCTTCCCTCCAACATCTCTCCCACTTTCATGACTAATTGGTCGTCTCCATATTGGCCGATGACCTGAATTCCTGCCAGTTCAGCATCCTTCTCCCCAGACACTGTCACAGGGACTGAAATTGCAGGTAGCCCAGCCAGACTGGCGGGAACAGTGAATACATCAGCGACATATGCGTCCAGGGGCGATTTCTTGGTAGATTTGCTCATCAAGTCTGACAGTTGTGGCGGGGATGAAGGAGCAGTAGGACATATGATGACATCTACGTCATTTTCTTTTGCTATTTTGTCGGCGCCCTGCGCTGATAAAAGCGGGTGCTTGGCCGTAAAGACAGCATCGAAGTCTTGCTGGACTAGACGACGCACACGTTGTGCTTTGATGAAATAGTTGTCGATGGCATCGGCACTCAAAGTGAACGTGCCTAGAACAATTCGTCTTTTCACTTCTTGCCCGAACCCTTGTCCTCGGGTATTTGAGAATAGATATCCATCGGGCTTTCCGTCGCCATCTGGGCCTTCGGCGCGAGTCCCGTATCGCACTCCATCGTATTTGGCCAGGTTTGAAGATGCTTCGGCAGGTCCCACGACGTAATATGTAGATAATGCGTGTTTTGTGTCGGGCAGAGAGACGGAATGCACGATGTGTCCTTGTTGCTTCAGGTGTGCCAAAGAAAGAGCCCAAGCTCGCCGGACCGAGGGAGTCAGCTCGGAAACGTTATACTCCATTGGCACGCCAATTCGGAGAGGGGCCGAGGTCAGCCGCGAGGCCGATTGTGATGTTTGGAGAAATGCTTGGATTCGAGAGCGGGAGGATATTGAGAGACTGGTAGGATCGCGCGGGTCATGTCGGTTGAGGATGTCTAAACATACTATTAGCATTGTCGTTATCTAGCCACATTGGTCAAGACCTACCGAAGATATCTCGCACATTGGCTGTGGTTTTTCCCATTATACCCACAGTATCTAAAGAATTGGCATATGCCACCACACCCCATCGTGAGATCAGTCCATATGACGGTTTGAATCCCACTGTCCCGGTGTAAGCAGCTGGAAGTCTGACCGAGCCTCCGGTGTCCGTTCCTAGTGAGCTGTAAGAGTCAGCAATCATTCTCCTTTCCAATCACTGTCTACTTACGCATAGCATTGATCGGCCGCGACTGAGGCAGCACTCCCACCAGAGCTGCCACCCGCGGAGAGGTCTTCCCCGCTGGAATCCCGACGAGGGTTCTTGACAGGACCAAAATGTGAATTGATCGAATTTGATCCCATTCCAAACTCGTCCAAATTTGTCTTTCCGGCGATAATGGCCCCGGCGGCCTCTAGTTGATCGACAACGGTGGCATTGAACGGGCTGGTAAATTTATCCAAGATTCCCGAGGCGCAGGTAGTTGGAAGGTCGCGCGTGCAGATATTGTCTTTGATGGAGATCAAGCGGCCGTCCACTGCGGACTTGGGTTTCCCTGATCAAACTGGTTAACTATGAAATAGCGAGTGAAAGTCTGATATTGCTACCTTCTTCCTTGCGCACATCTGCTTCCTTTACGCGGTCCAGCCATGGTCCCGCGCGCGACAGCGGGGTTATGAAGGCATTGAAATTATGTGCATATTGATTAGCGACGCATCTCTCAGCTTCGCGCAATAAGGACATTTAGACGAGTGTGTGAGGAGTATAACACAAAAAGAGAGCGGAACGCGAGTTTCCCGGGTCCGTGCTGCTTTTCTACGGTCTCTGTTCAAGTCTGTCACTGAAGATATTTATGGATGAGCCTGATATATAGGTATAAATTATATAACGTCTGGCCTTAGAAATAAATAGCCATGAGCTTGAATATCAAGGTCAATTTCAATGAATCCTGTGTTAGTCCACCTCGGAGCACTCCAATGTCAATAGTTCCTTCGGGCCGAGCGAAATCGACCAAGACGTCATCCGGATTTGCTCGACTTTCTTTCCTCCTCCATTCACTCACCTACCAGCTATGTTCTCGCGAAGTGTACTACAGACGGCCACCCGAAGTGCTCGCCCGGCCTCAGCTCGAGCTGTACCACAGGTGCTCGGTAAAGCTCCACTCGGTCGGCGATACATCTCGGTCTATGGCTACACACAGGCAAAGGCTCTCATCTACTCCAAATATGGCGAGCCCAAAGATGTCTTGCGGTAAGATCTTCTAGCTGCAATTGAGCAAACCAAAACTGATCAATTCAGCCTACACAAGCACTCAATCTCCGCGCCGCATGCAACCCAAGTGAATCTGCGCCTGTTGGCCGCGCCGATGAACCCTGCCGACGTTAACCAGATCCAGGGTGTCTACCCCAGCAAACCTCCCTTCCAAACGGACCTTGGTAATGCGGAGCCTGCCGCTGTCGGCGGTAACGAGGGCGCATTCGAGGTGCTCTCAACCGGTGCAGGCGTCAAGAACCTCAGCAAAGGCGATTGGGTCATTATGAAGCGCACAGGTCTGGGTACCTGGCGTACCCATGCGCAGCTGGATGAATCTCAGTTGATCAAGATTGAGAACAAGGAGGGCCTGACCCCGCTGCAGGTTGGCACTGTTAGCGTCAACCCCGTCACTGCGTACCGTATGATCAGGGATTTCTGTGAATGGGATTGGATGCGTGCCGGGGAGGAGTGGGTGATCCAGAACGGCGCCAACAGCGGTGTCGGGCGAGCAGCTATCCAATTGGGTCGCGAATGGGGAATCAAGACGCTCAATGTCGTTCGACAGCGCAAGACACCTGAAGAGACCGAGGCTCTCAAGAAGGAGCTCCGGGACCTAGGAGCCACTGTTGTTATCACCGAGGAGGAGATGCTTACTGGCAATTTCCGGGATATGGTCCATGAGTTCACCCGCCAGGGCCGCGAACCCATTCGCCTGGCGTTGAACTGCGTAGGCGGGAAGAATGCTACCGCTCTGGCAAAGACTTTGGCTCCTAATTCACACATGGTGACCTACGGAGCCATGTCGAAGCAGCCTGTTGCATTGCCCTCGGGTTTGTTGATCTTCAAGAATCTCGCGTTTGACGGGTTCTGGGTTAGCAGGTGGGGTGACAAGAATCCTGAGCTGAAGGAGAGCACCATCAAGGATGTGCTCCAATTGACTCGCTCTGGCAAGTTCCGGGATATTCCCGTGGATGAGGTCAAGTGGAACTGGGAATCCGAGGGCCCGGAACTGGCAGAGAGCGTGCAGGGCACTTTGGGCGGCTACCGTAGTGGGAAGGGTGTGTTCACCTTCAACGGTGGTGATTAAGTGAACAGCCAATATGAATGTATTATAAAGCTAGGCGGTTTTATTTCCGATTTACAATGTTGGTCCAGAAACTAGGAATGAATTGTAAAAAAAAGCACTGCCAGAAAGTATAACTATCAACACTTCCAGTTCTTCTTCACCCAGTCAAGAATGAGATTTGTTAGAGACATGGGCGGCATGTACACATCACTCTCCTTTGCAATGTCGACATCGAAACCAGCAAACTTGGCGGCCAGTATCACCTTGCTCTCTATGAAATCAAGATATACCATATCCACCGTCTTCGGTGTCTCCGATGCATTGGTAGATATGAGGGTTCGAATGCAGTTCGGCACGCGGTAAAAGGAAATGGGTGAATGGATGGTGTCATCACCATCTGTGCCCGCATCATCTTTTGTCGTGTAACCAGGCACAAGGGCCGGACCGGACATGGGAATTTGGTCGCCAGATGAAGGCCAGTTTTGAGCAATCACGTCCTCCGGATATGCAAGTTGCTCGACAGGGCCCAAGGTTGTCAACGAAGATTCATCAGTAGATAAAATTTGCGGCTGCTCGTTCAAAACCTCGACAATAAGTTGTGCCTTGTCATATGGGACATTTTTCACATAGCGGAAGGTACTGGTGAATGGTGATATAATAAAAGTCGAGTCATGTGTAAAAGGCCCCTTGAAAATATCGAACCGTATGGCGCCCGTATTAACAATGACCAGCCTGGGTGTGTCTCCACGAGACTCATCTTTCACATCGCGTAAAACCTGAGTCTCAAGCCAGGTGTAGATGCTGTTAGGGTGCGGATATTTGGCTCGCGACATCCATAAATCATGTGGCGCGCATCCATGGACCTGGTCCAGATGGAGTTCGGTCCGTGCTTTGGTGATCAATCGGGAGACATTGAGGCCTTTCTCAGTTGGAAAAGTCTTTTGATCAAGACCGGTGTGATGATAATAAGACAAGAGATTGCTGTCAATATATCTGCGCTTGAATACGGGCCCAACGGCAGACTGATGGCTGGCTTTGCTGGCGAGGCCATCAATTGACATGAAGCCAATAGTTTCCATGAATCGCCCACTCGCTAGCCCAAAGGCTTTGCTATCATATTGCGCATAGTCACGCACATGCTGGTGCCCGCCAAAGAATTGGATTGGAGTGTCCCAACGGATTCCCCGGATCTCCTTGAAGATCGCCCGGTATTCCGGTGAATGGACAGGCACATGGCCGATCACCAAAAACAGATCCACTTCTTTGTCCCGAATGGCTTCTTGGAACCAATCCTCTTTGATAGTGGAAGATACTTTCTGGACCACGGTGTTGTTGTAATTTCCGTTGAAATCAAAAAGGAAGCCAAACGCTACTATACGGATCCCTTGCTTCTTGGTAGTGAACTTCTTGAACCGCGGAGCCAGAGGCACAAGCTCTTTCGTTGTTGGATGAATGATATCAATATTTGAAGCTAAATATTTGCCCCGGAAATTAGGAACGGTGACAAGAAGCTCAGTCTCAGATGTGTTTTGCTTGTATAGTTCATGGTTTCCCGACGTCAACAGGTCGATGTCTTGGTGCCGGAAGATGTCCGAAAGGTAGATACCCTTGGGCTCGGACGAGTCATACAGGCCGTTGCCTTCGACTCGGTCACCAGTATCTATAACGAGCAGGTCTTGTCCTTGTGCTTCTGCCTTCTCCCGCATGCGTGTCGCAAATGATACATAGTCTCCCCAGTCTGCGGAGTAGGACGGTCTGGAATTATTAGTACAACTCGAAAGCTAGGCAGGGTCTAAAGCCTACTCCTGCAGATGACCAGCCAGCCAGCCATGGGTATCGGTAGTATGGAGGAAATTCAGTTGCCCGAAATCAAGGGTTCGCAGGGGAGCGGAGATAGGATCGGGCGTGGAGGGTTGAGCGGCGAGTGCCGACGGAAGTAGCCAGAGCAAGGACAACATCAGTACCGATAATACACCCTTGGAAGAGTGTATAGAAGCATGGATTTACGGTAAGAAACCCCTTGAAAGGTCTTGCAATATGTGGAAGGAATCTCGTACTTATAGCTAACAATAGAAAAGTTGATACCTCATTAGAAGATATGTTGAACAAACACAAGTTGATACCTCAGGTGAGCTCTCTCCAATTCTGTATGGTTACGGTTACAGTACCGGTGAGCTCTGACATCACGTGTTGCCCAACATCTTCGGATTTGCATCTCGAAGATTATTCGGACGGCGATAAGTTTTCTCTGGCTATTCACTCTTATCTACTTTCCAGTTCTTCTATTCAATTGATTTTGCGGTCCAATTTGGTCTGCGATCGTTAATTGAATCTTTTTTTCTTGCTTCGTTTTAATTCAATCACATTTCCGCAATGGCAGCTCCCCGACTTTTCCGCCCAACAGCCCGTCTGTTTTCCTCGCGCCTCGCTTCCACTGCTCTGCGCTCAAACCTCCGCCAGTCCGCCTGTGCTCCTTCAATCTTGCGCCGTGGATATGCCACCGAGGACGGCACCAAGCAAGTCACCGTTCGCGATGCCTTGAACGAGGCCTTGGCCGAAGAGTTGGAACTCAACCAGAAGACTTTCATTCTCGGTGAGGAAGTTGCACAGTACAACGGAGCGTGAGTTATTAGTATACGTATACTTGGAACCGAGGCTGAACTTCCGGCTCTACAGATACAAGGTGACGAAGGGTCTGCTCGACCGCTTCGGTCCTAAGCGTGTTATCGATACTCCCATCACAGAGGCCGGCTTCTGTGGTATCGCCGTTGGTGCTGCGCTCGCTGGTCTGCACCCTATCGTGAGTGATTCCGGAAATGACGGTTGATTAAGGATCGCATGCTAACGGTTCCATGATCTAGGCCGAGTTCATGACCTTCAACTTCGCCATGCAGGCCATCGATCAAATTATCAACTCCGCTGCCAAGACTCACTACATGTCGGGCGGTATTCAGCCTTGCAACATCACTTTCCGCGGTCCCAACGGTTTCGCCGCCGGTGTCGCCGCCCAGCACTCCCAGGATTACTCTGCCTGGTACGGCAGCATTCCCGGTTTGAAGGTTGTCTCCCCCTGGAGCTCCGAGGATGCCAAGGGTCTGCTGAAGGCTGCTATCCGTGACCCCAACCCCGTTGTTGTTCTGGAGAACGAGTAAGATCCCATCGACTCATTTTGCTGAGTTCCGCGTAAACTAACCAATGCTAGGCTCATGTACGGCCAAGCTTTCCCTATGAGCGAGGCTGCCCAGAAGAACGACTTCGTCCTGCCCATCGGTAAGGCCAAGATTGAGCGCCCCGGAAAGGACCTTACCATTGTCTCTGTGTCTCGCTGTGTCGGTCAGTCCCTGACCGCCGCCGCCGAGCTCAAGCAGAAGTACGGTGTCGATGCTGAGGTTATCAACCTGCGCTCTATTAAGCCTCTCGATGTTGAGACCATCATTGCCTCCCTCAAGAAGACCGGCCGCATTATGGTCGTTGAGTCTGGCTACCCCATGTTCGGCCTTTCGTCTGAGATCCTGGCTCTGTCCATGGAGTACGGTTTCGATTACCTGACCGCCCCTGCCGTGCGTGTCACCGGTGCTGAGGTTCCCACTCCTTACGCCGCTGGCCTTGAGGCCATGGCCTTCCCCCAGGAGGACACCATTGTCAGCCAGGCTGCCAAGCTTCTGCGCCTGTAAGCCAATAAATGAGGGCGAGCGAGGAGCTCGCAATAATATAGCAATGTGCCTAGTACCCTTTCATCTGTTCCATCTTATGTCGTTGTTTTATTCTGCTTTTGTTATCCAACCGTTTTAGACAGTCACTTGGAAAGCATGTACCATTACATCCAGATCAGTACCAACATAAATGTGCTTAATCGGATTAGATGAAAATTGATTGCTGCATAGTAATTCGAAAAGGATGCTTCACACCATTTAACGCCATTGTGTACATATTTGTTACTTGATATTGGCTTCAATTCGCAGGCCGTCTCAAGCATCACGAGATCCATCAGACCTCCTGGGCAGCACACCCAGCGAAGCAGTCCGTTGGCCGGTGAGGATCATATTGTCCTTCTGGGCCATATTCCTCGTCGGTATCACTTTCCATATCCACAGATTCAGCCTTTCCGGGCCTTCCTACCTCTGATGAATCATCATTTTGAGGTTTTGGGCTATTGTCTTCCTCGTCATCTCCGAGAACGTTCTTCTTGACTGGGGCTGAAGTGACCACCGTTCCCTTGACAGCAGCGAATGAGCTTTTGAAACCTCCCTTCTTGAAACCCGCGCTTTTACCACTTGGTGCGACATTGTGTCCGGGGGTCTCGATGACTTTCAGACCGGCCTGTGCATCGGCTTTACGTTCTGCCCGGCGGTTCTTCTCGACAGCATTTGGATCACGTGTCAACTGTTTGAGATCTTGCAAGCGCTTTCTATGTTGATGGTCATATGACCCGATATGCGCTTCATATTCTGGATGACGCGAGTAGGATTTGTTGCAGAGGGTGCAGGTGAAGGAGCTGAGCGCAGACCGCGCTGATTCGGTCTGTAAGGAAAGGTTAGCTTGGCGGTGACAGACGTGGCAGATGTGGATGATTGATTACCCTAGGAGCGGGATTTGTTGAACCACGCTATATCTGTTAGCTCATGTGTTAGATTGGATAAAAAAAGAGCATACCGGTGCCATTGTTCTTGAACAAGCGTACAGCTTTAAGTCTGAAGAGAGAGCGGTTGGTACGGCGGCGCATTGCGACCATCTACGCATCAAAAATAGCGGGTCTAACGCATCGCTGCCTGTGAAACTAGGCATCAATCAGTCCAACCTTGGAAGTAACATCTCTGCTTACTTGTCTATAGATGCTTTTATATTCAGCTTTACATCTTTTCTTCTGAATAACTACTTTCATGCAAATGATTAAGACTTAAGCCTATACGCAATATCCATCCCTTTATAGTAAATCAAGAAAGTACAAAAACATTCGATGTATGTATACTGAGTTACCTGACCCTGCCCTGCCAAGTGAGCAATCGTCATTACTCGTCGAGGAACCAGCCTATCACAGCTGCCGTATTTTTGGGACTCAGCGATCCTCATCCCCAACATTTCCCTGCTTTTTCCTAGTTCACCTATACAGCATGGATGTATGATTGACGAGTCTCTTTCTACGAATTTCATTTTCGCCCTTTCCCCCAGCTCGATAAACCCCCAAACTCCGAAAATTATACAATGTCGTCGCACGTGCTCTCCAAACCGGAGGACACCGACACCAGATCTATCATCTCTTTGCAAGAATTAGACCCATCGCCTGTCCATGACGCCCCCGATGTTGAAAGCGGCGAATACTTCCCCAGGGCCTCCTCTCCCATGCAACACGGAGTTGGAATTTCAATACCTAAGCTAGGGCTTAGTGGCCATCGCTGGGATTCATGGCGTACGTCAAGCCACCCAAAGCTGGTTTATATATTCTGACAAAAATGATCGCTTAGTGAGCGGTATTCAAAAATACTCCACCTACCCACCTACAGCTTTCTTCATCCTACATCTCGCCAACACCTCTCTTATCCCGCTCGTGGCTCGCTCTGTGCCCTCGAGCGAATCTTATCTCTTGCTCACACGACCAGTATACCAGGCTCCCGGGCTAGAGCATCTTGTCCTGACAATTCCTATAATTGCGCATATTGCCTCGGGAATTGCTCTCCGCAACATCCGCGCTGCGCGTAGAGCACGTCTGTATGGAGCCGAGACTCGCGCACAGCGAAATGCGTTATATTTTTGGCCACGGATGTCTTTACAGGCGCGCACTGGATACTTCGTCGTGCCACTGATTGCATTCCACGTATGGGTCAACCGTGTCACGCCATTGATCGTCGAAGGAGGAAGCTCTGGCGTAGGGCTTGGATATATTGCCCATGGCTTTGCTCGGAGCCCTATTTTCTGGAATGTCTTCTACTTCTTCTTTGTGACTGCTAGTGTGTGGCACTTCGTTGGTGGCTGGGCGACCTGGATGGGCTGGAGAGTGACCAGCGCGCGCAAGGAACGCGGCCAAAAGGGCTCGTTGGATGGTCTTCTTGGATTTACAGAAACAAAGTCCAAGAGGCAGCGCAAAATGTGGTGGGTTGTCAACGGGATTGCGGCCGCTGGCGCGGCTCTCTGGCTTGCAGGTGCCCTCGGTGTTGTTGGACGTGCCGGCGAAGGTTCAGGTTGGGAGGCTAAAGGGTGGAATGAGATGTATAGTCAGGTCCCAATTATTGGGAAATGGCTATGACAGGTTTGTATGATCGTATATATTATCTAGACTTAATCCTAATGTAGAGAACGACACTGAAGATATCGTGGACATTATCCATTCTAATGTACTATACGAACATTGAGACTCGAGTCCTCCCAATCCATCACTATTACCTATGCTAAACTGGGCAAAATAGAGCTTCTAATCTCGTGAGAGTTTTCTCTTCGACAGCCCTCAATATATGCATGTACTTTTATAGTTGACATAAATTACAAGACAGGTATTGTAATGTACTATAACCTGGTCCGTGCGTAGAATCTTTTTCTCCGTCGCATTCACATCTCTTGCAATATGTTGTGAAAGGCTTCGCTCATGAACCATTCGTTGATTTTTGGATCAGCAACGAAATGCGCTAAGCGAAGACTCAGTCCTCCCCTTCTTCTCGCCCAATTCACCTACTCCACCCCCACTTCGATCCGATCTCGTGTCCGAATCCTTAGCACTCATAGAGCCATGGAGGATCCTCAGATCCAGCTGGTAGAATACCAGGGAGAGAATCACCATGTTGTCAAGGAAGGGTTGGCGAAGATTCTCAACCCGCCTGCTCAACAGGCTGCTTCCAAGGGAACAAAGAAGGATCTCAAAAGCGACGACCAAGTGCAATCCGTTTTCTACAACCCAATTCAACAATTTAATCGCGACCTTAGCGTGTTAGCCATTCGCGCTTATGGAGAACATATCATCGACCTAAAGAAACAAAAAGCGGCTCAGAAGCTGAAGAAGCAAGCAGGCACTGGGGAAAAGAAACGGAAGCGTGAAGACGACCAGACTGAGAAGCCGAGGCCCGCCCCAAACGCAGAACACAACCAAGACACAGAGACAATCGACCAGCCAGTCCCAGCTCTGCCGGCTGATCAAGAACCTAAATCAGAAGTCCGAGCAGAGCAATCCGCGGGTTCTTTCACCGTTCTTGACGCTCTGTCTGCAACTGGACTGCGCGCTCTTCGCTATGCCTCGGAGCTCCCATTTGTCACAAAGGTCGTGGCCAATGACCTGTCAAAGTCGGCAATTAAATCCATGAAGAAGAACATCGAATACAACAATCTCAAAACGATTCAACCCAATTTGGCCGACGCTCGAGTTTACATGTATGGACTTGACAACGCGAGCAAGTTCGACGTCATTGATTTGGATCCATATGGTACGGCAGCTCCATTCATAGATGCTGCAGTGCAGGCAGCCAAAGACGGTGGCCTTTTGTGTGTTACTTGCACTGATGCCGGTGTTTGGGCCTCAACTGGCTATTCGGAAAAATCATTCTCTCTGTACGGTGGTATCCCCATGAAAGGCCTCCAATCCCACGAGGGTGGTCTGCGATTGATCTTGAATTCCCTTGCCATGTCCGCAGGTAAGTATGGAGTGGCCATCGAGCCATTATTGTCTCTGTCTATCGACTTTTACGCTCGCGTCTTTATTCGAGTCTATCAATCTCCCGCACAGGTCAAATTTACGGCGGGCAAAACGATGCTCGTCTACAATTGCGATTCTGGATGTGGCGCATGGACAACGCAACCCATCGGCTCTACGAAATCCAAAATGGACCGCAAGGGAAACCCCATATACCACCACGGCCTGACTAAGGGGCCAACAGCCGGACCGCACTGCGAGCATTGCGGTACAAAAACACATCTTGCAGGACCCATGTGGGGCGGTCCGCTACACAACCCTCAATTTATCCAAAAAATCTTGGACATGCTTCCTGGAGCCGATCCCGAAACATATCAGACCTGTGCTCGCATTGAGGGAATGTTGACTACAGCCCTTGAAGAGGATCTGGACTTATCACCGCCTAGCTCGGAGCCATCTGCCCTCAAAGAATCCGGACCAAGCACAAAGAACCAGTATGATCCTGCATACCCTGCCATCATTCCTCGAATGGACGTTGCTGCTCAGGAAAAATACCCTTTCTTCTTCTCAATCAGTGCTCTCGCCAAGGTTATTCACACAACAACCCCTCCGATCGACGAGTTCCGCGGTGCCCTTTGCCATCTCGGATATCGCTCCACTCGCAGCCACGCCAGGCCAAACTCAATCCGCACCGATGCGCCCTGGGAGGTGGTCTGGGAGATCATGCGCGAGTGGGCCCGTCAGAGATCACCTATTAAGGAAACTTCCTTGAAGCCTAGGACCGCCGGCGCTGCGATCATGAGCAAGAGCCGCGAAAACCTGCGTAAAATGGACGATGAAGATCAATGGTTATCACTTCTCAAACAGGATCTGATGTCTGCCGTTGAGGCTGGCAAAGATGTCAGCGATTTGGTTACTAAAGTTGAAGCTGCTCTCTACCGGTCCGGGTCGCGAAACCCCGGACAAAATGCTCCTGCTTCTGCAGATAGTCACCCCAATGCTGATGCTGCTGCCGACCCCCAGCCTAGACTGGAGAAGTCACCTGCACACCCCTCCCAGCGCGCTCATCCTAGTACCCTTGAGGTGGTCTTTGATGAGGATCTAGGCCGCCAAGTGTCTGCTGCGCATACCAAGAAACGACTGGTGCGGTACCAGCTCAACCCTCGTGCTAACTGGGGTCCTCTCAACCGTGCCGGACGATCATAATGTTCAAATATCCCTGTTGATACATAGAAAAAGTCCTCTGTACGTTGATATTTTGGGGTTTTATGCTTGTCACATCTTCGTATATTGTACATAGTAAAATGATAAGCCTGGCATGTTTACTCTCTGCTACCATTCCCATTCCTGGCTGTACTTCTTTATGTATTTTTTTCTTACCCGCAAGACCACGAAAGATACATATCTAAGACGGAACATCTGAAAAGAGATCTGAAAAGATCACCCAAAAAAGACATCGAGGTGTTACATTACATATAGTGGCCCTACCTAGGTCACTGTATGCAACATATTGGTTACGCTTCATTATAAGGAAAAGTGCCAAAGTTCGATCTGTCATAAAGCAAGGACAAGATAACCTGCGATACTATCTCCCAGCAACTTGTCTCTGTCGAATTTTTCGAAGATTTGCGATGATCGCCTTAATAGGCTCAAGTAATCGCTCGCGGTGTGCCAATCCACTGGATTTATACCATTTATCGGAAAGAAGGTCCATCAACCCTAACCACAAGAGCTGCCAGTCCACTAAATCAGTCTCTAGCAAATCCACCTCGAAGAACAAGTCACGTTTGGACTGTAATCGCTTTCTCCAAAAGGCGTCTGGTAAATCCAAAGCAAACACAGATAACATATTACGCATATCCTGCACATCGGATTGAGTGAAGATGATAGGGCAAATAATCTCTGCAACCAGAAGGGAGATCTCGAGTGGAAACCTATTGAGATAGGTACTTTTGCGTTTCCCAACCACCTTCTGGGCGAGTCGGATGATATCTTGAAGCTCGGGTATAATCCACGGATTGACATAGATATCACAACCGCGAACGTAGTCCTCACATCTCACGTATGAAACCTCGGCGAGCTGGGCCTGGAATAGGGTATCTACGTCAGTAAAGCATCAGTCTTCATGGGTTTGCCAATACAGCCTCGCGGCCTGAATAAGTTGCCCAAGTGACTTTTCGATCAACTCTTTCCCTGTCAGATGGCCAAGGATCTCCCAACAATAATAGTGAAAGACGTATCCCATGTTTTTGTGTCTATAACGACTTGGATCCATCCAGTGATTTTCCGGATGAAAATGTGTGAATATTGTCTCATCATACTGTGGTGTGGTCTCTCCAAAAATTCGTGCGGTGTTTTTGTCTCTTGGGAGGTGACAAGGGTAACCAGCGAGATATCTCACTGGGCCAATTCCCGTCAGTTCATATTTTGTAGAACACGCATATCTGACAGCTTGGATTTCTCTTTAACTTTAAGTTGCTTTCTTGCTATGAGAATGTCGACTTACCCCCTCGATGATAGCACGATGATAACCAAGGAAATTTGGAGAAATTCTTATTGACAACTTCGGTCGATGGCAATAGAATATGCTCAGGAATCGGGGATTGATGATGGATCTCCCATTGAGACTCCTTGAGCACATCTAGGCGATCTTTGCCCAGTACTCCCGTTCTCAACCTCAAGATACGTATGCCACAAAGTAGACATGTTTCTGGATAGTCACGAGGCTCATCGGATTTTGAGGGTTGGGTCGGCATTTTGGGATAAAATAGTGCAGGGGTAGAAGGAGCAGTATAGGAGGTAGGCCGGAGGATTTCAAAGACAAAGGATGACGAAATAATGAGCGGCACTATCTTTGGCGATCTTTTGATCAAATGGAAAATGTCATAGAGGGATCAGCCCTCTAGGCACGATGGCAGCTATCATCCCAAACATTGGACTCTCGCAGGTTGGTATAGAAACAAAAGAGGTGTACACTACCTAAGTAAAGTAGATTTACCACTCTATGAGGCTGACCAAAGCGGAAAGGAAAGAGCAAGTGAAAGAGAATGAACTGATATTAAAATTCGAAACTCAAACTCATATACATTAAAAACTCCAGGGCTTTGAGACATATCACATAATGACCCATGAAACGAAAAACGGTCTATCAAAAACACAACATTATAGAGGATATCAACAGGAATATATCGATTATTTTGCAACGGTTTCGTTGCCCTCTTCGTATTTGTCCCAGTTCGCCAAGATAGAGGCAATACGGGGCGAGTTGGTGAGTCGGTAGACGTCCTCGAAGTATTCCTTGGTGATCTCGAAGGGACGGGCAGTGACGTTGGGAATGTACTTGCCGATCAACTTGCTGGGATCGATGGTGGTCTTGTTGATCTTCTTTAACAAGAAGGAACGGAAGGGCTTCACACCAGAGCGCAAGAAGGTGCTGTGGAAGGGCACATCGATACCCTTGAGAGGAATGGTGGCGAAACCACGCTCCAGGGAGATCGGGCGAGGCTTGGCCTCGGTTTGCTTGACACACTCCTGGATGATGCTGACCAGGTGCTCCTTGACATCCTCCAGAGACATGCTTTGCATCAGCGCGGGGATGTCAATGTTCTGCGCCTTCAAGAAGTTCAGCAGGTTGGTGAGGCAATCAAGAGCACGTAGGTCACCAGCGGCGACGTATTGCATGTTGGCAACGTTGTAGTTGACAATCTCCAGCAGCCAGCCAGTGGTCTCGGAAATGTTCTCAACAACGTACTGCAGTGCCTGCTCGTTGAAAGTCTTGGAGATACGGCTGGGGTTGACAGCGCACATAGAGTAGTTGGAACGACCCTGTGCATCACGCTCAACGGCGACCTGCATGGTCAGACCGCGGTAAAACACGACAGACACCAAGCTCTCAATAGGCATGACATCAGCCAGAGCGGCCAAAGCCGAGTATTCACCAAGTGAGTGGCCGGCGAAGCTGCTGTCGCGCTGCACCAAGCCCTTGGCGCGCATATCCTCGAAGCTAGCCTTCTCCATCAGGGTCAAGGCTGGCTGGGTGAATTGGGTGGCAGAGAGAAGACCGGTGGGAGACCGGTAGGTGTACGAGGCGGTGGTCTCATCGACCTCCTTGAAGATCTTCTCGGACTTGATGGACCCGTCTGCGTTCACAGACTCGAAGGTCATGGCCATGTAGTTCTCCCGGATGGCCTTACCCCGAGGACCACCGAAGTAGACCGTCAACTCCTTGGGGTTGTTCTTGACAATGTCAATAATGGAGAGACCGTAGTTCTCCATGAAGTGGCGATCAGCGCGGTCCCAGACCTCCTGGGCCACTGGGCTAGAGCCATACAGCTCCATACCCATGCCCTGCTCCTGAGAGCCCTGACCAGTGAAGACGTAGGAAGTGACTGGCTGCTCAACCTCGGCCTCACCCTGTAGAACCTTCTCTTCTGTCTCCTTGTTGCTGGCCTCAACCTTGATGATCTTGCGACCAGCAATCATGCCAACATGCTGCAGCTTGACAGTAATCATGTCGTTGGGCAGCACCATGCCGACCAGGGAGACCTGGAAGCCACGGACACGGCCAATGTTGTTCTCGGCGGCCCAGGTCTCGACAAGGCTGCGAACAGCGGCACTGCTGTACATACCATGGGTGATGGTTCCGGGCAAGTTGGCGTAGCTGGAGAAGACGCGAGACACATGGATGGGGTTGTAGTCACCAGATACGCGAGCATAGGTTTCGTTAGAGGCAGGAGCACGCAGTTCCAGAGCGGTCTTGCCACTGAGCGGGATGGGGTTTTCGAAGTAGACCGGCTGCTCAATGGAAGTTCCGTTACGCTGGAGGTAGTCAATCACGGGGTTGCCATGTGAGGAACCTGCCTCGTATTCGACAGAGGCAACTTGGATGACCTCCTTGGTGGGAAGTTCGAGAAGAACCTGTCCAACGGTCTGGACGTTACTGAAGACGGTAGTGTTCTTGAAACGGATCAAGCTTTGCAAGCGGAATGTCAGGGTCTGGCCCAGAAGCTCAGCGTCAGAGTCATCCATGCGGAACCATTCCTTCGAGCGGAGAATGGCGACGTCCCGGCTGGTTGCGAGGTGAACCTGGATGGGGACCTCATCCTTGCGCTGGAAGGTGTTCTCATAGTCGGTGTAAGCACCCCGGTACAGGAACTGACTAGTGACGTGCATGATGGCTTTGTTATCTCGCTTAATGGTGCCGCAGACCTCGACCATCTTACCAGAATCCTGATTGATCACAGAGTTAATCTGGGCGGTTGTGTCTAGAACATCGCCAACCTTGAGGGGCTGGGCGCCGGGTACCATCTTGAAACCATTGGACAAATGAACAAGCTTCAATAGATCTCCGTCAATGGTGCGAGGGAAGATGGGCTTGGTGATTGCCTGCCAGCCTGCAACAATGGCGAAGTCCATAGGGGCAAAGACTTCCTTGCCAGGGCGATCAACGAAAGCCTCACCGGTGTTTCCAACTGCGTGAACAAAGTCGGCAACATCTTGAGCAGTGATGGTCTTCCGGCCACCACTGAAAGTGGCAGTGGTGGGGGTGTCGAAGGGCACGTCCTTGTTGCCGAACCAGATTCGGTAGTAAAACTCCTTGATGCGATCGTTGCGGTCACCCATAACCTCACGAAGAGGTGCATATCCAGTCTCAGGGTGATAGGTGAACAAGAAGTTCAGAGGGACAACGCCATTCTCGGCGGTACGGCCCTCAAACAGTGTCAGACTAACCTGGCCCTTCTCGTTGATCTTAGCCTCGACTGTCTTGACCAACTTGCCAGACTGATACGGCTCTCGCACGCTGATAACAGTCTTTGCGGCATCATTGGGGTTGAGTACTTCCACGTACATGCCTGCGGTGGGGGCAACAATCCGCTTCATGGGGTTAGACTGGAAGCGGTGGCCCTGAACGAAAACATCGGCCAAGAACAGAGCATGTCTCCAGGAGTAGGCCTTGCCGGCAAGCAGGCTGAGCCAGCGGTCCAAGTCTGGCAGGGGTGCAGTGGAAGACAAGCGGAAGCTGGTCTTGCTGGGCTCTTCCGAAACAACCAAACCGTCAAATTCTGATTCGGTGGTGTTCATAAGCTGTCCACCGAAGTACTCAATGACGGGAATCTTGGTTTTATCGTCACCGTAGACATCACGCAGGAGGCCAGCGATGTGGCCCTGATGGACACCATCAAGAATGTCCTTGACAGGCTCATCAATAATGTTGGAAAAGCGGGCAGCCATAGGACCCTGAAGAATACAGGTTCGGCCGACATCTTGATCGACAACAGCCTCAAGATCCTCACTCTGCCACAGAGAATCCTTCTTGAAGAAGAACTCAAAGTTCTCATCCAGGACGGGAACGAAAGGCACGGGCTTCTGTCCACGTTTCTGGCAGAGAAGCAGGAAGTGCTGCACATCCTGCGCGTTGATCAATTGATCGGCAGCCGCGGGATAAGCAGCCAAGATATTGTCAACAGTGGGGTAGGGGGTATCAATATCAGAATAACTTTGGAGCAGCGATGCTTGGCCCTCGGCAGTAGTGAAACGCTCTTCGACGCGACGGATGAAGTCACCTGTCAAGCGCTTGAGCGAGGGGTCGATCCATCGCGACTCGTGCTTGATGTACATGAGGTCTACCATGCGGTGAACGACCTCAGCGTAGGTCATATCTTCGAGATCGACAGTCTCGCCTGCAGCGTTACGACCGAACCAGACTTTATGGAAGTCATCGTTCAGCTTCTTGATAATATAGTTCCGCTGCTTCTTCAGTTCAGGGACACGCTTAGCCTTGTCGAGCTTGAAGATCTTCTGGTCCATCTCCTGCCAGAATAGTACGCCACGAGTGGCCAGCTTGTGGATAGGCTCACCCATCTCAGAGAGAACAGTGATCACACCACCTGTTGATTTCTGGTAGGTCTTCTCCCATTCCTCATCGTCCACACCAGGGGCATCGGCAATTGCCTTCTTGGCGTTGTAAGAGGTGTGTGCCTCCTTGGCGATCATCATGCGAGACCCGAAGAGACAGCCATCGAAAGGCATAGGAGGGTAGCCAAACTTAGCGGACCAGGTACCCGAAAGGTAAGGGTAAGTGTCTTCCGAGCCACCGAAGCCACTGCCGGCAACAAGGACAATGTTATCTTGCTTGCGGATGCGGCTATACATCTGGAGCATAGGCTGGTGGAAGTCCTCGAAGGAGTGGTGACCACCGCCACGGCCACCGGTCCACTGAAGGATGATGGGGAACTTGGGATTGGCCTTAGCAATATTGATGACCTGCTGAATAGCATCGACGGAGCCAGGCTTGAAGGCAATGTGTTTGATACCGAGAGTTTCAATGTATTCGTTCGCAACTTCAATGGAAGGCACACCAGCACCAATGGTGAGACCCTCAATGGGCACACCTTCCGCGCGCAATCGACCGATCAACGGGATCTGCCAAGCCATCGCACGGGGGTTGACATAGATCAAGTTAATAGTGATGCCACGACCAGGAGGAATAACCTTCTCAATCTTGGTGATGGCCTCAGTCATAGTCTTGGCGTTGTAGTAACCACCACCAGCCAGCTCGATGTGATAACCAGCGTTCATAGTAGCAGCCACAAAGTCCCAAGCAACGGTGGTGGGGGTCATACCAGCCACCATAACAGGGGGGATTCCCAACAGACGGCTCATCTTAGTGTCCACGTAGGTTTGGCCGGTAGATGTCCGTGTCAGGCGAGGACCGTGCTCCTTGACCCAGTCGACAGCAAACTTAACAGCATGCTCA